GGTGTTATGTGGTCCCGGCGGCCACTCCCAGTCACCAGTCTGGCTGCCACATTCTGGATTAGTTGTAGTTTCCGGGTCACCTTCAAAGGCAGCCCCACATAGAGCGCATTGCAGTAGTCCAAGTGAGAGATAACCAGAGCATGCACCACTCTGGCCAGACAGTCTGCGGGCAGGGAGGGTCTCATCCTGCGTACCAGGTGGAGCTGGTAGACAGATGCCCTGGACACAGAATTGACCTATAAGAAAAACTTAGTTTTGTCTTTTGGGGGAAATGGTTTTCGATTCTGGGCTCCCAGAGCTGTCCAAAGATACTGACCCCCTTCCCCTCTCCCCACTGCAGCTGGAGCTGGACGAGGGGGCGCCTGGCTACTCCTGCCGCCGGAACGCCCCTCCACGGGCCAAATACAAGCGCCTGGCCCAGGAGCTCCTCTTCGACCCGGACTGGCCTCCCCAGCCCCAGACGAGCACCCGGGCCCAGGTGCCCCCTGCTGAGAGCAGCGCCTGATGAAGGCAAAGAGGCCCTTCTGTTGCTTCAGCCGCAGTCCTTGCCGGGAAAACGCCTCCGAGCTTTTATTATCATTATTATTTATTCCGCACCCTTTCTTTGTTGGGTTCGTTGAGGGGAAGCGCCTCTTGGGAACTGTAGTTTGCAAGCTGCTATTTCTCTCTGTAAGGTGGGCGTGGCGAGACCCCACGCTCCAAGCCATGTAGCGTTCCGTGCGGCACGATCGCATCTCACGCGGCGGCGGTTCGGTTCCGAGGGTTCTGCGTGTACATGGAAATGGCGTGTATTCAAACCCTGGGAGTCACCCAAGCGCCTGGCGGGGGGATCCCCTGTACTCCCAGAGCCCAGCAAGCAAAGCTGGGGGAGCTTAAAAGGCTCTTAGCCTGCGAGATCGTCTCCTCGCTCCACATTTGCCCACTCAACCTCTTCGATTTGCAGAATCGGGCTACGTCACGCCCATTTCCTGTGCCCGCAAGCCCTCGATCGTTCGGCGTGGCAGCGCCTGCAGACTTTGGAACTCCCTGCCGATTGATCCCAAAGCGAGCGCTTTCAGCTGTGAACCTTTCAGCGCCTGCTTAAAAGCATTCTCCTTTAGGCAACCCGACTTGAAATTTCAACCTGCTTCAGCTTTTCACTACAGTGGTACCTCTGGTTGCGAACGGGATCCGTTCCGGAGGCCCATTTGCAACATGAAAAGAACGCAACCCGCAGCAGAGCGTCTGCGCATGCGCGGGTTGCGATTCGCCGCATCTGCACATGCGTGTGACATCATTTTGCGCTCATGCGCGAGCAGCGAAGCCCGTAGGTAACCCTTTCCAGTACTTCCGGGTTGCTGTGGGACGTAACCTAAAAGAACGTAACATGAAGCGGACGTAACATGAGGTATGACTGTACAGTGGTACCTCGGGTTACATACGCTTCAGGTCACATACGCTTCAGGTTACAGACTCCGCTAACCTAGAAATAGTACCTCGGGTTAAGAACTTTGCTTCAGGATGAGAACAGAAATTGTGCTCCGGTGGCACGGCAGTAGCAGAAGGCCCCGTTAGCTAAAGTGGTGCTTCAGGTTAAGAACAGTTTCAGGTTAAGTACGGACCTCCAGAACGAATTAAGTACTTAACCCGAGGTACCACTGTACATTTTAAATTGCTGCCGTTGACCAAGTTCCCCTTGATTTCGTAGTTTCATCTTTTGGGAGAAACCGCTTTGAGATGCTTGCCACCAAGCGGCGCATGGATTTTACAGAATAAATGAGCAGAAACCAACCTTGCGGGGCTCTAGGGTACCTGGGGTGTGTGTGGCAGTGCAGGAACTCAGATGTTAATGAACATACCACAGCCGGCGCAATGAGCAGGCATCTCACTCCCCAAGCATATCAGACAGCTTAGAGAAGGGGTCCCCAAACTAAGGCCCACGGGCCGGATCAGGCCCGAGGGACTCGTTTATCTGGCCCATGGCGACCCCCACCACCCGCTCTTACCGGCGCTGCGCTGCGCAGCCACCCACTTCCGGGTCGGAGGAGCACCGGAAATAGCTTGTGTGCATGCGCAAGTGTTATTTCCGGTGCACATCCGGGTCGGAGGTGGCCTGTGCATATGCACACAAGCTATTTCCGGTGCTCCTCCGACCCAGATGTGTGCCGGAAATAGCGTGTGCGCATGCGCAAACAACGCTTGTGCATGCGCATAAGTGATTTCCGGTGCTGCTCCGACCTGGAAGTGGGCGGCCGCACAGCGCAGTGCCGGTAAGTTTCCAGTGCTCCTCTGGCCCGCCGCGTAATCGGCGCTGGAGACACCGGCCCGAGGCGCGGTAAGTTTGCTGACCCCTGGCTTAGAGGCTCTTTACGCCCTGGGTAACCCCAGGTGGACCTAGTGCAAAAACAGCCCTCGAACGCTCCACCTCGCCCGGATTCGACTTGCACCGTTTCAGCCGAGCATGGCTGAAATTGCGCGAGTCAGGTGCGCACGGGATTCGATTGTGCTGCACAGCAACGGTTAGCTGGTACGTTCCCCCCCCTTTCCTCCCCGATTCCGGCCCCCATAAACGCCCCACCTGCCCTGTTTTTAACGGTACCAGGAATTAGTATTACGGTTAATTACCTCTGCACAAGAGTCAGGGTTTTTAAGTGGGTTCTTTGGGGGGGGGAGTTTGACATGGGGCTGGTCTTTTTTAAGGGGGGGTGTCTTTTGGATACCTCGCTCCTCTGGCAATTTGGGGGGCAAAGCAAGAGCCTTTGGGTGGGGGTCCTGTGCCCCTCTTTTGGGATCAAGGAACAGGAAGCCGTTGCCTCCGAAGGGGGCTGGGGGCGGCTTTTAAACTACTTTTTCTTTCACTGGCTTTCTTTTTTTTATTAAAAGGAAAATAAATAAATAAAGATTATTATATGTAAAACTTCTACGTTGTTGGGTTTTTTTGTAACTAATTATTATTTAATTTCCAATTACTAAAATCCGATGTAAACCACATGTTATCCATTTCAAATGGCAATTCAGATTCAAATATATATCAGTTATAAAGCCAATTATACATTTTGGATGGTCTCCCGCGTGCTGGATTTCAAGGTGAGATGATTTTGTTTCAGCCTGGTTCCGAAGTCTGAACTCATCCAATTACATTCAGTCTTGATCTTACTCCATTATCAGCAGCTACAGGAGTTTTAACACATTTAATAAATTTTATTTATTATAAAATTTATAGATTTTTTTTTTAAAAAACCCCTCTATATTATTGTTGATTGTGGGAGAAAATCAATCTCTCTCTCTCTTAAATTCTTCTTCCCTTCCAGAAGTTCTGGAGAGATAGTGGGGAAAATATTTTCCCACACTTGTTTTTGCCCCAAAGAGGAATAATGGGATCGGATTAATTTTATTTACGGGCTTGGAAATGACCGTTTCTGCATGCGCTGCACCTGACAGGAGTTTGCGCTGACATTGCAGTCCTACGGATGACGAGGGCAGTAGATCTTTTTGCAGCCTTGCCAAGTGCAGGGGAATTAGAATGTCAGAACAAGGCGGGACAAAAACGTCGGAATTGCTTTTTGGGATGGGGGCCCTTGTGCTTTTTCTGGCCCCCTTCATCGGTAATAAACGAAAATCTGCCCTTATTCCCTTATGGGGGACACAAGGACCCTTATAGAGTCCTTTGCAGGTTCACCATCGGTCGGGGAATTTGCTTTGTATTTGCGATGGAGAAGAACCCCGCTGGATCAGGCCAGTCCAGCTTCCTAAACTCGCAGCAGCTGAACAGTTGCCTAAATGGGAAACCGGCAAATAGGATCTGAGCTGTTAAGTTGTGGGCGAACATATCAGACGACACAGCGATTCTTCAACAGCTCTTGTTTATTCAGAGGCCAGAATAGAACTGAACTGAAGAGCTCAGTCAGCCTGCTTACCGTATTTTTCGCTCTATAAGACGCACCAGACCACAAGACGCACCTAGTTTTTGGTGGAGGAAAACAAGAAAAAAAAAAATTCTGAATCTCAGAAGCCAGAACAGCAAGAGGGACCGCTGCGCAGGGAGGGATCGCTCCATAAGACGCACACACATTTCCCCTTACTTTTTAGGAGGGGAAAAGTGAGTCTTATAGAGCAAAAAATACGGTATTTAATAAATGTACCAAGCAAACACGTACATTAATATATTAACCACATGTCTGAAGCAGCACAGGAAAACAGCCCTGAAACCGTTCTGACTCCCAAACTGACCAAATGATTTCTCTGCAAGGGCGAAGGAAAATGGAAAAGCCTCCCCGTTGTCTTTTCATTCACAAATCCTGTCTTAAGGGTATGTCTGTGTATGAATAGGGTGAGCCTGTGACCTGGCTCAGGAACAAAGTATTTATCATTGCAAAAGAATGGCCAGGCTCCCCAGGGTATCCAATTAAGTGAGCATTAACAGGTAACTGCCAGACAGGAGATAAACAACGCACTCAGATTTCTGCTGTAGACCGCCTCTTCTGTGATGTAGGTATGATGTATCTGGGGCGTGGTCTTGGACTTCAGGGCGGGCAATTTAAAATGTCTATATAAGGGTGGGCACACCTTTGTGCGGGGTCCTTCTCCTGCTGCGTGTGAAGGGGGCACCTTGTTGCAACAGTTCAATAATGATCAGACTTACTAGGCACTTTGCTTCTCAATATTCTCTGGCTGGCCTCTGTTCTTTTCTCCCACCGATGGAGAACCTGCAAAGGACTCTACAAGGGCTCTTGTGTCCCCCATAAGGGAATAAGGGCAGATTTTTGTTTATTATACTGGAAAACCCCAAACGCTGCAATACTTTCCTCCTAGGCTAAGAGGGAATCGCTCTCTTCGTTTCAGTGGCTCTTTTTCGAACTTTCCCCCCGTTCTACAACAACGCGCCTCCGTACTAGGAGAAATACGGTAGCCCTTGGTGGCGTCGGGAGGAATTCGGCCCTTCTACTAGGTGGCGGCGGTACTGTGGGCAGAGGCCAACATGGCGGCCTCCCGGGCGGCGTCAGGAAGCTGCGCCTGCGCGGGGAGGAGCCGGGGTTGGGGGGTGGGAAAGGAGGCGGCCCCCCGCCCAAGGCGCCACGACAACAGCGGCAGCTGCTCCAGAGGTTGGTGGTCTTTGCCCACCCCCCCACCTTGACCAGCCCCCCCAACTCGCCGCCATGTCTGGGGTGCAAAGGATGAAAGTGGCCAACGAGAGGCACAGCAAGAGCATCACGCAGAGGGGGGGCCTCCATCGGGCCCCGGTATATGTGGGGGCTGGGGGGGAGTTTGCAATGGGGGGGTGAACTAGGGAGGGGGAATCTGAAAGGGGAGAAAGTGGGGAGGGGGAGTTTGCAATGGGGGGGTGAACTAGGGAGGGGGAATCTGAAAGGGGAGAAAGTGGGGAGGGGGAGTTTGCAATGGGGGGTGAAAGTGGGGAGGGGGAGTTTGCAATGGGGGTGAAAGTGGGGAGGGGGAGTTTGCAATGGGGGGTGAAAGTGGGGAGGGGGAGTTTGCAATGGGGGGTGAAAGTGGGGAGGGGGAGTTTGCAATGGGGGGGACTAGGTGGGGGGAATTGGAAAGGAGAGAAAGTGGGGAGGGGGAGTTTGCAAGGGGGGGACTAGGTGGGGGGAATTGGAAAGGGGAGAAAGTGGGGAGGGGGAGTTTGCAATGGGGGGGACTAGGTGGGGGGAATTGGAAAGGGGAGAAAGTGGGGAGGGGGAGTTTGCAATGGGGGTGAAAGTGGGGAGGGGGAGTTTGCAATGGGGGGTGCACTAGGGAGGGGGAGTTGGAAAGGAGAGAAAGTGGGGAGGGGGAGTTTGCAATGGGGGGTGCACTAGGGAGGGGGAGTTGGAAAGGAGAGAAAGTGGGGAGGGGGAGTTTGCAATGGGGGGTGCACTAGGGAGGGGGAGTTGGAAAGGAGAGAAAGTGGGGAGGGGGAGTTTGCAATGGGGGGTGCACTAGGGAGGGGGAGTTGGAAAGGGCACAAAGTGGGGAGGGGGAGTTTGCAATGGGGGGGACTAGGTGGGGGGAATTGGAAAGGAGAGAAAGTGGGGAGGGGGAGTTTGCAATGGGGGGTGCACTAGGGAGGGGGAGTTGGAAAGGAGAGAAAGTGGGGAGGGGGAGTTTGCAATGGGGGGTGCACTAGGGAGGGGGAATTGGAAAGGGGAGAAAGTGGGGAGGGGGAGTTTGCAATGGGGGGGGACTAGGTGGGGGGAATTGGAAAGGAGAGAAAGTGGGGAGGGGGAGTTTGCAATGGGGGGTGCACTAGGGAGGGGGAGTTGGAAAGGAGAGAAAGTGGGGAGGGGGAGTTTGCAACGGGAGAGTGAAAGTGGAGAGCACCTGGACTTGGGGGGAGATGAAGAATTGAGGAAGCAATGAATTATTTATTTCAGATCACCCCCTCCCGTTTGAGATATTTGCAAAGATGGGGGGAGCAGCTTAGGACAGGAGGGATGAGGTTTGGAATGAGGTTTGGAGGGAAGGGGGCAGGATCACCCAAAGAAAACCCCACAGGTAAGTCTGAGGCTGCAACCCCATTCATGCACCCTGAGTTCCCTGGGAGCAAAGCCCCCCCCCCCATATGAGCACCCTGGGGTCTTCTGCGGAAAGGAGAGCGGAGTTGCACCCTCACCGCTGGAGGGGTTGCTTAGGGAAAGCCTGATTTTTTTGGGGGGGGGTTGCAATTGTCTCTTAAGGGGGCTGGAATGGGGGGGTCTATCCTTGGAAGGACCCCCCCGATTAGTTTCTATTAATTTCCAGGGCCTCTTCTGCCAGTTTTCTGATTCTGCCCTGTGTTTATTATCTGCGTTTGAATAGGGGTAAACCTATAAGAGTTGCAGAAAGCTAAAAACGCATGGAAGATAATTGTAGCTAAACGGATATATTTTCTGCGTCAGTTTAGTTTGCGTAAGCCGCCTCGAGTCCCGGTCTGGGGGGAAACGGGGGGAGGTATAAATAAGTATTATTATAATAATAATAATGGTCTCTGAGCCCATCTGTGTATTGCTGTCCTATGATCAAAGTGGGGGGGGGGGTTAAAAGGGAATTTTGGGAATGTGAGGGAAGTCACCTAGGAAAGTTGTGTCTCTCTAACACTCTCCTGGTCTCTTTCCCTTCTGCGAAGACACCCCAAGAGGAAAAAGCCCCGGTTGGCCCCTGGCTCCTGGCCCTCTTCGTCTTCGTGGTCTGCGGATCAGGTGAGTTTCCCATTTATTAACAGTTTCTCATAGAATTGAAAGGGACCCCCAGGGGTCATCCAGCCCAACCCGCCGCCGTGTCTCTCTTCTCCTTAAAAAGCTCAGGGTGGCAAATGCAACTCCCCATTTTATCCTCACAGAAACGAGGATAAAATGCGTGTGTGTGTTCACAAGAGAGAGCAACTGGTCCAGGAAGAACATTTTTACTCATTTATTTCAACAATTTAGATATTGCTTAAGCAGTGTACACAAAGGTTATGAAAGAGGCATGGAAAGATAAATTCACTTAACATGGACAAGAAGGTAAAAGGTAAAGGACCCCTGGACGGTTAAGTCTAGTCAAAGGCAACTATGGGGTTGCGGCACTCATCTCGCTTTCAGGCCGAGGGAGACGGCATTTTGTCCACAGACAGCTTCCCGGCTCATGTGACCAGCAGGACTAAACCGCTTCTGGCACAACGGGACACCGTGACAGATGCCAGAGCGCACGGAAACGCCGTTTACCTTCCCACCGGAGCGGTACCTATTTATCTACTCGCACTGGTGTGCTTTCGAACTGCTAGGTTGGCAGGAGCAGGGACTGAGCAACGGGAGCTCAACCCGTCGTGGGGATTCGAACCGCCGACCTTCCGATCGGCAAGCCCAAGAGGCTCAGTGGTTTAGACCACAGCGCGTCCCTCATTGACAAGAAACACTTACTGAAAAGGTCTGGTTAAATTATTATTATTATTTATTATTGTTATTATATTTATTACCTGCTGTTCTCCACATGGCCCTCCAAAACATTTTTAGTTAATTTATTTCATAAAATTCACACACCAGCAGGGGGAATGAACAACAATAATTTAAGATTATTGAAAGGTAAAGCTGTTCTGCCCTGTGTGAACAGGATCCTGGAATGGGTGAGCCCACTGGCCGGATCCAAGCATGTTATTCTTACGTTTCTCCCTCTTACTCTTCACAGCCATCTTCCAGATTATCCAGAGCATCCGACTTGGAGGTTAATGGGGAGAAGACGGGATGCTTTTCCGACTGCTGCCACCAATCCTGCTCTCAGGGAACTGTGGGATCTTTTCTGGACCTCCCAAGTTGCAGCCATGACAGTCTTCCTCTGCCTGCTTCCAAGAACCAGATCTCTCCCTCCCTGCCTGCTCTCGTGAGACCCCCAAACCGATTCCCTCCCCGCTCTCTGTCCCTTCAGCTGTTGACCACTTCTGAGGGACGCTGGACTGAACGGGGGCGATCCGTCTCCTCTCCCCTTCGCCTCGTGGAAGCGCGGGGCTTTTTCCTTTGGAACTGAAACGATGCGTTGCAACAAGGAGGAAGGTCTACAGCCGGTTTGCGGCGTTTGGGGTTGGAGGACGGGGTGCAGAGTTGGGGAGGCTTGTTCCGGATCCCATATTCCTCTCAACCCGTTATCAACCTGCAGTTCATTCTCCCTCACCATTCCGGTCGAGCCGCTGAAATAAAGTCGCCTTGTTGGAATATTTGCCACAAACCCAAGTAATTCTAAATTTCTTAATAAATAGTGTCACCATGTTGTTGTTGTTGAGTCATTTAGTCGTGTCCGCCCCTTCGTGGCCCCCTGGACTAGAGCACGCCAGGCCCTCCTGTCTTCCACTGCCTCCCGCAGTTGGGTCAAACTCATGCTGGTCGCTTCGAGAACTCTATCCCACCATCTCGTCCTCTGTCGTCCCCTTCTCCTTGCGCCCTCCATCTTTCCCAACATCAGGGTCTTTTCCAGGGAGTCTTCTCTTCTCATGAGGAGGCCAAAGTCTTGGAGCCTGAGCTTCAGGATCTGTCTTTCCAGTGAGCACTCAGGGCTGGTTTCCTTAAGAATGGAGAGGTTTGATCTTCTTGCAGTCCATGGGACTCTCTAGAGTCTCCTCCAGCACCAGAATTCAAAAGCATCAGTTCTTCGGCGATCAGCCTTCTTGATGGTCCAGCTCTCACTTCCATACATCACAGCTGGGAAAACCAGAGCTTTTACAATACAGACCCTTGTTGGCAAGGTGATGTCTCTACTTTCACCATAGAGAGGGGTGTTTATGTGTGTGTGTCTCCAAATCCATTTGCCTCGTCTGCCGTTTGCCAGGCCAGGAAATGACAGTTGGATCTCTAGTTGCCCTAGAGATCCATCATAGACCTGTCGGTGGAAATCTAAAGTATGTAGGTGGAAAGTCCCTTTGTGCATAGTTAAACTGAAATTCGCTCCTCCGGGAGGCAGTGATCACCACCATCCTGGATGGCTTGAAAAGAGAATTGTACAGATTTGTGGCGGAGAGGGATTTCTGTGGTTTACTAGCCATAATGGCTATACTCTGCCTCCACCATCCCTCCCCACCCCCCAATTTTTTTTATTGATTTTCACATTTATCACATAAAAGATTAAAAAATAACATAAAGAAAAATGCTTCAAATTCCTAATTTCATTACATTAATAACTGACTTCCTCAAATCCCCTCTGACTGAATTTCATTATATCTCCAGTTTAACAGTTCTCCAAATTCATCTTTCTAATAATATTAACTTCTTTCATTTACTAACCTCATCTCCTTTATTAATATTCAAATCCATAATAATTACTAACACATGTTCTTACTCTACCCCTAAGCCTATTTATTACTTCCAAGAATTTTCTATTTATCTTATATTACAATATTTAGCTAGATATTCTTTAAATTCCTTCCAGTCCTCTTGTGTCTCCTCTTCTTTCCGGTCGCGGATTCTTCCAGTCAGGTCTGCCAGCTCCAAAAAGTCCAACATCTTCATCTGCCATTCTTCTATTGTTGGTATCTCTTGTGATTTCCAATTTTTGGCTAATAAAAGTCTTGCCGCTGTGGTGGCATACAAAAGCCTCCACCCTACCTCTTGAAATGAACAGAAGTAAACAGATGAGACTGGTGCTGTTTAGTTTCTTCACCTTTGCGTAATATGAAGGAGGGTGAAATCCGAAGCAGCCGAGAACTTCTGAAATTACCTTCTTCAAACTGGGGGGGACAGACACTAGGATTTCAAATGAGAGTCAAGGTAAGCAAATACAATGGGACCCAGAAATCCGACTGGATTGGAATGCGGTCTTGGGGTTGCAGTGGCCGGTTGTTTTTGGAAACACATCAACTCAGCACACGGGAACAAAAAATAAATGGACAAAGCAAATTGGGTTTCGGGCATAATCAAAAATTAAACTTCTGTCATAAAAAACCCCTTTTATAAGTTTCCTTTGTGCTACGCTTTGGTCTGACCCTTCTAAGAAAAGAGATTGGCAGCGATGGGAGAAGTTCAGAAGAGGATGAACATAGCACAGAGAAAGGAGGACCAGGAAAGACCCTCTGTCTGAAAATATGGGGAGCTGCTGCCAGTGCTCAAGGCAAGGCCAGCTGCTTCTGTGCCTATATGTTGTTGTTTAGTCGTGTCCGCCTCTTCGTGACCCCCTGGACCAGAGCACGCCAGGCACTCCTGTCTTCCACTGCCTCCTGCAGTTTGGTCAAACTCATGCTGGTAGCTTCGAGAACACTGTCCCACCATCTCGTCCTCTGGCGTCTCCTTCTCCTTCTGCCCTCCATCTTTCCCAACACCAGAGTCTTTTCCAGGGAGTCTTCTCTTCTCATGAGGTGGCCAAAGGATTGGAGCCTCAGCTTCAGGATCTGTCCTTCCAGTGAGCACTCAGCACCAGCTGGAGCTGAGTGCACCAGTGAGTTCTTCGGCGATCAGCCTTCTTTATGGTCCAGCTCTCACCTCCATACATCACTGCTGGGAAAACCATGGCTTTAACTATACGGACCTTTGTTGGCAAGATGATGTCTCTGCTTTTTAAGATGCTGTCTAGATTTGTCATCGCTTTTCTCCCAAGAAGCAGGCGTCTTTTAATTTCGTGACTGCTGTCACCATCTGCAGTGATCCTGGAGCCCAAGAAAGTAAAATCTCTCATGTCTTCCCCTTCTATTTGCCAGGAGGTGATGGGCCCAGTGGCCACGATCTTCGTTTTTTTGATGTTGAGCTTCAGACCACATTTTGCGCTCTCCTCTTTCACCCTCATTAAGATGTTCTTTAATTCCTCCTCACTTTCTGCCATCAAGGTTGTGTCATCTGCACATCTGAGGTTGTTGATATTTCTTCCGGCAATCTTAATTCCGATTTGGGATTCATCCAGCCCTGTGCCTATATAAGAAAGGGCAAAGGGTGTGGATCTTTTCTGGCTTAGAAAAAACACACAACTGGGAGGCAGATCTGTTATGCAGTCTGAGGCATAAACTGGGGATCTCCATGGTAAGAGGTTTTAAAATAAAATAAATATCAAAGACCACATTGCAGGGCTGCTGTTAGCAGGGTGCCCAGGGAGAGAACATCCTGGCGCAGCCTTCCCTGTCCTGCATAGCTGTCAACGTTTCTCTTTTTTTTAAGGGAAATTCCCTTATTCCGAATAGGATTCCTCGCAAGAAAAGGGGAAAGTTGACAGCTATGCGGTCCTGGCCCTCTAAAAGGGAAACATTTCCTTTTAATAATAATAATAATAATAATATTTATTTATACCCCGCCCTCCCCAGCCAAGGCCAGGCTCAGGGCGGCTAACAAGCAATAATAAAAACAAGTTGAATGAATGCAACTGAAAAACAAGATTAAAATATAACATTAAAATACTGAAACATTAAAATTTTAAAATCCAGCTTCATCATAGGAGGAGAAAGAAAAAAGAGAACATTTCCTTTTAAGACTACAACTCCCATCCTCTCTCTCACTGCGAGCCTCGCCCAGCTGTCACTGGCGGGAGGTGGAGTCTCTGGAGGGCGCCAGGTTGGGGAACGGGGGCGAAAGGGAGCCGGGACTTTCCGCTTGCCACGCTACTCTAGCCCTTTCACCCAGCTCTATGGTCGCGCTGACGACACTCTAGCCACCGGCGGACTCCTCGCCGGAAGACGCAGCGCGTGCCGCTCTAGCCATCTCTTTCGCGCCTCTTCTCCCCGCGTCCTAGAGCGCCCGCGTCCTAGAGCGTCCCACCCACCCCCTTGCCTAGTCTGGGCGGGGCTTTGCTTCCTTTTTCCCCCCCTTATGAATTCCACGAACGCTGCTTTCGTCTAATAAGTCGTTACTTACTTTCCACACAAGCCCAATTATCATGATTAAAGGAAGGAGAGTTACCGGAAGTCCCGCCTCCACACAAGCCCAATTATTATTAACGGGAGGAGAGATGCCAGAAGTCCCGCCTCTTCCTCTCCCATTGCACATCCGGGTCACGCCTCCGTGCCTCGCAGCCTCATTCGCTGTCCGGAGAGGAACCGGAAGTGGCGGGTGACCCGGAGCCAGTCTTCCGGCGCGCGCGGGGGAAGGAGAAGGAGCGCGAGGCTGCGCGGGCGAGCGAGGAGAGAAGGAGGCGGGAAAGGAGGGGAGGACTGGCCCGGCCTTCCTCCGCCCTGCTCTTCCTCCTCTGGCCGGGGCGGGAGGCGGCCCCGTCGGTGAGTGAGGCCTCCTCGGGGGAGCCAAGGCCCTGAACCAGCGCCTCTTCAGCCTGTGGTTCCCCAGGGGCGCGTGGACTACAACGCCCATCATCCTTGACCAGGCACAGGCAAACTCCGGCCCTCCAGATGTTTTGGAGGACATCTGCTTCCTCCAGGAACCTTAACTTTTCTAGAATGTAACGGTGTCCATCTTCTCCAGGCATAGGCAAACTCAGCCCTCCACATGTTTTTGGGACTACATTTCCCATCATCCTTGACCACTGGTCCTCTTAGCTAGGGATGATGGGAGTTGTAGTTCCAAAACATCTGGAGGGTCGAGTTTACCTATGCCTGCCCTTAAGGGAAGCCCAAAACTCCGGCCCTCCATATGTTTTGGAACTACAGTTCCCATCATCCCTGACCGCTGGTCCCGTTAGCTAGGGGTGATGGGAGTTGTAGTCCCTAAACAGCTGGAGAGTCAAGTTTGCCTATGCCTGCCCTAAAGGGAAGCTCAAAACTCTGGCCCTCCAGGTGTTTTGGAACTGCAACTCCCATCATCCCTAACCACCTGTCCTGTTAGCTAGGGGTGATGGGAATTGTAGTTCCAAAACAGCTGGAGGACCAGAGTTTGCCTATGCTTGTCCTTGACCGTTGGGCTGAGCTGGCTGTGGATGATGGGGATTGTAGTCCAAGACCACTGGAGGGCACCGGGTTGGGCCAGGACCAGTGGTCAGGGATGATGGGAATTGTAGTCCCAAAACAGCTGGAGACCCAAATTTGGAAATCCCTGGACTAGAACAGTGTTTCTTCAACCTGGGCGAAGTGGGCTAGGCGTGGGTGGACCACAACACCCATCATCCTTGATCGTTGGGCTGAGCTGGCCGTGGATGATGGGATGTGTGGCCCAAGACCACTGGAGGGCACCAGGTCGGGGAAGGTTTGTCTGCAGCAGGGTTTCCCACACTTGGGTCTCACGCTGTTTTTGTGACTGCAACTCCCATCATCCCTGGCTGGCCATCCTCTGCCTTAAACCCTGGAGAGCGGCTGCCAGTCACTGTAGGCCAGGCACCCCCAAACTCGGCTGTTTTGGGACTCCAGTTCCCATCATCCCTGATCACTGGTCCTGTTAGCTAGGGATGATGGGAGTTGTAGTCCCTAAAGAGCTGGGGAGCCAAGTTTGGGGATGCTTGCCCTAGGCATTTGGTTCCCAAATAGTGTTCTTTGGACTCCAGGGGGTCTGTGGCATCATTCGCATAACAAAAATTGCCATAGATATATCAACAATTTCAAAAGTAGGGGATCCATGGCTTGGCTTTTGAGAAACGGGGTCTGCAGTACTTAACTAATTGGCAACCACTGATCTAAGGCATCTTTCTACGTTCCAAGAGTTTTCTAAATGTATTTCCTTTTAACTTCTCTGACTATAATGCCACGCAACCATATGTAAATGACTATCTGTTGAAAATCTGGCATCACTGGATCGAATTCCTCAATTTTGTTGAGTTAATTAAACAGTTTTAATTGGATTGTGAATAAATGTGCAATTAATTGTTATTGTTTTGAATTTTATTGTCATTCTGAACAGTGCTTTTTAAAGGGGTTGGGTTCCGGAAATGTTTGGGAACGAGTGTGGGCATGCTTATTTTTCTTTTCCTTGTGCTTTGCCAGGGGTCTTTTTGCCCTGAAGACAGCTGTGCTGGACGCCCTCAGAATAACTGCCTCTTGTCTGCAGAACCAGGGATAGTCACATCCTGCAACTATGGGTGACAGTGATGACGAGTATGACCGCAGGCGCAGGGACAAATTCAGACGTGAAAGGAGTGACTACGACCGTTCTCGAGAACGTGATGACAGGCGGCGAGACGACTGGAGCGACAGGTACACCCCAAGTGACCTGGGGAATGGAAGCAATGGCGGATGTGCTTAGAGAGTTGCTCTCTTCCCAGGGAGACCAAACTTGATGCCTTTCTTTTCTGTGGCTGCAGGAAAGCCCATTCATTCTTGGGGGAGGGTGTCTACAAGATAGGAAGGAGTTCTATATTTATTGTTTTCTTTATTTCATTAAAATGATACACCGCTTGATTGTTTAAAAAACACACACAAAAAACTACATCAAAGTGGTTTACAAAAAAACCCAATAAAGCTATGAGTAAGAATTAAAATAACTAGGGACGCGGGTGGCGCTGTGGGTTAAACCACAGAGCCTAGGACTTGCCGATCAGAAGGTCGGTGGTTTGAATCCCCGTGACGGGGTGAGCTCCCGTTGCTCGGTCCCTGCTCCTGCCAACCTAGCAGTTCGAAGGAACGTCAAAGTGCAAGTAGATCAATAGGTACCGCTCCGGCGGGAAGGGAAACGGCGTTTCCGTGCGCTGCTCTGGTTCGCCAGAAGCGGCTTAGTGATGTTGGCCACTTGACCCAGAAAAACTGTCTATGGACAAACGCTGGCTCCCTCGGCCAGTAAAGCGAGATGAGCGCCGCAACCCCCGAGGCAGTCACGACTGGACCTAATGGTCAGGGGTCCCTTTACCTTTACCTTTAAATACAGGTTAAAACCTGCACCAGCTTTCTAAACACCTGCTTGTCTAAAGAAAAAAGTTTTTAACAGGCACCAAAAAGAGTACAGTGAATCTGCCTTCCTGATATCAATAGGCAGGGAGTTCCATAAGTGCTGCTGCACTAAAAGATTGAGTTCTTATAAATGTGGAGCAGGTATTTTGTGTGACAGCAGCAGTTCTGCCCATCTGGGTAGGCTTGCCTGAAGAAAAACGTTTTAAGCGTATTAGAATCCTTAACACATGATGGTTGATTGCCCTGTTTTTGAGGGGGGCAGGGTGGAATCCAGGTAGAGCAGGTCCTGAAATATTTCTCAGGCACTTCAGCTCATGGCACAGAGGCCTGGTAGAAAACCCACTTGGGCTGATTTCTGCCCTGCCAGCCGCAGAGAGGGGTCAGTTATGCATGCCCTCCTTACCAGCTCTGTGGTGTTTGCATCCAGGGACTGGGACAGGGGCCGAGAGCGCCGCAGCAGAGGCGAATACCGTGATTATGACCGGAACCGGCGGGAACGCTTCTCCCCACCTCGCCACGAACTGAGCCCTCCACAGAAACGGATGCGGCGAGACTGGTAGGTGGCTTTTCGATCTCCTCTGGGTTGTTCTTCCATTCTTGTTCTGCGTTACGTGGCTCTTCAGTTTCTGGTTCCCAAGAGGAACTGCTCAGCAGAAAGAGCATATTTGATTAGGTCTGGGGAATCTCTGACCTTCCAGAGCGTGAAGAACATAAGAGCCCCTCTGGATCAGGCCAGTGAGTGTCCCATCTAATCCAGCCTCCAGTTGTCACAGTGGTCAGCCACATGCCCCATTGGGAAATGCAGAAGCAGGACCTAAGCACAAGAGTGTAGTGTTCCGAAAGCAAGGAAGGATTGGACACCTGATTAATAAAACACACACGAGGCTTGACCAGCAAGACTCTGGGAGGAGTGCGTATAATAATAATTCCTGTCCACCCCTCGGCCCAGGTCGTTTTATTCCCAAAAGAACTTTTTACACAGCGTTCGTAAGAACCAATCCGATATTCTCTGAGCATTTCCAAAACCCCACATGGGACAAAGTCAGATCAGAAGAACTTCTTCTAACTTCAAAGAAAGCATTTCCTACTTGAGCATGCATATGTAGTTCAGAGTAAATAAAAGAGGAAGCAAGAAGGCATGCTTTTAGGGAACCCTGGACGTCATAAACAGGAGAGGCAGGATGGCAGTATTTACCATCTCTTTGTGAATTCTCTTCCTGGCACCTTAAGATCTATCTAAAGATTAAACTACATCAAAGAACCTACTATCTTTATGTACTGAGGATGTCTGATGAACAACTGGCCTGTGTTTCAGAATGCTTATACGTGCCTGTCAGGCGTAGAGAAAGCAAATGGCAGAGATGCAGAGGCTTGTGGGATTTGATCAGAAATTATTGTCAATGAATCAAACCCAGTCAACGCAATGCTTTCATTGGGGACACAATGGCTTGATGCATATTTTATAATTCCTCATAGTAATCCCATCTGATCACTACACAAGAGCAACTCTTTCCAGCAACTGGGATTAGCTGTTCTTAAGGACCTTGAGTCCTTGTCAGGGGAAAAGGCAGGGTATCAATAAATACATAACAATAATTCAAAAGCATTGCTGCCTCCAACTACGGAGGCAGAATGTAGCAGTCATGGCTAGTAGCCACCTTATTTGGTGACTGTAGGAGGGAGTTCCACAGTTCCACTGCGTTTCTTTTATCAGTGCTGGCTCTCTCAGCGTTCAGCTTCATTGAATGTCTACGAGTTCTAGTGATACGAGAGAAGGAGGCAAAACCTTTTCTTTATCCAGGATAACCTGGGCGGAGGGGGAAGGATGCTGGACGTGGAAACGATTGTCCAAGTTTGAAAAGCTGGTATCACAGGATCCAGTTTGTCCATTTTGTTGAATTAATCAAGCTAAATGGTTTGAATTACCGTATTTTTCGCTCTATAGGACGCACCGGACCATAGGAGGGGGAGAACAGGGGGGAAAAAATCCTCCCCCTCTCTGCTCAGCGCCCCTTCAGCGAAGCGGCAGGAGAAACGGAGCCCCTTCCATTTCTCCTCCTGCTTTGCTAAAGGGGCATTGCGCAGAGAGGGAAAACTGTGCAGCACCTCTCCAGCGTAGCAAAGCCTGGAGAGCAAGAGGGATCGGTGTTCACTCTCCAGGCTTCAGGCGGCTATCCGCAAGCCTTCGGAGTGCAGCGGGAACTCCTGCTGCGCTCCGAAGGCTTGCGGATAGCTGCCTGAAGCCCCCGGAGCGCAGTGGGAGTTCCTGCTGCGCTCTGGGGGCTTCAGGCGGCTTCAGCGAAAGCAACACGAAGCCTCTGGAGCACGGGGAGAGTCTCCCTCTGCGCTTTGGAGGCTTCGCGTTGCTATCACTGAAGCCCAGGAGCCTGCATTCGCTCCATAAGACGCACACACATTTCCCCTTCATTTTTGAAGGGGGAAAAGTGCGTCTTACAGAGCGAAAAATACGGTAGATTTTGAATATATGTGCAGTTAATGGGCACCGTTCTGAATTTCACTGCTCCGTTATCGTGGGTTGTGCAGACTGGTATTCTGAATATTGCATTTTGTAGGGTAAGGCAGGACACACCGGGGATGAGGTTATGGCACCAAGGGTGTGGACCAGCCAGAAACAGTTTGGGAAGAACTGGTTTTAACACCTATCCCCTTGCTCCAAAATAAATCGGGATCAATTAACACTTTGGTTCTCCCCCAGTCCTCTTGGTGGTTTTAACTTTACCCCCTCCCCCAAAAAACTTCTGCAGGGATGAGCACACATCGGACCCCTACCACAGTGGCTACGAGATGCCTTACAGTGGCGTCACCACCGGCCCTACCTACGGACCTCCGCAACCTTGGGCTCACCCAGAAATGCACGTGACACAGCATCACATCTTGCCTATCCAAGCCAGGTAAGCTGCTCCGAGCACGTCCTGCGTCTTCAAGCCAGGTGGCCTTTGCCACTCAGGTGAGGGCTGCTCTGCCTGAAGACTGTGAGAGATGTTGGTCAAATCGTCTGCCCAAGAACAGGTGCCTACAAATACTGAAATGCCTCCCTGTTGCTTTCCGTGTGACAAAGTAGAATAATAGGATTGTAGAGGCGAAAGAGACCCCCGAAAGTCATCCATTCTTACCCCTTGCAGTGCAGGATAATAACAGCTAAATAAAAACTAGGCCTAGGACCCTCATACCTACGGGATCGCCTCTCCCGGTCTGCCCCACGGAGAGCCTCAAGGTCCATAAATAGCAACACCCTAGAGGGGCCGGGCCCTAAGGAAGTCAGATTAACCTCAACCAGAGCCAGGGCCTTTTCAACTCTGGCTCCGACCTGGTGGAACGCTCTGTCTCCTGAGACCAGGGCCCTGCAGGATCTGATTTCTTTCTGCGGGGCCTGTAAGACAGAGTTGTTCCGCCTGGCCTTTGGCTTGGAATCAACTTGATTCCCTCCCCCTCTTTTTTCTTTTTCCTTTCTCCTCCTGCGATGAGGCTGCATTTTAATATTTTAATGTTTCAGTATTTTAATTGTTTTATTTTAATCTCGTTTTTAAGTTGTATTCATTCAACTTGTTTTTATTATTGCTTGTTAGCCACCCTGAGCCCGGCCTTGGCTGGGGAGGGTGGGGTATAAATAAAAACTATTATTATAATTATTAATAATAAAAACAGCTAAATAAAGAGCACTTCCAACAGGCTCAACCCTGGGCATGAAAAATCAGATGAGAAGGCAGCATTTGATCACCTGTGGGTGGGCCCTGGAGAAGGCGGACGTGGCCCCCCCATCCGTGCTTCAGTTACTTCCAGGGGCGGCCCTGCCATGCACACAATGTGGGGCTCACTTTGGAGATAATCTGAGAGCTTTAGGTTTCTTCAAATGCAGCAGCCAGGCCTTTGCTTCGTGCTCATAGGCTGGGGAACATAACTGAGCTTTCGTCAGCTCCATTGACTTCCAATTTCCACCTGGGCTCCTTTAAAGCCCTAAGTGGCTTAGGGCCAGGTTGCCACGTGGTCTTATAATTCATATTGTGCCGCTCCGGGTACTTAACAGTAGAAAGTACCCAGGCTTCTTAAGTAATTACAGTTAATTAAATAATTACAGTTAAGTAAGCCTTGCACAGGCTTCTTAAGTAATTACAGTTATGTTGGATTTAGCAGGGTTTGGATTGGTTACGTCAGGTTTACCCTGGGTTTGTCGTTAATCCTGTTGGTAAAATAAAAACAATACTAGCTGTTCGTTTAGCTAATGCCCACTTTTCACTGGAGGTCCCAGGGTGGGTTACACCTATAAAACAAAACGTTGTAAACAGTTTAAAACAACAGTCATAAAATTAAAGTGGGGCTGAAAGATATGCCCCTCACGGGTCAAAAACCAGGGGAAGGAGGTGCATCTTCAGCGTCCTCCGGAATGCTGTATGATAGAGGTGAAAGGTGAACCTCTGCAGGGAGGGAATTCCATATCTTGGGGGCCACCACAGAGAAGACCCTCCCGCAATCTACCACCAAGAGTCATTTAGAACTTTCAACTACAGTGGTACCTTGGTTCTTGAACTTAATCTGTTCCGGGAATCCATTCGACTCCCGAAACCGTTCGAAAAACCAAGGCGCAGCTTCTGATTGGCCACAGAAGCTTCCTGCACTCAATTGGAAGCCGCATCGGACTTCCAAAAAAGTTCACAAACCGGAACACTTCCAAGTTTCGCGGCGTTTGGGAGCCGATTTGTTCTGGAGCCAAGCCGTTTGAGTTCCAAGGTACCACTGTGTAATGTCAGCACCTTGAATCTGGTCCGAAAACAAACTGGCAACCAATGCAGCTGCTTTAAAACAAGGGTTATATGGCATCCCAGCCAGTAATCCGGCCACTGAGTTTTGGAGCCGTTGAAGTTTCCCAGTCGTCTTCAAGGGCGACCCCACATAGAGCGCGTTGCAGTAATCCATTCTGGAAGTTAGCAGAGGCAAAGTCAAATCCAGGAGCAGCCCCAAACTGCGAAAAAAAATTGGAAGCCGCCCAGAGTGGCTGGGGAAGCCCAGCCAGATGGGCGGGGTATAAATAATAAATTATTATTATTATTATTATTATTATTATTATTATTATTCCTCCGAGGGGGTGCGACCCCATCCAGGGCAGGCCACCCCTCCCATCTCCTGCACTTGACAACTCAACTTTGCGCTTGAAAAGGGTCTGCAGAGCTTTGCTGCTTTTGAAAGGGTCGCCTCTTTGCGCCGGAGACGTCGAATTGCGAGAACGCACACCTTTTTATTTCCCTTTTTCTCCTTCCCTCCCAGGCTGGGGAACATCGCAGAGGTGGACCTGGGCATCGCCCCTCCCGTCATGAAGAACTTCAAGGAGTTCCTCCTCTCCTTGGACGATTCCGTCGACGAGACGGAAGCCGTCAAGCGCTACAACGACTACAAGCTGGACTTCCAGCGCCAGAAGATGCAAGACTTCTTCCTGGCCCACAAGGATGAAGAGTGGTACGTCTCTCGTGGGCTGGGCCTTCTTGCCTTGGACTGGGGCGGGGGAGAGGCGGGAGGTGGAGCAAGGAGAGGTCTGGTTCCCGCAGGGATGTGTATCTGTAGTTATGCGTGACTGGCAACCTAAAGAAGAGGCCTTCAGAGCGGAAGATAATTCAGTAACCAGTTGGTAGATATGTCAGGCGTTAGAAGGCTGCCGCTGCCTGGCCTTCCGATGGGTGTAGCTTGCTGGAATGCTCAGGGCTTCAAATGACTTGTGTGAGTTAAAAAAATTCAGTGTAGCATGAAGTCTCCAGCTAATTGAAAGAATATTCTGCACATATCCCTGTGAAGTCCTTGCACCTTTTCTCCATGGGGTATATGAGCCCCATCCCAGACACACACAGGCAGGCTAGAAGAAGAAGCACGCACACATCCATTCTGGGTGCTGGCCTTGTTCCTGAGGCCCCCCTCCCATAAATAGGCCCCCCTTTCCCCTTGGACTGCCAGATTCGGGTGCTAATTCACCCTCCCTAGTCTACGTTTCTAGTTTACAGATAGCAGAGCAGCGTTAGTGAGTGGGAGAGCTCTGTTACAACCAGCGCAGCCAATGAAATCAACCAGCTGTTCCCAGCATATTCAGCTCCGGCTCCCCCAGCCTGGTGCCTTCCAGGTGTTTTGGACCACAGTTCCCATCATCTCTCATCCGAGCCGGCTGCGCCCGTTGTCTGAAGCATCTGGAGGTTGCCAGGTTGGAGTTGGGTGGTTTAGTTGAAGCAGCGGGCTTTGACTTGGCGTGCTCAGGTGTGCTCTACGAAATGTAGAAACTGCTTAGAAGGATGTGGTGGTTCAGGGGGTCAAAAAGGAATGCTGAGGAATACTGAATGTGTGGAAATAGGGACGAGAGAGGTGGGAAATGAGAGACGTGTAGAAACCCCGCCTCTCTGGAAGTCTTTGTTGTTCTCCTGCCATCTTCATCACCTACATACCGTCTTTGCTCCCTTGACATGTGTTCCACTAGTTCTCTTTCACATCAGTAAGCATAAAAACTTCTTCCACCAGCGGCTGGGTTCACACATGACTCATTTAGCGTGGGTGTGGCTTGTTAGAAGTCCCAAGCCCAGCATGCTAACCATGGTTTGTTCTCTGGCAGCAGACCGCAACATGAAGCTGCGGCTTGCTGCTGGCTTGTAAACCATGGTTTGTTCCAATTACGGTCTTAACCCCAGGGGTCTAACCCCAGTGATCTCGCTTGACCCCTACCCTAGATGCTCTCCAAGCTTCAAGGCAAGGCTGGGGAGCAAAGCAAGCTTTGGAGAGAACAAACCATGGCTTGTTGTCACGTGGTTCGTCGAACAAACCATGGTTTAGCATTGTGTGCGAACACAGCCATGGTTATCTGAATCCAGATGGTAACGAGCTGTTTTGCACCCACTCCCCTCCTCTCACTTGTAAAATGCAGCTTTTCATCATTTAGATGTCTTGTGCTTTTTCCTAATTCCTGTCTGCTTCTCAGCTGACTTGCTTGTGTACTAAATACTTTCAGAATTCCAGTTTGGAAACCCCAGTTCCTCTTTTACTTGGGTTCGCCGCTCAATAGCTCCAGCAGCTTGTTCGCCTGCTGTTAAAAGCACACGCACGCTTTCCAGCAGAATCCTTGAAAACTGAGCAAACGCAAAATAAAATTGAGAAAGAAAACTGCCAGCCACTAGTCAGGGGAAGCATCCTTGTATTGATCTTGTTAATTATCTGCTGCATTTATACCCCACTTAATTTATCCAAAGAGCTCAAGGGGGCGTGTTCATGGTCCTCCCGCCTCATTTAATCCCCACTGTAACCCTGCAGGATAGGATAGGCTGAGAGGCAGTGACTGGCCCCCAAGGGCCGAATGGGAGGATTCGAACCCTGGTCTCTGCCAGGTTCTAGTGCAACAACTCTACTCTGCTTTTGAGGGCATGTGTGGGTGGGGCATGGCCCATCGGATGGGGATGTTTCTGGTTTTTTTGTGTTAGTTTCTACAGAGCATGACCGCAGCTGCTATTATTGAACCATCCGAAATCAGTTTACCAGGTTGGCAGGATGGGTGGAGCAGGCTTCAGGTCAGGCCCACGGAGAACCGGGAGGGTTAGCGAGGGTTGCTCCAGGGCAAGGGAAGGAGGCTGGGGGCGAAAGGTAGCCTCTGGATGGACGTGGCCGAGATTGTTTGCGTGCCTGGGGAGCGGAGGGCCACTTTGCTGCAGCGCTGGATGGGGGAATCTCAGCAAGGGGAGTCGGCTGTGTGTGGTTCCTCTTCCCTAGGCGATTGGGTATCTAACACAGCTGTGTCTCTCTCTCTGTGTGTGTGTTCACTTTTGACCATTTTAATTTCCTTTGATAGACTTGAACTTCTTTCATTTTTGTTAATTGGTTGTTGACTGTAATAACTTGGCCTTTTCTCCCCTCCTCCCAAGAACCTCTCACAGGAGACTCCAAAAACCATCCGTCCTCAGCCTGGAGAATCCATAAATAAGCAAAACAAACCAAAGAGCCTTGAATGTGCTTTTTTTTTTCAATTTTACCCCCTTCCTCTCTCTGCTGGTGGTGGCGATTTTTTTTCTTCTTCCTCCGTAGCGCAGACAGTCAGGGTCTTCACTGTGCACAATGCAGTGACTAGCTGAAAGTGAGTTGGCAGGATGTAGGCAGAGCAGGGCGAAATCGCAGGCACCAGAGCCTCCTCTCTCTTTTGTTTTTGTTTTCACGAAGTCCTGCGGCCCAGCGAGAGAGAGAGAGAGAGATTTTCCAATCTTTTGGGGGTTAAGCCCGTGCTGCTTTTTTCTTAAAAAATCCGCCGAAGAAAACTCTCTTCGCTTGGAAGGCTCGGAGTGTGACTCCTCTCAGTGTATGTATGACGTGTTCTGTCTTCTTAAATCAGAGCTGAGAGCAAAAAAAATAAAAATCTAAAAACGCATATCTTGTATTTGCAAAAGGTAAAAAAAAAAAAAAAAAAGACTGTAGAAGGCGTGTTTTGAATTTGGTTGTATTAATTTCCACCCTTCCCCTTTTTAACTGCCTTCCCCCATCGAAGCTGCTTTTACATCTCTGCCCCCCCCCATCTCCAAATCCTGAGAGCGTATCGTGCCCCAAATAGGGCGAGGCAGGATTGGGCCAAAGAGGAGAGAACTGCATCCTGTACTCACAGTAGCTGAATGCCCCAAAGAACCTAGGAATCTAGGTAGGCAGGCTGTGGAGGCTGCAGTGTCCATAAGGCCTTAAGGAGAGCTTTGCTGGATGAGGCTCATAGCATCCTGTTCTCCGGTGCCCATTATGAGAAACCAGCAAGCAGCAACTCTCCCTTCCTGTTGTTTCCAGCAACTGGGATTCAAAAGCATCGCTTCCTCCAGCCGTGAAGGCAGAGCGCAGCTGTTGTGGCTAGCAGCCTTCGACAGCCCTCTCTTCCACGAAAATGGAGTAAATGGCTGCCTCACAAGCAGGGACCCCCAGATCTCCCCGCAGAGTTTGACCTCTTTGACAGGAGCGACCCCCGTGGAGCTAGCCCTCCCCACACTCTGAGCTGGGGGGCGGGCTGAGGCTTTCTTCAAACAGGGCTCTACTTCCTTATTACACATAGTTAGCATCTGCGGACAAAAGAGGGCTTTCCGTCCCTGCCTGGCAGGTGAGGCTTGGGGTGTGGGGACATTTTAGCATGGCAGCGGTGACCTGGCCATGGCGGAGGACCAGACCAGGGGAGGCTTGAGGAGAAGCCTGTGGCAAGCCTTGAGAGTGAGGCAGGAAAGGCCTGGAATAGTTGTTGCTGCTGCTGTTATTATTATTATTATTATTACAATTTATGACCTACGTTTCACTCCTAAAGTCCCAGGGCTTGCAGGGCGTGACAATGAAAACCCAATCCAAGGTGCTTGTGTCGGCGTTTAAAGTTACCTAAAAGGTCGCCTCCTTCCCTACAGACCCCTTCGGGTGCCAGGATCTGCGGAGAGGTCCCTTTTGGCAGTTCCTCCACCCTCAGAGGCTCAGGGTAGGGGTGACCCAGGGGGAGGGGACCTTCTCTGTGGTGGCCCCTAAGCTGTGGAACTCCCTTCACTGTGATGCTCCCGGCGGGTGCTGAAGACGCCCCTTTTTCCCCTGGCGTTTGACACTTGAGGCGTACATTTTTAGGACCCGCCTTCCCTTTGCAGTGGCTAAGTAGATTTGATAACCACAAGCTTTCTCTGGGACAATAATAATAATAATAATAATAATAATAATAATAATAATAATGGAAGGCGGGGAATAAACTTGACAACGGCAGCAGCAGCAACAAACTAAACCCAAAGAGAGAAGGGGAAAGGATTCTGAACCGAGCCAAGTTGTCGAGGAGTGAGAGGCCCTTTCTTAGACCAAAGCAGTCTCCCCGAAGCACCCACTCTGCAAAGAATCTCGCTGGCACACCCGCCTTCCCTATGGCGGGAGACAGTGAGCGAGCGGCGCCCCTTTTTGTGGAGGTGGGCTTTGGCCTGGCCTGCCAGCGACCGAGAAATTCCTCAAGCAGCGCTCCCCTCCCCTCTACACTTCCATTTCCGCAGAAACCAAACCAAACATAAAAGGCACCTGGAGTTTCCTCCCTCCTTCCCTCGCTTTGCATGTGTGAATTAGCGACCGAGAGGGTCGTGCTTCCCTTTCCCTTTTTCCTGGCTAACACATTTCTTCCCCTCCCCTTCGCCCCTCCTTTTCTGTGTCTTTCTCCTGCCCCTCCCCGCCCCCCCTTCTGCTAATTTGGGTTCCGTTCAGGTTCCGGTCCAAATACCACCCGGACGAAGCCGGCAGGAGGAAGCAGGAATCTCACAACGCCCTGCAGAACCGCCTCAATGTCTTCCTCTACCTCATGGACAATGGCTGGTTCGAGAACTTGCAGCTGGAGATTGACAAGGCCAACGCCATCATCAAAGTCTTGGATGCCGGTACAGTTGCTGCTGTTGTTGTTGTTGTCCTCCTTGCATATACCGTATTTTTCGCTCTATAAGACGCACCAGACCACAAGAAGCACCTAGTTTTTGGAGGAGGAAAACAAGAAAAAAAAATATTCTGAATCCCAGAAGCCAGAACAGCAAGAGGGATCGCTGCGCAGTGAAAGCAGCGATCCCTCTTGCTGTTCTGGCTTCTGGGATAGCTGCGCAGCCTGCATTCGCTCCATAAGACGCACACACATTTCCCCTTACTTTTTAGGAGGGAAAAAGTGAGTCTTATAGAGCAAAAAATACCATATTTATTTGTAACGAAAAGCAACACAAGCCACAACGATGCAGAAGTGCGGTGAAGCCACACTTCTACAGACAGATTTCTATAGCAAAAATCCACGTAATAAGTTAATATCTCAAAGTTCCGAGTAGCACAAACCACCTTTCTTGAGAAGATCATGAAAAGACTCTTTCCCTCTTCTTCTCACCATATACAGTGGTACCTCAGGTTACATACGCTTCAGGTTACAGACTCCGCTAACCCAGAAATCGTGCTTCAGGTTAAGAACTTTGCTTCAGAATGAGAACAGAAATCATGCTCCGGCGGCGCAGCAGCAGGAGGCCCCATTAGCTAAAGTGGTGCTTCAGATTAAGAACAGTTTCAGGTTAAGAACGGACCTCCGGAACGAATTAAGTACTTAACCCGAGGTACCACTGTACTTAATTCGTTCTGGAGGTCCATTCTTAACCTGGAAACTGTTCTTAACCTGAAGCACCACTTTAGCTAATGGGGCCTCCCGCTGCCGCTGCACGATCTCTGTTCTCATCCTGAAGCAAAGTTCTTAACCCGAGGTACTATTTCTGGGTTAGCGGAGTCTGTAACCTGAAGCATATGTAACCTTAGGTACCACTGTATGCAACCGTAGCCAGATATACAACGTCCCAGATTGCAGTTACCCACGCTCTCATGATTGGTGTTCTCGTCCCCCCTCCCCCCATTCAGTTTTGACAAATAATTCTGGCAGCAGTTAAGAGACCTTGCATTAATTCCCTGCCCTTTGTTAGTGCTTCTTTCCTTAACATAACCAGATAGCAAAATTAGAGGATCCATGGGTAAAGTAAATCCAGTTATTACTTCAACAGTAGGGTTCAATTTACCTAATCTGGCCTCAAGATTTCTAGCGAAGGAGAGTTTTTGCTTTGGGTGCCCAGAAGGCCATTGCGTCTGTCCTCCTCACAAGCCAAAGCCTGCTTCACCTCCAGGCTTGACTACTGTAACTCGCTCTATGCGGGGCTGCCCTTGAAGCTGACCCAGAAACTCCAGCAGGTGCAGAATGCCGCGATGAGGCTCCTTATGGGGTCCTTGCCGCAGGATCACATTCATCCAGCGCTTTACCAACTGCGCTGGAGTACAGGGTCAGGTTTAAGGAGCTGGTTTTGACCTTTAAAGCCCTATGCAGTCTAGGACCCTCATACCTACGGGACCGCCTCTCCTGGTATGCCCCGCGGAGGACCTTAAGGTCCACAAATAACAACACTTTGGAGGTCCCAAGCCTCAAGAAGGTTAAATTGGTTTCAACTAGGGCCAGGGCCTTTTCAGCACTGGCCCCGACGTGGTGGAAAGCTCTGTCACAAGAGACTACGGCCCTGTGGGACTTGACATCTTTCCGCAGGGCCTGCAAGACAGAGCTGTTCCGCCTGGCCTTTGGTTTGGACTCGGTCTGACCCTTATGTTTCCCTCCCCTTTTATGGTCTTGATTTATCGGCTACTTTAAAATGAGTCTGCTTTTTAACTTACATTTTAACCTGTATTTTAAATTGGGTTCCCCCCCTCTTTTTCCCCTATTACGTTTTTACTGTGATTATTTATTGGTGTTAGCCACGGCTCTGGCCGGGGAGGGCGGGGTATAAATAAAATGTGTTGTTATTATTATTATTATTATTATTATTATTATTTTACTCGAGACAGCCTATCTCCAGACACTTAGGCGTTGACATATTTTTAATCTTCTAGGCTGCCGGTTTTAATTATCTTTATAAACAGTTGTGAAGAAAGGTGGTGGCATTTGGAGCAGCCTGGGGTCCATGTAGATCTTTTGCTGAGTTTGAAAGCTGCTGAACCCCCCAGAATTGCCTCCACATGCCATAGTTAAGAGCCTGTCAGGGCCTTGACGGTGGTGGCTCCCTCTCCCCCTGCAGCCGTCATTAAGATGGAAGGCGGGACTGAACACGACCTGAAGATCCTGGACCAGGAGGAAGAGGAGGAGCGTCAGGAGAAGGCAGAGCCAGGGAAGAAGGAAGAGAACCGGCTGCAGGAGCTGGACCGCAAAGCCTCGGAGAAGGACGACAAGAAGGAGGAGGCCAAGAAGGTAGGCCCTGGGGAGGCGGGTGCGATCCTGGCTGGGCCTTCCTTGCTGCTGCCAGCTGGGCAGGGGTGTCTGACGTGCCTCCTTGCTCTGTCCTAGGCTGGCGACGAGGAAGCTGTCGAAGACAAGGCGAAGAAGGCCTCGGAAGAGGAGGAGAAGAGGGCTGAGAAGAAAGAGGAGGCGGACAAGGACGCCAAAAAGGTGCAGGGCCCTTCGTGCTTCCCTTCATTGAATCAGGGCAGGCGGGAAGTGGATGAGCTGCCAGAGTAGGGTGTTTGTGGAGGCAGGTCTGTGGCATGCTGGAGGTTAGATAGGTGGGAGGGACGCGGGTGGCGCTGTGGTCTAAATAATAATATAATAATAATTTATTATTTATACCCCGCCCATCTGGCTGGGTCCCCCCAGCCACTCTGGGCGGCTTCCAACAAAACACTAAAATACAATAACCTATTAAACATTGAAAGCTTCCCTAAACAGGGCTGCCTTTAGATGTCTTCCAAAAGTTTGGTAGTTATTTTTCTCTTTGACAACTGGTGAGAGGACGTTCCACAGGGCGGGCGCCACTACCGAGAAGGCCCTCTGCCTGGTTCCCTGTAACTTGGCTTCTCGCAGCGAGGGAACCGCCAGAATGCCCTTTGCGCTGGACTTCAGTGTCCGGGCAGAACGATGGAGGTGGAGACGCTCCTTCAGGTATACTGGACTGAGCCCCTTGGGCTTGCCGATCAGAAGGTCGACGGTGCGAATCCCCACGACGGGGTGAGCTCCCGTTGCTCAGTCCCAGCTCCTGCCAACCTGGCAGTTCGAAAGCACGTCAAAGTGCAAGTAGATAAATAGATATCTCTGTGGTGGTAAGGAAAACGGCATTTCCGTTGCGCCAGAAGCGGTTTAGTCCTGCTGGCCACATGACCCAGAAAGCTGTCTGTGGACAAACGCCGGCTCCCTTGGCTGATAAAGCGAGATGAGCGCCGCAACCCCAGAGTCGCCTTTGGACTTAACCGTCCAGGGGTACTTCACCCTTTTATATAGATAGGTAGGTAGGTAGGTAGGTAGATAGATAGATGGGGAACAAACCTCCCTGCCTCTTTAAAGAAAGGCCAAGCGTTATTCCAGGAGTAAATGGTGCAAAGGAAGCGGGAGGAAACAAGAGCATTGTTGGGTCAGACCAAAGGCTCCCTCCTTGTTCTCTTTTTGTCAGCCAGCGGAGGATACCTTATTCTAACAGGCCTTTTGCAAGCTGACTGTTTTCAATTAAAGAAAGGGCTTTGAAGTAACGCCACGCTGTTCTCATCACCTGTGTTTTAATAGACCTGCCTTTTATATTTATTTTAAGTCTCTCGTAGTTTAACTATTCCCCAGCCACTCTGGGCGGCTTCCAAAAAAATATTAAAATACTGTGATACATCAAACATATTTCCTAACTGGTCTCTCTTAAGACGATTTTATCCGTGTTGCGTTAATTTGTGGCAAGCCGCCCCTGAGGCGGGGAGGCGGGATTTAGAGATGATGATGATAATATGCCCCAGAAACGAGATTTTTTGAGGTAGTATTGACTGCTTCCTTTCTCCCACCCCTCCCAGATCGGCCACAAACACAAACGGAAGCGCAGTGGAGACGACAGCTACGACGAAGGCAGCGTTTCTGAATCTGACACAGAGTCAGAAGGCGGGCGCCCCGAAGAGGAGGACAAGGAAGGTGGGTGGAGAGATCCAGTAGAAAAACAACAACGAATGGATGTACTGTATTTTTCTGTGTATAAGACGCCCCTGTGTAAAAGACGCCCCCTATTTTGGGGAGAGGGCTCCAAATTAAGAAAATGGAGGGAGGATTGCCTTGAGTTTTTGGGGGGGCAGAGTTATTGAGCTTCCCCCCCCCCCAAAATAATATTTATTATTTTCAGTAGATAAACATAGTAAAGAAATAAAAGATTAACAATAATAAAAACAAACAAAAAAGAAAAGAAAAAGAGGGGGGGAAAGATACATAGAACATATTACCACTTAATTAATTAAAATTAAGTACCATCCATCTTCATAAACATAGTATTTGACTTCCTCGAATCTCTTCCATCCGAATTTCTTAGTAATTATATGTAGCAGTTTCCAATATCAGTGTTTCAAAAGACCATATCACAGTCCTATTCATGTTACATAGCTTTCCTTATCGTACATTTTCTTATTTATAAATTTAATTCCATTTTAATCCTAGGCCTAATTGTTTCTTTCAAGTGGTTATATATCTTTAATATTACAATATTTATTCAAATAGTCTTTAAGTTTCTTCCGGTCTTCTTGATGTTCCTCTTCTTTCTGGTCGCGGATTCTCCCGGTTTTTTGGGGGGGCTCCAAATTAAGAAAATGGAGGGAGGATTGCTCAGAGTTGTTGAGCTTTTTAGGGGGGGTTGCCAAAAATCGCTCACCTGCCTGACATACGTTGCCACTCACACGCGTTGCAAAACCCACCTATCACCCGCCAAATAGCTGCAGTGACAGCCAATCAACACCAGCCCTTGCCGCAGCCACCAATAACACGCCCAGTAGCCGCTGACAATCTCCGGCTCCCGGGAGCAACCAATCCCTCGTCCCCACTATGCGCTATCCGTGTATAAGACGACCTCCTGTTGTACATCTGACTGGGTCCGGTACACTCCCACTGCTCCAGAATTCCCAGCCAGTAGCAGAGCGGCAGCGTGTGCTTGATGTGTGCGTTAAGAGAAGAGTCCGTACGCGGTTTCTTTCTATACTAAACAGCTTTATTTACATCAGACAGATAAAACACACAATCCCGTCAGAGACCGGAGACATGGCGCACGTCTCTGACTCTTCTCCGTGAGAAGTGAAAGTATCACACAGACAAAGAACTCAGCTGTAGGAAGCTCCTCCCCAGATGCAGGACACATAGAGGTTAACCCCATAAATACCCCCCCTTTGTCATAATTTTCTAAGAAAAAACACTTGTCTTGTACACGGAAATGTGCGGTATACATTTAAGATGCGTGAGCAGTGAAAGGAAGGATTGGAAAGCAAACTGGAATGTGTCCAGAGGAGGGCAACCAAAATGGTCAAAGGCCTGGAAACGATGCCTTATGAGGACCGGCTAAGGGAGCTGGGCATGTTTAGCCTGGAGAAGAGGAGGTTAAGGGGTGATATGATAGCCATGTTCCAATATATAAAAGGATGTCACATAGAGGAGGGAGAAAGGTTGTTTTCTGCTGCTCCAGAGAAGCGGACACGGAGCAATGGATCCAAACTACAAGAAAGAAGATTCCACCTAAACATTAGGAAGAACTTCCTGACAGTAAGAGCTGTTTGACAGTGGAATTTGCTGCCAAGGAGTGTGGTGGAGTCTCCTTCTTTGGAGGTCTTTAAGCAGAGGCTTGACAACCATATGTCAGGAGTGCTCTGATGGTGTTTCCTGCTTGGCAGGGGGTTGGACTCGATGGCCCTTGTGGTCTCTTCCAACTCTAGGATTCTATGATTCTATGAAAGCCGTATTGCGAAAGGGCGTTTGCCCTGGCGCTCTGGTCCAACTTGCTGGCATAACATTATGGCCATCTGGTCGGCCGCTGTGAGAACAGGATGCCAGGCTAGATGGCCTCATCCTGCAGGCCTGTCTTACCTTCTTAACATTTAGAGGTCTCCAAATTAGAAAAGAGCGAAGGGTTTTGCCTCTGTGGCTTTGCTGAAGCCAGAGATAAGCCTCTGTAGCTTGAGCTGTTTCTTTCCTGAGTCTGGTTTTTTTTTTTTTAAAAAAAGCGTTTCCTCTGGTAAACCAAAGCTCCAGTTCTTTGGACCTAGAGATGCAGGGGTTTGTTTGCTTGCTGAGATGTGTAATTCCAAGAAAAAAGCACACCAAGAACTCAGGCCAATGTAAGTTTCAATAGTGGGAGTGGTTCCTACTCACAAGTCAATTCTGACAAGAATTACAAACTCAAGTAGAGATTACAAACTCTAACAGAGATCTCAAACTCATAAAGAGACGTATAACACAATAATTTGTTAGAAAGATTTTCTCTTTTTCACTCTGTTAGAGTTTGCAGTCTCTACTTGAGTTTGTCATTCTTGTCAGAATACATATTTTTGAATGGATTAGTTTTTGTTACTATTGACTATTGACTTGTCAGTAGGGACCACTCCCACTCTTGAAATTTACATTGGCCTGAGTTCCTGGTCTGCTTTTTTCTTGAGATGTGTAATCCGGCAGCTCGCAAGAGTCAACCTGCTCTTCCGACGCCTTGGGATTCGCAATTCCCTCGCCGCTGGTTAGCCGGAGGAAATCCGCCCCAGAGGCCTTGCTCAGAGTTCTTTGCCGCCTCTTTTTTGCAGACAGGAAGCCGAAGGAGGAGAAGGCTGGGGCGGCAGCAGGGGCAGCCGGCGCAACAGCGGGGCCAGCGAAGGAAGGCGGCGAGGAGCCCCCCAAAGCCAAGGAGAAGGACGGGGAGCCCAAGCCCCGTCCCCTGCACAAGACTTGCTCCCTCTTTGTGCGGAACATCGCCCCCAACATCTCCCAGGCAGAGATCGTGGCGGTGAGTGGAATCCAGCTTGCGTGGCGCTGGCCTCTCTCAATAGTGGCGCTGCAGGGAAGAGCAGGTGTCTCTGGGGTGGGCTGTGAGACCCTAGGAGGCCCCTCCAGGGAGAGGGCAGGCTTGGGAAGGCTTATAAGGAGCATAGGTAAGTCAGGCAATGGGGAATCTTGTCTGTTTCATTAATAGTATTATTGTACCTAGCTTAGTGATGTCGACACTGGCTGGCAGCTCTGGCTGTCTGGGTTCTAGGCTAGGTGTATTCTCAGCCCTGCCTGGAGCTACCAAAGGGGAGGAGAGAGCCTGGGACCTTCTGCATGCAGAGCAGCTGCACTGTCACTGAGCCCTTTTGGATATACCATATTTTTCACTGCATAAGATGCACTTTTTTCTTCCTAAAAAGTAAGAGGAAATGTCTGTGCGCCCTATGGAGCAAATGCGTGGTCCCTGGAGCCGAATTGCCCAGGGAGAAAAGCAGATCATGCCTTTTTTGTGAAAGAGGGAAGTGGGTGTTGAAATAAAGTCGCTGATGGTTTGCCAATCGGGGAGAGAGATAAGGGATGCTAGAGATAAAGGAGGCTGCAAACTTGCAAGGAGAGGAGACAGAAAGACTAAAGCAGTGAGGAGAGAAATTAGAAGAAAAGGAGGAGCAAAAAACTGCTCCAGCTAAGGAAAAGACACTAAGGCAAACAAGAAGGAAAGGAGTGTTGAAAGGAAACAGCTGATTGGTGGGATCAGAAGAGGGATAAGGGACGCTAGTGGAGGCTGCCTGGGAGGGGGAGGTAAAAGCCCATGGATCCTCAGGATTTTTGCACTGGTTCACCCCAAATTCACCATCAGATCACATAGCATGTCCATGGCTACAGCCTGCACCAAAAAAGCCATGCACCCACTGTTTCGTGGGGCCACAGTGGTGCAAAAACGTGGTTACAAAGCACGGATCCACATGGATCCTCAGGAGTTTTGCATTGGGCTACCCCAAACTCACTGTCAAATCACACGTCTGTGGCAACAGCATGAACCACAAATATCATACATCCACTGTTTCGTTCAGAATATTTTTTTTCTTGTTTTCCTCCTCTGAAAATTAGGTGCATCTTATGGAGTGAAAAATACGGTATATGGTGCTCAGAGCTTTCCAGACAGCCTCCCTCCCTCCTTTCAGTAAACCTGGCATCTCTTTTCCCAGCACGCTCTGGCAGGGGGCAGACAATCAGCAGTGGTCAGTTGGGCGGCTTGGGGCCAGTCACTGCCTCTTTCAGCCTAAACTACCTCGCAGGGTTGTTTTGATGACAAAACAGAGAGGCAGGGACATGCGTATACCGCCTCCAGCTCTTGGTGGGGTATCAGTGTAAGAAACGAGTGGATTGTAAGGTTGTAGAAGAGCTGGAAGGGACCCCGGAGGACATCTAGCCCAACCCCCTGTAATGCAGGAATCACAGCTGAAAAGTCTTTGACAGCCACCCAACCTCTGTCCAAAGGCCCCCAACAAAGGAGAGCCCACCACCTTCCGAGGGACCCTGTTTCGCTGCCGGGCGGCTCTTGCCACCAGAAAATTATTTCTGATATTTAGCAGAAACATTTGAAACAATGGGTTCGAATCCTAAGACGGGCTGCCCTTCTGTGATAGAGGAGCTGACTTGGCAAGGTTTCTTATTCTGGGGCCGGGGGTTGAGCAGGGTTTTCTGCTTTCTAATAAACGAAAATCTTCCCTCATTCCCTTATGGGGGACACAAGAGCCCTTATAGAGTCCTTTGCAGGTTCTCCATCAGTTGGAGAAAATAACCGAGGCCAACCAGAGAATACTGAGAAGCAAAGCCTGATCTTTATTGATTTGTTGCAACAGGGTGCCCCCTTCACACACAGGAGGAGGACCCAGAACTCAGGTGTGCCCGCCCCTATATAGACATTTTAAATTGCCCGCCCTGGAGTCCAAGACCACCCCCAGAAACATCATACATACATCACAGAAAGGGGTGGTCTACAACAGAAATCTGAGTGTGTTGTTTACCTCCTGTATGGCAGGTTACCTGTTAATGCTCACTTGATTGGATACCCTGGGGAGCCTGGCCAGTCTGTTGTAATGACAAATACTTCGTTCCTGAGCCAGGTCACAGGCTCACCCTATTCATACACAGACATACCTTTCAGACAGGATTTGTGAATGAAAAGACAATGGGGAGGCTTTTCCATTTTACTTGACCTTGCAGAGAAATCATTTGGTCAGATTGGGAGTCAAAATGGTTTCCGGGCTGTTTTCCTCTGCTGCTTCAGACATGTGGTTTATATGTTTATGTACATGTTTGCTTGGTACATTTATGAACGTTTATTATATATACGTATATAAGACCTTAATTTTTTTATTTCAGCCTTAACATACCTACCCCACAAATTTCCAGCTTTTGACTCCCCTCCCTTCTTTCTCAGCTTTGCAAAAGGTACCCTGGCTTCATGAGAGTGGCTCTTTCAGAACCCCAGCCGGAAAGGAGGTGACGTTCATTTTTTTAACCCACACCCAAAGACTGCTTGCACGTTGCTTGTGTGTCTGTCTGTGTCATATCAGTCATAGTTCCATAGGATCCCCTGTCTGTAGAACAGCATAAGAAGGTAAGAAGAGCTTACAGGATCAGGCCAAAGGGCGCCCATCTAGGCCAGCCACCTGCTCTCGCAGGATTCGAACACAGGATCAACACTCTCGCCTCCTGCGGTTTCCAGTAACTGGAAGCCAGAAGCATTCCTGCCTTCCAACTGTGGAGGCAGAGCCATTGTGGCTAAGAGCCATCGACAGCCCTCTCGATAGAATTTGTCCAGTCCTTCAGGCGTGTGGCATCAACTTGGTTTTTTTGCTAGAACCACTAACTGCAGCTGGGTAACTCTCAGAGATGAAAAAGGAATACAGATCCTCCCCGCGGCTCCAAGCTTTCTCCATTCTGGCAATATACGGAAGGCGTTGTGGGGGGAGTCATTTCAGTTGGTCCCATCGTTAAATAGTTGGGAGTCGGAAATCCTTCCTGATCTGCTTACATCCCTGGGAGATCCACGGGTCCTCCTCCTCCTGCTCTCTAGAGGGTGGGGGGAAGAATTCCCCTATTTTCAAATCTCTGCGGAGCCGTAAGCCTTAACTGAGTGGCTGTGAACAACTTACTCATCATTTCTGCTCTTTATAAGAGGTTCTTCTGCTAAGCAATTGCAGATCCGCTTTTAAACAGTGCAGAAGGTTCCTTTGTCAGGCCAGAGCAACCATACCAGCAATTTGGCAGCCGAGAAGTCCTTTCTACAGAGAAAAGCAAGGCAGTTGCTGTATCTCAGCCTCTAGCCTCCCACGCAGGGCCGTTGTGTGGCTGAAACGAGAAAGCCCTTTGTGAACTGGCTTGGAGGAAAGGCAGGGTGTGTGTGTGCGTGTGTGTGTGTCAGGCTTGTGTGTGTTCATGTGCCTGCAAAGGGGAGAGGGCGTTTGAAAAGCCCGGCAGCCGAACACCTTTCTCCTTTTCAGGTTTTTCCGAAGAGGCTGGGTGACCTTTGACCGCAGCGTCAACATCAAGGAGATCTGCTGGAACCTCCAGAACATTCGGGTAAATGGGCGATTCCCAAAGGGGGCAGGGGGATTCCCTAGGGGACCCTAAGAGGCAAGGGGGCAGTGGGGAGGGCACTGGAGGTGCAAAACAAATGTCAAATTTTGAGAAGCTCGTATCCCTGGAATCAAGTTCATCCGTTTTGTTGATGAACTGATTCGTTTTTAACTGGATTTTGAATGAACTCTGCAGTTAATCTTTCCTGTTTTGAACTGCATCACGTTGTTATCTTCTTGAACAGGCCGTGCAAACCGCTTTTCTGAATACAGTGAACGCTCGGGTTGCGAATACGATCCATGTGGGATGCACGTTCGCAACCTGCAGCGTTCGCAACCAGCGTCTGCGCACGCACGGGTTGCAATTCGGCGCTTTGGCGCATGTGCGACCGCCAAAACCTGGAAGTGACCCGTTCCGGTACTCCCGGGTTTCGGCAGTCCGCAACCCAAAAAAATGCAACCTGAAGCGTCTGTAACCCGATGTATGACTGTAATGCTTTTTGTAGGGGGCAGTGGGGGGTGATGAAGCAGAGGCGAGGATGGCCCCCAAAAGTTTGGGAACTGCGAGAGACCAATCCCACCTCATCCTTCTCTTAAATTGTATATCCCAATCTGTAGGGTTTTTTTCCCCTGGGGTAGAGGATAAACAATGCCTGTGTATTATTAAAATGCAATGCCTGGACACAACTGCGTGCCAGGAGTGGGGAGGGTGTCCCTCCCTGTTTCAGCAAGGTTTGGGGAGCTGTTCTGGCGTTGACCCTGCCCTCCGCCCTCTCCCCAGCTGCGGGAATGCGAGCTGAGCCCTGGCGTCAACCGCGACCTGACCCGGCGCGTCAGGAACGTCAACGGCATCACGCAGCACAAGCAGATCCTGCGCAACGACATCAAGCTGGCGGCCAAGCTGATCCAGACGATGGATGACCGCACCCAGCTGTGGGGGGCCGGGGAGGCCCGCCCTGCCTCCGAAGTCTCGGTCAGTTCGGGGCCCGGGGTGGGGGGACTGTCTGGGAGGCGCTCGCGGCCCTTGGGTTTTTCTGCCCTTTCGGATTTCTCTGTGCCTCTTCAGATGGCCCAGTGGATTGAGCCTGCTGTACGTGAAAACCAGAAACTTACCATATTTTTCGCTACATAAGATGCACTTTTCCCCTCCTAAAAAGTAAGGGGAAATGTGTCTGCGTCTTATGGGGTGAATGCAGGCAGGAAGCTCTGCTCAGCGCTCCTTTTAAAGAGCCGCGCGGAGCGTGTGTGTGGCTCTTGCTGGCTTTTCCGGGAGGTGTGGGAAGGGACAGAGGGCAGCCCATCAGTCCCTTCTCCCACCTCCCGGAAAAGCCAGCAAGAGCCGCTGCCAGGCTCTGCTCAGCGCTCCCTTGTAGAAGAAGAAGAAGAAGAGTTTGGGTTTGATATCCCGCCTTTCACTCCCCTTAAGGAGTCTCAAAGCGGCTAACATTCTCCTTGCCTTCCTCCCCCACAACAAACACTCTGTGAGGTGAGTGGGGCTGAGAGACTTCAGAGAGCAGTGTGACTGGCCCAAGGTCATCCAGCAGCTGCATGTGGAGGAGCAGAGACGCAAAACCGGTTCCCCAGATTACGAGACTACCGCTCTTAACCACTACACCACACTGGCTCTCTTTGTAAGGCCTCCCTTCCGTCCCTCCTGCCACTTTGCTGGGAAGCCAGTAGAAGAGGCGCTGTGCAGCTATCGCTCTTTCTCTGCTGGCTTCTCATCAAAGCGGGAGGAGGGACGGAAGGGTTTAAAGCAGGGGTGCCCAAACATTTTTCAAAGAGGGCCAGATTTGATGGAAGTGAACATGCATGAGGGCCGACCAAAGTTGAGCTTTTTTTTAGGATTGAAGAGCTTTTTGGGGGATGTCCCCCCCAAGGTTTATTGACCCTTTTAAAGGATTTGACAGCAATAAATGAATGAACTGCCACAGGGGAATGATAAAACCGGCCGGAGGGCCGAATTGGGCCCCAAAGCAGACTTTGGATATGCCTGCCTTAAGAACTATCACAAAATAACCCATATATAAAACACAGTACTTGTTGCTTCTTGTTATGTGTTACACACACACACACACACACACACACACACATAAAACACGGTACTTGTTGGTTCTAGCTCCTGAAAGCTCTATCTTAAAAGACCTCCAACCCCTTTGCCACCATCTATTTCCCGAATTCTTCCGTTGTCCCCCTGTTGTTGTCTTTTTATATAGCATTCATCAAGAATACAAACAACAAGTAATGGATACCGGTCACCAGCTACAAAGCGAAATGAGGTGGAAAATAATAGCAGCATGCTAAAATTGTACTTTGGCTTCAGGATCAGTGCTACAAACTTTTCTGTTTGTTTGTTTGTTTTTTGGAGGGGGGAGGAAAGCTGCACCCTACTTTGCTAAATTCCGACTTATCCTCATGAGGGAGGTTATAATTCCACCGACACCAGCCCCATATTTTTTCCACCTCTCTGACTTCCCCCTCTCTCATATCTATATCGGGGGAAGCAGCCTCGCCTGCACAATAAGCGATAAATAGAAGGGCGCTGCTGCTGCTGCTGCTGCTGCTGCTGCTGGGCTTTTCTTCGCGGGCTTTCTGCTGGGGGGGCGGGCGAGGCGGAGAGCACTCTGCACATGCTCAGGAGACCCCTTAGCCCACAATAAACACACACCCCCCCCGGATCCTGAGGAGGCAGCCCGGCCTCTCTTGGCGGCTCCCCACCTGCGCCGCTCCCGGACGAGGCTCCGCCGTTCTCCTCCACGGGCATCGCGCCGCCGCTTCCGAGTTGCGCCGGGTTTCAAACGCCTCACGGCGCTTCCGGCGGAGTGGGCGGGGGAGGGGGGGAAAACCGCGCCCTTTCCAAATATCGCGAGATAAAAGTGGCAGCTTCGCGGGAAACTCCCGAGACAACAAATCCCTAGACTGGCGGCCGGCGGAGGCTACACGGGCCACATGACGAGACGGATTCGGCCCGCGGGCCTTGTGTTTGACACCCGTGGTTTAAAGCAAGAAAACCAAGAGCAAAACATGCTCTGCACAGAATATTTTTTTCCTTCCTTTCCCCCTCCAAAAACTAGGTGCATCTTATGGTCGGGTGCGTCTTATGGAGCGAAAAATACAGTAGCTGCAATGCCTGCCTTGCCGGGGTTGGACTAGATGACCCCTGGAGGTCCCTTCCAGCTCTATGACTCCATGAAAACGGCTCACCTCGGAAGCCGGTTCTTAGCTGAATGTCTACATATGATGCAGGAAGTCGCCTATGTTCTTATCGCACTTTCCCTGAGCTCGTGTTCCTCCCGCTGCTTTGGACTACACTTCCCATCAGCCTCAGCTAGCATGGCTGATGGGAGTTACAATATGATACAATAATATTTATTGTCATTGTCCCATACAGAACAATGAAATTGAAAAATCTACATAAGACATTCAAAAACCAACAAGCCTGCTATCCCTGGTTAGCCCCCCAAAAACTCTGATACCCAATTTTTAAATGCAATATAATCCCATAGAGACTCCTTACACTGCGTTTAAAACCAAAATCGCAGTTGGGTAGAAACTGTTTCTCAGGCGGCTAGTCCTAGTCTTTATAACCCTGTAACCTTCTTCCAGAAGGCAGAAGCTGAAAGAGATCATTTCCGGGGTGCGCACTATCCTGAGCTATCTCTGCAGCTTTCTTACGGCACCTGGAAGCGAAGATTTGATCCGAGGTGTGAAGAGTGCACCCAGTTATTCTCTCCGCAGTTTTTACAACCCTGGACAGCATTGCCTTCTCCCTAGCCGTGCAGCTCCCAAACCACACACACAGACCATACGTTAATACACTCTCCACAGTACAATGGTACAATGCCACCAACAGGTCGTTTGAGAGACTGTTTTTCCGGAGGATTCTCAGAAAATACGACCTCTGCTGTGCTCTCTTCATCGGGTCTTTGCTGTTTCCTCTCCAGGTTAGGTCATCTCTCAACTCCATTCCCCTGAAATCGAAACACCAGGACCTGTTCCACGCACTTCCCAGTTGTAGGGAGTTGTAGTCTAAAGCAGCAGGTGGGCACCAGCTCAGGGGAAGTCTGCCCATAGAGAAACACAGTGGCTCAAGCGATGGGTCATTGGTTTTTAACAGAGTTGGACCCATAGCCGTCAGAAGGAAGGCTTGGCCTTCTGTCTTTTAGAGAGGCACTTACTCTTGGGAGCAAAGCTCACAGCGCTCGCTCTCTCTCTCTCTCTCTCTCTCTCTCTCTCTCTGCCACCCCAGAGCTTGCCTTCCCAGAACCCCATCCTGAAGAACATCACGGACTACCTGATAGAAGAGGTCAGCGCCGAGGAGGAGGAGCTGCTGGGCAAAAGCGGGGAGCCCTCTGAAGAACCCCCCAAGGAAGGGAACCCCGCTGAGCTCAACGTGGAGAGGGACGAGAAGCTTGTCAAGGTGACTCTTGCGTGAGAGCGGCTCGGTTTGAGGATGGGGGAGGTTGGAGGACTGGAGCTTTCATTTTTGGGAAGCTGGGGACCTAGGAAGCTGCCTCCGCCCAAGTCAGACCATCAGGGTCCGTCCAACTCAGTTCTGTCTTACACGCTGGCCAATGTGAGTTTCAGTAGTGGGAGCGGTCCCTACTCGCAAATCAATAATCAATAGTAACAAAAACTAATCCATTCAAAGGTATGTCTTCTTGTCAGAATTAAAAACTCAAATAGAGATTACAAACTCTAACAGAGATTACAAACTTAAACTCATAAAGATATCTATAACACAATAATTTGTTACAGAATTAGATGTTGATTTAAAGCAGAGTCTGTTGGCCAGCGGAAGGATGAGTAATACGTGCTACATACTCTATATTGCTTTATTTACAGTTCAAAGCTGGTATATTACAGAAAGACATCTTGCCTCTGCAGGAGCAGAAAATGCATCCTCTCTCCTCAACAGCTCGGAGAGAATCACACAGTGAAAAACAGGAAACCAGTGTACGTCACATCCAGTCTCCCTTTCCCGTGAGAAACTCCAACAGTACAGACTGTGGAATGTAAACACCTGTCTTGTGACTGCAGTTGCTGCACAGTGAAGGAAAGCAGAAACCAACATCCCCCCCTTTCTGTGAACATCACTGGGCAGCGTGTTTGCACAATATCAGTACAAACCCAACTTCTGCACATAGGTACAGTGTTGATCCCTTGATACAATCTTGGACAATACATCAGCAGGAATTTCATTACCTGGCATATAGGACACCGTTACGAGTCCCTTCTGAATACATTCCCTAGCATGCTGCAACTTTAATTGCAAGTGCTTTGTGCTTTGCTTACAACCTTCAGACTTCAGCAAAGCCAAACATGCTTTGTTGTCCTGGTAAACCTGGATTGGACATTTGACAGGAATTTTCATATCTTTGCACAATTGTACTAACCATTCACAATCCTTAAGTGAATAAGACAGTGCATTCAGTTCAGCTTCACAAGTACTTAAGCTAACTGTTGTTTGCTTCTTGCATGACCAATCAAACAGACTCTGATTGTACATGTAGCAAACTCCAGACGTACTTTTCCTGTCTGTAGTGTCACTTCCAAAACTTGCATCTGCAAATATCTCAAGACCACCAGACTTCTGATTGTTAAATCTCAGTCTGTAATGCATAGTGCCTTTCAAATACCGCGCTATGCGTTTCAGAGCTTTCCAATCCTTGACACTAGGATTGTTGACTTGTCTGCTTAGCAAATTACAGCTAACAGCAATGTCTGGTCTTGAACATCTGGCAATGAAGTTTAGCTTGCCTAGCACACTCCTGTACAGTGTAGTGTCAGAAAATGCTTCTTCAGTGTCATCTACCTGATAACCTGTTGTCATCGGTGTGTCTACAGGGTTAGCATCCATCAGATTTAGTTTGCTTAACACATCAGCAATTTTCCGTGACTGGTGTACTAGAATGTTACCATCTTGATCTCTCTCTATTTCCAGAGATAGGTAGTTGTTTACCTCACCAAGATCTTTCATGTCAAAGTGCTCTTTCAGTTGAGCTAGGGCGCTATTGTACATTGCGACATCTTTCCAAAAGAATAATAAATCATCAACATAAAACAAACAGTACAGTTTCTTTTGCCCCTCCTCTTTGACAAATACACATGGATCAGCTTTCCTTGCTGAAAACCTAGAGAAAACAATACTTCAGTGAGTTTTGTGTGCCAACACCGTGCACTTTGTTTGAGACCATAAAGGGATTTCTTCAGAGCACAAACAAATCCCTGTTTTACCTGTACGCCATCAGGTGGAAGCATATAAAGTGATTCATCTAGAGATCCGTACAGAAAAGCTGTATTAATATCATGGTGACTAATGTGTAGATTTTCCTCTGCAGCTAGCTTGAGCATAAGCCTAATGCTTTCATATCTCACTGTGGGTGAATAGGTCTCGTGATAGTCTTCACCTGGTACCTGTGCAAAACCTCTGGCTACCAATCTGGCTTTGTGTCTGACTATCTTGCCATTTTGATCTGTCTTCGCTTTGAAGACCCATTTGCTTCCAAGCAGTTTCATTCCTGGAACTACTGGAACTAGCTCCCATGTTTTGTTCCTTTCTAAGGAATCAAGCTCAGCCTTCATGGCATTTAACCATGGCTCAGCTTCCTTTGAATCCAAACCCTGGATTTCTTGGAAACTTGAAGGTTCAAATACCTTCTTGGAGCTTTTAACAGCTGTTACTGCTATCTTAGCAAACTCATCAGCAAATCTCTTTGGAGGTTTGCCTTTGTGGCTCTCTGTGACCTACGAATTAGCCTTAAGTCTTCAACACTCTCCTCTTCCTTCTTAGGAGAAAAACGACCTATTGTGAACAATGGTTCCTCCAATTCTTGATCAGAGCTTTCAGAGGGTCGCATAGAGGCTTTCGCACTCTTGAAATCCTCTGAATCACCCGATTCAGTTTCAGATTCAGACTCAGAACCTTCATCAGTGGGTGTGGGCTGTTGTGGTTGCTTTTGACTATCCTCAGTCTCATCACCGTCATCAGGATAACATTGGAAAATTCCCACAGTCTCCCCCCCCGGTGCCTTGTACTCAACACTTCTCGTGAGCTTAATTGTCTTAGAGTCAGTCATCATTATTCTGTAAGACCCTTTCTGATAACCTAGAAAGATACCATGCAATCCACGCTTGTCTAACTTGGAGTTTTGTGGTGAGCGAACCCACATGTCAGAACCAAAATCTTCATGTGTTTGATGTATGGCTTCTGCCAAACATCTTCTCATAGGGGTACAACCAATCGCTGAAGATAACCTGCGATTGTAACTGTAAACAAAACACGAGAGAGATTCGGCCCAATAACTCTCTGGAAGATTGGCATCATGCAGCAAGGTTTTTAATCCTTGAAGCAATGTCTGATTTGCCTGCTCCGCAAGTCCATTCTGCCATGGCGAGCGAGGACTAGACAAATCGTGTTGAATTCCTTTCTCAGTCAGAAAAGCTTCAAACTGCTGAGAAGTGAATTTCCCCGCGATCACTGAAAAGAGTCATTATCTTCTTACCATGCACATTTTCCAACCAAGCACAGAATTCCTTGAACCTAGGAAAAGCCTCCGATTTCTGCTTGAGATTGTACACAAAAATATATCTAGAAAATGCATCAATGAGAACCATGAAGTATCTATTTCCACCCAAAGAGGGCGCTAGTGGTCCAACCAAATCAGCATGAACAACCTGGTATGGTTCTGTAGCTTTCCTACTAGACACCTTACCTTTCGCAGCCATTTTCACCTTGTTTGCTGCGCATGCTTTGCACTTCATGTGGTACCTGCAGGGTTTAATAGTCATACCTTCAACCAAGGCAGGCATTTTAGATACTGCCTCAAAATGCAAATGACCAAATTTTCGATGAAAATCGTGAATACATTCTGCATGCAAACTTTTGTTAGAACCTGCAATGCAACAAGTGTCATCCTGCACCACATCATCATAATACAAAACAAACAAATGATCAACATATTCTGCATGCAATACATAATCATTTTTCTTTGTGATGATGCACTTCTTGTTCTTGAAGGAAACGTCAATGTTCCGCTCATTCAGCTGTCCAACGCTGAGCAGATTATGTTTGGCGTCTGGCACGTAAAGCACATTCTGTATCGATAAGTCCAAACTGTGAAGAACAACAGTTCCGTAGCCTTTACTGGGAATAGTGTGGTCATCCGCCTGGTGAATCGCACCTTCCTGCGGTGTAAAAGACACAAACAGTTTCTTATCGTTGCACATGTGGTGGGTGGCCGCTGAATCAACAACGAAGAAAGATCTAGACGTCTTCTGGACCTCTGCAACCTTTGGAGTGAAGCGTGAAACCATAGCCTTGTGCTGCGTTGTCCTAGACACCGGACCTTTGCCTTTGCCTCGGCCTTTTCCGCGCGATGAGCTCGCTGCGCTGCTCTGTCTTGGCCCTGGGATGTCTGCATTCCTCTTCATATGGCCTAGACGTCCACACGAGTAGCATTTCACTGCCTTCAAAGCTTTGGCGCCATCTGGTGGTTCCACTGCACTATGGGATGACGTCTGTGAAGACTCCCTTGCCCATGCAGCTAGCACCCCGGCGATCTGCTTCATTTAAAATCACGGCAGTAACAAAGTCCACTGTCAGCTGAGCAGTTGGTTGCACAGCAATCTGGGTTGCAACAGACTCCCAACCTGAACCCAAAGATTGTAGTATCATGAAAGAATACACAGCCTCTGGAAAGTTGAGTCCTCTCTGTTGCAGCTCATGTCTCAGATTTTGCATCTCCATCAGATGTAAACGCACATCTCCACCTTCAGCAAGAGCCATATTATGCAGCTTGTTAAAATAAAACATAGTGGATCCAGCTTCTGTCCTTAAGTGAGCCTCTCTCAGAGCGTCCCAAATTTCTCTGGCTGAGGTCTTATCACGCAATAGACAGAGCTCTTCTGGGGATACTATCAATGTAAGAGTTCCCCTTGCTTGGGAATCCTTAGCTTCCCATGCATCTGTCACTGGAACTGGGGGGGTTCCTGTAATCACCTCAAACAAACCCTCTTTCCGCAGAATTGCCTCTGCATACTGAACCCAGTCGCTGTAATTTTTCTTGTTGAGCTTAGGAATCCCACAAGCATCCTGAAGGGCCATCATGACTCTGGCATTAGCCTTCAGCGTCATATGCTGCTTTAAATCTTGCTGCGTCACTGCTGCAGCTGCCTTATCACAAAGGCACACTTAAAAGTTACTTTCGATTTCCCCAGCATAGTGACTTGTGCCTGGGAGCCTTTTGCCTATTCCCGGCAAAACCGGCTTTAAAAGTTCAAAGTCCAGCCATAAAGCCATTAACTTGAAGCTGGCAGGCTGCCCGGAGCAGTAGCACATACCTCATCAATCACTTCTACGCGCAGAGCAGATTCCTTTCCGATCCGTCCCTCTGCATTCCGATCCTTTGCCGGCACTCCGATTCGACCTCTGGAGTCCATAACCACGTGTTGATTTAAAGCAGAGTCTGTCGTGCCCAGCGGAAGGATGAGTAATACGTGCTACATACTCTATATTGCTTTATTTACAGTTCAAAGCTGGTATATTACAGAAAGACATCTTGCCTCTGCAGGAGCAGAAAATGCATCCTCTCTCCTCAACAGCTCGGAGAGAATCACACAGTGAAAAACAGGAAACCAGTGTACGTCACATCCAGTCTCCCTTTCCCGTGAGAAACTCCAACAGTACAGACTGTGGAATGTAAACACCTGTCTTGTGACTGCAGTTGCTGCACAGTGAAGGAAAGCAGAAACCAACATTAGAGATAAGAGCTTATGAGTAGAGATAAATTTATGTTAGTCCATAGTCTGATTCGACGTGAAGGTCTTAGTTTCAACCATAGAGTAGAAGTCAGAAATCGGTTATGGATTAGAAGCCATTACAGGGCCCTGTTTCGATGTATTCACCTTCATCAGCTGAAAGTATCAAATATTACATGAAAATACATTTAAATTCTAAATTATCATAAATTATAAAACAGTATTATATAACATTTGGTTCCTTACCTAATTTTTAAAGGGTTGTTTAAGTTTGAAGACTTTCAGATAAATATATCCTGTTATTTTCTACATTTCTCAGGGATAACAATTGAAAATAAGCAATATTAATAATAATTACATGTGTTGAATCAACTTAAAACTCTAAAGCAGCATATAATCATATGATTCCTCACCTACGTGTGGGAAGATCAACATGTATCTTGAGCTTTTCTGTGTGTTTTCAATTTGGAAGTGAGCCTGTTACCTTTTATATGCACTTAGAGGGGTAGATGAGATCCCTAGATCTTCTCAAAGGCATAGAGTTCTAAAGTTCAGAGGACAGCTGCAGTTTAACTTGAGGTCTTAAAGAAATGATGTATAATCCTGATAGCTATTCAGACCCATAGGGGTCATGGTCTTAAGGATGTACCGGGCTTCCTGTTGTAATAACGGTTTATTGATATCTCTCCGATTGAATGGGTCTACTCTAGGTTTCCAGATAATGAAAAATACAAAATCATCTACATACATCTTTCTGTTGTATGTAGTGTTCTACTAACGGGGGTTCTAATATTTTATTGCGGATTCGTGAGCGATGTTCATTTATGCGTAATTTTATCGGTCTGGTACTCTTGCCAACGTACAGCTTCTTGCACGGACACATCCATACATATACTTAGTTCTTGGTATTACAATTACTAAAATGTTCAGTCCGGAACTTGAAACCAGTCTATTCATTGACAAATTCCTTTACTTTGGAGTGCATATTTACAGATAATGCAATTTCCGCATCTGTGATGCCCCTTTTCTGTTTCTGCTGGGTACAATTCCAGAGATCCACTAACTCCAGGGGCTGCTGTGAGCTCGGCCTCCCCCGTCCACCCCCGGTGGGCTTCCCTTGCGGACCCCCCACCTACCCAGGGCCAACTTCCTTCCTTCCTTCCCTTCAGGTGCTGGACAAGCTGCTTCTGTACCTGCGCATCGTCCACTCGGTCGACTACTACAACAATTCGGAGTACGTCAACGAGGACGAGATGCCCAACCGCTGCGGGATCATCCACGTGAGGGGGCCCATCCCCCCCAACCGGGTCACCCATGGAGAAGGTGGGCGGCGTGTGTGTGTGTGTGTGAGAGAGAGAGAGAAAGAGAGAGAATCATCATCATCACTTTTAATTTGTATACTGCCTTTCTATCTTACAATACCCCAAAGCGGTTTACAAGATGAAGAAACAAAGAATGCACACCTTATAACAATCTAACACAATGCAAAAATGTGCTAATAAAACATAACTTTAAAATAAGCAACCTACATCAAATAAAGTAACATTCAACAATCGTTAGAATAGTATGGAATAATAATATCAGCATATAAAAGTTAGAGATCCACTCTTAACAATTACAATACAGTGGTACCTTGGGTTAAGAACTTAATACTTAATTCGTTCTGGAGGTCCGTTCTTAACCTGAAACTGTTCTTAACCTGAAGCACCACTTTAGCTAATGGGGCCTCCCGCTGCTGCCGCGCCGCCAGAGCACGATTTCTGTTCTCATCCTGAAGCAAAGTTCTTAACCTGAGGTAATATTTCTGGGTTAGCGGAGTCTGTAACCTGAAGCGTCTGTAACCTGAAGCGTCTGTAACCCGTGGTACCACTGTAAATAATTTCTAAACTACAATCAATAAAACAACAGCATGCCACAGAGCATAAAATAATACGATACAAATTGAGAAGCAGGGACTGGAGGATGGGGCAAGTCATCTGGCTGGGTTTCCCCAGCCACTCTGGGCGGCTTCCAACAGAACACTAAAATACAATAACCTATTAAACATTAAAAGCTTCCCTGAACAGGGCTGCCTTCAGATGTCTTCTAAAAGTCTGGTAGTTATTTATCTCTTTGACATCTGGTGGGAGGGTGTTCCACAGGGCGGGTGCCACCACCGAGAAGGCCCTCTGCCTGGTTCCCTGTAACTTGGCTTCTCGCAGTGAGGGAACCACCAGAAGGCCCTCGGCACTGGACCTTGATGAGGATAACCATCTCTGCTTCTGGGAAGAAAGAGAGTCATTTGGGTGAGGAGACAGGGACTGGTACCCAGAACTCCTGGCTCCTCAGCTCACTTCAATACTATAAGAGTTGCCTTTCAAATGGCCCATCCAATTCAGCATCCTTGTTCTCTTGGAGGCCCCACGAGCTCACTTTGCCCTCCCTTTGCAGTGTCTGACTGGCAGAAGACCTTTGAGGAGAAGCTGACCCCTTTGTTCAGCGCCCGGGAGTTCCTCTCGGAGGAGGAGGCGCAGAAGATGGGCAAGAAGGACCCCGAGCAGGAGGTGGAAAAGTTCGTCACGGCCAACACCCAGGAGCTGGGGAAGGACAAGTGGTTGTGCCCCCTCAGCGGGAAGAAGTTCAAGGTGAGCCCGGTTTGCCAGCTCCAGGTCTGACCAAGGGGAAGGCCACGCTCCCTGATGCACGTGCACAAACGCTCCTCTCCTCCCTCTCCAGACCACCAGCTTAACACGAGCCTGCGGCATGATGCAGCAGCAAAAAAGGCTCGTGCTATTCCAGGCTGCATCAACAGAAGTCTAGCGTCCCAGTCAAGGGAAGTCATAGTGCCGCTGTATTCTGCCTTGGTCAGACCCCACCTGGAGTCCTGTGTCCAGTTCCGGGTGCCAGAATTTAAGGAGGTTATTGATAAAAATAATAATAAAAAAATTATATTTATATCCCGCCTTCCCCAGCCAAAGCCGGGCTCAGAGCAGCTAACAACAATAAAAGTAACACAACATTCTGAAATCAGTTCATTCTCAAATCAATTCAAAATCAAATTGATGGCAACCATTGGGCTAGAGTTCTGTGAGGATTACCAAAGGAGGGGGTCAGGCTGTGCCTTGGCCAAAGGCCTGGCGGAACAGCTCTGTCTTGCAGGCCCTGCAGAAAGATGTCAAGTCCCGCAGGGCCCTAGTCTCTTGTGACAGAGCGTTCCACCAGATTGGGGCCATGGCCGAAAAAGCCCTGGCTCTGGTTGAGGCCAGCCTAACCTCCCTGTGGCCTGGGATCTCCAAGATGTTTTTGTTTGAAGACTGTAAGTTCCTCCATGGGACATACCAGGAGAGGCGGTCCCGTAGGTACAAGGGTCCTAGGTCGTATAGGGCTTTAAAGGTTAAAACCAGCACCTTAAACCTGATCTTGTACTCCACCGGGAGCCAGTGCAGCTGGTATAGCACCGGGTGAATGTGATCCCGTGGCAAGGACCCCGTAAGGAGTCTCGCCGCGGCATTCTGCACCCGCTGGAGTTTCTGGGTCAGTCTCAAGGGCAGCCCCAGGTAGAGCGAGTTACAATGGAAACTGGAAGATGTGCAGAGGAGGGCGACTGAGATGATCAAGGGTCTGGAAAGCCTTAGGAGGAAGGAGTGGGGATGTTTAGCCTGGAAAAGAGGAGACTGAGAGGGAAATGAGAGCCTTTCTCATCAAATACCTGAAGGCTGATGCACGAGAAATGGAGCAGGCTGCTCCAGAGCGCAGGACCTGAACCAAAGGACTCCGATTGCACAAAGGGAGATATTCTGATTTAACCTTAGCAAGCGCTTTCTGACAGCGAGAGATGTTTCACAGTGGAACGGACTCCCTTTGAAGGGAGCCTTGTTGGAGGCTTATAAAGAGAAGCCACCTGCCAGGGTTTCCTCAGGTGCGATTCCTGCATTGGGGTTGGACTAGATGACGCTCAGGGACTCCCGTTCGGACTCCCCGATTCCATCGCTCTCGTTCTTCTCTCAGGGCCCAGAGTTTGTGCGCAAGCACATCTTCAACAAGCATGCGGAGAAGATCGAGGAGGTGAAGAAGGAGGTGTCCTTCTTCAACAACTTCCTCATGGACGCCAAGAGGCCTGCGCTGCCCGAGCTCAAGCCCAACCAGCCGCCGGGACAAGGTAAGGCAGAGAGGGACAGGCAGAACCAGGGGGGTCAGCAAATGCACGGGGCGCAGGGGTCCTTCTCAGAAGAGGACACACTCAGATCTGGCTTGTTTCCCACAATATTTTTATATTGGGAGAGGGCACTCTGGGGCTCCTAATGCAGCAAAAACAACGCAGGAGGCAGCAGTTACAGGTTGCCGGTTTCTCCAGCCACAGCAGGCGCTGCGATTCTCCAGCCGTTTGGCTTCACCTTAGGAGGCACACTCCGTTGTCTCTCGAGACAGATGTATTGCCACTGACAATGTACCGTATTTTTCGCTCCCTAAGATGCACCTGAGCATAAGACACACCTAGTTTTTAGAGGAGGAAAGGGGGAAAGCCTTGGTTTTTTTTGGGGGGGGGTCAGCTCACAGTTGTGCAGCTTCTTTTGCAAAGGGGAAAAGCCCCCTTTTTTGAGGATCAGCTCAAAGTTGTTGAGCTTACTTTGCAAAGGGGAAAAAATCCTGTTTTTATGGGGTTCAACTCACAGTTCTGCAGCTTCTTTAGGAAAGGAAAGGGAGCCGTTTCCACTGTTTCCAGACAGATAATTTCGTTGTCCCCGAAGTAATTTCGTTGTCCCCGAAGGGGGCAATGACAATAAAGATATTATTATTATTATTATAATCTAATCAGCCAGTCCCATGTCGTTGGGGAAACAAACAGCCTCCGTCTGCAGAACATTCAACAATGGAGGTCTGGGCAAGGGGGCAGAGCTGGAAAGGGAGCCAGCGATCATCCACACATTCGCGCCATAAGATGCACAGACATTTCCCCTTATGCTTTAGGAGGAAAAAAGTGTGTCTTATGGAGCGAAAAATACGGTATTTATTCCTATATTCGGAAGGAAAAACCTCAAAGCGGTTTAAAAACCACAGTGAGAGCTAGGTGCTGGACTACGGAGGGGGGCCCTGGCCTGACACAGCGGCTCTCTTCCTCTCCCCAAGTGTCCCTTCCGCTTCTCTCCCGCAGCAACCACAGCGCTTTCCCTCTTCCTCTTGCAGGCTTGGCTCCAGGGCTGCCCTACCCTCCACAGGCCCCCCAGGGATTGCTGCCCTACGGACAGCCCCGCCTGCCCATCCTGGGATACGGAGGTACGTAAAAGCTTCTGGCGAGGCCTCCCCACAAGGGGGCACCGGGGAGCAAGCAGCGCTGTTGCCCTGGGAGCAGGCTTTGTCCAGGGGAGCCCTGCAGGAAATGCTATTCCACAGGCAATGACGGCTGTCTTCTGGGATGGCTTTACAAGAGGACTGGACGAATTCGTGTAGCGGAGGGCTATTCACAGCTACTGGCTGCAATGGCTCCTATCTGCTTCCATGCTCAGAGGCAGCAATGCTGCTGACTACCAGTTTCTGGAAACCTCGAGAGCGGGGAGTGGCTCTTGGGTTCGAATCCTGATTGTGGGTTTCTCTTTTTTTTCTTTTTTTAAATAATATTTATTAATTTTCAACCATTTAAACACAACAAGATAGACAAAACAAAAAAAAAGCATAACAAAATAAGACACAAACCATTTAACACACAAAACAATTTCAATATCTTATCTTTCATTCCCTTATTTCCACGACCTCCTCACACCTCCCTTTTTGTATTCCACTTCTATTAATTGTTTCAGCAATTCGTTTCCATCTTTCTGTTTCTATCCTATAATTATCTTAACATATTTTGACCTTATTTTTCCCTTTAATACTCTATTAATCTATTTATACTTAATTCCTTATAGCATTTCTACTAGAGCCATATAACTTCATTCCAACACTTTTCTTACATTCACTGATTGTGGGTTTCTCACTGGGGCAAATGGTTGGCCCCTGTGAGGACAGGATGTTGGACTAGTTGTTCCGCCTGGCCTTTGGCTTAGAATCAATTTGACTCCCTCCCGCTCTTTTCTTTCTTTTTTCCTTTCTCCTCCTGTGATGAGGCTGCATTTTAATGTTTTAACGCTTTGATGTTGATCTTGTTTTTTAAGTTGTATTTCAATCAACTTGTTTTTATTATTGGTTGTTAGCCGCCCTGAGCCCGGTCTTGGCTGGGGAGGGCGGGGTATAAATAAAATTTTTTATTATTATTATTATTAGCCTGATGCAGCCAGACTCCTCTTTCTTTCTTATGGAAAACAAACACATTAGTTTTTGTTTCGGAACAAACAGTTTAATAACGTGTACTTAAAACATCTTTATCAACTACAACAGAAACGAAAACCCTCCCAGCACCTTCCAAAGACACCCCAATAATAACACAGTGTGTCAGTTTCTGAAGATCTCCCCCCCCCCCTTTGGTCTCTCGCAGGGGGCCCTCCTTACCCACCAACCCCATACGCCGCTGGCAGGGGGAACTACGACACCTTCCGAGGGCAGGGCGGCTACCTGAACAAACCACGCAACAGGTAGGTGTTCATGTATCTAATTCAAACAAGAGCAGAGATGGGCCGCCGCAAACCCATTGTGGAGGGGTGTGGGGCTGTGCCTTACAGGGGGGTCAGAGATGGCGCAGCCAGGCCCCAGAGCCCCCATCTCACCCCCAATTCTCTCCGCAGGATGGTGCGAGGCGACCCACGGGCCATAGTGGAGTACCGAGACTTGGACGCCCCAGAAGACGTCGATTTCTTTTGAGCCGGGAGTCGTCCTGCCAAGTTGGGTTTCAGTTCTGCCCACCCCAGCTTTTCTTTTTTTAAAAAAAATGAAGCCGCTCAATCCTGCTTGCCCCCCGCCCACCCACCCGTGTGTTAGTCTCTCTTCCACCCACCCAAATGCTGTGTCCTTTTATGGGTATTCATGTTAACTTTTCCAACGAGATTTCAATAAACGTCCCTGTTTGAACACCGTTTCGGGGTGGCGTTCCTGGGTTTAGTTGGGTCGCCTATCTCGCCCTTTTAATTCTGGAGTTCTGCAAAAATTGACTCCCCCCCCCCTTAAGGTAGGGGTTGGCTGGGGGAGCCCTTTTTTGGCTCTGGGAGCCGAATCTCGCAAGGCCAACTTTGACGCGGGGAATGGGGACAACCCACCTGTCCATCGTGATGTTGCCTGATTTGACGGGTCACCAGCCCCACCCCACCCCACACCAAAATCCCTTGCGAGGACTGTGGAGCCTGAAAAGAGGAGGGGGCTTCCAAGCTGTCCCTGAGGAAAGATCAGCTCTTGCAAAGAGCTTCTTCCTGTTAGGATTTTATCTATCCGAGCTGCTCCAGCGAGTGGTACTGGGCAGGCAGAGAAAGATAAGCCTGTTTTTTGGGCAAGCAGGCGTCACCTCTGACAGGGACTGCCTAGCGATGGGAGGAAAAATCTGGACCTGCCTGTTGTGGTTCCTGCTTTGTGACATTTGCAGCTTGGAAGACGGGACACACGAACCCGCAGCCAAACTGAGCAGGATTTGAACCCGCGCCTGTCGATCAGGGGTTAAATCTTGCTGCTTCGGCAGCGGGGGCCTGTTCCTCACCACTTGCAGCAGTGCAGAATTGAACCCAGCCCCCCTCCACCATCAGGAGGGGGGGAATGGGACCAAAATGGGTGATTTCTGGGGTTATATCTGCTCCAAGTCCACTCTGAGGAGCGAAGGGAGGCTTCTGGGCTGTCGCAACGCCACCGTTCAACCCGGGTAACTTTAAAGAACTCTGAACAAGAAGGCTATTAAACCGGCCAGCCCCTCCGTGGGGCATAGGGGGCACCCTAGACACCTGAGCCCAAACCATGAAACCGGAGTATGTACCTAACTCAAGTCCCATCCCCTTGGGGGTCGCCTAAAACGTTGGGCTCAGTCCCAGAGCTCCTTCCACACTTCCTCCATCCTCTCCATCGAGACCCCGTGGACGGTCAGGAACTCCTTGTACGCTTCGGGCTCGTCCTTGGCGACCCCCCTCACCTGGAAGCGCCCCTCGTGGCGAAGGGTGATGCCGGCCGCCAAGGCCAGGAACCCCAAATACGGCTCGTCGAGAGGGAAGACGGGCAGCTGCAGGGAGACTCGGTAGAGCTCCGGGATCAAGGCTCCGGGCAGGATGGTTTCCCCCGCGATGAACGGCGGGTAGTGTTCCAGCGGGTAGAGGAGGCAGGGCACCGCGGCATCCCCCGTCCTCACGACGGGCTCCTCGTTGGCCAGGTTACCGTGGATGAAGTCGGAGGCTCTGGGGAGCTCCTTCAGGTACTGCGTCAGCTCATAGGGGTTCACAAAGATGTCATCGTTCGCTGCAATGGCAGGACATAAGGGTTTCCCGTTAGCACAGTAACTACCACTGGAGTATTGTTTTATTTGGAATTCTTTAACATCGTACCATTCAAAGTGTTAGTGCTGACCTTGAAAGCCCTTGGTAAAGGTAAAGGTAAAGGGGTAAAGGGACCCCTGACCATTAGGTCCAGTCGTGGCCGACTCTGGGGTTGCGGCGCTCATCTCGCTTTTTTGGCTGAGGGAGATGGCGTACAGCTTCTGGGTCATGTGGCCAGCAGGACTAAGCCGCTTCTGGCAAACCAGAGCAGCGCACGGAAATGCTGTTTACTTTCCTGCTGGAGTGGTACCTATTTATCTACTTGCACTTTGACGTGCTTTCGAACTGCTAGGTTGGCAGGAGCAGGGACCGAGCAACGGGAGCTCACCCCGTTGTGGGATTTGAACTGCCGACCTTCTGATCAGCAAGTCCTAGGCTCTGTGGTTTAACCCACAGCGCCACCCATGTCCTCTTGAAAGCCCTAAACAGCCTCAAAGGCTCAGTGTACCTAAAGGAGCGTCTCCACCCCCATCGTTCTGCCCGGACACTGAGGTCCAGCGCCGAGGGCCTTCTGGTGGTTCCCTCTCTGCGAGAAGTGAGGTTACAGGGAACCAGGCAGAGGGCCTTCTCGGTGGTGGCGCCCCCCTGTGGAACGCTCTCCCATCAGATGTCAAGGAAATAAACAACTACCAGACTTTTAGAACACATCTGAAGGCAGCCCTGTTCAGGGAAGCTTTTAATGTTTAATAGGTTATTGTATTTTAGTTAAACATTTTAGTTAAACAAACATTAAAATGTCACACATTAAAAACCTCCCTGAACAGGGCTGCCTTCAGATGTCTTCTAAATGTCAGGTAGTATTGCAGTATTTCAGATAGCCCTCCTTACAAAACTTCTTGCAGTCCTACTAGCGTAATCGGTTCATTACAATTACTTTCCAAATAGTTCGTATATTTAATAGGTTCTCGCTGTTATCTGTGGCGTCCTGCCTTGTGGGAACCCACCTAAACTTCAGGGACATTCCGGAATCAAATCAGAAACCGGCTAATAATAATAATAATAATAATAATAATAATAATTTATTTATACCCCGCCCATCTGGCTGGGTTTCCCCAGCTACTCTGGGCAGCTTCCAACACTAAAATACAGTAACTGAAATATACTCAGAAACATAACAGTAACCTATTAAACATTAAAAGCTTCCCTAAACAGGGCTGCCTTCAGATGTCTTCTAAAAGTCTGGTAGTTGTTTATCTCTTTGACATATGAAGGGAGGGCGTTCCACAGGGAGGGCGCCACTACCAAGAAGGCCCTCTGCCTGGTTTCCCTGTAGCTTTTCGCAATGTTCCTCTTCTGCATCAATAACTGGATAAGGGTAAATGCACAATACCCCCAAAGGAAAAAAGGGAGTTCGTCAGTCGCGCATGTGCAGAAGCACTAAATCACGCTATGCGTAGAAGCGCCGAATCGCAACCCACATGTGCCGCCGGTCGCGAACGTGCCTCCTGCACGGATCGCGTTCACAACCCAAGCGTCCACTAGTCCCCTCCAATGCTACAATTTTCAGGATTCTCCACTAACAGAAAAGACCAAACCCCGAAAGAAACAGGTGTGTGGCTCCTCCTCACCCCCCCCAACCCATAGCTGTCAACCGTCCCTTATTTCTGGGAAACTCCCTTATCCCAGCGCTGTGTCCCGCTGCTGTCCCTTATGGATGATGTCCCTTAAATTTCCCGGGTTTCAAAGGAAGCAGCTCCTCTCCCTCCCTCCCTGCCGGCCAGGGAGGAGGGAGGCTCCAACTGTGTTGCTTGGCTGTGTTGCTCACCCAATAAGGAGTCTGAGAACGACTGGGGGGTGGAGTTTGCATGCCTTGTGCTGATCAAATCGGCCGCCTTGCCTGGGGACTCGCCTTTGCTCAGCGCTTCCCAGCGGAGAGGCGACGGTGGTTTTCCTTGCTGCATCCCCTTTCCCGGGTTGCTGCGCTGTGGGAACCACTGCTTGAGGCTTCGTTTGGCTGCTGGCTGGGCTTTCTGCCTTTGGCTCAGAGGGGCTCAGAAGCTGAACATACCGTATTTTTCGCCCCTTAGGACGCACCGCCCTATAGGATGCACCTAGGTTTTTTTTGGGGGGGGGAATAAAGAAAAAAAATTATTTCCCCCCCAGGCACGGGGCTGGCGTGGGGGAAGACCGAGCTTCCCCCGACCACAGCCCCCAGAACAGCCTGCTATTTGCAAGCCTAGGGAGCCGCGCCCGTCTCCCCAGGCTTGCGGAGAGCTGCGCGAAGCCCGGGTGCGCTCTTCAGCGCGCCTGAGGCTTCGGAATGCAGGCAGCTCTGCGCAACCTTCGGGAGCCCGGTGCGGCTTCGGGCCGGGCTCCTGAGGGTTGCGCAGAGCTTTCTGAAGCCTGGAGAGCGAGAGGGGTCGGTGCGCGCCGACCCCTCTTGCTCTCCAGGCTTCAGCGAAAGCCTGTATTCGCCCCATAGGACGCACACACATTTCCCCTTCATTTTTGGAGGGGAAAAACTGCGTCCTATAGGGCGAAAAATACGGTACCTGTGCTTGGAAAATCCCTTATTTTGGCTGCTGATCCCTTCTTTTTGAGGCTGCTGGTCCCTTATTTTCAAATCTGTAAGTTGACAGCTATGCCCCAACCTCACCTGCACCCACTCACCTTTGAAGACATAGGCCACCCCCTGGCAGTGGTTGTGGACCCACTGAAGCAAGCAGCGCTCCTTCAGGGACTGGTTTCGGGGCGACTCCCCAAAGTCCCACCACAGGACGTCGCTGAACACTTGGATTTCCTGCAGTAGCGCCTGCGCCAGGCTGTCTTCGGAGGCTGTTGCCACCAGGAAGACGGGCTGGAGGAAGAAGCCATCCATCGGCCTTTGCTGGGCCCAGGTGCGACGCAGGACAGCTCTCCTTTCCCAGGACGCCGGGTGCGACTTGATGGCCAGGAGGAGCAATGGGGCAGGCCAGGGGCCGCGGCACCAGGCGTCCTCAGAGACCAGCTCCCGGCAATGATATCGCTGCAGGTGCGGGTACAGGGCGAGGTGGACGCCAAGGTCCAGCTGGAAGCGGCAGCTGCCCATCTGAAGGACGACGGACCTGCGGCGGGCGAAGACGTTCTCCCAGTGGGTCAGGCCGATGTACAGGATGGCCGAGACCAGGAGCCCCACTGCGACCCCCAGGTGGAGGGTCCTTCGGAAGGGGAGTTGAGGAAGCCTGCAGAGAGCCGGGAAACCATTCTTCAATACTTAGTTTCGTGGGACCACAAGGACCAGCTATTATTATTATTATTATTATTATTATTGATACAACAAGAAAAGAGAAAACACAAATACCAAATTTCACACAGGAATAACCATAGACACGTAATTTTCTTAACAAACGATAAAATATAAATTGGTCTTCACACTAAAGACCCAACCTCCTGTCTATTCCACATTTCGATTCCATATTACTTAATGCCAATACACGCTTTTATCATAATTAAACCTTTTCTTAATATACCTTAATGCTTATAACTACCTTGCAACTATTACTGAAGTTCCTCGAATGCTGCAGCAGAGTTTAAACTACTATATTTATATTTCAGATATTCTTTGAAAACCTCCCATTTTGAGACAAATTCCTGTTTTGATTTATTCTTTGTTTTTTTCTGATAGACCGTCTAATTCGGCATATTCTGTCAGCTTTTGGATCCGATCTTGTATAGAGGGGATTTCATTACTCTTCCATTTTGCCATGATAAGATGATGATGATGATTATTATTATTAATTGAATTTATATACCACCCTATACCCAGGGGTCTCAGGGCGGTTCACAAAATAAAACCAAGACACCTAATGAAAAAAAACCACAAAATACCTTATGGAAACAAAAGCCAATAGCCACCCCCCCTCGCCAAAACACCACATTTTCAAAGGGCATAGGATGTCAACCGGATCACCCTGGTTGAAAAGGAACGTGTTTGCCTGGCACTTTATTATACACCTAAAGGTGTATAATAAAGGCGCCAGGCTAACTTCCCTGGGGAGAGCATTCCACAGACGGGGAGCCACTGCAGAGAAGGCCCTGTTCTCGCCTTGCCATCCTCCGGACCTCTTGAGGCACGTGACCGAGGGCCTCAGAAGATCTCAGGGTCTGGGTCAGTTCATATGGAAAGTAGCGGTCCTTGAAGTCTTGCGGTCCTGAGCCATTTAAGGCTTTGTAGGTCAAAGCCAGCACTTTGAATCGGGCCCGGAAACTAATCAGCAGCCAGTGCAGTAGGGCCAGGATCGGTGCAATATGCTCAAACCGTCTTGCTCCGGTTTGCAACCAAATTCTGCACTAATTCTGCAAATTCTGAACTGTCTAGTTCCATTGCATGTAAACCGACCCGGACTCTGCGCTGGTCAACTGAGTTAGGCCCTTCTCTGTGTGCCCTTTCCATGCGGCGACACATTTCTGCAGTGGCTCCCCCCCTCCCCTTGTGGAATGGTCTCCCCAGAAGGTGGGTTACCTATGAAGAAATCCTAATGAAAGCAGAGGTTGGAAATTAAAGCCTTACAGTTGTATCAAGGATGTTTTAACAGGATGGCTGCAGTTCCACCAAAGTGAATGATGTGCTTATGTGTGATAAGAAAATAGGATTAAATGTTTTAAAAAACCCAGATTTCAAATTTAATTGTTGGAAGGCAGGGCCAAATTATTATCCGAAATGTACAATTTTTTTATTAGAATGGTACACCAAAGACGAACAAAGGAGGTGATGATAAAGGGGGCAATAGATTTTGGGTACAATATGGAGCATGATGCGTGGGTGAGATTGTGGAATGAGAGTCTAAAATTGACAGCATGTGCCACCCTGAAAGAAAATATCATGAAAATGATGTACCCCTGGTACTTGACCCCCGTGAAATTGGCAAAAATGTATAGGATGAGTAGTAAATTATGTTGGAAATGTAAAGAGAAGGATGGCGATTTTTATCACATGTGGTGGTCCTGTGAGAAATCAAAATCATTTTGGGAACTGATTTACAACGAATTGAAAAAGATGCTTAAATATACCTTCCCCCAAAAAAGCCGGAAACTTTTTTTGCTGGGCTTGATGGGAGAGGAAATTGGAAAAGCAGATCAAAGTCTATTTATGTATGTGACGACTGCTGCTAGAACTTTGTTTGCCCAAAAATGGAAAATACAGGAATTACCAGTGGTGGAGGAGTGGCAGACGAGAATGATGGATCACACGGAACTAGAAAAAATAACCTGCATGATCCGAAACCAGGAGGAAGCAAAATTACAAAGAGACTGGAGTAAATTTATGGATTATATAAATAATAACTGTAGAAATTTGAAGACACTAGTAGGACTGAAATAAATCTTACGACGTGGACTTGAAAAAATAAGAAGAAACTGCGGGAAGTAGACTGAAACAGGAAAACCTTTTGGAGGGAGGGAGGGAAGTTATTGCTCGGCAGAGCGATGGACAAGGAAGTGTGTGGGTGATTGTTGAAATTGTATAGTTAAAGCTCTGGTTTTCCCAGTAGTCATGTATGGAAGTTGGACCATAAAGAAGGCTGATCGCCGAAGAATGGATGCTTTGGAATTCTGGTGCTGGAGGAGACTCTTGAGAGTCCCATGGACTGCAAGAAGATCCAACCTCTCCATTCTGAAGGAAATCAGCCCTGAGTGCTCACTGGAAGGACAGATCCTGAAGCTGAGGCTCCAAGACTTTGGCCACCTCATGAGAAGAGAAGACTCCCTGGAAAAGACCCTGACGCTGGGAAAGATGGAGGGCACAAGGAGAAGGGGACGACAGAGGACGAGATGGTGGGACAGTGTTCTCGAAGGGACCAGCATGAGTTTGACCAAACTGCGGGAGGCAGTGGAAGACAGGAGGGCCTGGCGTGCTCTGGTCCAGGGGGTCAAGAAGAGGCGGACACAACTAAACAACAACAAAATGGAAAATTAATTAAAAAAGCATTTGGGGGGGGGAAAGGAATGCTCTCCCCAGGCAGGTTTGCCTGGCGCCTCCGTTATTTATTTTTAGGCGCCAGACGAAAACGTTCAACCAGGTCTTTTGGCTGAGTAATATTCTACAGCCGAAAAACCCAATGCTAGTCTAGGCTGCATCCACAGGTGTCCAGAACAAGGGAAATCATAATCACACCGTATTCTGCTCTGGTCAGACCCCACCTGGAGTCCTGTGTCCGGTTCTGGGCACCACAATTTAAGGAGGACATGGACAAGCTGGAAGGTGGGCAGAAGAAGGCGACCGAGATGATCAAGGGCCCAGAAACTGAACCTTGTGAGGAATGGTTGAAGGAGCTGGGTATCTTTAGAGACTGAGAGGGGATATGATGGCCAACTTCAAATATCTAAAGCGCTGTCACACGGAAAATGGAGCAAGCTTGATTTCTCCTGCTCCAGAGCGGAGGACTTGAAGCAGTTGATTGAAATTGCAATAAAAGATACAGTGGTGCCTCGCAAGACGAAATTAATCCGTTCCGCGAGAGTCTTCGTCTAGCGGTTTTTTCGTCTTGCGAAGCAACCCTATTAGCGGCTTAACGGATTAGCGCTATTAGTGGTTTAGCGGCTATTAAAGGCTTATCGGATTAGCTGCTAAAAGGCTATTAAAGGCTTAGCGTCTTAGATAAAGGGGGGGAAAGCGGAAAAAAAATCTCAAGACTCGCAAGACATTTTCGTCTTGCGAAGCAAGCCCATAGGGAAATTCGTCCTGTGAAGCAACTCAAAAACGGAAAACCCTTTCGTCTAGCAGGTTTTCCGTCTTGCGAGGCATTCGTCTTGCGGGGCACCACTGTACATTTATAAAGAAACCAGAAGGATTTCTCTTGGGTATTGTTGGAAACAATATAAATAGAAAGCAATGTAAGCTTTTTCTATATGCAGTAACAGCAGCAAGAATATTATTGGCCCAAAAATGGAAGCAAGAAGAATTACCAACGATGGAAGAATGGAGGATGAAATTAATGGACTATGCGGAACTTGACAAACTAACGGGAAGGATCCGAAACCGGCGGGACCAGAAGTTTACCGAGGACTGGAGTAAATTTACACAGTATTTGAAAAGTATTTGTGACAACCAGATGACGTTTGTAGGTTTGCAAGAAGTTCTGTGAGGAATAATATTAGAAATATTGCAAAAATAGAGAAGGAGATGTGATATGTTAAGAATGTAAAGGCAATATTAAGTTAGGAAATGCATAAGAAGTGATTAAGATGGAGGATTATCAGAGGTGCTGATGGAAGTCCAATAAGAATGTATTTGTGATAAATTGTGTGGTATGCTTTATAATTTTGTATGTTAAAAACCAATAAAAATATTTAAAAAAGAAAAAAAGAAATTGCATTAAAAGAGACCAACCAATTACTGCAGCCAGTCAGGTTATAGCGAGTAATTGGGAAAATGCAGAAGAGCTAGGGGTGAACCAATGGAGGAATAAACTGAATCATATTATAATTTTAGAATACCTGACTGTGAAGATATATAGCATAAAAGGGCTTAAGGTCAGTGAGAAAGAGGAGGATTGGTTTGAGAAGATATTGAATTATTTGAGTAGGTTTGAACAATTGGGGGCAATTAAAATGTTAAAAGTTAAATAAACCTTGTGGAGGGAGGAGTGTTAAGGTATATAGAAGTGTACATATGGTTAATTTGAATATATTATTGAATATTATTGAATATATATATTATTGAATATGTATATTATTGAATATTTATACCCAATGTATCAGCCGCCTGGGGGGTTTCACTGTTTGTGTTTTGGTGGTTGGTAAAAATAATATATATATATATTTAAAAAGAGAGAGAGAGAGAGACTGACCAAATGTTAGGAAGGGCTTTCTGAGGTTGTTAAATCTTTTATTGGGTTTGAAATTGCTGGCTGGCTGCCTCGCTTCAACCCGAGATTGTTTTATATACATTTTTACTGTTGATGTTTGTATTGTTAGATTACTTTGACGTGTTTTACGGTCCCGGGGGCAGAGGGCAACAATGGAAACCCAGTATTCAAAACAGTTCAAAACAACTTTACAACCGCAGATATATGCACAGTCCTGAAAAGGTACATCTTGAGCGTCCAAAGGCCCGGGATGGAGAGCATTTATTTCATTTGTGAAATCTCTTCCTGGGATGCACCCTGAAGCAATTTATCTCTCTCTCATATCTGTGATTGCCTTTAGGAACACCGATTTTATTGCACATGTAAAAACCATCTCAAACCCAACGAGATGAGATAAAAAAGAAATCTGCGTAGAGGAAGGCTTCTTGAGAGAGGAAATGAAGCAGATCATCTTGTAGGGAACGGCTTCCGCTGATAAATCGGTTGCTTCTGCAAAGTTGCCAGAGTTAAACCAAGCCGAGATCCTGGCTGGGCACACGACGTCCCTGCAAGGCGGTCCAGAGGACTAACCTCTTTGTCAGACGAAAGCTGGGGACAGGGAAGCCCCCTGCAAGAATTGCACCCCCTCCTCTGTCTCTGCACCCCACTCCTGCCCCCAAAAGCCCCCCCCCACTCCCCCTCTACCTACCTACCTACCTACCTGCCAGCAGCAAGCAGCACCTCCTTGAACTTCAGGGCAGCCATCTTTGTTGAGGGCAGCAAACAGGGCCCAATCCTGCAAAGATCAGGCCTGGCTTGAGCCGTCGCGGTGCGTCAACATGCAAAGCCCTGGATTATCGCAATGCAGATATATCGCCGGAGGACTTTGGGAGGGTGTGTGTGGTGTGATCCTGGCCCCTCAAATAGCCATTGCAATTTTTATTAGGGAAATCTCATTGAAATGGCTGCGCACGACATAACCGCCAACATTTCTGCGATGAAAATAGGGATGTCCTATTCAATAGTAATAATGATGATGAAATAAAGAAATTAAGGTCTTTTATATATATATATAATAAATGTTAATAAACGCACCAACCAAGCACGTACATCCATATATAAACCACATGTCTGAAACCCCACAGAAAGTCCTGAAACCATTTTGTCCCTCCTAAATTGACCTCAAACTTTTCTCTTCAAGATCAAAGAAAAATGGGAAAGCCTCCCCATTGTCTTTTAGTAAGACTTGCCAGGCTCCCCAGAGTATCCAATCAAGTGAGCATTAACAGGAAACCTGCCAGACAGGAGATAAACAACGCACTCAGATTTCTGTTGTAGACCACCTTTTCTGTGATGTAGGTATGATGTATCTGGGGGTGGTCTTGGACTCCAGGGCAGGGAATTTAAAATGTCTATATAAGCTGCTTTGCTTCTCAATATTCTCTGACAGGCCTCTGTTCCTTTCTCCGACCGATGGAGAACCTGTAAAGGACTTTATAAGGGCTCTTGTGTTCCCCATAAGGAAATAAGGGCAGATTTTTGTTTATTACAACAATAATAATAATATTTACACCCTACCCAACTGACTGGGTTGCCCCAGCTACTCTGGGCAGCTTCCAGCATATATAAAAAACATAATAAAACGTTAAACGTTTAAAAAACCAACACTTCCCTATACAGGGCTGCCTTCAGGTGGCTTCTAAAAATTGTATATTTACGTATCCCCTTGGCTTGGGGCGTGGTGTGCGGTCACATAACTCCATACCCTCCAACATTTCTCTGTTGAAAAACAGTGACTTCCTAAGACAAAGCAGGGCATTCTGGATCAAATCAGAAACTGGGGCAGCTTCTATAAATCCAGGACTGTCCTTGCAAAAAAGAAGACCGCTTTGCAAATGTCCAAAATACGGTATTTTCTTTCATGTCACCGAACTGTTGGGTGGGGGTGCAATAAACTTGGTAAATAGTTTCAGGGAGGTAGCCGTGTTGGTCTGACATAGTCAAAATAAATAAATAAAATTTCCAGTAGCACCTTAGAGACCAATTAAGTTTGTTCTGGGTATAAGCTTTTGGTAAATCGTGATCCTTTGCAGTGGGAATGCAAGATGGGGTGAGGTTTTGGAATCTGGTTTTTCAACAGAAACGGCAGCATATGACTAAATAAGGTATTGTTTGCCATCGAGAATTAGTGTTATGGAATATCGTGGCCCCGCTCACTCTAATAGAGCGGTAATGGATAAAATGACACATAATTTGATATTTCAGCACAGACCAGAAACTCCACATGTTTTTATGATTCCTTTGTGACTCATACGGCAGAACCGTCATTTCCAAGCCAAGACTGGCAAATCTGGAGATTGTCTTGTTAATTTATTTTATTTGTAAAATAAAATATTATTTATGTGTCGTAGGAATATATTCGCAGCAGCAGCAACATAAAAATATAAAACCTTGAAAAACCTGCACTGGTCTCTATGGTGTAAGAACTTAGGGACTTGGGCTATTGCAGGAAAAAATTATGCCTAAACTGTGTGTTTCCAGTGGGATGAGGGGAGTTGTAGTCTGAAAACAACTGGAGACCCAAAATTGGGAAACAGTGGTTTAGAGTGTGATAAGAATATTAAGGTCTTACATGTGTAATAAATGCAAACACGTACATAAATATATAAACCACATGTCTGAAAACCCCACAGAAAAAGAGTCCTGAACAAAATGACCTCAATTATTTCTCTGCAAGGTCAAAGTGGAAAACCTCCCCATTGTCTTTTTCCTTCACAAATCCTGTCTTAAGGGCACATTTAAGATATGAATAGGGTGTGAGCCTGTGACCTGGCTCAGGAACTAAGTATTTATCATTTCAAAAGACTGGCCAGGTTCCCCAGGATATCCAATCAAGTGACCATTAACAGGTAACCTGCCAGACAGGAGCTAAACAACGCACTCAGATTTCTGTTGTAGACCGCCTTTTCTGTGATGTAGGTATGATGTGTCTGGGGTTTGGTCTTGAGCTACACCCCTTTTGTGATGTATGTATGATGTATGGAGGGGTGGTCTTGAGCTCCAGGGCAGGGAATTTAAAATGTGTATATAAGGGCAGGCACACCTTGGTTCTGGGTCCTCCTCCTTTCCTGCGTGTGAAGGGGGCACCCTGTTGCAACAGATCAATAAATATCAGGCTTACTAGCTGCTTTGCTTCTCAATATTCTCTGGTTGGCCTCTGTTATCTTCTCCTACCAATAGGGAACCTACGTAAGGACTCTATATGGGCTCTTGGATACCCCATAAGGGAAAAAGGGCAGATTTTGTTTACAACAAGAGGAAGAGGAGCTTGTAAAATTATGCACAGCTTGGAGAAAGTGAATAAATGCTTTCCTTCCTCTCTCATAACTTGTGGGCAGTCCATGAAGCCCTACATCACTTCCCAAGGAATACAGAGAAGTGTATTTTCAAAAAGAGCAAAGCGCCTTCTCAAGGTTGGAGCTGGTCTATTTGGTTAAGCACTGAATTGCCATTGTACAGTTCCGTTTCACGCCGACCAGAAGAAGATTTACGAAACAGAGATTGAAATCTGGCTCTCTCTTTTGTCGGATTTCCGTCGGCAAATATACACAGAGAGTTATTCTCTCGGACTTATTGCGAGAACTTTGGACCGCTTGGGATATTGAGTAGTGTGTGCTGTCATTATTATTTTGGCCTTGTAAATATCATTTAAGAAGGTGTCGGATTTCTGTACATAGAATCCTAGAGTTGGAAGAGACCACAAGGGCCATCGAGTCCAACCCCCTGCCAAGCAGGAAACACCATCAGAGCACTCCTGACATATGGTTGTCAAGCCTCTGCTTAAAGACCTCCAAAGAAGGAGACTCCACCACACTCCTTGGCAGCAAATTCCACTGTCGAACAGCTCTTACTGTCAGGAAGTTCTTCCTAATGTTTAGGTGGAATCTTCTTTCTTGTAGTTTGGATCCATTGCTCCGTGTCCGCTTCTCTGGAGCAGCAGAAAACAACCTTTCTCCCTCCTCTATGTGACATCCTTTTATATATTTGAACATGGCTATCATATCACCCCTTAACCTCCTCTTCTCCAGGCTAAACATGCCCAGCTCCTTAGCCGTTCCTCATAAGGCATCGTTTCCAGGCCTTTGACCATTTTGGTTGCCCTCCTCTGGACACGTTCCAGTTTGTCAATGTCCTTCTTGAACTGTGGTGCCCAGAACTGGACACAGTACTCCAGGTGAGGTCTGACCAGAGCAGAATACAGTGGCACTATTACTTCCCTTGATCTAGATGCTATACTCCTATTGATGCAGCCCAGAATTGCATTGGCTTTTTAGCTGCCGCGTCACACTGTTGGCTCATGTCAAGTTTGTGGTCAACCAAGACTCCTAGATCCTTTTCACATGTACTGCTCTCAAGCCAGGTGTCACCCATCTTGTATTTGTGCCTCTCATTTTTGCCCAAGTGCAATACTTTACATTTCTCCCTATTAAAATTCATCTTGTTTGTTTTGGCCCAGTTCTCTAATCTGTCAAGGTCGTTTTGAAGTGTGATCCTGTCCTCTGGGGTGTTAGCCACCCCTCCCAGTTTGGTGTCATCTGCAAATTTGATCAGGATGCCCTTGAGTCCATCATCCAAGTCGTTGATAAAGATGTTGAATAAGACCGGGCCCAAGACAGAACCCTGTGGCACCCCACTAGTCACTCTTCTCCAGGATGAAGAGGAACCATTGATGAGCACCCTTTGGGTTCGGTCAGTCAGCCAGTTACAAATCCACTGAGTGGTAGCATAGTCAAGACCGCATTTTACCAGCTTCTTTACAAGAATATCATGGGGCACCTTGTCAAATGCCTTGCTGAAATCAAGGTAGGCTACATCCACTGCGTTCCCTTCATCTACCAGGCTTGTAATTCTGACAAAAAACGAGATCAGGTTAGTCTGACATGACTTATTTTTCAGAAATCCATGCTGACTATTGGTGATCACAGCATTCCTTTCTAGGTGCTCACAGACTGTTTGCTTAATGATCTGCTCCATAACTGTTAATGGATTTTTGTAAATCACATACGGAGTTATTTAGTTAAAAAAGAAAAACATTGTGAAAGAAATAACCCAGAGATGCATTTTAAATAAAAGGACACATTCTACTCATGTAAAAACACGCTGATTCCTGGACCGTCCGCAGGCCGGATTGAGAAGGCGATTGGGCCGGATTTGGCCCCCGGGCCTTAGGTTGCCAAGCCCTGTGCAAAACGTTCGGACACCAGCTTGGCTGTAGATTTGCACAGCGTTAACTCCCGAAAATGTCCCACAAGGCAAATAAACATATGCAAATAAAACCATATATGACCGTCTCCAAGGACCGTCGTTCTAAACCGGATTAAGTACTGGAAACCCCTGGAATCTGTCGCCAGGGTAGCAATATCCTGCACGGTGTGTTTTTGAGAAATATTTATTAGGAAGGATGCCACCAATGGACTTGGGTTGCTCACGAGTGAGGTCACTGCCACCCGTTGATGTGAGATAATAATTTATTTATATGCCACTCATCATCGGACTGGCTTACCTCAGCCATTCTGGGCGGACTTCCAACAAATTAAAACAAAAGAAGACGTCAAGCATTCAAAACTTCCCTGAACAGGGCTGCCTTCAGATGTCTTCTAAAAGTCAGATAGTTGTTCATTTCCTTGACATCTGACGGGAGGGTGTTCCACAGGGCGGGCGCCACCACTTGTATTTCGGCTTTGTGAATTGCTGACCCGTTAAATATCTCTGTGTGAAGCAAGATTTTAAGAATGGCATGTTGTTAAAGTGTCAAAGAGGCTGTTTGGCTTGCCTCAGCAAGACTTCTTCGTGATCCATTGAGCCGGATGATGAAACCGCAGACTGGGAGCGGCCGCCGAGACCACATAACACCAGTCCTGAAAGACCTACATTGGCTCCCAGGACGTTTCCGAGCACAATTCAAAGTGTTGGTGCTGACCTTGAAAGCCCTAAAAGGATTCAGCCCAGTAGACCTGAAGGAGCGTCTCCACCCCCATCGTTCTACCTGGACACTCAGGTCCAGATCCGAGGGCCTTCTCGGTGGTGGCGCCTGCCCTGTGGAATGCCCTCCTATCGGATGTCAAGGAAATAAACAACTATCTGACTTTCAGAAGACATCTGAAGGCAGTGTTTAGGGAAGTTTTTAATGCTGGATGTTTTATCATGTTTTTAATAGTCTGTTGGGAACTGCCCAGAGTGGCTGGGGAAGCCCAGCCAGATGGGCGTGTTAAAAATAATAAATTTTTATTTTTATTATTATGAAGGCAGCCCTGTTTAGTGAAGTTTTTAATGTTCGAAGTTTTATTCTGTTTTCAGTGTTCTGAGCCGCCCAGAGTGGCTGGGGAAACCCAGCCAGATGGACAGGGAATTAATAATAAAATTACTGTTGTTATTATTATGAATCAAAAGCAGAACCAGATAAAGGAGAAGTGAGATCCATTGAACCATGAAACTTTAGGGCTGATGTCCCCCAAGGGGCAACTAGTCCAACACCACCTCTCTGAAATGTGGGGATCACAGATAAACAGTCCCTGACAGGTGGCCAACAAACCTCAGCTCTTGACTTCTGGAAGTACCCAAGAAGACAGCTTTTGCCAACCTCATGCCCTCCAGCTGTTTTGGACTTGCAACTCCCAGCTGGAGGGCACCGGGTTGGCAAAGGGTGTCCTAAGAACGGCCCCACAGACTCCGGGAGACGTTTTGCGGTCAAAAAGAGGCACGCCTCTCCTTCTTTCACGTTGAAGGTGTGGAGTGGAACCGCTCTCCCGGACGCCGCACCTGCCGAAATTCCTTCTCCCGTGTCACAAACGTCGATGGGCTTCCACCCGCTGCCACGCAGCAATCTCAACTGAACTCGATGCAGCGTTAACCTACGGAACTCACTTCCACAGGAGACAATGGTGGCTGCTAAGCTAAGTTGGCTTTCAAAGGGAACTGGACAGATTTGTGGACAGGCGTTACAGGTGGCCAGTTGCCACGGTGCGTGAGGGTGTCCCATTGGGGCAGCGATTCTGGACTGTTGTTGTTGTTTAGTCGTGTCCGCCTCTTTGTGACCCCCTGGACCAGAGCACGCCAGGCCCTCCTGTCTTCACTGCCTCCCGCAGTTTGGGCAAACTCATGCTGGTAGCTTCAAGAACACTATCCAACCATCTTGTCCTCTGTTGTCCCCTTCTCCTTGTGCCCTCCATCTTTCCCAACATCAGGGTCTTTTCTCTTCTCATGAGGTGGCCAAAGTACTGGAGCCTCAGCTTCAGGATCCGTCCTTCCAGTGAGCACTCAGGGCTGATTTCCTTCAGAATGGAGAGGTTTGATCTTCTTGCAGTCCATGGGACTCTCAAGAGTCTCCTCCAGCACCATAATTCCAAAGCATCCATTCTTCGTCAATCAGCCTTCTTGATGGTCCAGCTCTCACTTCCATACATCACTACTTGGAAAACCATAGCTTGAACTATACGAATCTTTGTTGGCAAGGTGATGTCTCTGCTTTTTAAGATGCTGTCTAGGTTTGTCATCGCCTTTCTCCCAAGGAGCAGGCGTCTTTTAATTTCGTGACTGCTGTCACCATCTGCAGTGATCATGGAGCCCAAGAAGGTAAAATCTCTCACTGCCTCCATTGCTTCCCCTGGATGGGCCCAATTTGGCCTGATCCTGCAGCCAAGCTCTCCTTAGGCTCCTGCCTCTCTTGGCTCACCACCACTGCTTGTGCATACTCCTGAAGAGCCCCCAACCCCAACACTGGGGTCAGGATCGTCTTCGCTGCTGCCACGTCACCCGTCAGCAGTTGTCAGGTTGGACCAGTTTGCCCGAACTTATTGGACGCAGCAGAGTGGAATTCTGCAAAATATATTTGTTCTCGGGGTGGGGTTGAAAGAAACCGTTTGGAATTTATTGGTTTCCTGGAAATGTCTCAACTTGTCTGGACTTGCTCTGTTTGCATACAGAAGCAGAGAACCGTAGAGTTGGCAAGGGCACCCCAGGAGTCATCCAGTCCAACCCGCCGCAAGGCAGGAATCTCGGCTAAAGCGTCCATGGCAGACGGCCACCCAACCTCTGCTTAGAAACCTCCAAGGAAAGAGAGTATGCCACCATCTGATGAAGACCGCTCCCCCTTTTGAACCGCTCTTGCCATCAGAGAGGGGCTCTGTGCCAGAGTGGGGGGCTGGTAGCTAGAAGGACAAAAGCCAGGGCTGTGTGGGGTAAGTTGGAAGCAGAGAGAATTATTGGGTGCCCTCTTCCCACCTTGGATCAAATCTATGCTTCCAGGTGCCGTAAGAAAGCTGCAGAGATAGCGCAGGACAGTGCGCACCCCGGAAATGATCTCTTTCAGCTTCTGCCTTCTGGAAGAAGGTACAGGGTTATAAAGACTAGGACTAGCCGCCTGAGAAACAGTTTCTATCCAAATGCAATTTTGGTTTTAAACACAGTGTAAGGAGTCTCTGGGACGCGGTTGGCGCTGTAGGTTAAACCACAGATCCTAGGACTTGCCAATCAGAAGGTTGGTGGTTCGAATCCCCGCGATGGGGTGAGCTCCCGTTGCTCGGTCCCTGCTCCTGCCAACCTAGCAGTTCGAAAGCACAAAGTGCAAGTAGATAAATAGGTACCGCTCCGGCGGGAAGGTAAACGGTGTTTCCGTGCACTGCTCTGGTTCGCCAGAAGCGACTTAGTCATGCTGGCCACATGACCTGGAAGCTGTACGCCGGCTCCCTCGGCCAATAAAGCGAGATGAGCACCGCAACCCCAGAGTCGGACACGACTGGACCTAATGGTCAGGGGTCCCTTTACCTTTACCTTTTAAGGAGTCTCTATGGGAGTATATTGTATTTAATTATGGGGTAACAGAGTTTTTAGGGGGCTAACCAGGTTGAGATAGCTGGGATAGCAGGCTTGTTGGTTTTTGAATGTCTGATGTAGATTTTTTCAATTTTGTTGTTCTGTATGGGACAATGACAATAAAGCTTATCGTATTGTATCATATCGTATCGTAAGCAGGAACCAGAGCAGCGCGCGGAAACGCTGTTCACCTTCCCGCCGCAGTGGTACCTATTTATCTACTTGCACTTTGACATGCATTCGAACTGCTAGGTTGGCAGGAGCAGGGACCGAGCAACGGGAGCTCATCCCGTCATTGTGGGGATTCGAACCGCCGACCTTCTGATCGGCAAGTCCTAGGCTCTGTGGTTTAACCCACAGTGCCAGCCGCAACCCTCAGGTTGTTATATATGTATGCAAATAAATCGTTTATCCCAGGGGTCAGCAACCTTTTTCAGCTGTGGGCTGGTCCACCGTCCCTCAGACCATGTGGTGGGCTGGATTTTATTTTGGAAAAAAATTATGAACGAATTCCTATGCCCCATGAATAACCCAGAGATGCATTTTAAATAAAAGCACACATTCTACTCATGTAAAAACACCAGGCAGGCCCCACAAATAACCCAGAGATGCATTTTAAATAAAAGCACACATTCTACTCATGTAAAAACACGCTGATTCACTGACCGTCCGCAGGCCGGACTGAGAAGGCGATTGGGCCGGATCCGGCCCCCGGGCCTTAGGTTGCCTACCCCTGGTTTATCCTAAAGACACCAATGTCTCCGCTGTCTGTCCCTTGTTCCCTGGAAACTGAACCCTGGCTAATTCCCTAAAACCCCTGGAGTCTTACACCTCTCAGAGACTGGGATGACTCAATGCACTTAAGAGGTATGTATCTTCCCATATGCATAAAAACGTAATGCTGTCGTCACACTGCAGTCAGCGCAGTCGCCAGTTAGGCCACGCGTGGAAACACCAACCTTCCCCTTGTAACATTAATATTCTCCAGGTGTATTCCTTCTCATTTTACACAGGGCAAAGGGAGAATGGACTCAGGGCATCTATTTCGTGCCTGAAGATTGAGGAAAAGTCCGGTTTCGTGTCACCCACAAGCGACGGGATCAGACAAATCGTTTCTGGAGCTGTCTACGGCAGCCTCCCCCAACATGGTGCAATGTTTTGGGCTGTGTGCAGGCCCCACCTGTACAAACATGCGCTGTTCCCAGGGGAGGTGGGAATGTGCTTTGCACGTGGGGTGTGCAGGCGAAACTTTGTCCAATCTAGTCTGTGTAGGTAGGACACTGAGGTCCAACACCAAGGGCCTTCTGGCGGTTCCCTCCCAGAGAGAAGCTAAGCTACAGGGAACCAGGCAGGGCCTTCTTGGTGGTGGCGCCCGCCCTGTGGGAACACCCTCCCTTCAGATGTCAAGGAAATAAACAACTACCTGACTTTTAGAAGACATCTGAAGGCAGCCCTGTTCAGGGAAGTTTTTAATGTGTGACATTTTAATGTATTTTTAATCTTTGTCGGAAGCCGCCCAGAGTGGCTGGGGAAACCCAGCCAGATGGGCGGGGTACAAATAATAAATTACTATTACTAGCTGGCCCTTCTGAGGAGCAGGCCAATGCAGCAACGGCCATGCGGATCCTTCCCAGAGTCTGAGGGTGGCACGGCGAGCCTCTGCGAGACGTCCGATGCCCCTGGGAGCAGACTGTCCAGCTCAGGTACGCGAGAGAGGCTGGCCCCCACTGCCTTCTGACCCGGGGGCTCGGGCACAGACGCATAGCTGTCAACTTACAGATTTGAAAATAAGGGACCAGCAGCCTCAAAAATAAGGGATTTTAGTCAACCACCTGAAATACAAAGTTTAAAAGGACCAGATAATTTCGGAGAGCAGCGCCGGTTTTTGGCCCTTCGTTTCCAAAGGTTGCTGTTCAAGCTGATGAAACGCTGCAATTAAATAACTACAAGCAGCAACCACTTTTCACGCAAAACGAAGTCCAAGCTACGAAGATGGTACCCCAGGCAGAGACACTCAGTTCGGCGGCCGCAAGGAGGATGGCGGCGGAAGGGCCTGAGGCTCCCGCCAGTCCCGGCGGGGAAGGGCTCCCGGGGGCCGAGGCTGGTGAGAGGAGGCCGGAGGGGGGCGGGCCGGGCAACCAAGCAACACAGTTGGAGCCTCCCTGGCCGGGAGGGAGGGAGGGAGAGGAGCTGCTTCCTTTGAAACCCGGGAAATTTAAGGGACATCATCAATAAGCAACAGCAGCGGGACACGGCGCTGGGATAAGGGACTGTCCCTCCGAAGAAGGGACAGTTGACAGCTATGCACAGATGGGCGGCCGCCACTCAGCTGACCCAGAGCTCCTGCCACACCTCCTCCATCCTTTCCATCGAGCTCCCGTGCACTGTCAGGGAGTCCCGGTACAACGCAATGTCGTCCTTGGGGATGCCCCACACTTTGAAGCGCTTGTCGTGTCGGTGGGGGAGCCCGGCAGCCAGAGTTAGGAAGGCCATGTAGACGTCGTCCAGGGGGAAGACCGGGAGCTCCAGGGACGCCTGATGTAAGGCAGGGATCAGGGGGCCGGGCACTATGAAGCCCCCACCAGAGGCAAAGTTGGGGTAGTATCGCTGCGAGTAGAGGGCAGTGGAGACGGCGTACTTCCCTGTCCTCATCACAGCTGAGTGGCGCTGGATGTTCCCGTGAATGAAGCGGGAGGCGTTGGGGGTCTGAGCCAGGTACTCGGTCAGCGCCGGCAGGTTCACAAAGAGGTCATCATCACCTGGAAAACAACAGTGCTTTTGTATAATAATAATAATAATAATAATAATAATATCTGTGGCGTCCTGCCTTATGGGAACCCACCTAAATTCCGGGATCAAATCAGAAACCGGCTAATAATAATAATAATAATAATAATAATGTATTATTTATACCCCGCCCATCTGGCTGAGTTTCCCCAGCCACTCTGGGCGGCTCCCAATCGAGTGTTAAAAACAATACAGCATTAAATATTAACTGGGTTACCTCAGCCATTCTGGGCGGACTTCCAACAAATTAAAACAAAAGAAGACGTCAAGCATTCAAAACTTCTTGTACAGGGCTGCCTTCAGATGTCTTCTAAAAGTCAGATAGTCCTTGACATCTGATGGGAGGGCGTTCCACAGGGCGGGTGCCACCACCGAGAAGGCCCTCTGCCTGGGTCCCTGTAACTTGGCCTCTCGCAGGGAGGGAACCGCCAGAAGGCCCTCGGAGCTGGACCTCCGTGTCCGGGCTGGATGATGGGGCTGGAGATGCTCCTTCAGGTCTACTGGGCCTTTGAGGCCGTTTAGGGCTTTCAAGGTCAGCACCAACACTTTGAATTGTGCTCAGAAACGTACTGGGAGCCAAAGAAGTTCTCTCAGGACCAGTGTTATGTGGTCACAGCAGCCGCCCCCAGTCCCCAGTCTAGCTGCTGCATTCTGGATTAATTGCAGTTTCCGGGTCACCTTCAAAGGCAGCCCCACGCAGAGCGCATTGCAGTAGTCCAAGCGGGAGAGAACCAGAGCATGCACCACTCTGGCCAGACAGTCTGCGGGCAGATAGGGTCTCATCCTGTGCACCAGATGGAGCTGGTAGACAGCCGCCCTGGACACAGAACTGACCTGCACCTCCATGGACAGCGGTGAGTCCAAAATGACTCCCAGGCTGCACATCTGGTCCTTCAGGGGCACAGCTGCCCCATTCAGGACCAGGGAGTCCCCCACACCTGCCCATCTCCTGTCCCCCAAAAACAGTACTTCTGTCTTGTCAGGATTCAACCTCAATCTGTTAGCCGCCATCCATCCTCCAACCGCCTCCAGGCACTCACACAGGACCTTCACCGCCTTCACTGGTTCTGATTTGAAAGAGAAGTAGAGCTGGGTATCATCCGCATAGTGATGAACACCCAGCCCAAACCCCCTGATGATCTCTCCCAGCGGCTGCATGTAAATGTTAAAAAGCATGGGGGAGAGGACGGAACCCTGAGGCACCCCACAAGTGAGAGCCCAGGGGTCTGAACACTCATCCTCCACCACCACTTTCTGAACACGGCCCGGGGGAAGGAGCAGAACCACTGTATGACAGTGCCCCCAGCTCCCAGCCCCTCTAGACGGAGGTCCCCCCTCCACTTTTTCCAGCCCCCAGTGCCATCCCGATGGTCAAATGCAGGTAAAAGCAAATCTATGCGCCACATCGTGTTTTGACATTCAAAGTAATGTTCAAGGTCCCATAAGCACATCCCACAAACACAGGGCGATATCTCGTTTTCAACGGCATGATATATCGCCATCTAAACATGGCGTCACGCCAATATACCACAATGCCTGACATAAGGATGGAGCTATGTAGGCACTGAGGTCCAGTTCCGAGGGCCTTCTGGCGGTTCCCTCCCTGCGAGAAGCCAAGTTACAGGGAACCAGGCAGAGGGCCTTCTCGGTGGTGGCACCTGCCCTCTCATCAGATTTCAAGGAAATAAACAGCTACCTGACTTTTAGAAGACATCTGAAGGCAGCCCTGATTAGGGAAGTTTTTAATGTTTGATGTTTTATCGTGTTTTTAATGTTCTGTTGGGAGCCACCCAGAGTGGCTGGGGGAACCCAGCCAGATGGGCGGGGAATTAATAATAAATTATTATATTATTATTATCATTTTCCTGGCTTCATGGTTTTTCCCACATTGCAGTTTTTGAATAACACCCCCCCACACCCCATGATTTGCAATCATTCTTGGTCACCCACCTCTGCCCACCTTCCAGCTTGTCAACATCCTTCTTAAATTGTGCTGCCCAGAACTGGACACAGGACTCCAGGTGGGGTCTGACCAAGGCAGAATAGAGCGGGACTAAGACTGCCCTTGATCTGAACACTATACAGTGGTACCTCGGGTTAAGAACTTAATTCGTTCCGGAGGTCCGTTCTTGACCTGAAACTGTTCTTAACCTGAAGCACCACTTTAGCTAATGGGGCCTCCTGCTGCCGCTGCACGATTTCTGTTCTCATCCTGAAGCAAAGTTCTTAACCCGAGGTACTATTTCTGGGTTTGCGGAGTCTGTAACCTGCAGCATCTGTAACCCGAGGTACTGCTGTATTTCTGTTGATGCAGCCTAGGATAGCATTAGCCTTTTTTGCTGCTGCATCACACTGCTGGCTCACATTCAGCTTGACCCCTAGATCCTCTTCCCATGCGCTGCTAGTAAGCCAGCTGGTCCCTATCCTATCTTCACACATCTGCTTCTTCCTGGTTAAGAGCCAGGCCTCCTTCTTGGCACACCTGCCCTGTACCTTTGACCCCCAGCAAGCCCGTGACGTACTGTATTTTTTGCTCTATATGACTCACTTTTTCCCTTCTAAAAAGTAAGGGGAAATGTGTGTGCGTCTTATGGAGCGAATGCAGGCTGCGCAGCTATCCCAGAAGCCAGAACAGCAAGAGGGATTGCTGCTTTCACTGCGCAATGATCCCTCTTGCTGTTCTGGCTTCTGAGATTCAGAATATTTTCTTTCTTGTGTTCCTCCTCCAAAAACTAGGTGCGTCTTGTGGTCTGGTGCGTCTTACAGAGCGAAAAATACGGTTCAGAATATTTTTTCCCTTGTTTTCCTCCTCCAAAAACTAAGTGCGTCTTGTGGTCTGTTGCGTCTTATAGAGCGAAAAATATGGTACCTTTGAAGATGTAGGCCACACCTGGGCATCTGCTGTGTACCCACTGCAGGAAACATCGTTCCTTCAGGGACAGGTTGTGGTGCGACTCCATGAAATCCCACAACAGGATGTCCCCGAACTCCTCGTTCTCCTCCGTCGCCAGGTTCATCTGCTTCTGGTTGGGCGACACGGCCATCAGGAACACATGTCGGATCCGGAAGCCCCCCATCTCCCGCGCCCGCGCCCAGGTGCGCCTCAGGGCTGCCCTCCTTGCGCTGGACCCCGGGTGGGACTTGATGGCCAGGAGAAGCAGTGGGGCGGCAGAGGCCTCCGGGCACCAGCTCTGCTCGCAGGTGAGCTCCCGGCACCGATATTGCTGCAGGTGTGGGAAGAGGTCATTGTAGATGCCCGGGTCGAGGCGGTAGGTGTAGGTGCCGTCGCTCAGGGTGGTGCCGTTGGCCAGCAGCGGGGGCTGGAAGGTGGCGCAGCAGGCACAGGGCGAGGGCACCCACTGGCGCGCCATGCGGGTGAGCTGCAAGTGCAAGGCAGCGATGGTCAGGAAGCTCCCAAGAATCACGATACAGAGTATGTGGGTCTTTCGCATCCTGAGGCGGGGGAAACCTGTCCAGAAAAAGGAGGAGGCAGCAGTGGGTCAGTTAGCGGGGACTGTGGGTGCTCTTGCGCCCCCGCAGGAACCAGGCCCAATCCCAGACCACAGTCCCCATTTCCCAGAGACGTCGCTGCGAGTTACAGCGGAACCAGGCACAGGGCCTTCTCAGTGGTGGCACCCGCCCTGTGGAACGCCCTCGCACCAGATGTCAAAGAGAAAAACAACTACCAGACTTTTAGACGACATCTGAAGGCAGCCCTGTTCGGGGAAACTTTTAATGTTTAATAGGCTACTGTATTTTAGTGTTCTGTTGGAAGCCGCCCAGAGTAGCTGGAGAAACCCAGCCAGATGGGCGGGGTATAAATAATAAATTATTATTATTATTATTATTATTATTATTATTATTATTATTATGAGAAGCCGGTTTCTGATTTGATCCCGGAATGTCCCTGAAGTGTAGGTAGTTTCCCACGAGGCAGGACACCAGAGATAACAGCGAGAACCTAGTAAATATACAGACTATTTGGAAAGTAATTGTAATGAACCGATTACGCTAGTAGGACTGCAAGAAGTTTTGTAAGGAGGGCTATCTGAAATATTGCAAGAAAGACTATGAGGAGAATTATTAGTGAATGATAATTAAGAGTAATACAGAAGTTATTGCAAGAATATATTGCAAGAAAGACTATGAGAATTATTAGTTGATGATAATTAAGAGCAATAGAGAAACTAAGAAATGCAGAATAAGTGATAAAGAACAAAAAATCATCAGAGGTGTTGACGGAAGTCTAAAACATTGTATAAGAGAACAAGTTATGTTATATGATTGTTGGAAATGATATGTTAAAAAAACTAAAAAAAAAATTATATAAAAAAATAGAATATGTATTTTTCAACTCATTGTAAATCACCTGTCCCTTTCGCTCTCTGCCCTTCTTCGTGCGGTGCAGGGTTGAACTGTGGAACTCCCTGCCTCAGTATGCCGACCTGAGCGGCTTCAAAAGAGATTTGGGCAAATTTGCAGAGGAAGAGAGGGCCATTGCTGGCTACGAGCCAGAATGACTTTGCTCTGCCTCCACAGTCGGAGGAAGCAACGCTTTTCTGAACACAGGTTTCTTGAAATCGCAGGAAGGGAGGGTTCCTTAAATGGAGGCCCGTTAGGGAGCTGCGGTGGACTTAGGCCAGTTATTACTGCTATTATCGTTATTATATATTTATTTATACCCTGAATCTTCCCCCTGATGGGAGGGCGGCTTACAGACACAAACAGGAACAGGCTAAAAATATGGGGGTAAATCTGTCATGAAAAGACAATTAAACATTGATAGAATTAAAACCAGTGCTTTTTTTTTTTTGCTTTTTTAAAAAAATGTTTAGGGGGACTCTCATTTATTTCTGCTCGTATTGAAATACTGCGCCTCAATGAATAGAATAGAATTTTATTATTACGGTCACAGACCAGTTCCGGCTCACTTACAATATCAGGAAAATCATAAAACACAACAGGAATACATTGAATTGCAATTGGGGATAACAGAGACAATTCAGATATAGCAGCAGTTAAAAAAAATATATTCAATCCTGATCACTAAAATATAACCTAAAATAGTCATTTAAAACCTTAATCGTTTTAGTAGTACAGCTTGTTCCCTAAGTTTTATGGCGGTCGCACAGAATTTGGCCACCCTGAGCGTGATCTCTGGATCCTTGTCCTCTACCAGGAGTTTTAGACATTGGAGTTCGGACCCATTTGGAGATTTTTGTACAACAGGAGTGATAAATACCGAGCGTATATCCCCACAGAAACGGCACCCCTCAGTGAGGCCAAACTTAGATTCAAAAAATGTTTAGGGGTATGCGTTCCCCCCAGGGGGAAAAAGCACTGATTAAAACTATATTCGTACATAAATTCTGTTTAAAACATACTGATAATTACTGTAAAAGCAGACCATCCTCTTCTCACAGGGGCCAAAAAGACGCCTGCAGTCAGGATTCGAACACGAGACCGCTCTCCCCGCCTGCCGTTTCCAGCAACTGGCATTCAGAAGCAACCTGGCCTGTAGCCGTCGATAGCCCTCTCCCCCTCCATGAATTTGTCCAGTCCTCTTTCAAAGCCATCTAAGTTCGTGGCCCTCATGTGGCAGGGAGTTCCGCAGTCTAATTACGTGCCGAGGAGCCCAGGTTTTGCAAGGGGCTCTGCTTTGACTCTGTCTTATTTCCCTGGGGAACCCCTCGCCATGCAGAGTTCAAAAGCAGAGCAGACCTCTCCTTCATGTTTTATCACAGGCCGGGTGGCCTCCCGTCAGGGATTCTCCCCGCGATCCCCGCATTGCAGGGGGTCAGGCTGGATGACCCCCAGGGGTCCCTTGCGAGCCTACAATTCTGTGAAAGTTGGAGCTTACCGGCCTGATTAGGCTTTCAAGGAGAGGCCTTGAGGAGGAAGATGTTCTCTTCGCTGCCGTCCGATTTTGACTGAAAGGATGTAGTGGTAGGGAGAGCAACGATTACTCATCACGGCACGATCTCATTGCGAGAAAGAAAGTAAATCTCAAAGAGGCAGGAAGTCTCAGCGCCTGCGGTTGGACCAGTCTAACGACCACGGATATTACGATCTACACACAGCAAAGCAAAGTGCTGTTTCTTCTGTGCAATTTAGGCGCCTTGGACAAAAGCCACCTGGAATCCTGTATCTCGTTCTGGGCACCCCAGTTTAAGAAGGAGATCGACAAGCTGGAGGTTCCAAGCCCTATGAGGAACGGTCGAAGGAGCTGGGTTTATTTCGCCTCGACAAGAGGAGGGGGAGATGGTATCCGAAAGGCTTTCTCGTGGAGGAGGGAGCAAACCCGAACCAACGGATTCAAATCGCAAGAAAGGAAATTCCGCCTGAACATCAGGAAGAGCTGTGGCAAGAGCTGTTTCCCGGGAGTAGAAGGAAGCAGTGGTGCGTCCGCTCTTGAAGAAAACATCCCTAGATCCTTTATTTTTTTATTTTTTTTTATAAGATATTTATTAAGATTTTTAAAAATTCATCCCTAGATCCTTTAAAGGTAAAGGTAAAGGGACCCCTGACCATTAGGTCCAGTCATGACCGACTCTGGGGTTGCAGCGCTCATCTCGCTTTATTGGCCAAGGGAGCCGGCGTACAGCTTCCAGGTCATGTGGCCAGCATGACTAAGCTGCTTCTGGCAAACCAGAGCAGCGCACGGAAACGCCATTTACCTTCCCGCTGGAGTGGTACCTATTTATCTACTTGCACTTTGACGTGCTTTCGAACTGCTAGGTTGGCAGGAGCACGGACCGAGCAACGGGAGCTCACCCCGTCATTGCGGGGATTCGAACCGCCGACCTTCTGATCAGCAAGTCCTAGGCTCTGTGGTTTAACCCACAGCGCAACCCTATCTATCCAATTACCGCCCGGTTTCGAATCTTCCGTACCTGGGTAAGGTAACTGAGAGAGCAGCTGCCAAACAGTTAGGTAGATTTCCGGATGAAACATCGTCTCAGTTTGGACCCATTTCAGTCCGGCTTTCGCCCTGGTTACGGGACCGAGACGGCTTTGGTCGCCCTAACAGGTGATCTCCGTAGACAGCTGGATCGAGGCAGGTTGGGACTGCTGATTCTCTTAGATCTGTCAGCAGCCTTCGACACGGCCGATCACAAACTTTTGGGCCAACGCCTTACTGACGCAGGGATTCAGGGCACAGTGCAACAACGGCCGTGCTCTTTTATCTCTGGTCGGGGACAGAGAGTGGCGCTAGGGAGGGAGTTGTCGCTGTGGCACTCCTTGGGGCCAATCCTTCCCCCGATGCTTTTTAATATCTTTATATGCCCCCTTGCCCAGATTGTCCGGAGCTTTGGGCTGGGTTGTCATCAATATGCCGATGACACCCAACTCTATCTGTTGATGGATGGCCGCCCTGACTCGGCCCCGGACACACTGACCAGGCGCTTGGAAGCTGTGGCTGGATGGCTGCGTGGGAGCCTGTTGAAATTAAATCCTTCGAAGACAGGGGTCCTCTGACTGGGTCGGGACGACATGCGGTTGGGGGGCCAACTCCTGTCTCTTGCGGGGGCTCAATTAGTGCCAGCGCCTTCTGTCAAGAGTCTGGGTGTAACCTTCAGATGCCTCCCTCTCTAGGGAGGCGCAGGTTGCAGCCACAGCAAAGGTGGCATTGTCCCATCTCTGCCGTGCTAAGCAGTTGGTCCCTTCCCTTTCCCGTCCTGATCTGGCCACAGTGATCCATGTGACGGTCACCTCTAGGCTTGACTACTGTAACTCGCTCTATGCGGGGCTGCCTTCGAAGCTGACCCAGAAACTCCAGCGGGTGCAGAATGCCGCAGCGAGGCTCCTTACGGGGTCCTTGCCGCGAAATCGCATTCACCCAGTGCTTTACCAGCTGCACTGGCTCCCGGTGGAGTACAGGGTCAGGTTGAAGGTGCTGGTTTTGACCTTTAAAGCCCTATGCGGCCTAGGACCCTCATACCTACGGGACCGCCTCTCCTGGTATGCCCCGCGGAGAGGTCCACAAATGACAACATTTTGGAGGTCCCAAGTCACAAGGTGGTTAGATTGGTCTCAACTAGGGACAGGGCCTTTTCAGTACTGGCCCCGACTTGGTGGAACGCTCTGTCACAAGAGACCAGGGCCCTGCAGGACTTGACATCTTTCCGCAGGGCCTGCAAGACAGAGCTGTTCCGCCTGGCCTTTGGTTTGGACTCAGTCTGACCCTTATGTTTCCCTCCCCTTATGGCTTTGACTTTTAAAATGAGGCTGCATTTTAAAAATTGCATTTTAACCTGTCTTTTAAATTGGGTTGTTGTTTTTTTGTCCGCCCCCTCCATTGTAATTTTACTGGTGTTAGCCGCCCTGAGCCCGGCTTATAAATAAAATTTATTATTATTAGCAGGGATTCCTGCATTGCAGAGGGGGTTGGGATGGATGACCCTCATGGGTCCCTTTCAGCTCTGCCATTTTTGGATTCTACTCACAGCGAGTCGAAGGTGTGCGCCTGGCTGCCGTCTTCCTCCTTTTCTTCCTCCGTCTTGGCGTCCCCCTTGTAGAAGAGGAAGGGAGGGGGGAAGGTGGGGGCAAGAGAACAAGGGTGAGTTGCCTCGGCTGCCCCTTCCTGGGTTTGGCGCCACCTCCTGTTGGCCTCCTTGCCTTCTGCCCTACCAGTCCCAGGTGAGGGGTCCCACCAGGCCTGCCTGCTACTGCTTGCAGGCACCCAACTTTCCCGGAAAGCACAGCAGAAGCAGCACCTAATCCTTTTGCAAATACGGAGCCTTCTTAGCCTTATCTCTTTGCTAAAATCAACTCAATAAAATTCTGGAAAGGGTCCAAGCAAGCAAGCTGTAATACGATAATATGATTTGCAATTCTCTCCCTTGCCTGGAAATGGCAGCGGGATGGAGAACGAATGGTGCCTTAATGGGCCTTTAATAGCTGGAAGGGAGGAAGTTGCTGGATCAGGCCAGAGCAGTGCCTCAAGGATCCCCATCATTGTTCATTGTGGGTCGGAGAAAGGTCACCGAATTGTGGAGCTGGGAAGGGAAAAAGGTTGTTTTCTGCTGCTCCAGAGAAGCGGACACGGAGCAATGGATCCAAACTACAAGAAAGAAGATTCCACCTAAACATTAGGAAGAACTTCCTGACAGTAAGAGCTGTTCGACAGTGGAATTTGCTGCCAAGGAGTGTGGTGGAGTCTCCTTCTTTGGAGGTCTTTAAGCAGAGGCTTGACAACCATATGTCAGGAGTGCTCTGATGGTGTTTCCTGCTTGGCAGGGGGTTGGACTCGATGGCCCTTGTGGTCTCTTCCAACTCTAGGATTCTATGACCCAACGGTCATCTAGCCCAACCCCGCTGCAACGCAGAAATCTTTTGCTCCATGTGGGTCTCGAACCCACGAGATTGAGAGTCTCATGCTCTACATCTGAAAGGAAAGCAAGGCAGGCCTTTATGTTCCCCTCCCTGTTTTACAATGTTATAGGAAAATCCTTGGGCTCACTTGGATTACAAAACAAAGACACCATCCAGGAATGGAGGAGCCAGTAGGCCTGGTCTTTATTCAAATGACTTTATTGCAACAGGACTCACACCCAGCACATGGGAGAAGCAGGAAGAACAAAGGATGGCTTCCACTTTTATCAGTTTTACAAAGGAACCCACAACACCCCTAAAATTACATCATGCACACATCACAAATACATCACAAATTGGGAGGTTCTGGCGACAGAAACCTGAGTATCAGGGCTTGACCCCACCCTTCCCTTGACCTCCAGCTCCCACCCATCAAGTAAGACAAAATAAATATCTACAAGTTCCTGGTTTCCCTAACATAAATTCCTGCAACAACGCAAACTGCCCCAAACGTCACAGCTACATCGCGAGACGGGTTGCGCACGCAAAACAGATCATGCTCAAGAGTTCACAAGCCTGTCACTCAGAGTTATTTGAGCAGTATCTTCTATTTGCTTTTCCCTCCGGGAGCAGCCTATGGAAAAGGAGAAGACTTTGATGTCACAGTTTAATTGACGCAGACTGGCCCCTGTTCCTAGTCCAGAATTTGCATTCGGTTTTCTCTGAGTGATTTGCAAATTGTAAAGTTTAGGTTTCCCTAGTAACTTCCTGCTATCTGCTCGGAAGGGGTATCAGTGTTCAGCCTGAGGCTAAATATTATAAACTCAGATAAAGGGCCTATTTGTTCAAGGGATGTTTCCTAATTTTTGAAGGGTTAAGGACTGGTTATCTGTGGAGTGTGCGCTGTCAGGTGTTATTCGTATTTTTTAAATATTAAGAGTGTGACTTCCAGTTTAGCTCTGCAAGGATAGATCATGTGCCAACACTAACTAAACCTAGGAATTATGGGTGCCTGACGCCCACAAACTCTGGAACCCAAAACTCATAGAACCACATAATTGTACAGTTGGAAGGGACCCCGTGGGTCATCTAGTCCAACCCCCTGCAATAATAATATAATAATAAATTATTATTTATACCCTACCCATCTGGCTGGGCTTCCCCAGCCACTCTGGGCGGCTTCCAACAGAATAATAAAATGCAGTAATGCGTCAAACATTAAAAGCTTCCCTAAACGGGGCTGCCTTCAGATGTCTTCTAAAAGTCAGATAGTTGTTTATTTCCTCGACATCTGATGGGAGGGTGTTTCACAGGGAGGGCGCCACCACCGAGAAGACCCTCTGCCTGGTTCTCTGTAACTTGGCTTCTCGCAGGGAGGGAACCGCCAGAAGGCCCTTGGAGCTGGACCTCCGTGTCCGGGCAGAACAATGGGGGTGGAGACGCTCCTTCAGGTCTACTGGGCCTTTGAGGCCGTTTAGGGCTTTCAAGGTCAGCACCAACACTTTGAATTGTGCTCAGAAACGTACTGGGAGCCAATGTAGGTCTTTCAAGACCAGTGTTATGTGGTCTCGGCAGCCGCTCCCAGTCACCAGTCTAGCATTCTGGATTAGTTCTAGTTTCCGGATCACCTTCAAAGGTAGCCCCACGTAGAGCGCATGGCGGTAGTCCAAGCGGGAGATAACCAGAGCATGCACCACTCTGGAGAGACAGTCTGCGGGCAGGAAGGGTCTCATCCAGCGTACCAGATGGAGCTGGCAGACAGCTGCCCTGGACACAGAATTGACCTGCGCCTCCATGGACAGCGGTGAGTCCAGAATGAGTCCCAGGCTGCACACCTGGCTGGGCACCTGCAGGAATCGAGGGTTAGAATCCCTGGCAGGTGGCCATCTAGCCTCTGCTGAAGAACCCCCGACAACAGAGAACCCACATGCTTATGAGGAAGTCCATTCATAGCAAAATATACAGCGTACGACCAGAAGCCCAGCAAACTAAAAGGAGGATCAAGAAAAGCTGGAGGGGAAATATTTAATGTTGGAAAAGCCAGCATCAAACAGTCCATAATACAAGATCCCAAAGGCCATATGGACATCACAGCATTTAAAAAAAATTAAAAATCTGGATTTTCCCTTACCTGAGAACATCTGATAAGCAAAAAAACCTCTGCTTACAATTGCAATCTCTGCTGGCGTTGAAATGTTTTCTTTCGTGGGTGGGACCGATTCGCATGGTCCTCCCCCACCACTTAATGGATCCAAATGGTTTCCAGAGAGTGGTAGGGGATGCTTTATTCGAGGTTGATGGCCTTTCGGCTGATTCCCTGGTGGCCCGCTGGAATGCGGAGTTAACCAGGGCTATTGACTGTTTGGCTCCGAAGCGCCCTCTCCGATTGCATGGAGCCCGGACAGCCCCATGGTTTTCCACAGATCTGAGGGCAATGAAACAATCGTTGAGACGGCTAGAGCGCCGGTAGCGGATGCCCCATTCTGAAGCTGAACGGACACGGGTTAGAGCTCAATGTCGAGCCTACCAAGTGGCGATAGCAATGGCGAAGAAGACTTTCTTCACTGCCTGTATTGCATCTGCAGAAAACAGCAGCAGGAGACTTTTTCAGGGGGTTCGCAATTTAGCGGAACCACCTGCTCCATCGGGGCCCAGTAGGAGCCACATGATCTCCTGCAATGATTTTGCAAAGTTTTTTGCAGATAGTCACTCAGATTCAGGAAGAGGTAGACGCCACCGTGGGAGCAGGGCCGGGGCGGGAGAGTGCTAGAGTCCTGTCTGGTCAAGTTGTCTGTTACCTCCAAGGATGTGGACAGGCTGCTTGGACAAGTGAAGCCAACCACCTGTCTCCTGGATCCTTGCCCATCCTGGCTAATAAAAGCAAGCCGGGAAGGGCTGGGCGATGGGCTCTGCAGGGTGGTGAATGCTTCCCTCCGTGAGGGAGCCTTCCCAGACCCGCTGAAAGAGGCGGTTATTAAACCGCTTCTTAAAAAACCATCTCTAGATGCGGCCACGATGGCCAACTATCGCCCAGTCTCAAATCTTCCATTCTTGGGCAAGGTGATTGAGCGGGTGGTTGCTGAACAACTCCAAGCACGCCTGGAGGATGCGGACCATTTGGATCCCTTCCAGTCAGGATTCAGGCCTCATCACGGGACTGAAACTGCCTTGATCGCACTGGTTGATGATCTCCGGCGGGCTAGGGACAAAGGTGAGAGCTGTTTCCTAGTTCTGCTGGATCTCTCAGCGGTGTTTGATACCATTAACCATAACATCCTTCTGGACTGTGTAGAGGGGCTGGGAGCTGGGGGCACTGTCATACAGTGGTTTCGCTCCTTCCTCCTGGGCCGTGTTCAGAAAGTGGTGGTGGGGGATGAGTGTTCAGACCCCTGGGCTCTCACTTGTGGGGTGCCTCAGGGTTCCGTCCTCTCCCCCATGCTTTTTAACATCTAAATGAAGCCGCTGGGAGAGATCATCGGGGGTTTGGGCTGGGTGTCCATCAATATACGGATGATACCCAGCTCTACCTCTCTTTCAAATCAGAACCAGTGAAGGCGGTGGAGGTCATGTATGAGTGTCTGGAGGCGGCTGGAGGATGGATGATGGCTAATGGATTGAGGTTGAAGGCAGAAGTAATGTTTTTGGGGGACAGGAGGTGGGCAGGTGTGGATGACTCCTTGGTCCTGAATGGGGTAACTGTGCCCCTGAAGGACCAGGTGCCCAGCCTGGGAGTCATTTTGGACCAATTGCTGTCCATGGAGGCGCAGGTTAATTCTGTGTCCAGGGCGGCTGTTTACCAGCTCCATCTGGTACTCAGGATGAGACCCTATCTGCCCGCAGACTGTCTGGCCAGAGTGGTGCATGCTCTGGTCATCTCCCGCTTGGACTACTGCAATGCGCTCTACGTGGGGCTACCTTTGAAAGTGACCTGGAAACTACAATTAATCCAGAATGTGGCAGCCAGACTGGTGACTGGGAGCGGCTGCCGAGACCATATAACACCAGTCTTGAAAGATCTACGGTACATTGGTTCCCAGTACATTTCCAAGCACAATTCAAAGTGTTGATGCTGACCTTGAAAGCCCTAAACAGCCTCGGTCCTGTATACCTGAAGGAGCGTCTCCACCCCTATTGTCCAGCCCGGACGCTAAGGTCCAGCACCGAGGGCCTTCTGATGGTTCCCTCCCTGCGAGAAGCCAAGTTATAGGGAACCAGGCAGAGGGCCTTCTCGATAGTGGTGCCCGCCCTGTGGAACGCCCTCCCACCAGATGTCAAAGAGAAAAACAACTACCAGACTTTTAGAAGACATCTGAAGGCAGCCCTCTTTAGGGAAGCTTTTAATGTTTATTAGACTATTTTATTTTAATATTCTGTTGGAAGCCGCCCAGAGTGGCTGGGGAAACCCAGCCAGATGGGCGGGGTATAAATAATAAATTCTTCTTCTTCAAAAGTTATGAGTAGTGACATTTTCGGAATCGCCCTCTATTGCCCCAGGGGCTCCTTCCAGTTGCTCTCCACCAGAGTGCAACCTAGCCGCTTTATTTATTTAAAAACGCCATCCATGTATCGTTGAAACATGTGCCGCGATTCCTGCACTGCAGGGGGCTGGGCTGGATGACCTTTGGGGGACCCCCACAACCCTCCACTTCTGTACAATTCCATAACAACGAAAGGCACGAGCTAAAACCAGGCAGGCAGAATTATAAAAAAGGCAGAATTATAAAATTATAAATTAAAATTAATTATAATTATAAAATTATAAATTATAAAAAGGCAGAATTATAAAAGCCACACTGAAATGGATAAAAGGGGCAAGGAAACAGACCTCTGGGGGATTCGAAAACGTGAAGGAGGGTCTTACGGATCAGGGCGAACCTGGTCTCAAAGGAACATCTCTGCAGGACTTGCCAGGTGCAACAGGTGGCTGGTGTTTGTTCCGTAAGCAGCGGAGGGAGTGGCAACCAGAGAACGGCGACCGGCTTGTATAATCTGCAGGGCGCAGCTCCACAACTAGAGCATCCTAAAAACGACCTAACATTGGGTCAGAGCACTGAGCGTTCATCTAGGCCAGGAGTGCCCACACTGGCTGGCAGAGGCTCTGAAGGCTTCCGGCCCGATTCCTACCCGGATTTTGAACCCAGGACCTTCTCACGGTTCAAATGAAAGGCTGCTCTGAATTATCGAGCGTTCGGAAGCTGCTGAACCGGACCCTTCGGTCTCAGGGCTGCCCTGCTTGGAGATTGAGGCAGTTGCCTTCTGCATGCCAAGCAGGTGTTCCGCCCAGGTGCTTAGCCCAGGTGATCTCCCAGGTCTGAATCCTTATGGAAATTATACAGGTTTCGTCCCGATTCTAAAATTGCAAAGTGGGACCTTTCTTTTTTTCTTTATTAATTTTTTTATTGACAATTTCAACATAACAGTACAGTGGTACCTCGGGTTAAGTACTTAATTCGTTCCGGAGGTCTGTTCTTAACCTGAAACTGTTCTTAACCTGAAGCACCACTTTAGCTAATGGGGCCTCCTGCTGCCGCTGCACGATTTCTGTTCTCATCCTGAAGCAAAGTTCTTAACCTGAAGCACTATTTCTGGGTTAGCGGAGTCTGTAACCTGAAGCGTTTGTAACCTGAAGCGTATGTAACCTGAGGTACCACTGTATATCAAAACATATTATATTCATTATTTCCCCTCCTTTTTCCCCATTCTCCATCAAACCCTCCCTGCCCTCCGAAACTTCCCTCAGCTCCTCTCTCTGATTTCTCAGCACATGTTATTCTCTGCATATTATAACATTATTTCAATTCTTATATTATCTATTGTCCATGTTATCAATCGCTAAATTTGTGTATGTTTATTCAAAACCTGCCAAGGAGTCCAATTCATTTTCTTGTCTTTTAAAATACTTTGTAAAACGTTCCCGTTCTTCTTTGAAGTCACAGTTGTCCTTATCTCACAATTTGTATGTCAGTTTAGGAAGTTTAGCGGGACGTGGGTGGTGCTGTGGGTTAAACCACAGAGCCTAGGACTTGCTGATCAGAAGGTCGCCGGTTTGAATCCCCGTGACGGAGTGAGCTCCCGTTGCTCGGTCCCTGCTCCTGCCAACCTAGCAGGTCGAAAGCACACCAGCGCAAGTAGATAAATAGGTCCTGTTCCGGCGGGAAGGTAAACGGCGTTTCCGTGCGCTGCTCTGGTTCGCCAGAAGCGGCTTAGTCCTGCTGGCCACATGACCCAGAAGCTGTACATTGTCTCCCTCGGCCAGTAAAGCGAGATGAGCGCCGCAACCCCAGAGTCAGTCACGACTGGACCTAATGGTCAGGGGTCCCTTTACCTTTACCTTTACCTTTAGCTCTGCATAGTTCATCACTTTCTCTTACCACTATTGTTTTGTTGGGATTTCCTCATTCTTCCATCCTTGTACCATCAAGACTCTTGCCACTGTTGCTGCATACATGAATAAGTTCCTTGTTTTCCTTGTAGGACAAGACTTGCCAAGGAAAATAAAGCGGGACAAAGTTTCTAATCCTCTTGTCCTGCAAGGAATCCCCCAAGCGCTCTTAAAAGTCTATTATCTTGTCACTCTCGCAGGAAGTTACCCTTTTTTCTCAAATCTAATGCTCACCTCTTCTGGCCAGGTTACGTTGCAAGAATCAAGGTGCGCGCATTAGATGCGAAGACACATTTTTGTTTGCCAGCAAGTACCTTTTTTTGGTTTCAAGGTTCTGAAAACTGAGGCGCGCGTTAGATTCAACGGCACATTTGTTGTTGTCGTTTAGTGGTGTCCGCCTCTTCGTGACCCCCTGGACCAGAGCACACCAGGCCCTCCTGTCTTCCTCTGCCTCCCGCAGTTTGGTCAAACTCATGTTTGTAGCTTTGAGAACACTGTCCCACCATCTCGTCCTCTGTCGTCCCCTTCTCCTTGGGCCCTCCATCTTTCCCAACATCAGGGTCTTTTCCAGGGAGTCTTCTCTTCTCATGAGGTGGCCAAAGTATTGGAGCCTCAGCTTCAGGATCTGTCCTTCCAGTGAGCACTCAGGGCTGATTTCCTTCAGCATGGAGAGGTTGGATCTTCTTGCAGTCCATGGGACTCTCAAGAGTCTCCTCCAGCACCAGAATTCAAAAGCATCCATTCTTCAGCCATCAGCCTTCTTGATGGTCCAGCTCTCACTTCCATACATCACTACTGGGAAAACCATAGACCTTCAACGGCACATTACACTCCAGTAAAAACGGTATTTCAGGCAGATGAGAGGATGTTCTTACATGGCAAGGCAGGTCCAAGCCACTAGCCACTTTGCTTCTCAGTATTCTCTGGTTGGCCTCTGTTATTTTCTCCTACCAATATAAAACCTACATAAGGGGGGAAAGGAGCAGTTTTTTCTTATAACAGCTGCCTCCAATTGTGGGGGCCAGAGCACAGACAGGCTGCCATTGACTACAAGTGTTGTAGCTGCAGTGTCCAGCTCACCTGCTCACTCACCTGCTGAGGCCCAGAGCAAAATGCTTGTCTGTCCAAGGAGGTGTAGGAAATGAGAGGGGCGTGCAAAGCCAAGGCTCCGCCCCCTAATAGCCAGATGAGATGCTGACTCCGCCCATCACTGACTCCGCCCATCAGGCTCCCCCTCCGAACCCCACCTGCTGCAAAACAGGCTAACTCAGATTCTGTGAAATGGGCACGTTCTCATCCAACAAGGAGGTGTGATAAGAATTTTAAGGTCTTAGATATGTCATAATTGTTCATTAATGTACCAAGCAAACACGTACATAAATATATACACCACATGTCTGAAAACCCCACAGAAAAAAAAGTCCTGAACAAATTGACCTCAATTATTTCTCTGCAAGGTCAAAGTGGGAAACCTCCCCGTTGTCTTTTTCCTTCACAAATCCTGTCTTAAGGGCACATTTAAGATATGAATAGGGTGTGAGCCTGTGACCTGGCCCAGGAACTAAGTATTCATCATTACAAAAGACTGGCCAGGCTCCCCAGGCAATCCAATCAAGTGACCATTAACAGGTAACCTGACAGACGAGATAAACAAGTCACTCAGATTTCTGCTGTAGACCACCTTTTCTGTGATGTAGGTATGGTGTATCTGGGGGGTGGTCTTAGGTTACACCCCTTCTGGGATGTATGTAAGATGTATGGAGGGGTGGTCTTGAGCTCCAGGGCAGGGAATTTAAAATGTCTATAGAAGGCCTTGTGCACCATTGATCTGGGTCCTCCTCCTTTCCTGCGTGTGAGGGGAGCACTCTGTTGCAACTGTAGCAGGAACCCCCCACCCCAATCATTCAGTTTGTACAAACTTCACACACTCACACTCACACACTACATATGCCACACTTCTGTTATAAATTCATAGAAAAATCAACCATACATTGGATTTGCACTGTTCCATTTTTATTTTACTCCATATGACAAGGACTATCAAAGGGGGGTGGCTTGGTTCTGGTCAGCCATAATCCCTTCACCATCCCAGCACATCCACAGGAGCCCTGCCCAGTTGCTATGCCAACCCTGATGGTCCTAGACAGAAGACCATCAAGATCACAAAGAACTTGCATATGGGAGTGGATTCAGCATGGACTGAAACAAAGGACAATGATCAGATCTCCCTCTGGGGGCAGGAAACTGCCAACTCCCCTTTGTCTCCTGGAAGTGACTCATGGGGAGGGGGAAAGGAGGAACCAGCCAGGTGACAGGACACTCAGGTTACCACCACAACTCCTCCCTCAACCCCTCCTTTCTGTAATGTATGCATGATGTCAACTCCTCCTTTCTGTAATGTATGCATGATGTTTCTGGGGGTGGGCTTGACCTAGAGGATGGGAATTTCAAGTGTTTTTATAAGGTCTTGCACACCATCTTTCTGGGTCTTTCCTCTCTCCTGCAAGTGAGGGGAACACCCTGTTGCGACAGTATTCAATAAAAGCCAAGCCTACAGGCTGCTGTTTTGCTCCAAGTTATCCTGGTTGGTGTCTTTGTTTTTGTCCAAGGGAGCCCTCGGATTTTTCCGGTAACACAACAGATCAAGAAAGATCAGGCTTTCTAGCTGCTTTGCTTCTCAGTATTCTCTGGTTGGCCTCTGTTATTTTCTCCTACCGATAGGGAACCAACGTAAGGACTCTATACTGGATCTCGGATACCCCCATAAGGGGAAAAAAGGGCAGATTTTTGTTTACAACAGAGGCTTCCAAACATGGTTGGCCCCTTCAGTTCCCAAAGCAGGTGGTGGCACACATCCACCCACATACCCCGAATGTGTCAGAGAATCATAGAATCGGATGGGACCCCGAGGGTCATCTAGTCCAACCCCCTTCAAGGCAGGAATCTCATCTAAATCTCATTTACATTTCTGGATGGAGCAGAACACCTTCCTCGCTTCGCCTTTCAACTTTCCCTGCTCTTATCGCTTCCGGCGCACCTGCCTTTTGCTGCTTCTGTTTGCGTTGGCGTTTTATGAGTTGCCGCAAGATAGCCGATGGTTAGTTAATGCTACTGATTTCCTTACAGATTAGCCAGTAGGTGAAGCCGTGTGCATCCAAATATTTTACGCTCCAATGTTCCTTCACCCCGAGTAAGAATGTGTGAAAAATGCTTTTCATGCGATACTCTTAGTTGTGTATTCTTGTTCAGCCTTATATAAGAGCATATATTTATTTTGGCATGTATTTTTAAAAATAAACATACAATCGGCAGCTGCTGCTTTGTGTTATCATCTTCCTTGTTGGGTTGGGCAAACTGTTACTGTTTGTCAGTGCTTTTTTTCTCTGGAAAAGACCCACTTCCCAGAAATGGGCAGAGGAGGGACAGCCAAGCCGGCCAAAGGAATGCACTCTGCACATGCTCAAGTGTAGCAGGAAACCCCTCCCCCCAATCATTCAGTTTGTACAAACTTCACACACACACACACACACACACACACACACTACACACGCTACGCTTCTATTATAAATTCATAGAAAATGAACCATACATCGGATCTGCACCGTTCCACTTTTATTTTACTCCATGAAGGAAGGACTACAAAATGGGGAAGGTTTGATACAGGGCAGCCATAATCCCTTGAGCATCCCAGCACATACACAGGAGCCCTGCCCAGTTGCTGTGCCAACCCTGATGGTCCTAGACAGAAGACCATCAAGATCACAAAGAACTTGCATATGGGAGTGGATTCAGCACGGACTGGAACAAAGGACAATAATCAGCTCTTCCCTCTGGGGGCAGGAAACTGCCAACTCCCCTCTGTCACCTGGACAGTACTCATGGGGAGGGGGAAAGGGGGAACCAGCCAGGTGACAGGACACTCAGGTTACCACCACAACTCCTCCCTCAACCCCTCCTTTCTGTGATGTAGTTGTGATGTAGTCTTAGGGGTGTAGTTTGGGGATTAGTAACTAATAAAAGTTGGGGTCTTCTTTTGTTCTGGGCTTCCATTTTGCTTCATCTTGTTGCAGGTGGGAGTCCTGTTGCGACAGTATTCAATAAAGGCCAAGCCTACAGGCTGCTGTTTTGCTCCAAGTTATCCTGGTTGGTGTCTTTGTTTTTGTCCAAGGGAGCCCTCGGATTTTTCCGTTAACACAAGGAAGCAAGGATCTAGGATTCTGCCCGAGCCTCATACCTCCTTCCCCAAGCCCAGGAAGGTCCCAGGGCAGCTATTTAAGATTCAGAATTAGGTAAAGGTAAAGGGACCCCTGACCATTAGGTCCAGTCATGACCAACTCTGGGGTTGCGGCGCTCATCTCGCTTTACTGGCCGAGGGAGCCGGCGTACAGCTTCTGGGTCATGTGGCCAGCATGACTAAGCCGCTTCTGGCGAACCAGAGCAGCGCACGGAAACGCCGCTTACCTTTCCGCCGGAGCGGTACCTATTTATCTACTTGCACTTTGCCGTGCTTTCAAACTGCTAGGTTGGCAGGAGCAGGGACCGAGCTCAGCCCATCGTGGGGATTTGAACCGCCAACCTTCTGATCGGCAAGTCCCAGGCTCTGTGGTTTAACCCACAGCGCCACCCGCGTCCCCTAAGATTCAGAATTAAGAAGTGTTAAAACAATATTACAGTCGCAGAAACATGGTCCTCCCAGGAAAATGAACCAGGGAAATTTCATTTCCTTGAACTGGAAGCAGGATTTAGGCATTAGTTTCCCGCAGCAGCAGAGTAAGGAGGACTTACTCTTCACTTCATCAAATCTGGCCCTTTAAAAAAAATATTTTTATTAAAGTTTTCTTGGTTTACTTTGAAAAAAGTTTTGACACCACTGCTGCTATCCCCCCCCCCCAATTCTTCCCCCTTTAGGATCCATCAGTTAAATGTGCCACACGTTTAGCCCAATTACTAATTGCATCAAACTGGAAAGGGGGAAAAGTACCAACATTAAGGGAATGGCAGAACAAATTATGAGATTACGCAGAAATGGCTCTATTAACGAATAAACTGTTCAAAAACCATTCAAAAATGGGATATGTTCTACGAGACAAGGACAACTGTGATTTCAAAGATGAATGGGAACCTTTTACAAAGTATTTAAAGACGCAATAAAGTGAATTGGACTCCTTGGCAGGTTTTGAATAAACACTCACAAATCTTTTATTGACAATAATCAGTTAGATAATCTAAGGAATTGTACAATTCTGTAATATGCAGAGTACAGCATTCATAGAGAAACCAGAGATTGGAACTGAGGGAATTAAGGATGATACGTTTTCAGATAATATGTTTTGTTTACATTCCTAATAAAAACTGTGTTTTTTTAAAAAAAGGGATATATTCAAGAGATATTTACAAAAACGTAACAGTGATATAACATCTATGGCAGCGTTCGAATGACGCTTGTGTAAAGTAAATATTAAGAAATAAAGGGAAATCGGACATGTTGTAAGAAAGTATTAGAAAACATATTAAGAGTAAGGTAGTAATTATAAGTACATTCAATATTACAAACGTTAATTACATTGGGAAATGATGGGAAGTCTACTTTATTTTATTTTACTTTATCTTAGTTTAATTAGAAAATATGTGGAAAGAGTACCGTAATTTAATATTTAACTGTAAATTTATGTAAGGTTATTTTTTTTTCTTTGTGTGTGTGGATTTAAGATACTGTAGGATATCTATGAATTTCAGTAAAGGAATAATAAATAAATAAATGTGCTGCACGTTTAAACAGCATTTAACACCTGGCTGTCGTACGCAATACCCGCACCCCAGTCCCTTCTATCTCCTTGCACCCTCCTATTCTGGCAGATGATAATTCTGGCAGCCGTTAAAAGATATTGCAATCTTGCCCTGTCCTCTGCTATTACAGTTCATTTATCATCTCCTGGCCGGCCTCACAGCAAAATGCCTCTGTCAGAAGCATGATGTGCCTTCCTGTTATGTACAGTCCTACGTTTGATTCAGGTTGCGTTCCGCTGCAACCCGGAAGTACTGGAAAGGGTTACTTCCGGGTTTTGCCGCTCACGCATGCGCACAAAATGACGTCACGCGCATGCGCAGAAGGGGCGAATCGCAATCTGCGCACGCGCAGACATGAGTTGCGTTCCTTTCATGTTGTGAACGGGCCTCCAGAACGGATCCCGTTCACAACCAGAGGTTCCACTCTACTAAGCTTGGATCCTGGAACAATAGGCAAGTAGGATCCTAGAATGCAACAACAGATTGGCCTGCAGGAAAAGGCCAATCAGGCTCCAGGAGGGAAGCAGAATCAGCCAATCAGAAGGGACTAATAGTGTAAATGGTGGGATGCGGGTGGTGCTGTAGGTTAAACCACTGAGCCTAGGACTTGCCGATCGGAAGGTCGGCAGTTCGAATCCCCATGACGGGGTGAGCTCCCGTTGCTGGGTCCCTGCTCCTGCCCACCTAGCAGTTCGAAAGCACGTCAAAGTGCAAGTAGATAAATAGGTACCACTCTGGCGGGAAGGTAAACGGCGTTTCCGTGCGCTGCTCTGGTTCACCAGAAGCAGCTTAGTCCTGCTGGCCACATGACCCGGAAGCTGTACGCTGGCTCCCTCGGCCTGTAAAGCGAGATGAGCGCCGCAACCCCACAGTCGGCCACAACTGGACCTAATGGTCAGGGGTCCCTTTACCTTTACCTTTAATGCATCCCCAAGTCTGCTTGGAAGGAACCAAGGCAGCTGGGGTCAAAAGCATCTGGAGGCCATCCCAGGGTGCTGCCTGAGGCTGATGGGAGACGTAGTCCTGGCACGCTCCACACTGGGTGTGCTATCCAAACATCACCACCGTCATAAAATAAAAATAATTTATTTTTACCGTGCCCATCTGACTGGGTTTTCCAGGACACGCTGGGTGGCTTCCAACAGGATATTAAAAACACAACAAATCATCAGACATTAAAAACTTCCCTAAACAGGGTTGCCTTCAGATGTCTTCTAAAGGTCAGAGAGTTGTTTATTTCCTTGACATCTGATGGGAGGGTGTTCCACAGGGCGGGCGCCACCACCACCTGGTTCCCTGTAACCTCACTTCTTGCAATGAGGGAAGCGCCAGAAGGCCCTCGGAGCTGGCCTCCGTGTCCGGGCTGAATGATGGGGGTGGAGACGCTCCTTCAGGTCTACTGGGCCTTTGAGGCCATTTAGGGCTTTCAAGGTCAGCATCAACACTTTGAATTGTGCTCAGAAATGTACTGGGAGCCAGTGTAGGTCTTTCAGGACTGGTGTTATGTGTTCTCCCAGTCCCCAGTCTAGCTGCAGCATTCTGGATTAGTTGTAGTTTCCGGGTCACCTTCAAAGGTAGCCCCACATAGAGCGCATTGCAGTAGTCCAAGTGAGAGATAACCAGAGCATGCACCACTCTGGCCAGACAGTCCGTGGGCAGGTAGGGTCTCATCCTGAGTACCAGATGGAGCTGGTAGACAGCTGCCCTGGACACAGAACTGACCTGCACCTCCATTGACAGAGGTGAGTCCAAAATGACTCCCAGGCTGCGCACCTGGTCCTTCAGGGGCACAGTTACCCCATTCAGACATGCCCGTTGGACAAGGCCAGGAGTCCATCTTGCCAAACTACCTGGTACTCACAGTGGCCAGCCAGTTGCCCCAGTGGGAGACCCACAAGGAGAATCCGAGCCGAAGAGCCCCTCTCTCATTGCTGCCTCCGACTGTGGAGATGGATCAGAGCCATCCTGACTAATAGCCACCCAGAGCTTGATTTTCCATGGTCCTTGAGACTAAAAGCTTGTTGGGGATTGGGCGTGGGCACTGCAGCCACTCCCCACGGATTCATGGTTCCACTGCGTCCTCCCGTCTTCCACACTTACGATAACCGGTCAGTGCCAGGCGTGTGACTCGCTTTCGGCTCTCTCCCAAGGTACTGTGAGCAAATGGCTCCCAGCCAGCTCCTGACACGAGTAAGTAACCAAACACACCCCTCTGTTGCAAAGAGAACGTCAGCAATGTCTAGGCAACACGACGACCATGTACATATGCAAGAAACAATCTTTTATAGAATTCCTTCAAACCATAATAAGTCCAAAATGAAATCTTTAATCTTCGTCAGCGTGGTGTAGTGACTACATTATTACATGAGCACTGTTCCACAGCATTTGACATTTTCATTTACATCCATCCATTCAAAAGAAGATGGGTTTATGAAGCAATTCTTTATCTTCCCACCACGCTGACAAGAATTCTACGAAACAGCGGTCTATATCCGGAATCACTGTTTAGTGTTACACATCATATTTGCTGAATACACAAAGCTTCACAGCTTGTCGGTCACAAAGTCTGGTACCTCGCTTCATTTAAAGATTTTCAGAGACTCTGAGGCTAAAGATTTCATGAGAAGAGAAGACTCTCTGGAAAAGACCCTGATGTTGGGAAAGATGGAGGGCAGAAGGAGAAGGGGACGAGATGGTGGGACAGTGTTCTCGAAGCGACCAGCATGAGTTTGACCAAACTGCGGGAGGCAGTGGAAGACAGGAGGGCCTGGCGTGCTCTGGTCCAGGGGGTCACAAAGAGGTGGACACGACTAAACGACAACACATGGTCATCGTGTTGCCTAGACATTGCTGACGCTCCTGACACGAGACACCCCTGCAGCTGTTGGTTTGGAGAACGGCACCTCCTTTCTCAAATCATACAAGACATCCTTTTGCCCTGAACTGGGGGAAGCAGAGGTTGTAGAAGGAGCCCGCTTCAAAGAGGGCAAGCTCCCTCCAATGGACCCATCGCTTTGCCTGCAGCTCCTCCCTTGTCAGAGACCCTGCCCAGCCATAGTAGTGAGGGTCAAGGACCAGGAGGTGGTGGCGCCCTTCCGGGCTGGAGCAGACCCCCAGCAGCCCCTTGGAAGAGTTGTCCCTGTCGCCCCCCATCATGACGGGCCCCCCGCCTCCCTGGAAATGGGCATGCAGAGCCTCCAGCTCCCTTTCCAGCTCCCGCCCATGGGGAACGTGGACCACCTTGCCCGGTATGCTGTAAAAGTGGTCCAGGCACAAGGCTGCTTCTACGGTGCCAATCCAGTCCCGGGAGCCGGCAAAGGAGGCGGGTTTGTCTCCTATCTCCACCAGAGCGTTTTGGATCTCCTGCAGGGAAGGGACCCGGCGGGGAAGGGTTTTTCCGACACCCGGCGGCAGCCAAGAGCACACAGTCTGGAGGGTGCGGTACCCGCAGCCCCAACCCCGGTCGTCCACACCGTCACAGCTGTAGTGGTAGTAGCGGTAGGAGCCGGAGACGAGGGCCAGGCGGCGAGGAGGAGGGTCCGGGAGAGGCAGCCCCAGGTGGACGTCAGAGAGTAAGGGCATCCTCTGCAGGAGAGAGGAGAGGCGGGCCTGCGGGGGGCAAAGAGAGAAGGAATCATTATTCATTATAGTTATTTTTGGTTGGTTAGACCGCGTGGACTGCAAGATGATCAAACCTATCCATTCTGGAGGAAATCAGCCCTGACTGCTCACTGGAAGGACAGATCCTGAAGCTGAGGCTCCAAGACTTTGGCCACCTCTTTGGGAAAGACCCTGATGTTGGGAAAGATGGAGGGCACAAGGAGAAGGGGACAACAGAGGACGAGATGGTTGGACAGTGTTCTCGAAGCTACCAGCATGAGTTTGACCAAACTGCGGGAGGCAGTGGAAGACAGGAGGGCCTGGCGTGCTCTGGTCCAGGGGGTCATGAAGAGGCGGACACCACTAAACGACTCAACAACAACAACAGACCTCGGTGCTGGCAGTGCCAAGGCTGCAGGTTCGATCCCCGTAAGAGGCAGCTACGCGTATTCCTGAATTGCAGGGGGTTGCATTAATGAACCTCAGGGTCCCTTCCAAATCTATGATTCCATCATTCTCCCGGCTTAACCTACCTCACAAGGTTGTTGTGGGAATTCAATGAGGAAGCACCTTGGGGGAAAAGGTGGCCTATCAGTCTAATAAGGTTTTAATGTTGTATTTTAATCTTGTTTTTTAAGTTGTATTTTAATCAACTTGTTTTTATTATTGGTTGTTAGCCGCCCTGAGCCTGGTCATGGCTGGGGAGGGTGGGGTATAACTAAAATTTATTATTATTATTATTATTAATAATAATAATAATAATATAAATAAAGGACTCTTTCCATGAGCAAAGCAATTATAATACGTGTTCAAATATGTTTGTGCTCAAACTCAATAACATTGAGAAAGAGCTAACCAGCTCCTTGGCGTAAGGCCAAGCGGAAATCTCTCCCTTGTCTGACCAGGGTTCTTGCAAACCTGACTGGCACCTTCGCACTCCATGCAATTTCGATTCCCGCATTGCACATTTGCTCCTGCCTTGCAGCGGGTTGGGACAGAATGGTTTATAGGGCTGTCCATCGCTGGCTTTTCTGAAGGGAGAGTAATTCCGTCCTCGACCAAATGTCACCTCCAGCGGATCCCTCTCCCCAGGTACAGGCTGCAGCAACCTGCCACCCCTCCCTCGTTTATGGGCGGGGTATAAATAAATTATTATTATATAACAAAGACTTGACGTTTTTATCCCCCCAAAAAGTTTTTGATTTGAGTTTCCATTGAAATGAGGCTGTATTTTAATATTTTAATATTTTATTGTTGTATTTTAATCCTGTTTTTAAGTCGTATTTCAATCAGCCCTGAGCCCGGTCTTGGCTGGAGAGGGCGGAGTATAAATAAAAAAATTTATTATTATTATTAGTATTAGTATAATTAGACTCACCCTCCAGAAAAACCAGCTTTCCTTGGTCTCTAGACAGGTCTAGTCCTCCATTACCATAGAGACGGGGCCTGCAAATCCTTTCTATCCGACTCCTAGAGCGGCCCCTCCCTCTTCCCGTATTTATGATATAAAGACCAACAGAGGGGAATTGATGAAGGCGGGGAAGCGGGCAAAGGGTGACGTCGCAACGGAACATCCGCTTCCGGAAATCTGCCCAACTTCGAAGGCGTGGCGGCCATCTTAGGTAAGGTTACGGGGAAATTCCGGCCGCTCTTCCGCAGTAATATGGCGGGCATCCGGAAGTGAGGTAAGTATAAACTTCCGGCTAACCCCCCCCAAAGGAAAGGGGACGGTGGAAATGATATTTAAATTTTAATACCACCCTTCCTATAGAAAAGCTTAAAATTCCGAAGCCAACACGTAATTGGTCATTAGGGGTAAGCGGTAAGCTGCCATTGGCCTGGTTGCTCTGGGTGGGTGCCGCTCTAGGCGTTGGCATCTCCATGATGAAACGCCCTCGTGCGTTGCACCCACGAGATAGGAAAAGTGTAGAGGCGCCATTCAAGTGCCAAAAGGCGGGAACCCATTGGCTTTCTCGTTTTCTTTAGAGAATGGAGAAACCCAATATTTTATTATATCCGAGACTTTATATCCAAACAACAACAACAGAAAAGGTGGCAACTAAGAGAGAAGTCCTCATATCTCTAATTCAACTCTTGATTTATTTCATGTGGAAAACACGACTTAAAAAATAATAATTCTGCCCTGCAAATCCCTTATCCTTGTATTATAAAGATTAGTCCATCTCAAATAAAGGGGAAAAATGCAGCGCAGATCTAATTAATGGAGTCATTTGCTTACACGTTCAATATAAGATTCTCTTTCCTGTTTGTATAATATATTGCATTTTGAAGAAACTATCGGGGTTGGACTAGATGACCGCTGGGTGTCCCTTCCAACTCTACGACTCCGTGATAATAGGAATCCTGAAATACTGTTTGAGAAGGGACGGGGTAAGGTTTGATCTGTGTTATTTTTATAATGGAGGTTGGCATGGAAGTGAAAAAAGGTAGTGAAAAGGAGAAGAGGGCGGAAAATGTTTCTCTGTCCCCTCTTTCTCTGTATCATGAATTATTTCATAAATAAATTTCTATAATGCCACCACTTCCTCGCCTTTTCTCTAATCAGAAAAGCCCAGACACTGCAATCTTTCTTCATAGGGGAGCTGCTCCAGCCTTTTGATCATTCTGGTGGTCCTTTTCCGAACTTTCCCCAACCCTACAATATCCTTTTTGAGGATATATCCTTTTGACCAGAACTGCACACAGGACTCTAAATGCAGCCACACCACAGATTTCTATAATGGCACTATGGTATCGGCAGATTTATTTTCACTCCCTTTCTTCCTAGCAACCCCTAGCATGGAATTCACATTTTTCACAGCCACCACACTCTGGGTCGACATCATCAAACCCGCCTGTTGCGACCCCAAAGTCTTGCTCCTGGTCCATTACCCCCAGTTCAGACCCAGTTTGGAGAAGAGGTGTTCCCAAAGACCTCACCCCCCCCCCAAATAAACCCCAGACACAACACGCCATCTGTTCTTGCACTTTCACTTTTATTGCAGCGGTCACTAAAAAGTAGAAATCACCCCACCTCCTCTCTCCCCTCAAGCCCTGTTAGTGTTAGTACCCAAAAGCACATATTTAGCCCCCAAAAGGGGGACCACAAACACCCCCACCCCAGTGGCTGTCCAGCTAAAGAGGCACAAAAAAATAAAACATTTAAGTCGGCCAGTAAACAATTAGTAGAAGCACCTTTGGGGCAACGAGGGTGTTAGGAAATATTTGGGGAGTCCCGATTTAGGAACAACTCGCTTTAAAAATAGCCTGTTCTCTATGGTTAGCTGGGTTAATGGCAGGGATGGGGGAGACGGCCCCCTCCTGACTGGGGAATGTAATGAACAAAGCTCATCTTCCACTCAACACAGTCGAAAGCCTTTTCCAACTTATAGCATCCTCCAGAAATTTTGGATTACAGCTCCTGGCTGGAGATATTTTCCAAAATATTTGGGGGGGGGGCGCCAGGTTGGGGAAGGTGAGGAATGACTTTTAAAACGGGGAGGGCAAACAAAGCAATATGGCAGCTATCAAAGGGAGTGGAATGAGGGAAGCATCCTCAGGGTCTAGATTCATGTGTAAGGAAGAAGTTTCACCTTCGTCCTGAAAGGGACATGGCCTCTCAAACGATGGCAGGGGACCACCCTGCCAGTAGTCTGGGTCGCAGGGCTGACCCAGTGTCCTAGAGAGACCCCTTAACACACATACACACCCACACATTCAAACGATGCCTTGTGGAAGTCGGAAAAGTGTCAAGTAACTTCTGTGTTCGGGTCTCGGGCCACACTCGCCCCGGGCAGCTAAAAGCACTAAAAAAAACCACTTTAAACAGTCATGGGTTCCCCGAAAGAACTCTGGGAGCTGTAGTTTTTTTTTAAGGGTGCTGAGAGCTGTTGATCCCCGTCTCCCAGGGCTACAACTCCCAGAGTTCCCTGGGAAGAGGGGCTGATTGTTAAAACTGAAGTTTGTTTGTGTGTGTGTGTTTGTAATAGGGGGTTTCCCAACAACTCTAAGCCCCCTTAACAAACCGCAGATCCCAGGATTCTTCCGGGGAAGCCATACCTGTTTAAAGTGATATCACCGCGGTTTAAATGGATGGTGCGAATGTGGCCCTAGAGTCAAGGTAGCATGCGCTGAACAAGTGGACTGGGGGCCCAATCCACCATTTCTAATTTCAGGAGTAAGGCTGCAGGGGCGTTGCCTGAAGGAGCAAATCTTACGAGCCTAGCAGCAAAAAGGCCACCCTATTGCTAGTGTTGGGGCACTGCCTTCGTTTTCCCTGAGGAGGTGTCTGTGCGGGAGAAGAATTCATGGCAGGCGGAAGAGCATCGATGTGCCTGGGAAACCGGTCTGTGCGTCTCATATGAATCCTGATGGAGCAGCTTGCAAAGGACAGGTTGCAAGGGAAATATATATGTGCAAGAACTGCCCTGTCTAACAGATTCTGATGGTCCAAGGCCTCTGCTACATGTTTCAGCTATGAAGGCATTCCCGAACCGTCTCCTTAAGAACATTCTCCTTAAAAACATAAAAAGAAGCAGCCCCTGCCAAACCTCTCTCTCCGCCCCCTTCAAGCTTGCTGGGCATTCACTCAAGACTCCCAAAATCCACCCGGGACTTGCAAGGTCCTCTCTGCCCCTTTCCAAAGCCACCTCTCCAAAACCACCAGGGCAAATTTTCTCACCACTCACTTCACTCGAGAGACAAGGCACCTTATTTCTTTTGTAAAAAAAAACAAAACAGAAACAGAAACAAAACCACCTAGATTTTCCACCCCTCTGCCCCCGCCAGGTCCTCCTCAGAGCTCCGTACAGGTGACGGGCGTCAGGCCGTGGATGAGCAGAGTGGGCCCCAGGTCTGTGGTCAGGATCGCCAGCTGCTCCAGGTAGCGCTCGTACTGCGAGGTGTCGGCCGGGGGGCGCGGGAGGTAGAGGAAGCGGACGGCCGTCTGCCCCCCTTGCTTCAAGAGTAGGTCGTTGACCGAGGCCAAGTACTCGTCGGTCACCTGGAAGGTGGCGGCGTTCAGGTAGGTCTCTCTCGCCGGTTTCTCGGCCCCGGAGGGAGGGTCCGGCCTCTCGGGGTCCCCCTGGGGCCCCGCGTCATGCTGGGGGTGGCCGTGGAGGGCCACCACCTGGTCCCACGTGACGATCTTGATGGTGGCCTTGATCCTCAGCTTGGTCAAGAGCTCCCTCAGCTTCTCCTCCTTGCTGACCCAGCCCACGTCTCCCGACTCCACGCAGAGGAAGATGCGGAGCCTCGCGGCCTTCCAGGAGCTGACCATGGTGAGGATGCAGGCCATCTGCAGGAGGAAGAGGCTGCAGATGTCCACGTAGGTGGGCGAGTTGGGGCGCAGGAGGTTGAGGGGCCACACGTCGATGTAGCGGCCCTCGAAGCGCCGCTTGGAAGAGGTCGACGAAGACGAGGGCGGCAGGTCCTTCTCCAGGAGGTGGAAGTAGCGCGCCAGGCAGACGTTCTTGTGCATCTTCACCGCGTCGGAGATGATGGCCACGTACTCGGAGGGTCTCAAGGCCCGCTGGCTCTCCGCCTCCCTCACCGGCGGGAAGTGGGCCTGGAGGGCCGGCAGGTCCACGCCGAACTCGTCGTTCTCCCGCGCTTGGCTGAAGGCCGGGTCTTGCAGGAAGTAATCCTCCGGGACGCAGTCGTCGTAGAAGCCAAGGACCAAAGTGTTGGGTTTCATCCCTCCTGTGGAGGAAAAGGCACACACACACAAGCAAAGTTGAGGTCAGTTTGTGGGCTTGGGAGACAGACACCTTGCCAGGTTCAAAGATGGAGGGTGAAAGAGCAGAGATTATATTTTCTGAGAATCCTCCGGAAAAATAATATCTCAAAGAACCTGTTGATGGCATTTTACCACTGTACTGCTAAGAGTGTATTAACTTATGGTCTGTGTGTGTGGTTTGGGAGCTGCACGGTCAGGGGAAAAACAATGCTATCCAGGGTTCTAAAGAGTGCGGAGAGAATAATTGGGTGCACTCTTCCCACCTTGGATCAAATCTATGTTTCCAGGTGCCGTAAGAAAGCTGCAGAGATAGCGCAGGATAGTGCGCACCCCGGAAATGATCTCTTTCAGCTTCTGCCTTCTGGAAGAAGGTACAGGGTTATAAAGACTAGGACTAGCCACCTGAGAAACAGTTTCTATCCAAATGCGATTTTGTTTTTAAACGCAGTGTAAGGTAGTCTCTGTGGGAGTATATTGTATTTAATTATGGGGTATCAGAGTTTTTAGGGGGCTAAACAGGCTGGGATAGCAGGCTTGTTGGTTTTTGAATGTCTGATGTAGATTTTTTCAATTTCATTGTTCTGTATGGGACAACGGCAATAAAGATTATCGTATCAAAAGATAAGAGATTGAAGGGTATATTTTGGGGCTGCCTCTAAGTACACAGCTCTTTGTACGGGACTGGGGAGTCTTCTCCCTCTCTTTTCTCTTATGGGAAACCCGCAAGCTGGATTCGAGCGCTTTTCCCATCCTGAAGTTTCCAGCAACTGGTATTCAGAAGCAATGCTGCCTCTGACTGTGGAGGTGGAGGAGCACAGCCACCGTGACTTACATAGGTCAGTAGTCAACCCGTCCCAAAAAGACATAACACATAAGGAAAAAGGGACGTGGGGGGAGAAGGAAAAATGTAAGCGTAGGCACCAGTTCCGAGAAGTTGGAAGTTCCTATCAGAACCAACTGCAATTGAAAGGATTCATGCAGCTGAATGTTTTTTTAAACTATTTTTAATTCTGAATTTTAAATAGTTGTAACCCGCCCTGGGACTTGCTGGTAATAAATAAAGTATTAACAATAACAATGCTGGTTTGTAGTACCGTATTTTTCGCCCCATAGGACGCACTTTTTCCCCTCCAAAAATGAAGGGGAAATGTGTGTGCGTCCTATGGGGCGAATGCAGGCTTTCGCTGAAGCCTGGAGAGCGAGAGGAATCGGTGCGCACCGACCCCTCTCGCTCTCCAGGCTTCAGGAAGCTATCCGCAAGCCTTGCAAGCCCGGCGGGAGGTCCCGTGGGCTCACAAGGCTTGTGGGCAGCAGCCTGCAGCCCCGGCGAGTGTCCGCAAGCCTTGCGTGCCCGGCAGAAGGTCCCGCCGGGTGCGCGAGGCTTGGGGCGGCAGCCTGTCGCCCGAAGCATGGGGAGCCCTCCGGAGGGCTGCCTGTGCTCGGGCGAGTGTCTGAAGCCTTGCGCACCCGGCAGGAGGTCCCGCCGGGCGCGCGCGGCTTGGGGCGGCAGCCTGTCGCCCGACGCCCTGGGAGCCCTCCGGTGGGCTCCCCGTGCTTCGGGCAGGTGTGTGCAAGGCTTGGGGCGGCAGCCGTGGCGGGGGGGGGGAATAATTTTTTTTTATTCATTCCCCCCCCAAAAAAACGAGGTGCGTCCTATGGGCCGGTGCGCCCTATAGGACGAAAAATACGGTAAGTAGAAGGGGGTTGGGTGCCTTATATGAGAAGCTAGGAAGAGCCCCGCTGCTGGATCAGCTCAAAGGGGTCCTAACCAGCCCACCCTCCTGTTTTCTGGGTGTCCAACCAGATGCCTCTTCTGGGGAGACCGCAAGCAGGAGCTGAGCTCAGCAGCAGCAGCAGCAGCTACTCTCTCCTTCTACCATACCAAACAACAGATCCAGAGGGATGCAGAGGTTAGAGTGTTGGACTGGGACAGGATGAGGCCAACACAGCACCCATAGCTCTTGGGATTGTAAGCCTGTGAGGAGAAGGACTGCCTTGTTAAGCCTGCTACGGAAAGCCTTTTATGTCTGAAGTGTAAGCCACAAATGCTCTAAATCAGATAAATAAATAAAGGAGCGTCTCCACCCCTCATCATTCGGCTCCGAGGGCCTTTTGGTGGTTCCCTTCCTGTGAGAAGCGAGGTTGGCAGGGAACCAGGCAGAGGGCCTTCTCAGTGGTGGCACCCGCCCTCTCATCAGATGTCCAGGAAATAAACAGCTACCTGACTTTTAGAAGACATCTGAAGGCATGTCTTCTGAAGACATCTGAAGGCAGCCCTGTTTAGGGAAGTTTTTAATGTTTGATATGTTTTATTCTGGTTTTAGTGTTCTGTTGGAAGTCGCCCAGACTGTCTGGGGAAACCCAGCCAGATGGGCAGGATATTATTATTATTATTATTATTATTATTATTATTATGTGCAGGTGAGTGGACTAGAGACCCAGGTCATTCTGGGGCTTCTCTCTCTCTCTCTCTCTCTCTCTCTCTCTCTCTCTCTCTCTCTCTGTGCCCCCTCCCTTCCTCACCCAAGCCGGTGATCCGGAGGAGGTGCTGTGTCCCTTGGCGGACCGAAGGCGAGAGGGTGAGGTCCACGAAGGCCTTGATGCTCAGCTTGTCCACCAGGCTCAGCCAGAAGTTGTAGTGGGCTTGGATGGGGTCAGAGGGCATCGTGTCTGCAGAGGGAAAACCACAAAAGGCAGGCAGGAAGTTACCAACAGGAGGAGAAGAGAATGGAACCAGTTAGAGGCAGCAAGGCCTTTGAAGGACCTCTCAAGGACCAGGTGCGCAGCCTGGGAGTCGTTTTGGACTCACCGCTGTCCATGGAGGCGCAGGTCAGTTCTGTGTCCAGGGCAGCTGTCTGCCAGCTCCATCTGGTACGCAGGATGAGACCCTCCCTGCCCACAGACTGTCTGGCCAGAGTGGTGCATGCTCTGGTTATCTCCAGCTTGGACTACTGCCATGCGCTCTACCTTTGAAGGTGACCCAGAAACTGCAACTAATCCAGAATGCAGCAGCCAGACTGGTGACTGGGAACGGCCGCCAAGACCACATAACACCGGTCCTGAAAGACCTACATTGGCTCCCAGTATGCTTCCGAGCACAATTCAAAGTGTTGGTGCTGACCTTGAAAGCCCTAAACGGCCTCGGTCCTGTATACCTGAAGGAGCATCTCCACCCCCATTGTTTAGCCTGGACACTGAGGTCCAGCTCCAAGGGCCTTCTGGCGGTTCCCTCCCTGCGAGAAGCGAGGTTGCAGGGAACCAGGCAGAGGGCCTTCTCGGTGGTGGCACCTGCCCTCTCATCAGATTTCAAGGAAATAAACAGCTACCTGACTTTTAGAAGACATCTGAAGGCAGCCCCGTTTAGGGAATTTTTTAATGTCTGATGCTTTCTTGTATTTTTTAATATTATTATTATAGTTCTACAATGCCTAGCTTGCCACATGTCCTTCACTGAGGCTCTCTGCCTGTAGGGCAACTGGGGGCCGGATTCACAGAACCGCAGCGCTGAGCGAGCGTAGGACCAGTTTTTCCTTGCCGTTGGTTTGGGAAGTGGTCTGGACGTCTGCCCCTTGTCCTCCGCTTCCGCCCCGGGTGTCCCTCTTACCAAGGTCCCCGATCTCCACGTGCCCCAGGACAAAGAGGCCCCCTTTCTTGAGGTGGTTGATAAACTTCATGAGCTGGGAGCTGCCCCGGGGGTTGGCCACCATAAGGAGGATCTGGGGCCGCCAGAATTTGACGTGATCCTTCCGGATATCGAGGAGGAGCAGATACTTCCGGACCTGTTTTGGAGGGGGGTGGAAAAGGGGGAAAGTGAGAAGGTGGAGGGGTAGCCGTCAAGTTGTGGAGGACAGCTCCCTGATAATAATAAATAATAATAATATTTTATTTATATCCCGCCCTCCCCAGCCGAAACTCCTAACAGAGCAGTTTAACCACCAATCTGTCTCCCCCAGGGAATTGTAGGGGAATAATAGGGGGTCTCAACCCTCAGCACTGTTAATGAAGCAGCGCTCCCAGAATCCTTTGGGGGAAGCCATGGTTGTTCAAAGGAGCACCATAGTGCTCTCTGTGAGGGGAATAGGGGTCTCTCCTCAGAAATCTCAGCACTCTGAACAAGCCACAGCTCCCAGAATCCTTTGGGGGAAGCCATGACTGTTCACACTAGTATGATAGTGTGCTCTGTGAGGGGAAGAAGGGGGTCTCCTCACAACTCTCGCCTCCCGTCACAAACTTCAGCTCCCAGAATCCTTTGGGGGGAAGCCATGACTGTTTACAGTGGTATACTGTAGTATGCTTTTGTGAGGGGAATAGTGGCTCTCCTCACAACTTTTAGCATCTTTAACAAAGTACAGCACCCAGAATCCTTTGTGGGACGCCAGGACCATTGAAAGTGGTATCATAGTGAGCTCTGTGATGGGACTAGGGGTCTCTTCCTTTAGGGGAAGCCATGACTGTTCAAAGAAGCATCATAGTGCTCTCTGCGAGGGGAATATAGGGATCTCCTCAGAAATCTCAGCAATCTGAACAAGTCACAGCTCCCAGAATCCTTTGGGGGATGCCATGACTGTTCAAAGGGGCACCATAGTGCTCTCTGTGAGGGGAATAGTGGTCTCAGAAATCTCAGCACTGTGAACAAGCCACAGCTCCCAGAATCCTTTGAGGGAAGCCATGACTGCATAGATATATCCAGGGCTTCTTTTTCACATGGAACTTGCCAGAAATCAGTTCTGGCACCTCTCATGTAGGCGCCATTGCCATCCTTGAGAGAACAAGGGAGGTGTTCTTGGCGAGTTCCAGCGCCTCTTTTTTACTAGAAAAACAGCACTATATAGTGCTTTGTGTGAGGGGAATAAAGGGGTCTCCTCAGAAATCTCAGTACCCGTAACAAGCCACAGCTCCCAGAATCCTTTGGGGGAAGCCATGACTGTTCAAACTAGTATGATAGTGTGCTCTGTGAGGGGAAGAAGGGGGTCTCCTCACAACTCTCGGCTCCCTTCACAAACTTCAGCTCCCAGAATCCTTTGGGGGGAAGCCATGACTGTTTAAAGTGGTATACTGTAGTACGCTTTTGTGAGGGGAATAGTGGCTCTCCTCACAACTTTTAGCATCTTTAACAAAGTACAGCTCCCAGAATCCTTTGGGGGATGCCATGACTGTTCAATGGGGCACCATAGTGTTCTCTGTGAGGGGAATAAGGGGGTCTCCTCACAACTCTCAGCTCCCTTCACAAACGTCAGCTCCCATAATCCTTTGAGGGAAGCCATGACTGCCTAGATATATCCAGGGCTTCTTTTTCACACGGAACTTGCCGGAAATCAGTTCTGGCACCTCTCATGTAGGCACCATTGCCATCCTTGAGAGAACAAGGGAGGTGTTCTTGGCGAGTTCCAGCGCCTCTTTTTTTCTAGAAAAACAGCACTATATAGTGCTTTGTGTGAGGGGAATAAAGGGGTCTCCTCAGAAATCTCAGCGCCTGTAACAAGCCACAGCTCCCAGAATCCTTTGGGGGAAGCCATGACAGTTTAAATTGGTGCCTTAGTGTTTTAGGTGCACCGGGCGAATGTGGCCACTTGCCGCTGCTCCCTCCAGAAGGTCTCAGGTTCAACCCCCAGCATCGCCAAGTGAGGATCAGGAAGGGCCTGTGTCCGAGACCCACAGAGCCGCTGCTGCCAGTCTGTGCAGACAGCACTGAAGGAGGTGGGCCTGTGTTCTGACTCAGTGCAAGGCAGCTCCCTCTGCCCCCGAATTAATTTATTTTTATTGCATTTATTTTTTTTTATTGCATTTATTTTTATTTATTGCATTTCTATCTCCAAGGAGCTCAAGATGGCATGCTAAGTTCCCCATACACCCCAATTTCCTCCTCACACCAACCCTGTGAGGTGGGCTAGGCTGAGGGTCTGGTCACGCCCAGTGAGCTTCCCAGCGGAATTTGAACCCTCATCTCTCCCAGATCCTAGTCTGAAACTCTAACCACTATGCAACACCACCACCGGGAATTGGGCAGAGCACTTGCTCCACATACAGAAGGTCCATGATGGCATCTCAAGTCTTAAAAACGAGTAAACATGAGCCAGGTAACAGGTGACAGAGCAAAATCTCTGCAACGATTATGGGCTAGAGGCAGCAACGTGTGCTGGGAGTTTAGACTGTCCCTGGAGGATGTCTGAGAAGCCCTGGGCTCCCCTCCAGGGAGACACCCACGCAGGTGTAAGGAGGGTACCTGGTGGAAGATGAGGGCCTGGCTGATGTAGCCCCAGGAGGAAGCCGCGGAGCGCAGGTGGATGAAGCCCAGGAGCAGCAGCATGAGCCCCAGGCTGCCAGAGGCGCCGGCCGCACTGATCAGGAACATCATCACCAGGCAGGAGACGATGCCCAGGAGGCAGGTGTGCCACGAAAACACCTGGAAGGTGGGGCTGGGGGAGGGGGAAGAAAAAGAGCGGGGAGGCAGGGAGGGGTGCGCTCAGTACAGTCTGACATCGAGGATGGGGACCCTCAAATGTGGCCCCCCACATCTCCCCATCTGGCCCTCAGTGATATATCCTCTTTACCCTAGCCACGCCCCCTCCTCGGCCACGCCCTCTCTGCCCTGGCCACACCCTCCCTTAGCCACACCCCTCTCCACCCAGGCCACTCCTCTCCCACAAGCACACCCCTTTCAGACAAGGCCACACCCCTTTCTCAGCCACACCTCTTTTCAGTCACATATTCTCCACCTAGGCCACGCCCCTTCCTCAGCCACACCCTCAACATCCTGGCCACACCCCTTTCTGCTCTGGCCACGCTTCTCCCTCAACCACACCCCTTTCAGACAAGGCCACACCCCTTTCTCAGCCACACCCTCAACATCCAGGCCACACCCCTCTCCACCTAGGCCACGCCCCTTCCTCAGCCACACCCTCAACATCCTGGCCACACCCCTTTCTGCTCTGGCCACGCTTCTCCCTCAACCACACCCCTTTCAGACAAGGCCACACCCCTTTCTCAGCCATACCCCTCTCCACCTAGGCCACGCCCCTCCCTCAACCACACCCCTTTCAGCACAGGCCACACCCCTTTCCCAGCCACATCTTCTCCACCCAGGCCACGCCCCTTCCTCGGCCACACCCTCAACATCCAGGCCACACCCCCTCTACCTAGGCCACTCCCCTCCCTCAACCACACCCCTTTCAGACAAGGCCACACCCCTTTCCCAGCCACACCTTCTCCACCCAGGCCATGCCCCTTCCTCGGCCACACCCTCAACATCCAGGCCACACCCCTCTCCACCTAGGCCAGCCCCTCCCTCAACCACACCCCTTTCAGCACAGGCCACACCCCTTTCTCAGCCACACCTTCTCCACCCAGGCCACACCCCTCTCTATTCCTACTTTGCACACCTGGCCTTGAGCTGCAATGATGCCTCTTGCTTGCCTGAACCGGGAAGAGTGCGCAAGCGTGTCTGTTACAAATGTCAAAATGCACACCCATTGCCCTGCCCTCTGGCCCCTCCCACCACCGGAATATCCCTCCCCCCCCCCAAAAAAAGGCAGTGCACCCCTCAGGCAGAGGCAGGACCCCCCAACTCAGGTTGTGACTGCGGTTTCAGAGCAGCGTAACCATCAGAAAGGCCGACTTGCTGCCTCGCCCCTCCCCTCTCCCCAAAGCGGCCTGGCTCCACCCCCTCCCGGGACACCACACCCACCGGAAATTGGGGGCGGAGGCCCACTCCAGCGCCAAGCAGGCCAGGTCCACGGCGGCATAGGCCACGAGGTAGAAGACGGTGACGATGCTGGCGATGGTGTTCAGCTTCCCGACGAAGAGGACCAGCTGGGAGAGACACCGAGCGGAAAAAGAGTCAGGGCGGCAGAGGAAGCGAGGGGGCTGCAGCTATGGGGCAGGGAAGCCCTGTCCTGGCTCTGGCGCTGCCCGTGCCCCCTTCCTGGCATCACTTATTGGGGTTCACTGGGTCCTCGAGACCAATTTATTCTTTTATCGTTTGCTGTGAGTCCCGCTCACGGCATTCCCACTGGAAAGGACTCTGGACTAGGTGGGCCACTGGCCTGATCCAGAATGCTGCTATTATTATTATTATTATTTATTAATTTTGTATACCGCCCTGTACCCGCAGGTCTCTTACGTTCTTACAACTGCGAGCCGGCAAAAGGCAGGATAAAAATGATGCTATCATACCAGTCAATCTCTGGAGCCACCCATGTTTAGGAAAGTTTTTAACGTTGATGTTTTATCATGTTTTTATAATACAGTGGTACCTCGGGTTAAGTACTTAATTCGTTCTGGAGGTCCGTTCTTAACCTGAAGTGCCACTTTAGCTAATGGGGCCTCCTGCTGCTGCTGCACCGTCGGAGCATGATTTCTGTTCTCCTCCTGAAGCAAAGTTCTTAACCCGAGGTACTATTTCTGGGTTAGCGGAGTCTGTAACCCGAAGCGTATGTAACCTGAAGCGTATATAACCCGAGGTACCACTGTATTCTGCTGGGAGCCGCCCAGAGAGGCTGGGCAAACCCAGCCAGATGGGCGAGGTATAAATAATCAATTATTATAATATTATTATTGATATCGAGTTGCTTTGGACTGCGACTCCGAACAGCAGCTGATGGTAGCTGTAGTCCACACCACCTGGAGGGCTCCAGGCTAGTTTATATATTTTTAAAATCCCTTGCTCAAAGGCCACCTCACTCGATAACTGACTAGCTGCAGATTCCTGCATTGCAAATGGGCTGGACTCGACGATCCCCGGAGTCCCTCCTAAGATAGATTCTATGAATCTATGAAACTGCAGCTAGGACCGCTGCTCCCCTGTCTTGCCCTTCAGCATCTATGCCAGGGGTCAGCAAACTTTTTCAGCAGGGGGCTGGTCCACTGTCCCTCAGACCTTGTGGGGGGGGCGGACTATATTTTGGAAAATAAAAATAAAAATGAACGAATTCCTATGCCCCACAAATAACCCAGAGATGCATTTTAAATAAAAGGGCACATTCTACTCATGTAAAAACACACTGATTCTCAGACTGTCTGCGGGGCGGATTTAGAAGGCGATTGGGCAATATCTGGCCCCCAGGCCTTAGTTTGCCTACCCATGATCTATGCCCTTCTTGTTTTCTCATTTTCCAATGTTGTCCGGGACAGAGCAGCTCTGGGGTTCCCCTGAGCGGCACAGGGTGAAAGGGGAAGGAGGAAAAGAGGAGAACGTACCTGCACAAGCGCCCAGGTGTAGAGGACGGCCACCCACGGGTTGCCCCCTTTGGAAACAATCTTCGCCGGAGCAAGGACAATTCCTGCCGTGAAAAGGCAACAATGGGATCTTCGGCGAGGGAAGGCAGGCTTGGGGAGACAAGGCAGGGAATGCCTGTGGATCCTTTCCATATATTTCTGGACTCCCAACTCCCCTCAGCCACCACGGCCAACGGGCAGGGACGACGGTGGGAACTGTAGCGCCCGGTGGGAGTTGTAGTGCAGCGGCACCCGGAGAGCTATGGGTCCCCCCTGCACTCATGTAAAGGGATTTTTCTGGAGGGGAAGGACTCACCAAACAGGTCGTCCTTTGCCAGGGCGTGGAGGATCCGCGACGCGCCAATGAGGTTGCTCATCGATGCCGAGAGCGACGCAGAGTAGATGCCGATCAGCACAAAGGGCGGCCATACATTGATAGCCCGGAAGAAGCCGTAGTCCCCCTTCAGCAGAGCCCTGCGGGGTAGTCCAATACGTAAGAACACAAGAGCAGAACTGGCGCCGTTGCAAGTGCCACACAACGCCCATTCCGCCTTTGTAAGAAATCAAACTTTCACTTAGACTTTGGAACTCCCTGCCAATTGACACCAGGCAAGCGCCTTCACTGAATTCTATTTTCGGCGCCTGCTAAAAACATTTCTCTTCAGGGAAGCCAACCTAGAAGTTCAATCTGGTGTTCAAGCTTACCGTTGATTTAATTTAAAAAAATGTTTTAAATGGTTGGTTTTAAACCGATTATTTATTAACAAATATTATTTATTAAATTTGTATAGCACCCTTCACCTGAAGATCACAGTGCAGTTCACAACATAAAAATACAAAATGAGGATGCAAAATTCACAATAAAACACAAACAAAACGATATCCCGCCCTCCCACAAACACACTTAAAAAGTCATGGTTGAAGGGCGCCTAAAGATATATAATGAAGCTGCCAGCAAAACCTCCCCAGGGAGAGCATTCGACAAACGGGGAGCCACCACAGATAAGGCCTCTTCTTTTGTTGCTACCCCCCGGACCTCTCATAGGGGAGACATACGAAGGATGTCCTCAGAAGATGATCTCAGGGTCTGGGTCAGTTCATATGGGGAGAGGCAGTCCTTGGGGTATTGCGGCCCCGAGCCATTTAAGGCTTTATAGGTCAAAACCAGCACTTTGAAACCTAATTGGCCGGCAGTGCAGTCGGGCCAGGAATTTCTTCCTATATATATAGAAATGAAGGGTGTCGTCACGCTCTGCAGTTGGCACAAGGCCAGCAGGCAGGCCCAAGCAAGCTGTTTAATGGGGAGGGAGGGGAGGCTCTGTGAAGCTCCTCCCACTCCTGAAAAGGGGTGGGGCTTGGGAGGAAGGGAGGGGCTTGGGGTGAGCTGTGTGGGAGATAGGGGAGGAGGTCAGTGAGGTGTAAAGGGAGGGGGCATTTGTCATTTGTTGGGGAAGGCCTGCCCCTAGCAAAATATTTATTTGCTTTATTTCATTTCACAAAGTCCATACGCCGCTTGATCGTTGAAACCCACTGAAGCCGATTTGCAAATAAACTACCACCCACCTCTCGCAGGTGAAGCTGGTCATGAAGAAGAGAAGGAAATAGATGACAAACGTGTAGACCACGGCAATGATGGTCCCTTTCGGGATGGAGCTGCTGGCATTTTTGAGTTCCCCTATTTTTAAAAAAAGAGAGAGGTGAAAACAGCTGCTGCTTTGAGGCAAGTTGGGATTTTGTTTTTGCATTCCCCACCCCTCTCGTTTTTGTCACAGATTGGAAATTAACAAAACTACATTTTTAAAAAAGGCTCTCCCTGCAAAATGGGCGCAGGGTCCCAAGCGCCACCCCCCGGCCACGAGAAAGGAGGGCATGCGCCCCTAAAACCCACCTCCTGCTGCCCCCCTCGCCCCGGCCCACCCTCCGAAAACCTCACCTGACATGTTGGACCCGGCCATGATGCCCGTGCAGCCGTTGAACATGACGGCGAAGACAGTGGCGAAGGACATGATGTTGTTGGTGGTGTAATCGCGAGAGTACATGGCTGCGAAGGGAGATAAGCATGTTCGTAGGAGACACACACACACAATGTATGCGCCCGCACAACTGCTTCGATCAGTGAGACTGGCACTTTCACCTGTGCCACACAGTGCCCTCACCGCATCTGCAAGAACCTGGGCATTTAGTGTGGCGGCACCGACACTGTGGAACTCCCTACCCATTGATATCAGGCAGGGGCCTTCGCTGCATTCCTTTCCTACCTGTCCGCAGACTGTCTTGCCAGAGTGGTGCATGCTCTGGTTATCTCCCGCTTGGACTACTGCGATGTGCTCTATGTGGGGCTACCTTTGAAGGTGACCCGGAAACTGCAACTAATCCAGAATGCGGCAGCTGGACTGGGAACTGGGAGCTGGGAGCGGCCGCCAAGACCATATAACACCGGTCTTGAAAGACCTACATTGGCTCCCAGGATGTTTCTGAGCACCATTCAAAGTGTTGGTGCTGACCTTGAAAGCCCTAAATGGCCTCAGTCCAGTATATCTGAAGGAGCATCTCCACCTCCATCGTTCTGCCCGGACACTGAGGTCCAGCTCCGAGGGCCTTCTGGCGGTTCCCTCCCTGCGAGAAGCCAAGTTACAGGGAACCAGGCAGAGGGCCTTCTCGGTGGTGGTGCCCGCCCTGTGGAATGCCCTCCCAGCAGATGTCAAGGAAATAAACAACTATCCGACTTTTAGAAGACATCTGAAGGCAGCCCTGTTTTGGGAAGTTTTTAATGTTAGATGTTTTATTGTGTTTTTAATATTCTGTTGGGAGCCGCCCAAAATGGCCTGGGAAACCCAGCCAGATGGGCAGGGTATAAATAATAATAAAATAATAATAAAATAATAATAAAATAATAATAATAATAATAATAATAATAATAATAATAATTATCATCCTTTTGGCATCTGTGGAGAGCATTCCGCCTGCCCGGTTGCTCAGAAAGTTTGCAGGCGTTTCTATTTGTTTCCTTTTTGCTTTTAGCTCTCTGTACATTCGCCCGTTTGGCGAAGTTCTGCTCTGGGCCTCCTCCCTCGGTCGTTCCGCACCCGCCGCAGACTTACCATACATGTTGTCCCTGAGCGTGGAGACGTTGAACCCGGTGAAGGAGGCATTGAAGCTATGGTTCCCGTCCCGGGAGACCGCGATCTCCCGAGGCGACACAGCAAAGAAGCTGGCGAAGATGGTGATGAGGACAGCGTTGACCACCAGGAAGATGAAGAAGGCTGCCCGGGAGTAGATGTGGGACCCCACCAGGCAGACCAGGAGGCAGACCAGGAGGACAACCGAGCCGTAGAGGAAGCTGTACAGGTAGCCCTGGGGGAGAGCCTTTGCCCCGGGAGGGTCGGATCCGTCTGCAGGCGTTGGGGAAGGGAGGTTAGGAATCACAGAATCACAGAACTGTGGATTCGGAAGGGGGGTCCCCCAAAGGTCATCCAGACCAACCCCCTGCGATGCAGGAATTTCAGCTGATAATCTCGTCGTTTTGCTATTTCGTAAACTGCCTTGAGGTTGTTTCTTTCCCCCGCCAATCAGGCAGAATATAAATTGCACGACATAAACACTGTATTTTTCGCTCTATAAGACGCACTTTTTCCCTCCTAAAAAGGAAGGGGAAATGTGTGTGCGTCTTATGGAGTGAATGCCGGCTGCGCGGCTATCCCAGAAGCCAGAACAGTGAGAGGGAACGCTGTGCAGCGCTCCCTCTTGCTGTTCTAGCTTCTGGCTTAGCTGTGCAAAGCCTCTTCAGGGCACGGGAAGCCTCCAGGCAAAAGCCTGGGATAGCCGCACTCCCTTTTCCTCCTTGGGGAAAAGCCTGCAAGCGCCGCACACACGCTTCTCGCAGCTCGTGAAAGGGAGCCCTGAGCAGAGCCTGGGATGCAGACAGACTCTGTTCAGCGCTCCCTTTAAAGAATCCCCCCCCCCCTTGCATTCCCCCTCTAAAAACTACGCACATCTTATGGCCAGGTGCGTTTTACGGAGCAGAAAATACGGTAAACACCCCTCGCTCGTCTTGACACCCACCTGCTCCGAAGTCGTCCAGAATGGCTTCCACCAGCCCAAGGACATAGACGCCGCAAGCGCAGACGTTGGCCAGGTAGAACATGAGCCCGATGCTGCCGCCAAATTCGGGGCCCAGGGTCCGACTGATCATGACTGAAAGCGGCCGGGTTGGGGGGGGGGAAGGTTGTCAGTTAAGGCAAAGTTTTGAAAGAGGAGAAGTTGAGGAACCGCCACCCTCCCAAACTCACGGAGGATGAGCATAGCTGTGGAGCCTCCATGTACAGGGGAAGTCTACCTCAAATTACCAGGCGGCATGGAGCAGGAACTAGCGAGGGCCGACTCCATTCGGGCCACAATTCAAGGGCCTCTTTCTGGGATGGTCAGAGTTGGAGCAAGTTCCGGGGGGGGGGGGGGGCAGAAAGAACAGGACCTTTATCAAAGTCCCAAGAGTTTCAGAGCGACATGCACCTCCTTTGGGAGCTTGGAAAAAGCTTGCCAGTTCTTTAAATCCTTGCGGGATCAGGCCCATCTACTCCAGCATCCTGTTCTCACAGATAAGTGGAGGCAGAGCGTAGACCAGGCTTCCTCAACCTCGGCCCTCCAGATGTTTTGGGACGACAACTCCCATCATCCCTAGCTAACAGGACCAGTGGCCAGGGATGATGGGAATTGTAGTCCCAAAACATCCGGAGGGCTGAGTTTGCCTATGCCTGGCATAGAGAAATCCTGGACACTAGCCACCGACAGCTCCTCTCCTCCTCCATTAATTCCCCCAATCCTAAAGCCCTCCAGGTTGGTGGCCATTGCTGCCTCCTGTGGCAGGGAGTTCCATAGTTTAACTGTGTGTCGCGTGAATAGATGGGAAAAAAAACAAAAGAGGAATGTAAATGGGTAAAAGTGATGGTAATTGCAGCCAGGCAGGTTATAGCGAGTAATTGGGAAAATGCAGAACTGCTAGGGGCGAACCAATGGAGGAAAAAACTGAATAAGATTATAGTTTTAGAATACCTGACTGTGAAGATACATAGAATGAAAGGGCTTAAGGCCAGTGAGAAAGAGGAGGATTGGTTTGAGAAGATACTGAATTATTTGGGCAGGTTTGAACAATTTGGGGCAATTAAAATGTTAAAAAGTTAAATAAACCTTGTGGAGGGAGCAGTGTTAAGGTATATAGAAGTGTACATATGGTTGATCTGAATATGATATTATTGAATATGATTATTCAATATGTATATTATGTATATTATGTATATTATTGAATTTATATGTATATTATTGAATATTTATACCCAATGTATCAGCTGCCTGTGGGGTTTCACTGCTTGTGTTTTGGTACTTGGTAAAAAAAATTAAAATATTATTTAAAAAATTATTATTTTTTGCTTCCTCCCACCCGCCCACTCTCCCCCCTTGCTCCATCCAAGAGCAACCAAAGTGCGTCGAATTGCCCCCCCCAAAAAGGATACAGTAAGCCCCGCCTGCCTGGACCGCTCCATTGGTGGAGATGGCGCAGACGGACAGGACGGTCAAGGAAATGATGACATAGGCCACCACCAACATAAGGAGAGACTGCAGGAAGCCTGCGTGGCCGATGACAAACCCTGCGTGGAGACACGGATCAAGGTCAGGTTTTGGGGTTTTTTTATAAAAGGGGGGGGTGCAGAGAAGGACAGCCACCTTGGTGCCTCTCGAACCCAGAGCCCGACTCACCCACACGCATGAAGACCACAATGCTGAACATGGAGAGGACCGTGGGGACGATGACCCCGAAGAACGTCGACAGCTGCCGGGCCGGGTCATGGTGGGAGCTCCCCGTGGCTGACCCCGCCACCCCCACCACCAGGGGGGCCTCTTCCTGGCCGCCCCCTGGCATCTCGCCCTCGCTAGAGACCTGGAAGAGCCGGTAGCTGAGCAGAGGGGAGCTCTCTGTAGACATGGCCTGGGGGGGCCGCAAGCTCCCCGGTTTATCTAGGGGGGCAGAAAACAGGAAGATTGGGGGGGGGGGGAGAGAGAGAGATTAGCTGCAGCAGTTGTAATCATCAGCTCCAATCGCTGAATCAGACCAATGGCCCATTTTATTATTATTTTTAATATAATTTTTATTAAGTTTTCCATATTTTATTACATTTCAATCTCAAAAAATAATAATTCATGGCTTAAGACATTGCTTAAATAAAGCATCGGCCTCCTTCCTTCCCTCCAACAGACCTCCATATCTCATTACCAATTTCTCCACGTTCCTAAAATTCACTTTTTTACCTTAAATCAATCTTTTAACAATCGCCTACTTATCAGTAAATCAGCTCCTTAATTTCCCATTACCACCAAACATTTCAACTTAAACCTACAAACGTATCCAACTGTTTGCAATTTTCTTTCATATAGAGTATAAATTTGCCCCAGTCCTTTTGGAACAAATCATCACAGCCATTCCGAATCTTCCCCGTCAGCTTCGCCAGCTCCACGTATTTACTTGCCAATCTTCCAATGTGGGGAATTCTTGTTGCTTCCATTTCTGGGCCAGGAGTATTCTTGCGGCCGTTGTTGCACGCATGAACAAATTTACATCTTTCATTTGTATTTCCTCAATTAACCCCAACAGGAAAGCCTCTGTTTTTTTGCTGAAATTATACTTAAATATCTTTTTCAATTCATTATATATGGTATCCCAAAAGGCTTTAATCTTGGAACATGTCCACCACATATGCGAGAAATTTCTTGCCAATGGCCCATCTTAGTCCAGCATCCTCTTCTCACATGAGCCAACCAGATGTGCATTACAGTGGTACATTGGTTCCCCAAAGCCAAAAACCCAGTTCCGTTTTTCAAAAACTGGATGTCCGATGAGGCTGTCAGCTACTGTGTTTCCGGGGCGGCTGCACCTGCCTTGGTTTTCGAACATTTCGGAAGTCAAGTGGACTCCCAGGACGGATTAAGTTTGGCGCTTTTGTTTTTGTTGTTTATTTTGCGTTTTTGTTTTTTGAGGCTTTTCTGGTTAATTTGTTTTTTGCGATTGTGTGGAGCCCAGTTTGGCTAGCGATAGATTGATTGTGTGTGACGGCGGAAATGGATAAAAGCCCCCCATCCAAACGATGACTATCATCCGCGCAGGTAAGGAAAAAATAATAATTTTAATTTCTGTCATCTCCAATACTGCCTTGTTTATTTTATAGTACAGTACACTGATTATTGCTTTCATTTTATGGATCAATGGTCTCGTAAGAGAATAAAATTCATGTTGGACTGCTGTTTTCAAAAATCTGGAACGGATTAATCGGTATAGCATGAGACTCTTAATCCCAGGGACTTGGGTTCGAGTTCCGGGTACGGCAAAAGTTTCCTGCACTGCAGGGGGGTTGGACTAGGTGACCCTAACTCAACAATCCTAAGATTCTATGGATCCGAGGCCAAGAGCCCTCTGCTCCTCCGCGAATTTGCCAAACCCCATTTTAAAGCCATGCAGGTCAGTGACCACCCCTGCTTCCGTCCTGTGGAAGTGAGTTCCATAGGTTAACTCTGCATACCAAGCAGGAGCTCTGCCCCTGAACTACACAGGCCTGTTCCTCAAAGAAAGGTGTGTTGGGCGGGGGTAGGTGCTGGATCAGGGAGGATCCTGGGGGGGGGGGGGCTGGGGAGAACCAGGGCTGCTGGGCCTCATGACCCACTGGCATGGAAGCAAGCTCTCTTCATGGATCCTCTTTGGGACCATTCAGCGGTGAGCACAGAATCATAGCTTTGTTGTTGAGGGGCCCCCAAAGGTCATCCAGCCCAACCCTAACCCCCCGCAATGAAGGAATCTCAGCTGAAGAACCCCTGACAGGTGGCCATCTGACCTCCGAGGAAGGGGAGCCCACCACCTTCCGAATAAGGAATTCGGTGCATGCTCAGAGGAGCCCATGTGTCTATTATTGCACAACCATGAGAAAAATAAGTTATTATTATTATTTGTTCAATTGATATAAAGGTAAAGGGACCCCTGAGCGGTAGGTCCAGTTGTGGCCGACTCTGGGGTTGCGGCGCTCATCTCGCTTTATTGACCATGGGAGCCGGCGTACAGCTTGCGGGTCATGTGGCCAGCAGGACTAAGCCGCTTCTGGCGAACCAGAGCAGCGCATGGAAACACTGTTCACCTTCCCGCCGGAGTGGTACCTATTTACCTACTTGCACTGGTGTGCTTTCGAACTGCTAGGTTGGCAATTGATCATACACTGCCCTTTATCCAAAGATCCCAATATTAAGAATGTAGTTTATGCGGCATAACAACGAATAGCATAACATACAGCATATTAATAAAATAGTCATAATAACAGTGGGTTAAATTTTTTTAAGGAGGGTGGGGAGAGTGGCGTTCAGCCAACTCCCGTTAAAAAAATGATACGAGGGAGGACAGGAAAACCGGGTAATAATTTGTAACACCCCCCCCAAAAGAGATGTGCTAAAAAGCATCCATGACTCTAGATCAGGAGTGATCCCCTCCTAAACCCCCCCTTAATCTCGTGGGATTCCAGTTTACCAAGCTGGGGGGGGGGGGAGAGATTTGGGAAGGGCATCCTGAGAGCAGAGATTTTCCCATCAAGCCCAGGGGCGCAGCGGGACCCCTTATCAGCCCCAGGGGCGGAACGGTGATGCTGAGACGGGGACCCGATCCTCACAGGGACCCAGGAGTCCGAGCCAGCCTCAGCTCTCCCTCCCAGCCCTTCTCCTCCCCGCCCCCTCTCTCCCGAAGAACCCAGGCGTCCTGGCTCCATCCCCCGGGGGTGGGTGGGGCCCCCGCTTCTTTGCAACCCCACCCCCACGCGGAGGGACCCAGGCGTCCTGGGCCCCCCGCCTCGCACCGACCTGGCCGCGTCCTTTGCAGCAGCCCCGGGAGGCGACATGGAGCTTCGGCCGGACCGGCTCCAGCGCCGGGCGGGTCACGGGCTCTTCATGTGACCGGCCCGGCCCGGCTTCCTCCTCCTCCTGCCGGGATGCGATTGCATCCGCCGCCGCCGTGAGCTCAGATCCTGCCCGGGAGGAGCCTCGGCTGGCCGGCGAGGAAAAGGAGGAGGAGGAGGAAGGCGGAGGCAGCTGCAACCCACCCCCCATAAAAAGAAAAAGCCCAGGCAGGCTTGACACGCGTCGACCCACAACCCGGATCCGCGCCACCCACCGTTCTCACGTTACGCGTGTTCGCGGGAGGTCGTGCGGCGCCGCGCCTCTTGCCTCCCCGGGACAAAGGAAAGGGCTTGCCTTCCTGGGCTGCCCTGTGTAGGCACAGCAACCGGATTTCTTGCAAGGGCAGACACGTGTTTTTGGGGTTGGGTGGCTGGAAAAAGCCGGCCCTGGGGCTGGTTCTCTGCCTTCCCAGGGCGTGTGTTTGTTTGCGTGTCTTCCTCGCCTTCTTCCTAACATTTGTTACCCTGGACCTGAGCCTCTGGCAACAGAGATTTCTTTCAAGAGTGTTTTTGTTAAATTTTGTCCATTACAACCCAAATAGTCAAATGCATAAAAACTATTTTATTTTTTTATTGAGTTTTCATTTTAAATACACCAACACCAACAAACAAACGTCTCTACGGAACATAAAGTAGGATACATGTAAAAAGACTTGATGTTTTTGTTTGTAGGCAAATGCATAAAAACTAAACCAAACTAGGGTTGTCCTAGGCTGTTGACATTCACAAGAAATATATATATATATAAAGCTGGTTATCCGGATATTTGTGATAAAAAACAGGCAGGTAAGTGGGGGGAAATAGATTTATTTTTAAAGGGGAGGGGAGGATATTCCTCCAGGGGTCTGCTTCCCCCCCCCCACAAAAAAACTTAATTGGTTAAAGGGGTGTCAAGGTCCTGCTCAAGGTTTTCCTTCCCCAAAGGAGGCTTTCACTTCCCTCTCCAAAGTTGCGCCATTTGGCCGCATTCTATCGCTTGCAGAGATTACGGCCATCAGTGGGTGTTTCCACATGGAAACAGATGTGTGATTCACTTAAAGGTTGATAGCCATAATAAGATAGCCAGCAGCACTCGGATCCTTAATAACGGGACCCCTGGACCACTTAACTCAGCCTCTTTCCCCCCCACCTGGTGCCTTCCAGGTGTTTAGGACTACAATTCCCAGGATCCTCCGTTAGTTCAAAATGCACCAGAAGGTGTACAGTATAGGGAATGGAAAATATTCAAAGAATATCTAAAATCGTACTGTACGAACAATAAGATACTTGCAGAAATAGAGTGATACTGGTAAGCAAGAAATGCATAAAATATAATATTGGAATTTATATATATACAGTATATACACAAAACAAAATAATATGAATCTGTGCAAGGAATACAGATAATACAAGTGGTATAATGAGAATTATTGGAAGTTATATATTTTAATTTGTCATGTAAGTGTAATATATCGTATTTGTTTATGTCTGTTTCTTTATCTTACTTTATTGTTTCTATTCATTTGTAGTGTTTTTTGTTTTGTATGTTATGTAATTCATGTATATTTGTTTATGTGAAAATTAATAGAGATTTTCTAAAAACAAAAAAACAAAATGCACCTGGAGAGATCCAGGAAATTGCTTCCGCAGCCATTATGGGAAGGTGTTTTCTTGATGGACTGTGGACGCTATGAGTCATGAGGGTAGGGAGAGAGCGAGTGTGAGAATTCAGCAGCGCTTAGTTTGTCAATGTTGTTAATATTGCTTTGTGGATTATGAGTGCTGTAACGCTTTGTGGGTTTTATAACAGGACTTTTCTTGTGGTTGTACTGTTTATGTTTTAAGTTGTTTTGTTCGTAGTGGTTGTTTCTACTGATGATTTGTTAATTGTTTTATATAATTTACGTCGCAGTCGTGATGTTCTACTATGTTGTCGTTTATTGGACGCAAGCCGCTGTGTGACTTCTCGTGAGCAAAGAGTGGCGTCAGAATATAAGAAATGAATGAAATGTAATCAAGGAGGAATTAAAGAACCTTTTAATGAGGGTGAAAGAGGAGAGCGCAAAATATGGTTTGAAGCTCAACATCAAAAAAAACGAAGATCATGGCCACTGGGCCCATCAGCTCCTGGCAAACAGAAGGGGAAGAAATGGAGGCAGTGAGAGATTTTACTTTCTTGGCTCATGATCACTGCAGATGGTGACAGCAGTCACGAAATTAAAAGACGCCTGCTTCTTGGGAGAAAAGCAATGACAAACCTAGACAGCATCTTAAAAAGCAGAGATATCACCTTGCCAGCAAAGGTCCGTATAGTTAAAGCTCTGGTTTCCCCAGTCGTGATGTATGGAAGTGAGAGCTGGACCATCAAGAAGGCTGATCGCCGAAGAGTGGAAGCTTTTGAATTCTGGTGCTGGAGGAGACTCTTGAGAGTCCCATGGACTGCAAGAAGATCAAACCTCTCCATTCGGAAGGAAATCAGCCCTGAGTGCTCACTGGAAGGACAGATCCTGAAGCTGAGGCTCCAGTACTTTGGCCACCTCATGAGAAGAGAAGACTCCCTGGAAAAGCCCCCGATGTTGGGAAAGATGGAGGGCGCAAGGAGAAGGGGACGACGGAGGAGGAGATGGTGGGACAGTGTTCTCGAAGCGACCAGCATGAGTTTGACCAAACTGCGGGAGGCCGTGGAAGACAGGAGTACCTGGTGTTCTCTGGTCCAGGGGGGAACGAAGAGGCGGACACAACTAAACGACTAAACAACAATCAATTATACAAACACCGCAGGGTGCAAACCTGCCAGTCAAAAGGAGGGTCAAGGGTGCTGTGATGGCGGCTTAGCATAGGTTTTGCCAGAAGTGCTGGACTAAAACTCCCATCATCCCCTCGCCAGCATGGCAAGACAGAGCCTCAAAGATGTGCTTTCCCAAACCCACATTCCCAGCATGTTCACACTCCTGTCTCAGCGACGTCTACGCTGGTTTGGTCATGCCCACAGAATAAAAGACGGCAGGATCCCCCAAGGCTACGTTCTACAAGGAGCTGTCTTCAGAGACCAGGCCAGTTGGCAGACCAACTCTGCGTTACCAAAATGTCTCTAACGTGGAGGCTGGCGACATCAGTCCCGCCCTGTGCAAATCCCTTGCAGACAATCGCAGCGCCTGGAGTCAGTCTGGTTGTGCATCCACATCGGTGACCAGAGGAGGAATGACCGCTGGGAGGAGCGTGAGGAGAAGAAAGTGGCCTGTTGCGTCGGCAGCTGTGCAACTGGACGCCTTCATCTTCCCCGGCTGCAACAAAACATGCCTCTCCTGTAACTCTCCAATGTTTTGACCTCGCCTCCACAGACACACTGTGTCTGGTTTTTTTTCTTCTTCAAAAAAAAGATCATTTTTTCTTCTTCAAAAAAACAAAGATCATGGCCACTGGGCCCATCACCTCCTGGCAAATAGATGGGGAAGAAATGGAGGCAGTGAGAGATTTTACTTTCTTGGGCTCCATGATCACTGCAGATGGTGACAGCAGCCACGAAATTAAAAGACGCCTGCTCCTTGGGTGAAAGGCGATGACAAACCTAGACAGCATCTTAAAAAGTAGAGACATCACCTTGCCAACAAAGGTCCGTATAGTTAAAGCTCTGGTTTTCCCAGTAGTGATGTATGGAAGTGAGAGCTGGACCATAAAGAAGGCTGATCACTGAAGAATGGATGCTTTTGAATTCTGGTGCTGGAGGAGACTCTTGAGAGTCCCATGGACTGCAAGAAGATCCAACCTCTCCGTTCTGAAGGAAATCAGCCCTGAGTGCTCCCTGGAAGGACAGATCCTGAAGCTGAGGCTCCAAGACTTTGGCCACCTCATGAGAAGAGAAGACTCCCTGGAAAAGACCCTGATGTTGGGAAAGATGGAGGGCACAAGGAGAAGGGGACGACGGAGGACAAGATGGTTGGACAGTGTTCTCAAAACTACCTGCATGAGTTTGACCAAACTGCGGGAGGCAGTGGAAGACAGGAGGGCCTGGCGTGCTCTGGTCCAGGGGGTCAGGAAGAGTCGGACACGACTAAACAACAACAACAGACACACTCCTCCATTGTGCACATGACAGAATTTAAAAACGAAAAAGTGCCTTAGCCCCAGCCAAAACCACTTAAATCAGCCTCTCCCCCAACCTGGTGCCCTCTGTTTTTTGAACTACAACTCCCACCAGCCCTCAGGCTAGGGGAGGTGAGACTACACACAACATCAAATCTACCAGGCAGATATTATTCATCTGCGGGGTGGGGGGGTGGGGATTTGCAGGGGCACGCAGGAATGTGTGTTTATCCACTGAGCATGCACAGATTTCCGCTGTGCACGCAAGCAAAACCCCCAATGAAAGCGGGCGTGGTGGATTCATCGCCCTGTTGCATGGATTCGTTTGCAGCCCTGTTGGCGTCCGTTGCATAGCTGTTCAGCAAGAGATTGTGCGCCTCCTGCCGGCCAGGCCCGCTGCACCCTTCCACAGCCCTTGGCTTGCAATGCGGTTGCCTTGGCCAAGGTTATCAGTCCGGTGCGATAAGAGCCAAGCCACAGGCAGGCCCAATTGCCCCACGGATAAGATACCGCGATAACCCAGTGGCCTTGCTAACAGCCCTTCGAGATAACTGCACCGGGCGTCCGACTCTGCAGGATAACGTGTTCTGCAGATTAATGAAAGGGAGAATTTAGCAATGCAATAAGAGCCAGGCTGCTGGATCATGTCAAAGGGGGACCATCTAGGCCAGCATTCTTTCCCCCTCCCCCCAGTAATATTTATTAAGTTTCAAACAAATACAACACATACTGTAAAACCAATGAAACAAAAAGAAAAAGAAAAAAAACATAACAAATAATCACCAAAAATATAACCACAAACACATAAATAGTAAAAGTCAATTAATTAGACTTCGAACTTCATAAACCTATTACTTGACTTCCTCTAATCTCTTCCATCTGAATTTCCTTGTAACTGAATGTAGCAGTTCCAATATCATCATTCAAAAAACAATATTCCGATTATAATCAAATTTCTTAACTTTTCTTAACATTCTATATCACATTTATTTATTTAATCCTAGGCCTATTTAGTACTTCCAAGTAACTACTAATCTTTAATATTACAATATTTATTCAAATAATCTTTAAATTTCTTCCAATCTTCTTGATATTCCTCTTCTTTCTGGTCGCGGATTCTCCCAGTGAGATCAGCCAGCTCCATAAAGTCCATCATCTTCATCTACCATCTGCACGAATTTTAATAGCCCAAAAGTGGAAAACACAAGAATAGGCCGGCATTCTCTTCTCACAGTGGCCGACCAGCAGGGGGTGGGCTTTGGTAATCTTTCGTAATATGGAGTCCTGCGCAAGGGCAAGATTTGGTCCCCAAGATGGATCTTCTTAATGGTGGATCTTCTGTTTTGGCTCAACACCCTGTGCAGGGGAACCACCCTAAATCTGGCGCAGCTGATCAGCAAAGAGGGTTCAAGCACAAGACGCCCATTATGGGAAGCCCCCATGCAGGATTTGAGCACGAGAGCGAACACTCTCCCCTCCTGCAGTTTCCAGCAAGTGGTGTTCAGAAGTACTGTAATTTTTGCTCTATAAGACTCACTTTTCCCCTCCTCAAATGTAAGGGGAAATGTGTGTGTGCGTCTTATAGCGAAAAATCCGGTATCTCTGCCTCCAACTGTGCAGGCAAAGTTTGGCCATCATGGCAAGTCGCCATTGCTAGCCCTCTCCAGAAATTTGCCCAATCCTTTTGTAAAGCCATCTAGGTTGGTGGCACTCCCTGCCTGCTGCTGGAGGGAGTTCCACAGTTTAACTCTGGACCCTGTGAAGGACTTTATCTATTCTGAATCTCTCAAGATTCAGCTGCACTGGATTCCCACAAATTCCAGTGTTACGAGAGAGGGAGGAAGCTGTTTTCTCTGCATCTGCTTTCTCAGGGCCAGGCATAATTTAAAAAAATAACGCTGCCTCTCATTTGCCTTTTCTCCAAACTAAAAACCCCCAAATGCTACAGACTTTTCTTCCTAGGGGAGTCGCTCCAGCACCTTGTTTTGGTTGCCTGCTGGACCAGGAAGCGCCTGCTGGATCAGGCCCGTAGCCCTTCTAGTCCAGCATCCTGTTCTGAGTGACTCATTTCTGAACCTGACTATAGCTTGGTGCCATCCTGGGCCCATTTGCCCGCAAACCCAGTTTCATAGCTGGAGCCTGGAAGCTGGTTTCTCTGCAGCCCAGGGAAGCTGGCAGAGAACTGGGCATAGAATAGGCCCAATTGTCTGTGTTGCTAGAGAACTGGGGTTAGCGTTCACAGCCCAACTCCCCATGAAGGGACTTTAGGTCCCTAGTAGGTCAGAGATACAAATGGAGGCTACCAAGGATGCAAAGAAAGCTGCTGATCTTTATTGGTCTGTTGCAACAGTCTCCTCGCTTCCCTCCTTGCGAGGAGGTGGGGAGAGCCCGCGAGTTGCACTTTTTAAACTCTTGGATAGTGATCGCCCGTCACAGAAAGACCACTCCAGATGCATCACAAAATGGGTTCTGCATGCTCAGAGTTCATGTTTCTCCAACATACTTATGAGTCTGTCAATGAAGATGTCTGGCAATACAGTGGTACCTCGGGTTACATACGCTTCAGGTTACACACTCCACTAACCCAGAAATAGTGCTTCATGTTAAGAACTTTGCTTCAGGATGAGAACAGAAATCGTGCTCCAGCGGCGCGGCAACAGCAGGAGGCCCCATTAGCTAAAGTGGTGCTTCAGGCTAAGAACAGTTTCAGGTTAAGAACAGACCTCCGGAACGAATTAAGTACCGTATGTTTTGCTCTATAAGACGCACCAGACCACAAGACGCACCTAGTTTTTGGAGGAGGAAAACAAGAAGAAAAATATTCTGAATCTCAGAAGCCAGAACAGCAAGAGGGATCGCTGCGCAGTGAAAGCAGAAATCCCTCTTGCTGTTCTGGCTTCTGGGATAGCTGCGTAGCCTGCATTCGCTCCATAAGACGCACACACATTTCCCCTTTCTTTTTAGGAGGGAAAAAGTGAGTCTTATAGAGCAAAAAATACAGTACTTAACCTGAGGTACCACTGTACCTGCTAATTCCTGGCATCCATTTGAAATGGCAAATACCTTGATTCCAGAATTCATAGTCAAGGATTCATACATAGATATCTGCTTTGTTCACACAGATATCTGCTCTGTGACAGGTCAGTTCAGAAAGTTCTCCAAACATGTTAAACTAGTTTTGCAGAGGGGAGGCCCTGGAAGAATTCCTGCTCTGTGACTGGAGGTCAGCGGGAGGCTAAACATGGTTTTAGACTTGCTCTCCATACTATTTCAGACTTATGCACTTATGTATCTGTGTTTTCCCAGTAGTGATGTATGGAAGTGAGAGCTGGACCATCAAGAAGGCTGATCGCCGAAGAATGGAAGCTTTTGAATTCTGGTGCTGGAGGAGACTCTTGAGAGTCCCATGGACTGCAAGAAGATCAAACCTCTCCATTCTGAAGGAAATCAGCCCTGAGTGCTCCCTGGAAGGACAGATCCTGAAGCTGAGGCTCCAGTACTTTGGCCACCTCATGAGAAGACTTGACTCCCTGGAAAAGACCCTGATGTTGGGAAAGATGGAGGGCGCAAGGAGAAGGGGACGACGGAGGATGAGATGGTGGGACAGTGTTCTCGAAGCTACCAGCATGAGTTTGACCAAACTGTGGGAGGCAGTGGAAGACAGGGGGGCCTAGCGTGCTCTGGTCCAGGGGGGTCACGAAGAGGCGGACACGACTAAACAACTAAACAACAATAACAAATCTGTGTTTACTTTGTGCTGTGCAAGGACTGTCAGCAGTCAATCGGCTTTGGCTCTGCGCAACGGCTTTTGTGGGTTTCCTTTCCTTTGAATCATGACTGGTGGTTAATGTTGAAACAGGAAGGAGGTGCTGGGGCTGCCAGCTGCGTAGGTGGCAGCGAAGGCAGATGTTTAGGGTGGTGTAACAGTGGCTGAACCTCAGCAGCCACAGTCCAGGGTCACCCCAAAGGGCAGGGGATGGGGGCAGCAGCAACAGGCCCCTTGTCACTGGCACCCCAGGGCCTGCTGTAGTTGATGTTGGTAATACGATCGTAGCATCACAGACTTGTAAAGTTGGAAGCGCCTCCCAAGGTTCCAGCTCACAGCCAAAGAATCTCCTACAGATGTCCTCCCAACCTCAGTTTAAAAGCCACTGCTTTTAAAAAAAATAATACAGGCAACCCCTGATTTGCATGGGGGTTGCATTACAGGTCATTGCGTGCTATAGCAGAGCATGCATAAGCCTGCCCTTCCATTTTCCAGCCACTTCCAGGTCGCCGTGATGAACATGTGCACAATCGCACGTTATTTGGACGCGCATGAATTGCTCGTTGCCTGTGTTGTAGTTTTATGTTGTGAACCAACCTGAGAGCTACAGGTGAAGGGTCATATACAAATTTAATGAATAATACACAGAGCCTAGGACTTGCCGATCAGAAGGTCGGCGGTTTGAATCCCCACGTTGCTCAGTCCTTGCTCCTGCCAACCTAGCAGTTCGAAAGCACGTCAAAGTGCAAGTAGATAAGTAAGTACCGCTCCGGTGGGAAGGTAAACGGCGTTTCCGTGCGCTGCTCTGGTTCGCCAGAAGCAGCTTAGTCCTGCTGGCCACATGTCCCGGAAGCTGTACGCCGGCTCCCTCGGCCAATAAAGCGAGATGAGCGCCGCAACCCCAGAGTCGGCCACGACTGGACCTAATGGTCAGGGGTCCCTTTTCCTTTAAATCGCTCGTTGCCTGTGTTGTAATTTTATGTTGTGAACCACCCTGAGATCTGCAGATGAAGGGCTGTATACAAATTTAATAAATAATGATAGCAACATCTAGCTCAGAACTGGGAGGGCTGTAGCTGAGGGGCAGAGTGTCTGCTTAGCACGCAGAAGTTCTCAGGGTTCCGTCCCCGACAGGCCCTCCAGGAAGTGCTGCGGAAGATTCCTTGTACAGAATCCTGGACAGCTGCTGCTCATCATTGCAGACGATACCGAGCTAAACTGATCCAACAGTCCAACTCAGTTTAAAGCAGCTCCCAGTGTTCCTTTTTAATGTAGCCCTTTATCTGTATAAAGCCCTTTATCCGTATAAATCTGTACCTGTATACCTGAAGGAGCGTCTCCACCCCCATCGTTCAGCCCGGACACTGAGATCCAGCGCCGAGGGCCTTCTGGTGGTTCCTTACCTGTGAGAAGTCAAGTTACAGGAAACCAGGCAGAGGGCCTTCTCGGTAGTGGCGCCTGCCCTGTGGAACGCCCTCCCAGCAGATGCCAAAGAGATTAACAACTACCCGACATTCAGAAGACATCTTAAGGCAGCCCTGTTCAGGGAAGTTTTTAATTTTTAACGCTGTACTGTTTTTAACACTTGATTGGGAGCCGCCCAGAGTGGCGGGGGAAACTCAGCCAGATGGGCTGGGGTATAAATAATAAATTATTATTATCTGTAATGATGAGTGCTAGAAACTTGGCTTTATTTGAAGCAAAGAACCACAACTCAGGGACAGGGCACCTGCTTTGCACGTAGAAGGTGTAGAGGATCGGTCGGCATCTCCCAGCTGGGGCTGGAAAAGATGACTGGTCTGAAATCCTGGGGAGAGTTGCTGCTGTTGGCAGCCTGTGAAGGCAACACTGACCAAAATGGACCACAATGGCCTGACTCAGTATAAGAGAGCCTCCTGTGCTCCTGTTTTTCTCTTAACTTGACTGGCAGGAGGGGCTCTCTGGGGATTCAGGTGGGGAACATGACCAGCCTTACCTAGAGATGCTATCAGGGAAGAAAGTGAGCCAGGGGGCTTAGGCATGTAACACAACTGCAGGCCCTCATTTTTGTATTTTTTAAACTTTTATTGTTTTTCTAAACAAACTGGTGCCATCCCTCCACTCTCAAGTAAACCTTTCTGGTATCAGGGCAGACTTGAAAGGGCCGGAAGGTTTCATTTCATTCCTGGTGGTACAATGATGAAGTGTCCTAAAAAATAAATAAATTGCAAAACTGCACATGTTCAGAAGACGCTGGCAAACTTGTTTTTGCTCTATGATACCAGGAATGTAGGAGTTGGCGGGATGCACGCAATGGCCATTCCAGGATGGGGAAAGATATCCACAGAATCATCACAGAGTTGGAAGGACCCCCAAAGTCCTCTAGTTCAACCCCCTGCAATTCAGAGATCGCTGCTAATATTTCTCCCAGGTTGTGAGTTTTTATTCTTAAATAACTACCCCAGGGGTGCAACCTTTTTTGGGGGGAGGGAGGGTCCGATAGGCTCACGGGGCGGCAAAGGGTCCGAGGGCAGCACTGCAGGGCCCAAGCGAGGATGCAAAAGCAGTCACCCCGGTACATGCAGGGCGGGTGCAGTTCCTTGCCGTGATGGCGCAGTGGGAAGGAGCATCAGGATGCTTTGGGTAGGTGGCCGTGGAAGAGGAGCTGAGCCCTGCCGCTGCCTCCTCTGTCTAGGCGGGTCCTGAGAGCTCAGCCGGCCAGAGTTGTGTTTGCTTTGCATTGCTCTCCTCCACCTCCTCTCTGTGGCACAGTCCAGAGCGCTCTGCTGGTGTGGCAGGTGTGGACGGCGTTCTTGCTTGGTCTTGCCTCTCTCTCCTCCGCCTCCTCTCCCAGGTGTATGGTGGGGGTGTTTGTTGCTTTGCTCTCCTCCGCCTCTTCTCCCTGGGCCAGATCCAAGCGCTCAGCTGCTGCATGCGTGCTTTGCTTTCTTCCGCCTCCTTTCTCCGTGCTCAGCCGCTGCTGCAGGTGGATGTGGGGTGTGTGTGTGTCTTGTGCGCTTGCCTTTCTTTCGGTTTCTTTCCCTTGCCTTGCTTTGCTTCTTTCCTTTGCCTTTCTTTCCTTTTCACTCCCTTTGCCTTCCTCTCCTTTCCCCGGCCTTATATTTCGCTTTCACCGTCGTCCTCCTCCTGGCTGTGCTTCTTCCTTCCCTCCCTCCCTCCCCGGGCCCCTAGTTGACCCTGCAGGCCCGGATCATCAGCAGCTGCAGCAGGATGAAGACGGGCGAGAGCAGCAGCCCGAACCACAGCTCCCGGCTCTGGCCCGCCAGCTTCTGGCCCAGCAGCACCTCGAAGACGAACTTGAGGCTCAGCAGCGTCAGCACCCACAGCAGCCGCAGCACCGCCAGCCGCTTCTCGCCGTCCTGGAAGAGCCGCACCGACACGATGGTGCTGAAGTAGGCGCTCAGCCCGTCGGCCGCGAAGAAGGCCGCCAGCACCGCCCACCAGCTCAGCGCCGCCCCGGACTCCCCGCCGTCCGCCTTCAGCACCAGCAGCGCCGACGCCGCCAGCAGCGCCAGCGCCTGCAGGAGCAGCTCCAGGGGCGCGAAGCCCAGCCACTGAACCAGCTCCCGCAGGGAGAACAGCATCGCCGCCGCCGCCGAGGCCGCCTCACGCAGGGGGACAAGCCGCCGCCGCTCTGCGCCTGCGCGGAGGAACGCTTCCGCTCGCCGAAGGCGGCTTCCGGCGCGCCGAGGGTGAAATAGGGCGGGGACGGAATCGCCTCAGCCGCCTCAGGGGGGGTAAACGCCTCTCTGCGCCTGCGCGGAGGAACGCTTCCGCTCGCCGAAGGCGGCTTCCGGCGCGCCGAGGGCGAAATAAGGAGGGGACGGAATCGCCTCAGCCACCTCAGGAGGAGAAAGGAGGCCCTGCGCCTGCGCAAAGGGGCGCTTCCGGTCGCCGAAGGCGGTTTCCGGCGCGCCGCGGGTGAAATAAGGCGGGGACGGAATCGCCTCAGGAGGAGAAAGGAGGCTCTGCGCCTGCGCAAAGGGGCGCTTCCGGTCGCCGAAGGCCGTTTCCGGCGCGCCGCGGGTGAAATAGGGCGGGGACGGAATCGCCTCAGGAGGCGAAAGGAGGTTCTGCGCCTGCGCAAAGGGGCGCTTCCGGTCGCCGAAGGCCGTTTCCGGCGCGCCGCGGGTGAAATAAAGCAGGGACGGAATCGCCTCAGGAGGAGAAAGGAGGCTCTGCGCCTGCGCAAAGGGGCGCTTCCGGTCGCCGAAGGCGGTTTCCGGCGCGCCGCGGGTGAAATAAGGCGGGGACGGAATCGCCTCAGGAGGAGAAAGGAGGTTCTGCGCCTGCGCAAAGGGGCGCTTCCGGTCTCCGAAGGCCGTTTCCGGCGCGCCGCGGGTGAAATAAAGCAGGGACGGAATCGCCTCAGGAGGAGAAAGGAGGTTCTGTTGGTTTCTGCTTTCCTTCACTGTGCAGCGAAAGGGCTTGTCACGAGACAGGTGTTTACATTCCACAGTCTGTACTGTTGGAGTTTCTCACGGGAAAGGGAGGCTGGATGTGACGTACACTGGTTTCCTGTTTTTCACTGTGTGTTTCTCTCCGAGCTGTCGAGGAGAGAGGATGCATTTTCTGCTCCGGCAGAGGCAAGATGTCTTTCTGTAATATACCAGCTTTGAACTGTAAATAAAGCAATATAGAGTATGCAGCACGTACTCCTCATCCTTCCGCTGGGCACGAGACTCTGCTTTAATTTAACACGTGGTTATGGGCTCCAGAAGTCGAATCGGAGTGCCAGCAAAGGATCGGAATGCAGAGGGACAGATCGGAAACGGAATCTGCTCTGCGCGTAGAGGTGATTGATGAGGTATGTGCTACTGCTCCGGGCAGCCTGCCAGCTTCAAGTTAATGGCTTTATGGCTGGACTTTGAACCTTTAAAGCCGGTTTTGCCGGGAATAGGCAAAAGGCTCCCAGGCACAAGTCACTATGCTGGGGAAATCGAAAGTAACTTTTAAGTGCGCTTTTGGAATAAGGCAGCTGCAGCAGTGACGCAGCAAGATTTAAAGCAGCATATATGACGCTGAAGGCTAATGCCAGAGTCATGATGGCCCTTCAGGATGCTTGTGGGATTCCCAAGCTCAACAAGAAAAATTATGCCGACTGGGTTCTGTATGCAGAGGCAATTCTGCGGAAAGAGGGTTTGTTTGAGGTGATTACAGAAACCCCCCCAGTTCCAGTTACAGATGCATGGGAAGCTAAGGATTCCAAAGCAAGGGGAACTCTTACATTGATAGTATCCCCAGAAGAGCTCTGTCTATTGCGTGATAAGACCTCAGCCAGAGAAATTTGGGACGCTTTGAGAGAGGCTCACTTAAGGACAGAAGCTGGATCCACTATGTTTTACTTTAACAAGCTGCATAATATGGCTCTTGCTGAAGGTGGAGATGTGCGTTTACATCTGATGGAGATGCAAAATCTGAGACATGAGCTGCAACAGAGAGGACTCAACTTTCCAGAGGCTGTGTATTCTTTCATGATACTACAATCTTTGGGTTCAGGTTGGGAGTCTGTTGCAACCCAGATTGCTGTGCAACCAACTGCTCAGCTGACAGTGGACTTTGTTACTGCCGTAATTTTAAAGGTTGCAGAGGTCCAGAAGACGTCTAGATCTTTCTTCGTTGTTGATTCAGCGGCCACCCACCACATGTGCAACGATAAGAGACTGTTTGTGTCTTTTACACCGCAGGAAGGTGCGATTCACCAGGCGGATGACCACACTATTCCCAGTAAAGGCTACGGAACTGTTGTTCTTCACAGTTTGGACTTATCGATACAGAATGTGCTTTACGTGCCAGACGCCAAACATAATCTGCTCAGCGTTGGACAGCTGAATGAGCGGAACATTGACGTTTCCTTCATGAACAAGAAGTGCATCATCACAAAGAAAAATGATTATGTATTGCATGCAGAATATGTTGATCGTTTGTTTGTTTTGTATTATGATGATGTGGTGCAGGATGACACTTGTTGCATTGCAGGTTCTAACAAAAGTTTGCATGCAGAATGTATTCACGATTTTCATAGAAAATTTGGTCATTTGCATTTTGAGGCAGTATCTAAAATGCCTGCCTTGGTTGAAGGTATGACTATTAAACCCTGCAGGTACCACATGAAGTGCAAAGCATGCGCAGCAAACAAGGTGAAAATGGCTGCGAAAGGTAAGGTGTCTAGTAGGAAAGCTACAGAACCATACCAGGTTGTTCATGCTGATTTGGTTGGACCACTAGCGCCCTCTTTGGGTGGAAATAGATACTTCATGGTTCTCATTGATGCATTTTCTAGATATATTTTTGTGTACAATCTCAAGCAGAAATCGGAGGCTTTTCCTAGGTTCAAGGAATTCTGTGCTTGGTTGGAAAATGTGCATGGTAAGAAGATAAAGACTCTTTTCAGTGATCGCGGGGGGGAATTCACTTCTCAGCAATTTGAAGCTTTTCTGACTGAGAAAGGAATTCAACACGATTTGTCTAGTCCTCGCTCGCCATGGCAGAATGGACTTGCGGAACGGGCAAATCAGACATTGCTTCAAGGGTTAAAAACCTTGCTGCATGATGCCAATCTTCCAGAGAGTTATTGGGCCGAATCTCTCTCGTGTTTTGTTTACAGTTACAATCGCAGGTTATCTTCAGCGATTGGTTGTACCCCCTATGAGAAGATGTTTGGCAAGAAGCCATACATCAAACACATGAAGATTTTGGGTTCTGACATGTGGGTTCGCTCACCACAAAACTCCAAGTTAGACAAGCGTGGATTGCATGGTATCTTTCTAGGTTATCAGAAAGGGTCTTACAGAATAATGATGACTGACTCTAAGACAATTAAGCTCACAAGAAGTGTTGAGTACAATGCAAAGTGGGGGGAGAATGTGGGAATTTTCCAATGTTATCCTGATGACGGTGATGAGACTGAGGATAGTCAAAAGCAACCACAACAACCCACACCCACTGATGAAGGTTCTGAGTCTGAATCTGAAACTGAATCGGGTGATTCAGAGGATTTCGAGAGTGCGAAAGCCTCTATGCGACCCTCTGAAAGCTCTGATCAAGAATTGGAGGAACCATTGTTCACAATAGGTCGTTTTTCTCCTAAGAAGGAAGAGGAGAGTGTTGAAGACTTAAGGCTAATTCGTAGGTCACAGAGAGCCACAAAGGCAAACCTCCAAAGAGATTTGCTGATGAGTTTGCTACGATAGCAGTAACAGCTGTTAAAAGCTCCAAGAAGGTATTTGAACCTTCAAGTTTCCAAGAAATCCAGGATTTGGATTCAAAGGAAGCTGAGCCATGGTTAAATGCCATGAAGGCTGAGCTTGATTCCTTGGAAAGGAACAAAACATGGGAGCTAGTTCCAGTAGTTCCAGGAATGAAACTGCTTGGAAGCAAATGGGTCTTCAAAGCGAAGACAGATCAAAATGGCAAGATAGTCAGACACAAAGCCAGATTGGTAGCCAGAGGTTTTGCACAGGTACCAGGTCAAGACTATCACGAGACCTATTCACCCACAGTGAGATATGAAAGCATTAGGCTTATGCTCAAGCTAGCTGCAGAGGAAAATCTACACATTAGTCACCATGATATTAATACAGCTTTTCTGTACGGATCTCTAGATGAATCACTTTATATGCTTCCACCTGATGGCGTACAGGTAAAACAGGGATTTGTTTGTGCTCTGAAGAAATCCCTTTATGGTCTCAAACAAAGTGCACGGTGTTGGCACACAAAACTCACTGAAGTATTGTTTTCTCTAGGTTTTCAGCAAGGAAAGCTGATCCATGTGTATTTGTCAAAGAGGAGGGGCAAAAGAAACTGTACTGTTTGTTTTATGTTGATGATTTATTATTCTTTTGGAAAGATGTCGAAATGTACAATAACGCCCTAGCTCAACTGAAAGAGCACTTTGACATGAAAGATCTTGGTGAGGTAAACAACTACCTATCTCTGGAAATAGAGAGAGATCAAGATGGTAACATTCTAGTACACCAGTCACGGAAAATTGCTGATGTGTTAAGCAAACTAAATCTGATGGACGCTAACCCTGTAGACACACCGATGACAACAGGTTATCAGGTAGATGACACTGAAGAAGCATTTTCTGACACTACACTGTACAGGAGTGTGCTAGGCAAGCTAAACTTCATTGCCAGATGTTCAAGACCAGACATTGCTGTTAGCTGTAATTTGCTAAGCAGACAAGTCAACAATCCTAGTGTCAAGCATTGGAAAGCTCTGAAACGCATAGCGCGGTATTTAAAAGGCACTATGCATTACAGACTGAGATTTAACAATCAGAAGTCTGGTGGTCTTGAGATATTTGCAGATACAAGTTTTGGAAGTGACACTACAGACAGGAAAAGTACGTCTGGAGTTTGCTACATGTACAATCAGAGTCTGTTTGATTGGTCATGCAAGAAGCAAACAACAGTTAGCTTAAGTACTTGTGAAGCCGAACTGAATGCACTGTCTTATTCACTTAAGGATTGTGAATGGTTAGTACAATTGTGCAAAGATATGAAAATTCCTGTCAAATGTCCAATCCAGGTTTACCAGGACAACAAAGCATGTTTGGCTTTGCTGAAGTCTGAAGGTTGTAAGCAAAGCACAAAGCACTTGCAATTAAAGTTGCAGCATGCTAGGGAATGTATTCAGAAGGGACTCGTAACGGTGTCCTATATGCCAGGTAATGAAATTCCTGCTGATGTATTGTCCAAGATTGTATCGAGGGATCAACACTGTACCTATGTGCAGAAGTTGGGTTTGTACTGATATCGTACAAACACGCTGCCCAGTGATGTTCACAGAAAGGGGGGAGGATGTTGGTTTCTGCTTTCCTTCACTGTGCAGCGAAAGGGCTTGTCACGAGACAGGTGTTTACATTCCACAGTCTGTACTGTTGGAGTTTCTCACGGGAAAGGGAGGCTGGATGTGACGTACACTCGGATTTTTCCGTTAACAAGGCTCATCCTGCTTCATGCCAACCTATGCATTCTCCCCCCCCCCCGCCCGAGGAACTTTTATACCCTCAAAAAGGGAAAGGAGGGCTGTCCAGTAAGGAGAAGCCCTCTGCCTAAGGGCTTCTTGCCAGTTTCTGGAGTTAAATCCACGCTACGCAGCTGCAGACGGAGCAGCTAATTGCAGGAAGGAAATGATAGAATCACAGAGCTGAAGTTGGAAGGAATCCCCAAGGGCCACACACTCCAACCCCCTGCGATGCTACTGGGTTGCTGTTTTTAGTTTTATTACATATTTTGTGGTTTTATATCTTGATTTTATTGTGAACCGCTCTGAGACCACTGGCATATAAATTCAATAAATAAAATAAATGCAGGAATCACAGCTAAAGAATCCCAGGCAGTAAGCCGTCCAGCCTCTCTTTAAAATATCATGTTTGTTGTGATATTTTAATGTTGGTTTTAAAACTGCCTTTTAAGCGTTAAAAATGAAGGAGGGAACCTGCCATCTTCTGAGGTGGTCCGTTCAACGTTGAAGGGCTCTCACCCTCAGACATTTGTTCCTAATGTTTGGTCAGAATCCCTCTTGTAATATGAATCTGTTGGTTCTAGTCCTTCCCTTGGGGCAAGATTGCTCTACCTTCAACGTGACAGCCCTTCAGATATTTGAAGATGACTCTCCTATCAGTCTCCTGTTTTCCAGGCTAAACATACCCAACTCCCTCTTGCTATTCCTCACAAGGCTCAGTTTCCAGACCCGTCATCATCTTGGCCGCCCTCCTCTGCACACAAACCAACTTGTCAATATCCTTAAACAGAGGTCCTCAGAACTGGACACAGGACTCCAGGTCATAGCTGTCAACTTTTCCCTTTTCTGGCAAGGAATCCCATTTGGAATAAGGGAATTTCCCATAAAAAAAAGGGAAACGTTGACAGCTATGATCCAGGTGGGGTCTGACCAGACTTCTGCTGATGCAGCCTAGAAAAGCATTAGCCTCTTTTGCCGCTGCATCACAGGAATGAAACGCTCACAGAGAGATACTATGCTGGAGAGGAAGGCTTTTATTTGCATTCATTTATTATTTTTTATTCGGTGTTCCGGACACAATTCAGCACCATTTCCCTTGCCCAGATAGGGGTGGCATGTGTGGGATGAGGTGTGCTGGCCCCACAGCAAGGGTAGGGTGGGGAGCTATGAGCAGCTGGCTGGGAATGGCGGCTTCAGCAGAATTTGGGTTGCCAAGCCTATTCTCTGCATGGGATCACCAAGTCTAGAAGCATCACAGAGCCCAGAGGGCGGGAAAGGTGTGTCAGCAGATGCCAGGGTGGCGAATGGGTTGGCGTGTGTCTCCTATCTCCTCCACTTCCTCCGATTTTCTTTCACCTGACCAGACAGACTCCTGGAAGCGAAAGCAGGTGGGGTGCGGGGGCAGACTTTATTTGCAGCGCCTCTGCCCCTTCAGCAGTCCGGCTTTAGAAAGGTCAGATCTTGAAGGTTCCCACCCTGGGTGCGTGAGCGGGAAGGAATAGTTTCAGCAATAGATCTGGGGCGGAAGTCAGAAGTGAGTGGTCTTGTCAACAGTTGTGGAAGGAGGAGGCCTGCCTTGGCCTGAAAAAGAAATAATTGTAATGATACCAAGGTCCAAGCCGACTTCCTTGGTGTGCAGGACAGAGCTGTTTCCGTAAATGCTTTCGTTAATAATCTAATTCATCCATTTTGCAAACTGCTTTGCGGTTTTCCACAATCGAGGGAGGGGGAGTATGTGAATGAAATAAGCACTAAACAATAATACTTAGTGATGTAAGAGCACCCTGGGCTTGAAGAACAGAGCCATAAGGTTGTAAAGCTGGAAGGTCCCTGAAGGAGTCACTGAGGGGGCAGCAATGGCCACCAACTTAGATGGGCTTCCAAAGAGGATTAGAGATATGAATGGAGGAGGGGAGGGCTATTGATGGCTCCTAGCCAGGGTGGTTATTTTCTGCCTCCACAGTTGGAGGCAGCGATGCTTCTGAAAACCAGTTGCTGGAAACAGCAGGAGGGGAGCTCCTGTGTGGCTCTTGTGCTTGTGGGTATCTCATAAGGGGCAGCTGTTTGGTCACTGTGAGAACAGGATGCAGGACGCGATGGGCCACTGGGCTGATCCAGCTCTTCTTATGTTCTTGGGTGCAGCTGACTCTGGGGCGGAGCCTTGAGGCAGCTGTTCAAAGTGCTGCTTTTGACCTATAAAGCCTTAAGCAGCTCAGGACTGCAATACCTCCAGGACCGCCTCTTTCTGTATGAACATGCCCTGAAATTATCTTCTGAGGCCCTTCTTTGTGTGTCTCCGCCTTTAGAGGTCCAGAGGGTGGCAACATGAGAACGGGGCCTTCTCTGCAGTGGCTCCCCATCTGTGGAATGCTCTCCCCAGGAAAGTTCGCTTGGCGCCTTCATTATAACCTTTAGGCGCCTGGTAAAAACGATCCTTTTCAACCAGGCCTTTGGTTGATCTGATTTACATGCCATGCCCTTTTAAAATGTGGTTTTTTTGGGGGGGGGACTATTGGGTTGTTCTTTTATTATCATTAGGCATTTTGTGCTTTTATATCTTGATTTTATTCTGCGAACTACCCAGATACCACCAGATAGAGGGCGGATTATAAACTCAATCAATAATAATAATAATAATAATAATAATAATAATAATAATAATATACACCAGGGATTCCTCCTGCTCTCAACTCACCTGGATCTGACAAGGTAAGCATGCCATGTTCCCGCCTACACAGGAGGAAAAGAGAAGCACATAAGGACATTTGAGGAGATTTGAGGAGATTTGGGGTGTGAGGTGGGCAATCACATAGTTGGGAGAGACCCAAAGGATCATTGAGTCCAACCCACCTGTAAAAGTACCAATTCTGCTAATCGTAGTGAGCGCATGTGGCAATCTCGGAGGTAAATATCTTCCGAGTTGTTAAGGGCGTTGCATACTAATATCAACGCCTTGCTCCTCTGAAACCCCCTCTCTCCTGTAGCCCTGAGCCCCCCAGTGCCCGCAGGAGGCAACCGGACCCCCTCACACCCACCGTGCCTGCTCTGCCCGGCCCAATCCCATACCTGCTCCTCCGCTGTCGATAGATGCAGACACCTGTCACCACCATCAGGATCAACGCGAGAGGAACGAGGACTCCGATGAGGATGACTGTCAAATTGTTGTCATCTGGATGGGAGCAGAGGGGGGAAACGGGAGGAAGAAAGAGGGGAGGATTAATTACCGTATTTTTCGCTCTATAAGATGCACCGGATCATAAGACGCACCTAGTTTTTGGAGGAGGAAAACAAGAAAAAAAATATTCTGAATCCCAGAAGCCAGAACAGCAAGAGGGATCTGGCTTCTGGGAATAGCCTCTTGCTGTTCTGGCTTCTGGGATAGCTGTGCGAAGCCTCTTCAGGGCAGCGGGACGAAGGCTCCCCATGGCCAGAAGAGGCTGTGCGCAGCTATCCCATAAGCCATCACAGCAAGCGGGATCGCTGTGCAGCAATCACTCTTGCTGTCCTGGCTTATGGGATAGCCATGCGCAGCCTCTGCCCCCAAGAGCCATAAACACGCTCCACGCGGCTCTTTAAAGGGAGCGCTGAGAAGCCTCCCGCCTGCATTCGCTCCATAAGACGCAGACACATTTCCCCTTACTTTTTAGGAGGGGGAAAGTGCATCTTATGGAGTAAAAAATATGGCAGTGGCTTGAAAGGTACTCTGTGTGTGTGTGTGTGTGTTTTAGGGCAGGTAGCGGTAGCATCTTAAAAAGCAGAGACATCACCTTGCCAACAAAGGTCCGTATAGTTAAATCTATGGTTTTCCCAGTAGTGATGTATGGAAGTGAGAGCTGGACCATAAAGAAGGCTGATCGCCGAAGAATGGATGCTTTTGAATTTTGGTGCTGGAGGAGACTCTGGAGAGTCCCATGGACTGCAAGAAGATCAGACCTCTCCATTCGGAAGGAAATCAGCCCTGAGTGCTCACTGGAAGGACAGATCCTGAAGCTGAGGCTCCAAGACTTTGGCCACCTCATGAGAAGAGAAGACTCCCTGGAAAAGACCCTGATGTTGGGAAAGATGGAGGGCACCAGGAGAAGGGGACGACGGAGGACGAGATGGTGGGACAGTGTTCTTGAAGCTACCAGCATGAGTTTGACCAAACTGCGGGAGGCAGTGGAAGACAGGAGGGCCTGGCGTGCTCTGGTCCAGGGGGCCACGAAGAGGCGGACACGACTAAACGACTAAACAACAACAGCGGCAGGGACTTGTTACCTGTCGAGGGGGATGGAGGCTGTACATCGTAGGCAGTCTCACAGTAGGTTCCGTTGTATCCCTCCGTGCAAATGCAGACGTAGCCGTGGGAGGTGTCTAAGGTGTCCTGACAAACTCCCTCGTTCTGGCAATTGTTACGGAGGCATGCGCTCTCTGCAAAGGAAGAAACGTGTGTTTTTGGGGAGGGGAGATGCCACTGTCAGTCCACATCGCGGCCCACCGAGAGATGGGGAAAGTGTTCTGTTTCCAAATTCTGTCACTTTCCTACTCTTTCAGGTCTCCCCATTTCCACATCAGCCGGCGACTTTGGTTTTAAGGGTGATGGCACCGCCGCAGGCGCCACACAACACCCGTGCATAAATCAATCTTTCAGGGCGGCAGCAGCACCCAGCCTTTGGAACTCCCCGCCAATTGACTGATCAGTCAGGCTCCTTCGCTGCACCCTTTTTCAGCGCCTGCTGAAAACGTGCTCATTTCGGCCGGCCAAACCGAGTATGTAGAATGTTGATGTGTGTTTTAATCCATTTGGATTCTTGGCTTGCGGGGGGGTTGTATTGGGTGTCCAACTCTCACGATTTTCTGATAAATATCTGGCAGCCCTTCAGAGGGGAAATCGTATCCCCTCTCAGTCTCCTCCAGGCTAAACGTACCCAATGCCCTCAACCATTCCTCGTAAGGCTCAGTTTCCAGGCCCTCCATCATCCTGGTCGCCCTCCTCTGCCCACCTTCCAGGTTGTCAATATCCTCCTTAAATTGTGGTGCCCAGAACTAGAAACAGGACTCCAGGTGGGGTCTGACCAAGGCAGAATAAAGTGGGACTAAGACTGCCCTTGATCTGGACACTAGACTTCTGTGGATGCAGCCTAGAACAGCATTAGCCTTTTTTGCTGCTGCATCACATTGCTGGCTCAACCCTCTCCTCCCACCTCGTCCCTAACCAAGCCTTTCTCACCTCTGTAGCATCCGCGGGTGAAGTTTACCACGGCGCAGGCATCCCCCTTGGCGCAGGCCACAGGCTCACACTCCAGAGTCCCCGTATTGCGACAGGTGCATCGTTGGGAGCAGTCCTCCGTGAAGAAAGTGTCGTTGATCTGGGGAGAAACCGGGGCGTGGGGAAGAATATCGGTGCCACTCTGGGAAAGCTGCTGCCCACCTTTGTATTGGCACCGCCAAAACCGGAAGGGACCATGACCAGAAACTGAAAACCTTTGCTCAAATGCATTGTCTTTGGCACTCCGCCAGTGATTTCCTGCCTCCCTCCGCTCGCTGCCTCCTTCCTTCCTTCCTTCATCTCTTCCTTTAACTCTCATCAGCTCTCTCCATCTCTCTTCCCTCCATCTTTGCGGCCACACACCACCAACCAGATTCCTCTGCCAGGGTGCCCAGAGAAGCCTGCACACCTTGCCCGGCCGCCGTCCAGAGCGCTGGGCAGTCAGGCAGGCTCCTAGCCCCTCTGAGCCAGAGTGGAGAGCTGTGATTTTTGAGGCCCTGCGCCCATCCTAGCCAACCTCTAGGTCATGGGTAGGCAAACGAAGGCCCGGGGGCCGGATCCAGCTCAATCCAGCTTCTAAATCCAGCCCACAGATGTTCCGGGAATTGGTGTGTTTTTACATGAGTAGAATGTGTCCTTTTATTTAAAATGCATCTCTGGGTTATTTGTGGGGCCTGCCTGGTGTTTTTACATGAGTAGAATGTGTGCTTTTATTTAAAATGCATTTGTGAGGCATAGGAATTTGTTCATATATTTTTTTTCAAAATACAGTGGCCCCCCGCAAGGTCTGAGGGACAGTGGACTGGCCCCCTGCTGTAAAAGTTTGCTGACCCCTGCTCTAGGTACACCCAGGGTTGAGTCTATCCCTTAACCAGAGTCACAGCGGCTGATCCGTTGCGCCCTGTTCTCCTCCTGCGGTTTCCAGGATTCAGAACCACCCAACTGACTGGCAGCAGCCAGGGGGTTCCTCCCTATTCCTCCCCGCCTACCTGGTAATACTGGTTGTTGACAGTGCAGCCGCACTGGTTGTAGGGGACGCTGTCCAGCCCGCTGAGGACGTAGCCGGGGTCACTGGCGCAGCCCTCCACGCAAGGGGCATCGCACTCCGACTGGGCGGCCATGTTGGCACAGCTGTCGGGGCAGGCAGTCATGCAAGATTTGTAGGTGGTGTGAGGCGGGCATGAGATCTCTGCGGGGACAAGATGGGTGGGTGGTAGAACGTTTAAAAGAAGAAAAGCCTCTATCGGAATCAAATGACAAGAAAGGGGATTCCAGATAAACCTGAGGACAAACTTTCTGGCGATAAGAGCAGGGGAATGGACTCAGTCGGAGAGAATCTCCTTCCTTGTCATTTGAACCCACTGGTCTGGGCCCTACCCTCTGGGGTGTGGGCCCTGGATGTGGCCCCATGCTCTGGACACGGGGCCCTTGGCCGAGGGGTAAGGGGTTGTGAAGGAGGAGAAATGGAGGACAGCTCAGGCCCTAAGGGAGTCTGTTGCGCATCCTTCTCACGAGGAGAGGAAATAATAATTTTTTATTTATACCCCGCCCATCTGGCTGGGCTTCCCCAGCCTCTCTGGGCGGCTTTCAACAAAATATTAAAATACAGTAATGCATCAAAGATTAAAAGCTTCCCTAAAGAGGGCTGCCTTCAGATGTCTTTTAAAAGTCTGGTAGTTGTTGTTCTCTTTGACATCTGGTGGGAGGGAGTTCCACGGTGGGCGCCACCACCGAGAAGGCCCTCTGCCTGGTTCCCTGTAACTTAGCTTCTCGGAGTGAGGGAACTGCCAGAAGGCCCCCGGCGCTGGACCTCAGTGTCTGGGTAGACCCTTTAAAAAGCTGAGCTGCTTCTTGCGCCTTGTCTGCCCCCCAACATCAGGGGATCGTTCCAGTGCCAGGGATCCAAGCTGGGATCTTTTGTGAAACTGGCCAGCCTTGAGGATTCTTGGGGAGTAAACTTGAACGACGAGGGTTGTGGATAGGCTAGGATTGGTTCCGTTTGAGAGCCACAGGGCACAGGTTAATTTTTTTAAAAAATAATAACATCTGTACAACAAAAACATATCTTCGTTGTTATCTATAAACCAGATTCATCCAAAAAACCAAACGAAAGAATACGGATTGGTTCCATTTTAGAACCACAGGGCTCGGGTTTGTTTTGCGTTCTGTTTTGACCTTCTGGCTGCTTTCCCCCTACCTTTTATTCCTAGTAAAGTTCCTTCATTATTATTTTTTTAAATACATTTATACATACATATTTCGGATATACAAACAAACATACATTTCATACAATCCTTAAAAATATTCATACCTACCCCCACTCAATCCCGCACATACTTCCTTTTCCCGCCACCGTCCCTCACCCCACCCTGTGCTAGACTACCAATCTACTCAATCGCAATTTCTTCCCATTTCTACTACTTTCTTTCACACACTATTAAACCAACTTCCTACTTGTTTTTCTGTTACACATTGTTATCCATCTTATTTAGTATTTCAGTGTTTAGAACGGAACTTGTTTATTCTAATAGGAGTTCTGGTTTTTCAATAGGATTTTGCAAATATCCTTCCAGTCCTTGTCTATCTTCTCTTTTGAGATCCTTCCGATTTCTCCCATTGTTTTGAACATATTGTAATACTCCAATACAGTAAAGCTCTTTCGTTTGACTGCTGAAGTGTTGCTTGCTTGCCAACCTCAGGGTTTTGGAATACCCACATGCCTGGGCGCCTGGCATTCAGGCTACCGGAGTTTAGGGTTGGCGTTTCAAGGGACCGGAGCGCTCTTCTGAGGTCTGGGAAGAGACTCAGGGAGAGTGGGGGAGTGCTAAGGAAATGGCTCAGAGCCTTTTAAAAAGTCCCCTCCTTCTGCCCTTAAACCCACTCTGAGATGCTGCCTGCCACTATAATGAACTGAAAAAAACGTTGAAATATACATTTATAAAGAAACCAGAGGCCTTTCTTCTTGGAATAACAGGTTTGGAATGGCCCAAGAAAGATGTTAAATTATTTTTGTATGCCACAACTGCTGCTCAAATCTTATTAGCTAAGAATTGGAAAACAGAAGAAGTTCCAACAGTGGAAGATTGGCAGATGAAGATGATGGACTTTTCGGAGCTAGCTGACCTGACCGGAAGAGTCGGCGACCAGAAGGAGGAGGAGTATCAGGAAGAATGGAATAAATTTAAGGATTATTTAGTTAAATTTGCTAAGTTAAACTAACTGAAAACAGCTTGCAGATACTTAATGGGCTTAGGATTCTATTTATGTTAAGTGATGAATTACCGTATTTTTCGTTCTATAGGACGCACCGGTCCATAGGACGCACCTCGTTTTTGGGGGGAATGAATAAAAAAAATTATTCCCCCCCCTGCGGCTGCCGCCCGAGCCTCGCGTGCTCGGGCTGCAGGCTACCGCCCAAGCCTTGCGCGCTCGGCGGGACCTCCCACCGGGCACGCAAGGCTTGCAGACACTCGCCCGAAGCACGGGAGCCCTCCGGAGGGCTCCCGTGTTTCGAGCGACTAAGCTGCAGCCCCAAGCCTTGCGCGCTGGGCGGGACCTCCTGCCGGGCGCGCAAGGCTTGCAGACACTCGCCCGAGCACGGGAGCCCTCTGGAGGGCTCCCGTGCTTCGGGCGACAGGCTGCTGCCCCCAAGCCTCGCGCGCTCGGCGGGACCTCCTGCCGGGCGCGCAAGGCTGCGGACACTCGCCGGGGCTGCAGGCTGCTGCCTGCAAGCCTTGTGAGCCCGCGGGAACTCCCACCGGGCTTGCAAGGCTTGCGGATAGCTTCCTGAAGCCTGGAGAGCGAGAGGGTCGGTGCGCACCGATGCCTCTCGCTCTCCAGGCTTCAGCGAAGCTGCATTCGCTCCATAGGACGCACACACATTTCCCCTTCATTTTTGGAGGGGAAAAAGTGCGTCCTATGGAGCGAAAAATACGGTAATATGTTTAATTCCATAAGATGAAGATCTAAGGATGTTAATGTTTAAGTTAAATTTCATAAAAATTGGGATTTGGAAAACCGTTAAAAGGACATGCAATGAAATTCAACGAAGGAGAAGCGAGGAGGTCACTTAACAAAGTTAATAACTGTAATTTTCAATAAGGCTATGATTTTTGTTTGTTTGTTTTGTGTGTTTGTTTGTTTGTTTGTTTGTTTGCTTGTGAAAATTAATAAAATTTTTGAGTAAAAGAACAAAAATTAAAAAATTAAAAAGTCCCCTCCTATTGGGGGCACAGGAGTAAGCAGAAGGGTGGCAGTGGCAGCAGCTACGACAGTGCAAGACCGGCTGGCAGCATGGCATGGCTGTTGTGTTGCAGCTGGGCAAGGGAGGGCGTGTGATAGGGTTTTTTTGGATGGGGGATTCTCTTACCGCAGCCCGTCTTCTGCCTCCAGGCTCCCAGCGTGACCCCTTCTTCCTGGCAGAGCTTGGCATAGGCATCGTAATCTTGGCATAAGAGCTCAGTGTCGCCCATGAGAGCGCAGAGGTCGTACACGCAGTTCCTGGGAGAGAGAGAGAAGGAAGGAGATGGGCTCTCTTGCGCACAAATGCGCGCTCGCGTCAGCTTGCACACGGACGCACTCCCTTCCCAGCCGCCCGCCCACGTCTGCGCTCTGGGCACACTCACTCTTGGAAAGGACTGGGCGACAGGACGCCGTGGCAGGCGGAGAACGGCCCCTGGGGGTCAGAGAGGGCCCCACAGACGCCCGTCCCGTTGACAGATACCAGCTGCTCTGGGCTGCAGGCGACTTCAAAGCCGGACTCGACGTCATCTGATGGTTCCTCGCGCCTTTGTGGTGGAGGAAAGAAGAAGAAAATGAGTTTTCCCCTCTGTATGTTTGGTTGGATGTCTTCCTGCTGTGTACAAGGTCTGAGCTGAGAAAGACAAATCCTCCCTGTTCCTTTCTCCTCATAACATAGGAACAGCTGCTGGATCAGGCTGGATCAGGCCCTTTTAGTCCATCCAAACTCCCATGTGACCCAGCATCCTGTTCTCAAAATGATCTCAAATTATTATTATTATTATTATTATTATTATTATTAATAATAATAATAACAATAATAAATTTATTTATACCCTGCCCTCCCTGGCCAAAGCCAGGCTCAGGGCGGCTAACACCAATAAAATCACAGTAAAAACATAATAAGGGGAAAAGAGAGTGGGGAAAGAAAACCAATTTAAAATACAGGTTAAAATGCAATTTAAAATGCAGCCTCATTTTAAAATAGCCGATAAATCAAGACCGTAAGGGGATTGAAGCATAAGGTTCAGACTGAATCCAAACCAAAGGCCAGGCGGAACAGCTCTGTCTTGCAGGCCCTGCAGAAAGATGTCAAGTCCCGCAGGGCCCTAGTCTCTTGGGACAGAGCGTTCCACCAAGTCGGGGCCAGTACTGAAAAGGCCCTGGCCCTAGTTGAGACCAATCTAACCACCTTGCGACCTGCAACCTCCAGAATGTTGTCATTTGTGGACCTTAAGGTCCTCCGCGGGGCATACCAGGAGAGGCAGTCCCGTAGGTACAAGGGTCCTAGGCCACATAGGGCTACTGTTTTTGCTGTGTTTTGCTCAGCGTAGTGTTATCAGATGGGACATGGGTGGCGCTGTGGGTTAAACCACAGAGCCTAGGACTTGCCGATCAGAAGGTCGGCGGTTCGAATTCCCGCGACGGGGTGAGCTACTGTTGCTCGGTCCCTACTCCTGCCAACCTAGCAGTTCGAAAGCACGTCAAAGTGCAAGTAGATAAATAGGTACCACTCCGGTGGGAAGGTAAACGGTGTTTCCGTGCGCTGCTCTGGTTAGCCAGAAGCGGCTTAGTCCTGCTGGCCACATGACCCGGAAGCTGGACGCCGGCTCCCTCGGCCAGTAAAGCGAGATGAGCGCCCCAACCCGAGTCGGCCAAGACTGGACCTAATGGTCAGGGGTCCCTTTACCTTTCAGTGTTATCAGAGCCCTGGTCCCTGTCTGCTAAAAGCAAGGTCTGCTTCTCTAGGGAGTTTGAGACCCAGCTCTCTGCTTCTTGTTTAGAGATTAACTGCTGAATGAGGGAGAAGCCGAGCATGAGGGACAAGAGCTGCCCCAGGGGCTGACCTGATGCGAGGATGGCTGCCAGCCTCCCTTTCTCTGCTGGGGACCATGACTTCCCAGCTGTTCCCAAACGTGTTGAGGCTCCGGGTCCACGTTCCGTCGGGTTTCATGTACTCGTTGTTCCGCTGCCCGTCGTAATTCCCGCAGAGCCCTCCCACGTAGTTCCGATAGGTGCTGGGGAGGACGATCTCTGGGTGGGGTGGAGAGAAAGAGGGGTGAAAGCGGTGACCACATGGGGGCAGCCCTAGATCAGTTGGGGTGGGGACAATCTTTGAGCCTTCCACATATTCAGATTTTGTACTGTATTTTTTGCTCTATAAGACGCACCAGACCACAAGACGCAGCTAGTTTTTGGAGGAGGAAAACAAGAAAAAAAATATCCTGAATCTCAGAAGCCAGAACAGCAAGAGGATCGCTGCGCAGTGAAAGCAGCAATCCCTCTTGCTGTTCTGGCTTCTGGGATAACTGCGCAGCCTGCATTTGCTCCATAAGATGCACACACATTTGCCCTTACTTTTTAGGAGGGAAAAGTGAGTCTTATAGAGCACAAAATACGGCAATTTTTTCTTTATTGAATTTTACAAGAAAAGAAAAAGAAAGAGAACCAAAGAACAGCACGTAACACTGTAAGCACATTTATATACATGTTTTCCAAAATGCAGACTAAAAAAAGAAAAGAAGAAGAAAAATCCTTTTCATAACCAATATTACCAAATTCGTGCTTCAAACATTGCAATATATAAATCCTAGTTAAAATATTATAAAAGACTTCCACCGCATTCACTGTACGTCTCTTAGTTATCTTGCCCGCCTTTACATCTGTCCTTCAATCATTTCCCTTCCTTAGGTTCTTTCATATACATATTCAGATTTTGAAAGCCTTTTCTGTACCCAACACCTGTTCGGCAACTTCGATGTGCAGCCATTTATGTGCAGCCGTACCTTGGAAGTCGGATGGAATCCGTTCCGGAAGTCTGTTCGACTTCCAAAACGTACAAAAGCCAAATTGCAGCCAATCAGATGCCACGAAAACCCCATCGGACATTCGGGTTCCAAAGGAACATTCGCAAAGCAGAACAATCGCTTCTGGGTTTCCGGTGTTGGGGAGCCAAAACGTCCGAGTTCCAGGGCGTTCAGGATCCAAGGTATGGCTGTATTCATTTGATTCCTGCATTGCAGGGGGTTAGTCTAGATGGCTCTTGGGGGTCCCTTTCAACTCTAGAATTCTGTGGTTTTTAACTATTTTAACAAAATAGTTTGCCAGTTGAACAGCTTTGCCTGAGCTGGGTGAAACGGCACCCCTGCCCTTAAACCTACTCTGAGATGCTGCCTGCCGCTATAATGAATAGAAAAAAATGTTGAAATATACATTTATAAAGAAACCAGAGGCCTTTCTTCTTGGAATAACAGGTTTGGAATTGCCCAAGAAAGATGTTACATTATTTTTGTATGCCACAACTGCTGCTCGTATTTTGTTAGCTAAAAAGTGGAAAACCCAAGAATTACCAACGATAGAAGAATTGCAGCTGAAGTTGATGGATTTTTTGGAGCTAGCGGACCTGACCGGAAGAGTCCGCGGCCAGAAGGAGGAGGAGTATCAGGAAGAATGGAATAAATTCAAGGATTTTTTTAGTTAAATTAACTGAAAACAGCTTGCAGATACTTAATGGGCTTAGGACTTTATTTATGTTAAGTGATGAATTAATATGTTTAATTTCATAAAGTGAAGATTTAAGGATGTTAATGTTTAAGTTAAATTTTATAAGAACTGTGATTTGGAAAACCGTTAAAAGGATATGCAATGAAATTCAACCAAGGGGATGCGAGGAAGTCACTTAACCAAGTTAATAAGTGTAATTTTTAATAAGGCTATGATTTATGTTTGTTTGTCTTATGTGTTTGTTTGTTTATCATAGTGTGAAAACCAATAAAAAAAATTTGCAGCCCCTTCTCCCCTTGTGCTCATTTATCCTCACCACTTAGAAATGGGAGTGCCTGATCACCTCATCTGTCTCCTGAGAAATCTCTATGTGGGACAAGAAGCTACAGTTAGAACTGGGTGTGGAACAACTGATTGGTTCAAAATTGGGAAAGGAGTACGACAAGGCTGTATATTGTCTCCCTGCTTATTTAACTTATATGCAGAATTCATCATGCGAAAGGCTGGGCTGGATGAATCCCAAGTCAGAATTAAAATTGCCAGAAGAAATATCAACAACCTCAGATATGCAGATGACACAACCTTGATGGCAGAAAGTGAGGAGGAATTAAAGAACCTTTTATTGAGGGTGAAAGAGGAGAGCGCAAAATATGGTCTGAAGCTCAACATCAAAAAAGCGAAGATCATGGCCACTGGGCCCATCACCTCCTGGCAAACAGAAGGGGAAGAAATGGAGGCAGTGAGAGATTTTACTTTCTTGGGCTCCATGATCACTGCAGATGGTGACAGCAGCCACGAAATTAAAAGACGCCTGCTTCTTGGGAGGAAAGCAATGACAAATCTTAAATCTTAAAAAGCAGAGACACCACCTTGCCAACAAAGGTCCGTATAGTAAAAGCTCTGGTTTTCCCAGCAGTGATGTATGGAAGTGAGAGCTGGACCATAAAGAAGGCTGATCGCCGAAGAATGGATGCTTTTGAATTCTGGTGCTGGAGGAGACTCTTGAGAGTCCCATGGACTGCAAGAAGATCAAAGCTCTCCATTCGGAAGGAAATCAGCCCTGAGTGCTCACTGGAAGGACAGATCCTGAAGCTGAGGCTCCAAGACTTTGGCCACCTCATGAGAAGAGAAGACTCCCTGGAAAAGACCCTGATGTTGGGAAAGATGGAGGGCACAAGGAGAAGGGGACGACGGAGAATGAGATGGTGGGACAGTGTTTTCGAAGCTACGAACATGAGTTTGACCAAACTGCGGGAGGCAGTGGAAGACAGGAGTGCCTGGCGTGCTCTGGTCCAGGGGGTCACGAAGAGTCGGACACGACTAAACGACTCAACAACAACAACAATCCTCACCACCAAAATCCTGGCCGTCAAAGTAAACGGAGAGCCCAAAGTCCGTTTCCACGCAGATGGTGCGGCCTCTCTGGGTGATCTGGAGCCCGTCCCGGGGCGAGTACGGGGTGGTGACCATCACGCCATTTACCTGGAAAGGGCAATCGAAAAGGCGAAAGATTTATACGATCTGAGGAGTATGTAGAAAAGCAGGATAGAGATAAGATATATGTTGAAAAATATAGTAAAGGTTCGCTATCTATGCTAACATTCGATTGACGTTGGAGAGAGACTGAGTTGAAAAATAAGACCAAGGGTACATGTTGATATAGGAATGTATTAGATAAAATGTAAAGAAATATACAATAATAAGAGTACGTTCATTTGTAAAAAAAGGAATATACAACGGGATAGACAGGAAGTCCAATGTGTTGGTACATATATGATTTTGGAATAGTTTTTTGTCCTTGTTTCTTTTCTTTAGGTATATAAACTGTGTACATAAACTTTGTATACATGCTGAAAATTATATTATAATAAGCCTTGCGATGTAATATGATAACGTTTACCGATGTAACATAAGAACATTAAATAAAACTCAAAAAAGAAAGAAAGAATGGGCAATCAACAATGATCAAGGGGATGGAGCGAAGAAAAACCTTGCAGCGTTTAGGACTGCTTCGTTTAGAGAAAAGGCAGCCAAGAGGCCACATGATAGGAGTTCATAAAAATGATACGCACAGAAACCAGATAGAGAAAGGTGTGTTTTTTCCTCCCTCTCTCGTAACACTACAACACGGGTAGGCAGAGTCGATGGAGGAAGATTGGAAGAAATTCAAAGACTATCTTCAGAAACACTGCAAAATTAAGGAATGTTAGAGTGATGTTGGATTGAAAATAAGTGGTTTCCAGCTGTACAGGTTAAAGCTAAGGATAGATTAAGATTAAAGATTAAAGATTAAAGATGTTTAAAGAAATGGAAATTTGATAATAAAAGAGAAAAATTTAAAGGTATATGATATTAAGAACAAGGATTATGTTTAAAAAGCTGAAGCTATATAGTTTAATATTTCATTAAATTAAAGATTGGGTTTAAAAAGTGGAAAAGAAACTGCTGGACAAATAATGTAGATTGGAATACAAAAGAGGAGGTATGAGGAAGTCCAGAAAATAAGTAATTTAAAATTGGGAATCTAAAGAGAGTTTGTTTTAAATTGTTATGTTGTGTGTTTCTATTGTTAAATTTTGTATTGTTTTTTTGTGTGTGTTGTTTTTTCTTTTTTCTTTGTTTAAAACTTTAATAAAAATTATTTAAAAAAAACAACAAAAAAAACACGGGTAGGCAAACTAAGGCCCCGGGGGCCGGATGCGGCCCAATCGCCTTCTAAATCCAGCCTGCAGACCGTCCGGGAATCAGCGTGTTTTTACACGAGTAGAATGTGTCCTTTTCTTTAAAATGCACCTCTGGGTTATTTGTGGGGCCTGCCTGGTGTTTTTACCGTATTTTTTGCTCTATAAGACACACTTCCCCCCTCCTAAAAAGTAAGGGGAAATGTGTGTGCGTCTTATGGAGCGAATGCAGGCTGCGCAGCTATCCCAGAAGCCAGAACAGCAAGAGGGATTGCTGCTTTAGCTGTGCAGCGATTCCTCTTGCTATTCTGACTTCGCTTCGCTGGAGAGGCGCTGCGCAGATTCAGAATATTTTTTTTTCTTGTTTTCCTCCTCTAAAACTAGGTGCATCTTATGGTCGGGTGCGTCTTATAGGGCGAAAAATACGGTACATGAGTAGAATGTGTGCTTTTATTTAAAAGGCATCTGTGGGTTATTTGTGGGGCATAGGAATTCATTCATTCCCCCTCCCAAAAATATCGTCCAGCCCCCAGAAGTTCTGAGGGACAGTGGACTGGCCCCCTGCTGAAAAAGTTTGCTGACCCCTGCACTAGAACTTGAGGGCATCCCATTAAGCCACATGTTGGACGATTAGGACTGATAGTTAAACTACAGAACTCCCTGCCACCAACATAAAGGTAAAGGTAAAGGGACCCCTGACCATTAGGTCCAGTCGTGGCCGACTCTGGGGTTGCGGCGCTCATCTCGCTTTATTGGCCGAGGGAGCCGGTGTACAGCTTCCGGGTCATGTGGCCAGCATGACTAAGCCGCTTCTGGCGAACCAGAGCAGTGCACGGAAATGCCGTTTACCTTCCCGCCAGAGCGGTACCTACTTATCTACTTGCACTGGTGTGCTTTCGAACTGCTAGGTTGGCAGGAGCAGGGACCCAGCAACGGGAGCTCATCCCGTTGTGGCGATTCGAACCGCCAACCTTCTGACTGGCAAGTCCTAGGCTCTGTGGTTTAACCCACAGCGCCACCCACGTCCCATTGCCACTAATATAGATGGCTCTAAAAGAGGACTGGGCAAATCTACGGAGGAGGAGAGGGCTATCAGTGGCTCCCAGCCAGCATCCTGTCCTCACAGTGGCCACTCTCCTCCACAAATCTGATCCTCTTTTAAAGCCATCTAAGTTAGTGGCTCCAGTGGCAGGGAGTTCCACAGTTAAACTCTGCACTGCGGAAAGATGGACTTCCTTTTATCTGTATGGAATATTCCAACGTTTGGCTTCACAAATCCTCATACGGCATCAGTGTTTAAGAGCAGGAGGAGGTGGAAAGGAGGGTCCTCATTTGCTCAGGGGGCAAGTGATCTGCAGGAGGGGACCCCCCCCAAAAAAAGCCTCGCACAGTTTTCCACGTCGTATGGGGCTCTCACCGCCATCTTCCTCCCCTGCAACAACTGGATGCTGTAGCCGTACACCTCGACGTAGACCTCGCGCAGGAAGGAAAAGCTCTGGAAAGGGAAGCGGCGCCGGTTCCTGCCCGCCACGGAGAGGGGTTCGAGAGACTCCGGAAGGTCACCCAGGGTCTTGGTCAAGGTGTAAGTGGAGCGCCCCTGGAAGTGGTGGGCGAAGTTGTCGAAAGTGTTGTAGTGGGGGTCTCCGGAAATCACGCACTGGTGGAATCCTGGGAAGGAGGAGAGCCAAGTTAGGAAAGTAAAAAGTTGCGGGTGAGCATTCTGCACATGCTCAGAGGAAATGTCCTTACTGTGTCTCGAGGCCAAGCCCTTGCATTGCTATTTTTCTAATAATAATAATAATAATAATTTGTTATTTAGACCCTGCCCATCTGGCTGGGCTTCCCCAGCCACTCTGGGCGGCTTCCAACAAAATATTAAAATACAGTAATGCCTCAAATATTAAAAGCTTCCCTAAACAGGGCTGCCTTCAGATGTCATCTAAAAGTCTGGTAGTTGCTGTTCTCTTTGACATCTGATGGGAGGGCGTTCCACAGGGCAGGCGCCACCACCGAAAAGGCCCTCTGCCTGGTTCCCTGTAACTTGGCTTCTCGCAGGGAGGGAACCGCCAGAAGGCCCTCGGAGCTGGATCTCAGTGTCCGGGCAGAACGCTGGAGGTTGGGACACGCCTTCAAAATGATAATTGGGGGTGGTGGAATGCAAAAATGAATTTAAAAGACCAACTGATATCCCTAAACACAAACCATATTTTATATATATGAATGAGCCCTAAACTGGTACCATCCAGGTATCTTGGACTGACATTCCCATCAGCCCCACCTGTGCTTTTTCTCAAAAATCTGAAGCCTATATCACTGACAACCTTTCTGAGTGAATATCTGCAGGGTTTTCGATTCCTGACAAATAACAGTTTTCTCCCTCTGTAATAAGGCCATGACGTTCTCGGAAGCAGCCATTCCTTCCAGAATCACAGCCCTTTTTGACAAGGCCCCCATTGCAGGGGAGATTTCCCCACCATCTCTGCCAACCAATGGGCACCTATGGATTCTCCTTGTTCTTGGCAACGCGGCATCTTTCTCAGCACCACCACCAGTGCCGTGTTAGGCTTTAGGTAAAGGGACCCCTGACCATCAGGTCCAGTCGTGACCAACTCTGGGGTTGCGGCACTCATCTTGCTTTACTGGCCGAGGGAGCCGGCGTACAGCTTCCGGGTCATGTGGCCAGCAGGACTAAGCCACTTCTGGCGAACCAGAGCAGCGCACGGAAACGCCGTTTACCTTCCCGCCAGAGCTCTACCTATTTATCTACTTGCACTGGTGTGCTTTCGAACTGCTAGGTTGGCAGGAGCCGGGACCGAGCAACGGGAGCTCACCCCATCGCGGGGATTCGAACCGCCGACCTTCTGATCGGCAAGTCCTAGGCTCTGTGGTTTAACCCACAGCGCCACCTGCGTCCGCATGAGTTAGGCTTTAGGTCTGCACAATTAACACACAATCAACGCCCTAACGCAACATCGCCACCGAAAAGAGAAACACGGATGTTGTGCTGCTTGGAAAGTGATGGGGAGAACTACTTGAAATGTGTGGGGTGAATGAATGATCAACTGGAAGACCAGCGGGTGCAGAATGCCGTGGCGAGGCTCCTTACAGGGTCCTTGCCACGGGATCACATTCACCCGGTGCTATACCAACTGCACTGGCTCCCGGTGGAGTACAGGATCAGGTTGAAGGTGCTGGTTTTGACCTTTAAAGCCCTATGCGGCCTAGGACCCTCGTACCTACGGGACCGCCTCTCCTGGTATGCCCCACGGAGGATGTTAAGGAGGAGATAAGGGATGCTAGCGATAAAGGAGGCTGCCTGGGAAGGGGGAGGTAAAAGCCCATGGATCCTCAGGATTTTTGCATTGGGTCACCCCAAATTCACCATCCGATCACATGTCTGTGGCCACAGCAATGACCACAAAAATCATACCTCCACTGTTTTGTTCAGAATATGTTTTTTCTTGTTTTCCTCCTCTAAAAATCGGAGTGTCTTATGGTCAGGTACGTCTTGTGGAGCGAAAAATACGGTAATCTCCAAGGGCAGCCCCAGAGTAGAGTGCGTTGCGGTAGTCCAGCCTAGGCAGCTGGAGAACTACTTCCTTTCCCAACGGCTGGACCGACTGAGCCTGCCTGGGTGCTGCTCCTCTTCCCCTCCTCTCCGCCATCTCAGCCCCCCCTCCCACTGCTGCCCCCGCTTCCCACTCACTGGTTGGGCGGCAGTAGTGAAGCCCCGCGGTGCTGAGGGCGCACACGGACCCATCCAGGCACCGGAAGGACTGGCAGGTGATCTTCCCGTTTCCGACGCAGGTGCAGCGTTCGAGGCAATTGGCTGTCACCCATGTTTCTCCAGGCTGCAAAGGCAGAGGGGAGGCAGTTAGGGGGCTGCGTCAAGACCCATCCCCAACCTGCAAGGCAGGTGTTATGTACTGAGTTGAACAGGATCCAAAATGCAGCAGTCTGATTGGTCCTAAACAATAGGGTCCAGAATGCAACAGTCTGATTGGTCCTAGAACAATGCAGCAGTCTGATTGGTCCACAGGAGCCACCCAATCCAGCTCCAGGTGGAAGTGAATCTGCAACCAGATTGGCCTACAGGTGAATCCCGGAATTAGCCAATCACGTGGTGCCCATTGTGTAAATCATGTATATAAAGCAGACATTCTGGAGGAACTTCCATTCCTCCTCACCACTACGAGCTGAATAAAGAGCATGAAATCCACTCTCGACTCCGAGTATATTTCAGCAGGTCATGTTCCTCCCACCGCCCAACAGAGGCTTGACCTCAAAACATCACGTTTAATAAATGATCCGCAGAAGCTATTGTGAGAGTGGCAGCTTCTTCGTTATCTGGGCTTCTTTGTTATCTGGACTTCTTTGTCCGGCTTCTCTTAGGAGCATCAGCCCGACGGCAACCAAGCCCCATGTTCCGCACTACTATTCCCATCAGCCCCAGACTCTAAATCTTAGGGTCCTGTGTTCGAGTCTCACACTGGGCAAAAGATTCCTGCGTTGCAACTCTTACAATTCTACGACTGCCGGCCGGCTGGGAGTCCCCTTCCACTTACGTTGTAGTACTCGTTCTGGGTGCTCACGCATCCGCAGTCCCGCATCAAGACGCAGCTGTCGTCGCTCAGCACGTAGCCCCGGTCGCAGGCGCACCCCTCCACGCAGGTCGTGGGGCGCTGGCAGCTGGCTGGGGCGTAGAGGTTGGAGCAGGTGGCCGGGCAGGGAGAGGAGCACTCGGTGTAGTGGCTGTGAGCCGGGCAGGGCAGGGCTGCAGGGGGAGGCGGGGAAGAGGAGACGGGGGCTTTTAGGAATAGAGGTATTTTCTACGTACAGCAACAAAGGAAGAACATATAGCGTGGCTCTTTTAGGTGCTAATAGGTCGCTTTCCCCCGCAATCAGCTGGGAGCATAAAAAAGAAGGGGTTTGCTATGGCACCTGCTCCTTACGTTGAGAGCACTCTTATACTGCAGCTTTCCTCCCAAAGAACCCTGGGAACTGTAGTTTGTTCAGGGCGCTGAGCTCACCGAGCTACAATTCCCAGCACCCTCAACAAAATTTTTGTATTGATTTATTGATTGAATTTATACCCCTCCCTCCCTCCCAAAAAACCCCCTGGGAACTATATTTTCTCATGGGCGCTGAGCTCACCGAGCTACAATTCCCAGCACCCTCAACAAAAAAAAGTTTTTATTGATTTATTGATTTAATCTATACCCCTCCCTCCAAAAACACCCCTGGGAACTATATTTTGTCAGGTGCGCTGACCTCACTGAGCTCCAGTTCCCAGCGCCCTCAACAATTTGATTGATTGATTGAGTTACAATTAAAAACATAGTTTCATCCAGTGATCTCAGGGGTGCCAGACACAGTATCCTTCAGCCCCCAAATATTTCCACATTTCCTTGGATTTCCCATGACTGTTAAAAGTGTTCTAATAGTGCTTTAAATGTTCTATGGGGCCATGACCTTTAATAGTACTATGCCATCCACCAGTGCCCAGGATCTACAATAGTAATTAAAAGTTGGTCCCGTGCAGCGATAAAGGTCACCTGCCTCTTTAATTAAAAGATTCCTGCTTTCAGGTTCTGCTTCTGCAATTGCTTCCGGCTTGGCAGCAAGGGTTCTCCATGAGGAACCCTTTTAGCAGCTCATCAAACGGCCCTGAGCTTGCAAGCCTCTGGAGAGAGGCCTCCTCACTGTTAGAATTCCTGCTCCATGATTGCAGTCATGGGATTGTTGTCTATCACATGACGGTATATGTTTTGACTCCAGGAGACAGGATGTTTGTGTTCCTGTGTTCCGTGAAGTGGGACTATTGTCCTTTTTTCTTTTTCTCTTTGCTCTCTGATGCTGCTAGAGAGAGAGGGAGCCATGTTGCAGTGCTCCGTGTGTGTTTATATGTAAATAAAGTAGATTAGCCAAAATGCTAGGGACGCGGGTGGTGCTGTGGGTTAAACCACAGAGCCTAGGGCTTGCCGATCAGAAGGTCAGCAGTTCGAATCCCCGCGATGGGGTGAGCTCCCGTTGCTCGGTCCCTGCTCCTGCCAACCTAGCAGTTTGAAAGCACGTCAAAGCGCAAGTAGATAAATAGGTACCGCTCCGGCGGGAAGGTAAACGGCGTTTCCGTGTGCTGCTCTGGTTCGCCAGAAGCAGCTTAGTCATGCTGGCCACATGACCCGGAAGCTGTACGCCGGCTCCCTCGGCCAATAAAGCCAGATGAGGGCTGCAACCCCAGAGTCGGCCACGACTGGACCTAATGGTCAGGGGTCCCTTTACCTAACCAAAATGCTGTGTTGTAAGGTCTGTCATGCAAGAACTGCGCAAACTCTGCGGATCCCTAAGCGTGCCGGTGTCAGTTGGCATTGGTCGCTATGTTGTTCGGGCTGAAGAAAGCTTTTGAAGCTCCTGATCGATCGACCAGGAGGGAGGGAACATCCCAGTCGGGCCTGTGTCTCTGCCAGGGGTCCTACTCGACTGCAGGCTGAACTCCTGACACTCAGTGTGAGGTGCTTTGGGGGGCCTTTGACTCACGGCAGAAGGTGCTGTTCCTCCACGAGATGCTGTCCACGCCTTGGCTCTTGCAGGCCTCCACGTAGGACTGGATGTTGTCGCAGAGCACTGAGGCCATGCCCTGGTACTCGCACATGTCATACAGGCAGTTCTGGAAGAAGGGCTGGGGGTCGATGGTGCCGTGGCAGGGCTGGTACTTGGGCCCCAGGATCTCACGGCACTGGCCGCGAAGGCGCTCCATCTCCTGGGCCGAGCAGGGGGGCTCCAGGTCCTCGCGGTTGTCTGGCTGGCAGCTGGTGGCAGAAGGAGGGGGCGAGGGTGTTGTTTGTTCATTTTACATCTAACAGAACCGTAGGGTTGGAAGGGACCCCCAAGGGCCATCTAGACCAACCCCCCCAGCAATGCAGGAATGAGAGCTAAAGAATTTGAACCCCACCTATTCTCCCCCAAGGAGTTTAGGGGTTCTCCCCATTTTATTCTCACACCAACCCTGCAAGGTGGGTAAGGCTGAGGGTGACTGGCTCCCAAGGTCCTCCAGGGAGCTTCGTAGTGGCCATGGGGAGATTCGAACCCTGCTCCCTCCCAGGTCCTAGTTTGACCCTCTGACTGATGGGAGGGGGAAAGAACTGGTCTGGGAAGAACTTAACTCGCCTGTCATTAATCACACAACATAGATGATAATGTAGGGGAAAGCTTTCTGTCAAAGAATCATAGGGTTGTTGGGAGGGACCCCCAGCGGTCATCTAGTCCAACCCCCTGAAATGGAGGAATCGCAGCTAAAAAATCCCTTGCAGATGGCCGTCCATCCTCTACTTAAAGCAGAGAACCACCACCTTCCGAGGGTGTCTGAAAGTTCTTCCTAATGTCTAGTCGGAATCGCCTTTCTTGTAACTTTTAAGCCCTCCTGGAACAGGAACAAACAAGCGTGATCCATCTTCCGTGTGACGTCCCTTCAGATTTTGGAAGATGGCTATCCTATCCCCTCTCAGTCTACCGTTCTCTAGGCTAAACATACCCAACTCCCTCCACCGTTCTTCATCAGGCCCTCGATCACCTTGGTCGCCCTTGTGGCAGCCATTTTGTGTTTCGCCACCGCCACAGCAGCCATTTTGTGACTGCCGCCCGCTGCAACCTCCTCAAAACCGTCGCTGTGCACACGGGCCCTCAAAGGCAGCCCAAGGGAGTTAATAATAATAATAATAATAACTTTTATTTATACCCCGCCCATAGCTGTCAAGTGTCCCTTATTTGGCGGGAAAGTCCCTTATCCCAGCGCCGTGTCCCGCTGCTGTCCCTTACTGATGATGTCCCTTAAATTTCCCGGGTTTCAAAGGAAGCAGCTCCTCTCCCTCCCTCCCTGCCGGCCAGGGAGGAGGGAGGCTCCAACTGTGTTGCTTGGCTGTGTTGCTCACCCAATAAGGAGTCTGAGAACGACTGGGGGGTGGAGCTTGCATGCCTTGTGCCAATCAAATCGGCCGCGTTGCCTGGGGACTCGCCTTTGCTCAGCGCTTCCCAGCGGAGAGGGGACGGTGGTTTTCCTTGCTGCATCCCCTTTGCCGGGTTGCTGCGCTGTGGGAACCACCGCTTGAGGCTTCGTTTGGCTGCTGGCTGGGCTTTCTGCTTTTGGCTCGGAGGGGCTCAGAAGTTGAACATACCTGTGCCCTGAAAATCCCTTATTTTGGCTGCTGATCCCTTATTTTTGAGGCTGCTGGTCCCTTATTTTCAAATCTGTAAGTTGACAGATATGACCCTGCCCTCCCCGGCCAGAGTGCTCTAGGCCGCGCCATTGCACGCCCCTGCCTCCTCACCCTGGGTCAGCGTCTCCTGGTGCCTTCCAGCTGTTCCCAAACTGACTGGCATTGGTGGCCAATTGTCCGTTGGGCATCAGGAGGTCGTCTCCGCTCTGGTTGTTGAAGCTGCCGCACATCCCACACACCTGGGGACGGGAAGGAGGTTGTTATGGCCTTTGTGCAGGACGCATTAAATCGGCAAGGAGACGGAAAACCAACAGGGAGGCTCTTGGGGCGCAGGTGGGATCCAGAAATCATTTAGACTTGGAGACAAAAGCAGGCCCTCCAAGTTTCCCATGGGTTTCTGATAGCTTTAAGGAACGGGTTTTCACGGGGGGAAATGGTGGGCCGAAAGAAAAAGTGCTTGGAAACAGACCGGAAAAGTCTAAAGTGCAGAGGAAAATTTGTGTAGGTGCTCAGGATGATAAACAAAGCAAAACTGGTCAAAAAAAGATGGCGAAGGAGTTTCAGATGGGGAAGGGGCATGCAACAGGGAGGAGGAGAGGGTCAAAGGGATAGGTGGGTTAGGTGATGAGCTGCATATGGAGGAAAAACTTAAAACACATTGCAGGATTCCCCAAAAATAGGCCAGAGGCTACTGCTACTGAAGGCAAGGAGCATAATGGTCACAAATCCAATACATTCAGGATTGGCACTGTCCATAAAAAATCCAGTTGCAGCAGACTTCAAACTTATAACTTATAATAAGACAAAAACATAGCACTACATACAAAATAGGACACCACACCAGAAGGAAAAGAGATAGAAAGTGAAAGTGAAGCCCAGCCTGCTTCTAGCCTGACTATTATAGTCAGAGTGACCTTGACAGAAAGATAATTCTGGGCTGCATCAATAGGAGTATAGCATCTAGATCAAGGGAAGTAATAGTGCCACTGTATTCTGCTCTGGTCAGACCTCACCTGGAGTACTGTGTCCAGTTCTGGGCACCACAGTTCAAGAAGGACACTGACAAACTGGAACGTGTCCAGAGGAGGGCAACCAAAATGGTCAAAGGCCTGGAAACGATGCCTTAGGAGGAACGGCTAAGGGAGCTGGGCATGTTTAGCCTGGAGAAGAGGAGGTTAAGGGGCGATATGATAGCCATGTTCCAATATAGAAAAGGATGTCACATAGAGGAGGGAGAAAGGTTGTTTTCTGCTGCTCCAGAGAAGCGGACACGGAGCAATGGATCCAAACTACAAGAAAGAAGATTCCACCTAAACATTAGGAAGAACTTCCTGACAGTAAGAGCTGTTCGACAGTGGAATTTGCTGCCAAGGAGTGTGGTGGAGTCTCCTTCTTTGGAGGTCTTTAAGCAGAGGCTTGACAACCATATGTCAGGAGTGCTCTGATGGGGTTTCCTGCTTGGCAGGGGGTTGGACTCGATGGCCCTTGTGGTCTCTTCCAACTCTATGATTCTATGATAATAGAACCAGTTTAAACCAGCTGTACTCAGCTTCTCGGAAGGTATATAACCCAAACAAGAACCTTCTTTCACACAGAGAAGAAACCTTCCAGAACCCTCTTGAATTAAGCAGAACAGGATAGATCTCTACACATCAGATCAATACTTTTTGGACGAAGAAATGCAAACTGAGACTGGGGATGCAGGTAAGAACACAAGAACAGGATGCTGGATCAGGCCCACGGCCCCTCTAGTCCAGCATCCTCTTCTCACAGTGGCCAACCAGATGCCCATTGTGGGAAACCCGCAAGCAGGATCCGAGCGCAAGAGCAACTCTCCCTTCCTGGGGCTTCCAGCAACTGGCCTTCGGAAGCAGAGCACAGCCATCGCGGCTGAGTCGCGAATTACCTTGTCAAAGTAAGTCCCAGGCAGCTGGATCTCTAGGTGATGGTTTCCGTCAAACTTGACCACCAGCCCGAAATCAGTCTCCAGGACCACGTAGATCCCGCTGGTGGTGATGGAGACGCCAGGAATGCGGCCCTCCACGGGGGTCCGGACACGTTGGCCATCAATCTGTGGCGAGACGAGAGATCGAGGTGGAACAAGGCTGTCTTCATTCATTCATTCATTCCTGTACATCTATATCCCATCTCCCCACCACCCAAGAATTTGTTTAATCCTCTTTTAAAGCACCTTTTAAAGCAGGGACGCAGGTGGCACTGTGGGTTAAACCACTGAGCCTAGGACTTGCCGATCAGAAGGTCGGTGGTTCGAATCCCCGCGATGGGGTGAGCTCCCGTTGCTCGGTCCCTGCTCCTGCCAACCTAGCAGTTCGAAAGCACACCAGTGCAAGTAGCTAAATAGGTACCGCTCCGGCAGGAAGGTAAACGGCGTTTCCGTGCGCTGCTCTGGTTCACCAGAAGCGGCTTAGTCATGCTGGCCACATGACCCGGAAACTGTACGCCGGCTCCCTCGGCCAGTAAAGCGAGATGAGCGCCGCAACCCCAGAGTCATCCGCGACTGGGCCTAACAGCCAGGGGTCCCTTTACCCTTTACTTTTATATCCCATCTCCCCACCACCCAATAATTTATTTAATCCGCCTTTTAAAGCCATCTAGATTTGCGGTCATCACTGCCTCCTGTGGCAGGGAGCTCCACAGTTTAGCTACACCCTGCATGAAGAATGACTTTCTTTTTTACCTGTCCTGAACCTTCCAACATTTGACATCCTTCACAGGAGCCCTCCCCGCCCCCCATAAAAAGAAGACAACCTTGCAGACACCCCCCACCCCGCAAACGACCTCTGCTTCTGCCCTCCTACATTTGGGCAAGATCCCTTACCAGCACCCGCCGACTTTTCTGCAGGGTGACCGTGGCTCCGGCAACCTCCACGGTCACGAGGCGGAGGTAGGAGGCTTCGGGCTGGCCCCGCTCCTCGTTTTTGGCGGTGATGTTGAAGGCCGGGAGGCGGGGGTCGGCGTGGCAAAGCGTCACCAAGGTGTACGTGCAAGTGCCCATGAAGGAGACCATGGTGCCATCGAAGGTGTAGTAGTGGGGGTCCCCGGCCACGTGGCAGGCAGCCACTCCTGGAGGACAAAGGGACACAAGGCATCAGCCCCCTCCTCTTATTACGTTTATCTGTATTATTTAGAGTATGCATGTCTGATGAAGCCCAGCAGGGCAAAACAAGGTATTATTCCAGGAATCCTTGTCTTACGTTCTTTTGTCTGATGCCTGAATACAGCAACTATATTTTGCAAAGGCATATGTGGAACATTACAAAGAACAAGTTCATTTTCTGCAAGTACTGCTTCTTAAAGTTGTCGCGTCTGACACTAATAAGCTAACACCAATAAGCTTCGTATTGATGCTTTTGAATTACGGTGCTGGAGGAGACTAAATGACTAAACAACAACAAAAATAGGGGGCATCTTATACACGGAGGTGTAAATTGCCGTGTTGGCACTTTGCAATAAATAAGTGGGTTTTGGGTTGCAGTTTGGGCGCTCAGTCTCTAAAAGGTTCGCCACCACTGATCTAGGGGGATCCAGTTCCCTTCCCAACACCAGGGATCCAGTTGTGCCCTCTCAACATGAGAGTTCAAAGCCAGACTTTCTATGAAGCTGGCCAGCCGGGGTGACTCTTGGTGAGTGTTGTTGTTTAGTCGTTTAGTTGTGTCTGACTCTTCGTGACCCCATGGACCAGAGCACGCCAAGTTTTACTTGGTGAGTAAACTTGATATAAGCTAAGATTGGTTCCATTTTAGAGCCACAGTGTTCAGGTTTGTTTTGCATTCTGTTTTGACCTTCTGCCTGCTTTCCTCCTACCGTTTATTCCTAATAAAGTTCCTTCATTTCACCGCTGAAGCGCATGTGGTTGCCAACTCCAGGGTTTCGGAATCCCCACCTGCCCGGCCGCTTGGCATTTGGGCTACCGGGAGTTTGGGATTGGCGTTGCAAGCGGCCAGAGCGCTCCTCTGAGGTCTGGGAGAGACTCAGAGAGAGCATGGGCTAGCTCTACACTCAGAGTAAACCCCAGAGGTGCAGGTTGGACCGAGGAGTGCTGGAGCGCTGGCTCAGAACCTTTATAAAATTGCTTTGGTGCACCCCAGGTCCCCCCCCCCGTTTTGTTGTTGTTTAGTCGTTTAGTGGTGTCCGCCTCTTCGTGACCCCCTGGACCAGAGCACGCCAGGCCCTCCTGTCTTCCACTGCCTCCCGCAGTTTGGTCAGACTCATGTTTGTAGCTTTGAGAACACTGTCCCACCATCTCATCCTCTGTCGTCCCTTTCTCCTTGGGCCCTCCATCTTTCCCAACATCAGGGTCTTTTCCAGGGAGTCTTCTCTTCTCATGAGGTGGCCAAAGTCTTGGGGCCTCAGCTTCAGGATCTGTCCTTCCAGTGAGCACTCAGGGCTGATTTCCTTCAGAATGGAGAGGTTTGCCCCCCTTACGCTCCTTTAATCTGCAGGTGTGCAATACTCTGGTTGCGGGACAAGATGCCTTTGCTGCAGGGATCCGTTGTCCAGAGGACGCAGCTGGCTCTGGTGTGGTGGTCATGTGGGATTGCTATGAGGAATTATGAAAAATGCAGCAAGCCATTGTGTCAGCAATGAAAGTATTGCTTTGACTGGGTTTGAGTCATTGACGATAATTTCTGATCAAATCCCACAAGCCTCTGCATTTCTGCCCTGTTTTTTCTACTGTCCATTTCTCTACGCCTGACAGGCACGTATAAGCATTCTAAAACACAGACCAGTTGCTTCACCAGGCACCCTGGGCCATAAAGTTAGGAGGTAGCTTTGATGTAGCTTTTGTTAATCTTTAGGTAGATACTATCTGATCCCCACCTATCTGATCTGATCCTATCTGATCGCCGAAGAATTGATGCTTTTGAATTCTGGTGCTGGAGGAGACTCTTGAGAGTCCCATGGACTGCAAGAAGATCAAACCTCTCCATTCTAAAGGAAATCAGTCCTGAGTGCTCACTGGAAGGACGGATCCTGAAGCTGAGGCTCCAAGACTTTGGCCACCTCATGAGAAGAGAAGACTCCCTGGAAAAGACCCTGATGTTGGGAAAGATGGAGGGCACAAGGAGAAGGGGACGACAGAGGACGAGATGGTGGGACAGTGTTCTCGAAGCTACCAGCATGAGTTTGACCAAACTGCGGGAGGCAGTGGAAGACAGGAGTGCCTGGCGTGCTCTGGTCCAGGGGGTCATGAAGAGGCGGACACGACTAAATGACTAAACAACAACAACAGATACTATCTTGCCTTGCCTGTCCTTCCTTTCCTGTTCACTGCCTGTTTATGACCTTCGGGGTTTGCTAAATGCATTCCTCCTTGATTCCTGTTTTATTTAGACTGAACATGTATGCATACTCCAAGCAGTCTTTGTAGTTAAAAGGATTTCTCTGAACTAACTTAGTCCCACGTGGTAGGTTTTTTTGAAATGCTCAGAGGAAATCTGATTGGTTCTTACGGACACTGTGTAAAAAGTTCTTTTGTGAATAAAACGACCTGGGCCAAGGGGTGGACAGGATTATTATGATTGGCACTTCCTCCCAGAGTCTTGCTGGCCAAGCCTTGTGTGTATTTTATTAATCAGGGTCCAATCCTTCCTTTGCCTTCGGAACGCAACGCTCTGGGAAGGAGGCCAGGAGAGAAAAGGGGGTCTTACCGGTGTCTTGACAACCCAGGAGCCCCTCCACGGGCTGACACTCCTGAACGGGGCTGCAGCTCCACTCTTCGCAGGTGATGTTGTTGAGAGGCGCACAGGTACAGCGCTGGGTGCAGTTGCTGTTCGCCATCCAGCTCTCACCAACCTGAGGAGCAGGGAGGGGGGAGGGTCAGTGGGGAAAGGACCCAGGTGTCCTGCTGTGAACCCCACCCACCGCCCTTCCCCACCTAGAGGAGCACCCAAGATTCTTCACTTCCAGGACCCTAGAGCAGGTTACACGAAGGATCCCCTGGAACAGGTGGATCACTGCTCGTGGTTCTGCACCCTACAGGGTGGTGAGCCAAAAATGGGTATTTTGGGGAGAAGGGATGCTTGTCTGCCTTGCTTATGCCACTCGCTGAAGCACCATGAGATGAAAGAAGCCAGGAATAAGAGGCCTCTCTTTTCACAAAACCCAGGAATATTGGGTCATCTGCAGGAGGCAAACCCCTCTGTCCTCCTCCTTCTCGCCAGAAGGTACTGCCCGCTTGGGTCCCCCCACTTCTCACCGGATGGTATTGGCCGCCGGGGTCTGTGCAGCCACATTGGCCCAGGGGGACACACTGGTCTCCGCTGAGGACGAAGCCCTCGTTGCAGACGCAGCCCTCCACGCAGGGCAGGTTGCAGCTGTTCCGGGAGGGGGGTTCCGTGCAGGTGGCAGGGCAGGCTGGGCCACAAGATGTGTAGTTGCTGCCAGGAGGGCAGTTCAGGGCTGGAGGAAGAAGGAAAGAAAGAAAGAAAGAAAGAAAGAAAGAAAGAAAGAAAGAAAGATTGAATAAAGCAATGATACTGTCCTCCTTTGAGAAATACATACCTGGACTTGTTTTGCAGGAGACTTTGTGGATATTTAAGTTATAATTAGAAAAATCTTAATAATTATTCATCAAGGAAACAGCTTATAAGAAGTAAATAAGGAGGCTAGTTACAGGATAAAGGAAGTCTTTTATTTGGTTGTTTGTATTGTTGTATGTTATGCTTATTATATGTTATGTTCACGTTTAATGAGGGTGGATTTCTGTATGGGGGGTTTATGTTATGTTGTAAATAAAACTTCCAATTATAAAGTTATTAAATAATAAAAAAAAGAGAACAAGAGTCCGTTTATTTATTTTGCAACTCCAGCATATTTTATTGCTTCCTGTTCCCCGTGCCATATCACTAACTCCAGCCACGTCGAACAGGAAGCAATAGAGCAGGTTTGAACCTGCAAACAAGAAGCTTTTAATCAATGGCACAGTAGCCCTTGAAGTCTTTCAATGGTGCTTTGCTGATCCGAGCAAAGTCCGACATGGCACTTGGGCGATATGGCTGAAAACAAATAAATAAAAGCTACGAATAAGGTCCCAAGGAGCAACGGGGGCACACGGAAGGTTTATCCACAAGATACCACCGGTGCCACCATTTAGAAAATGGTAGCATGGCAGGCTCTGTAGTGCCTTTGTGATTTGCTGTCATTTTAGCTCATTGTATAAGAATGTGAGAAGAGCGTGCAGGATCACACCAAAGAGGGCCCATTTGGTCCAATTCTCACAGTGGCTGACCAGGCACCCCTGTTAGTCTGGCAGCCACAGTCCAGCAGCCAAAAATTCCGCATTCTCCGGAGCCTGGGAACCTGATCACAGCGACTGGGCCCCATAACCAGATGTGCGTACGGCCCCTTCGCGTACGCAGAGCCCCAAGAAGAAACCTGCAAGCAGGAATCTGGACTCAAGAGCCCTCTCCCCTGTAGTGATCAGGTGGGATTGCTATGAGGAATTATGAAATATGGAGCATGCCATTGTGACCGCGATGAAAGCATGGCATTGACTGGGTTTGATTCATTGACAATAATTTCTGATCAAATCCCACAAGCCTCTGCATCTCTGCACGTTTTCTCTACTGTTCATTTTCTCTGCCTGACAGGCCCGTATCAACATTCTGAAACACAGGCCGGTTGCTTCATCAGGCATCCTGAGCCATAAAGATAGGAGGTAACTTTGATGTAGTTTGTTAATCTTTAGGTAGATCTTAAGGGCCAGGAAGAGAGTTCACAAGGAGATGGTAAATACTATTTCCTTGCCATCCTTCCTTCCTTTCCTGCCTGTTTATGATGTCTGGGGTTTTGCTGAATGCATTCTTCTAGTCCTGTTTTATTTACCCCAGAATGTATGCATGCTCAAATTAGCTCTTTGTAGTTTTAACTTTAACTTTGTCCCACGTGGGTTTTTTTTTTAAATGCTCAGAGGAAATCTGATTGGTTCTCACGAACACTGTGTAAAAAGTTCTTTTGTGAATAAAACGACCTGGGCCAAGGGGTGGACAGGATTATTATGATTGGCACCTCCTCCCAGAGTCTTGCTGGTCAAGCCTCGTGTGTATTCTATTAGTCAGAGTCCAGTCCTTCCTTGCTTTTGGAATGCAACACTCCCCATCGGTTTCCAGCAACTGGGATTCAGAAATATGGCTGGTTACAACTGAGGAGGGAAGTCGAGCCATTGCGGCCAGCAGCCACTGTTCGCCCTCTCCTCCTCCGTGAATAGGTCCATTCCTCCTTTAAAGCCATCCGAGTTGGTGGCCATGCCTGCCTCCTGTGGCAGGGAGTTCCACAGTTCAACTATGAATGATCTGCTTTCCTGAACCTGCTTGCAGGCAACCTATGGGTGGTCATGGCTTGACTACTGTAATGCGCTCTACGCGGGGCTGCCCTTGAAGCTGTCCCAGAAACTCCAGTGGGTGCAGAATGCTGCAGCAAGGCTCCTCACAGGGTCTCTGCCATGGGAGCGTATTCACCCAGTGCTTTTCCAGCTGCATTGGCTCCCAGTGGAGTACAGGGTCAGATTTAAGGTGCTGTTTTTGACTTTTAAAGCCCTTCACAGCCTAGGACCCTCGTACCTACGGGACCGCCTCTCCCGGTCTGCCCCACGGAGAGCCTCAAGGTCCATATATAGCAACACCCTAGAGGTCCCGGGCCCTAAGGAAGTCAGATTAGCCTCAACCAGAGCCAGGGCCTTTTCAGTACTGGCCCCAGTTTGGTGGAATGCTCTGCCTCATGAGACCAGGGCCCTGCGGGATCTGATTTCTTTCCGCAGGGCCAGTAAGACAGAGTTGTTCCACCTGGCCTTTGGCTTGGAATCAGTTTGATTCCCTCCCCCTCTTTCTTTTTCCTTTCTCCTCCTATGAAGTGATTGCTCCCTAATTGTTTTAATGTTGTATCTTCATCTTTTAAATTGCATTTTAATCAACTTGTTTTTATTATTCGTTGTTAGCCGCCCTGAGCCCGGTCTTGGCTGGGGAGGGCGGGGTGTAAATTTAAAAAATTATTATTATTATTATTATTATATGTAAATGAGAGAAATAATTACGGCAGAAGCTGCTGTTCCTCCAGGCGATGGGAATTCCGGCTTGGGCACACCTATCGGCGTAGGACTGCAGGGCGAAGCAGAGAGAGCCCGTGTCCCCCTCAGTGCCGCAGAGATCGTACACGCAGTTCTGAAACGCCCCCTCGGGGGGGACCTTGTTGTGGCATGGGGCAAACGGACCTAGAGCGAGGAAGGAGAGTTAATGAGCAAAGATCCCACACTGGGGGGCAGGAAGGCTACTGTAAGTTCCCCAAGAGTCTGTGCTTCCCTTGCAGGGAACCCAGGTATCATAGTTGGAAGGGTACTCCAAAGGTCCTCTAGTCCAGCCCCCTGAAATGAGGGAATTACACCTGACAAATCCAACCTCTGCTTGAAACCTTCCAACAAAGGAGAGCCCCACCATCTTTCCAGAGCATCCGTTTTTGCTGCTGAACTTGTGATGGCCTGGGAATCTGATTCAGAGGCTGAGGAATCCCAGCCTGCACAGGAGTCCCCACCTCCAGGGCCAGCTGAGCAGGGGCAGGGGCTTGAGTCTGAAGGGCCTGCACCTGTGCCGGATCCTCAGGAGCAGACACCAGCTGAATCCGCTCTGGCTCCGGAGGTGATGGAGGACCCATTGCCTGCAGGTGCGCCTCTCCCAGCCCTGTCAGGGGAAGGTGAGGCTGCCTCTGGGTCCAGTAACCCTCCAGCCTCTCCGGAGCTGCAGAGGCTCAGGGCAGAGAGGCGGAGGAAACTAAGTTCTCTCAGGAGGAGCGCTCGCCTTAAGGCCAGGAGAGGCGAGTCACCTGTGGGCCGGGACCGCCACAGGCCTCAGAGGAGATAAAGGCCAGTCAGCCCAGTCCCAGGTTGCGGGAGCAACATCGCTGGTAACCTGTTCCTGCCGGCACCCTGTCCTGCTCTTCCAGAGTTCCTGACCACGCCTGGCTCCTTGCCTTGGACCCCGCTTCACCCTTGACGAACAGCCTCCTTACCCTCGACCTAGGACCGGACTCAGACCACGCCACACGGTACCCCCCCCCCCCGGGACCAGCACAGAATTTCTCTCCCCATCAGAACGTCCTTCCTACAGTTTAGTCAAAATCTCCTTTCCTGCAATTTGAATCCATTAGTTCGGGTCCTACCCTCTGGAGCAGCAGAAAGGAAGCTTTCTCCATCTTCCGCCTCTCCTGGTACGCCCCGCGGAGGACCTTAAGGTCCACAAATGACAACATTTTGGAGGTCCCAAGTCGCAAGGTGGCCCCAACATGGTAGAACACTCTGTCACAAGAGACTAGGGCCCTGCGGGACTTGACATCTTTCCGCAGGGCCTGCAAGACAGAGCTGTTCTGCCTGGCCTTTGGTTTGGACTCAGTCTGACCCTTATGTTTCCCCCCCTTACGGTCTTGATTTATCGGCTACTTTTAAAATGAGGCTGCATTTTAAATTATATTTTAACCTGTATTTTAAATTGGGTCCCCCCCCCGTTATGTTTTTACTGTAATTTTACTGGTGTTAGCCACCCTGAGCTTGGTATAATAATACCAAAAATAATAATCATATAATAACATTTTTAAAAATGCATTCGCGGGGGAAACGCTTGGAAAAATGTGTACACCGGTCAAAAATGCATGCAAAACATAGTCTGTTAGTTACTCTTACCAAAAAGGAAAACAGTAAGTTTAATATCCGTAACAAAAGGAAGAAGTCACACCGAAATGCGGGCAAATTTTCAAGAGGATTAAACAAAAGCTGCTGAGGAGAGACGAAGATTGCAAAACCAAGAAACACAGAGAACAGAAATGGACTTATCTGTCCATCTTTAACAGGCTCCTCTCCAAGGAACCCAAATCTCACCTTGAGGGTCTGTGAGGATCCCGCAACTTGTAGGTTTCTTCGCATCGTCCTCGATGTCCTTGTCACACTCTCCTGGGTCTCCTGAGTTGGTGCAGCTGTGAAATGGGCACATCAGAGGAGACGGTGCTTCCTGGCATTTGCATTGCAGAAGATCTATCTATCCTTACCCTCCCTTGTCAGCCACCTCCCTCACACACCTTGTCTGTGACCCGCTTTCCCCAGCCAGGACCTGGAAATTAAAATGTGGCCCTGGATTTTAGTTCGGACTGTGGCGGACTCACCCTGGGTCCGTGGCGCCCGGGACCTGCCAGCTCTCGCCCAGCTTGTTCACATCGTTTCCGGCCGAGGTGCCGTCGGACATGAGATTGTCATCAGAAGGTTGTCCGTTGTAATTCCCTGGAAAAAGAAGAATGCGCAGTGAGGGGCGCAAGGAGAATGGACGAGAAGAGCTCCCTTCGAAGGGAATGTTCGCACCATACGTTTAAAACACTATAATTGAGGTTGAATCCTGGCAAGACAGAAGTACTGTTTTGGGGGGACAGGAGGCGGGCGGCTGTGGGGGACTCCCTGGTCCTTAGTGGGGCAACTGTGCCCCCGAAGGACCAGGTGCGCAGCCTGGGAGTCATTGTGGACTCACCGCTGTCCATGGAGGCACAGGTCAAATCTGTGTCCAGGGTGGTTGTTTACCAGCTCCATCTGGTATGCAGGATGAGACCCTCCCTGCCCACAGACTGTCTGGCCAGAGTGGTGCATGCTCTGGTTATCTCTCGCTTGGACTACTGCCATGCGCTCTACATGGGGTTACCTTTGAAGGTGACCCGGAAACTACAACTAATCCAGAATGCGGTAGCTAGACTGGTGACTGGGGGCGGCCGCCGAGACCACATAACACTGGTCTTGAAAGACCTACACTGGCTCCCAGTACGTTTGTGAGCACAATTCAAAGTGTTGGTGCTGACCTTGAAAGCCCTAAACGGCCTTGGTCCAGTAGACCTGAAGGAGCGTCTCCACTGAGGTCCAGCTCCAAGGGCCTTCTGGTGGTTCCCTCCCTGCGAGAAGTGAGATTGCAGGGAACCAGACAGAGGGCCTTCTCGGTGGTGGCGCCCAACCTGTGGAACGCCCTCCCTTCAGATGTGAAGGAAATAAGCAGCTATCCTATCTTTAAAAGACATCTGAAGGCAGCCCTGTTTAGGGAGGTTTTTAATATTTAATGCTCTACTGTTTTTAACGCTTGATTGGGAGCTGCCCAGAGTGGCTGGGGAAACTCAGCCAGATGGACGGGGTATAAATAATAATAATAATAATAATAATAATAATAATAATAATAATGCCAATCAGGGCTTCCCCCAAAGGATTCTGGGAGCTGTGCTTGGTTAGGCGCTACAATTCCCAGAGCGGCTTAACAATCTGCGAGGGGAAAGCGTGTGTGTGTGTGTCCTAATGAGGCTCAGCACCCTCAACAGACTACAGCTCCCAGAATTCCCTGGGGGAAGCCGTGACAGTTTAAAGTGGTATTATCAGGGAAGGAATGGAAAACAAATCTGCTGGCATCTTAATGCTGTTATTTAAAACTAGACTACAAGGACTGCTTTTGGAACGCTGCGCACAGTTCTGGCCGTACAAAGGGGTATTGGAAAAGGTTCAGAAAGGGGCAGCCAAAATGATCCCCACAGAGCAAAAATTCCCAGAGTTTCCTGGTGTTATGTACTGAGCTGAATAGAATCCAAAATGCAGCAGTCTGATTGGTCCTAGAACAATAGGATCCAGAATGCAGCAGTCTGAGTGGTCCTAGAACAATAGGATTCAGAATGCAGCAGTCTGAGTGGTCCTAGAACAATAGGGTCCAGAATGCAGCAGTCTGATTGGTCCTAGAACAATAGGATCCAGAATGCAGCAGTCTGAGTGGTCCTTGCCAGACTGCAGCAGTCTGATTGGCCCTAGAACAATAGGATCCAGAATGCAGCAGTCTGATTGGCCCTAGAACAATAGGATCCAGAATGCAGCAGTCTGATTGGTCCTAGAACAATAGGATTCAGAATGCAGCAGTCTGAGTGGTCCTAGAACAATAGGGTCCAGAATGCAGCAGTCTGATTGGCCCTAGAACAATAGGATCCAGAATGCAGCAGTCTGATTGGTCCTAGAACAATAGGGTCCAGAATGCAGCAGTCTGATTGGTCCACAGGAGCCACCCAATCCAGCTCCAGGTGGAAGTGAATCCACAACCTGATTGGCCTACAGGAGAATCCCAGAACAGTGGACAGCTGTGATTGTGAAACCCCTTTCCTGATCCCGCTCCCATCCTGGGGGTCCGTTCCCCCACCCCCAGCCGCCCACCCTGTCCCATTCTGCTCACCACAGAGGCCGCAGAGCTTTCCAAAGTAGGCCTCGGGGACGGAGACTTCTGCGTGGTGGTTCCCATCGAAGCGCACCCAGAGGCCGAAGTCGGTCTGGAGCAGGACGAAGGTGCCGCTCAGGTGCACGGACACTCGTCCATCGGCCAGGGACACCGGCAACGTAACACGCTGGCCGTCCACCTGCGTTGGAGAGAGAGAGAGAGAGAGGCTGAGAGGAGCCATCGAAGTGGCAGTGGCGGCGGACGGTGGTTAGAGTCCGGATATTGCGGGTGGGAAGTGAGAGCTGGACCCTAAAGAAGGCTGATGGCCGGAGAATGGATGCTTTTGAATTCTGGTGCTGGAGGAGACTCTGGAGAGTCCCATGGACTGCAAGAAGATCAAACCTCTCCATTCTGAAGGAAATCAGCCCTGAGTGCTCACTGGAAGGACAGATCCTGAAGCTGAGGCTCCAAGACTTTGGCCACCTCATGAGAAGAGAAGACTCCCTGGAAAAGACCCTGATGTTGGGAAAGATGGAGGGCGCAAGGAGAAGGGGACAATGGAGGACGAGATGGTGGGACAGTGTTCTTGAAGAGACCAGCATGAGTTTGACCAAACTGCGGGAGGCAGTGGAAGACAGGAGTGCCTGGCGTGCTCTGGTCCAGGCGGTCACGAAGAGGCGGACACGACTAAACGACTAAACAACAACAACAACACTGCGGGTGGGGAGAGTATTCCAAAGGCGGCAGCAACGCTTCTCAATCCCAGTTGCTGGAAACCGCAGGAATCGGAGAATTGTGGCGTTCAAAGGGGCCACTGGGGTCATCTAGTCCAACCCCCCGCAATATGGGACTCAAACCCAGGACCTGGAGATGAAGAGTCTCGTGCTCAGCCAGCTGAGCTGTCCCAGGGCTGAGGAGGGGAGAGCGGCTCTTGTGTTCAAATAATAATAATAATAATAATAATGTATTATTTATACCCCACCCATCTGGCTGGGCTTCCAACCGAACATTAAAAACAATACATCGTCAAACATTAAAAACTTCCCTAAACAGGGCCGCCTTCAGTTGTCTTTTAAAAGTAAAATAGATAGATAGATAGATAGATAGATAAATAGACAGATAGAGATAGATAGATAGATAGATAGATAAACAACTCTGACTTTTAGAAGACATCTGAAGGCAGCCCTGTTCAGGGAAGTTTTTAATGTGTGACATTTTAATGTATTTTAATTTTTGTCGGAAGCCGCCAACGTGGCTGGGGAAACCCAGCCAGATGGGCGGGGTACAAATAAATTATTATTATTATTATTATTATTATTATTATTATTACTACAACAACAATTTTATTATTTATACCCTGCCCATCTGGCTAGGTTCCCCCAGCCACTCTGGGTGGTTCCCAACAGAGGACTAAAAACAGAATAAAACTTCAAACATTAAAAAATTCCCTAAAGAGGGCTGCCTTCAGGTGTCTTCTAAAAATCAGGTAGTTGTTTATTTCCTTGACATCTGATGGGAGGGCGTTCCACAGGGCGGGTGCCACCACCGAGAAGGCCCTCTGCCTTGTTCCCTGCTATCTCACTTCTCGCAGGGATGGAACCGCCAGGAGGCCCTCGGAGCTGGACCTCAGTGTCCAGGCAGAATGATGGAGGTGGAGACGCTCCTTTGAGGCCGTTTAGGGCTTTCAAGGTCAGCACCAACACTTTGAATTGTGCTCGGAAACGTGCTGGGAGCCAATGAAGTTCTCTCAGGACCGGTGTTACAGTGGTACCTCGGGTTACATACGCTTCAGGTACATACGCTTCAGGTTACAGACTCCGCTAACCCAGAAATAGTACCTCGGGGTTAAGAACTTTGCTTCAGGGTAAGAACAGAAATCGCATGGCGGTGGCACGGCGGCAGCGGGAGGCCCCATTAGCTAAAGTGGGGCTTCAGGTTAAGAACAGTTTCAGGTTAAGAACGGACCTCTGGAACGAATTAAGTACTTAACCCGAGGTACCACTGTATATGAATCCTGAAACTGGTTGGCCACTGTGGGCTGGATGAGCCCCCTTTGGCCTGATCCGGTGGCCAGTGACGTTCCTAACGTGGCGGAGGGGACTCACCGTGACTCTGCGCCCCTTGAGCAGCCCGATCCGCGTCCCATAGACCTCCACGCTGACGGACTTGACGTACGAGACCTGCTTGTTGTTCCCTCTGTGCTCGTTTGTGGCCTCCACCCTGAAGTTGGGCAGCCCCGAGGTGGCATTGCAGGGGGCAGAAAGCAAGTAGGTGCAAGTGCCCATGAAGTCGAAGCGGCGACCGTCGTAGGTGGCGTAGTGGGGGTCTCCGGAGATGGTGCAGGTCTCCTGATCTGTGGGGCGGGAAGAGGAGGAATCGGGGCAGGTGGGCGAGGGGGTCTCGCCACCCCAACGACACCTGCAAGCCTTGTGGGCAGGGCTGCCCACATGCCAATCACCCGATGTCATCGCAGTGAGGCCTGGAAGGGGTTTCCCTTTGAAATCCATTTGCTTGCAGCTTGCAAGTGGGGCCAGCCCTACGTTACCTGTTTTGCACCCACATCCCGCAAGACCAAGGGGCAGCAGACCCCTGACCGTTAGGTCCAGTCGCGGCCGACTCTGGGGTTGCGGCGCTCATCTCGCTGTACTGGGCGAGGGAGCCGGCGTACAGCTTCCAGGTCATGTGGCCACCAGGACTAAGCCACTTCTGGCGAACCAGAGCAGCGCACGGAAACGCCGTTTACCTTCTCGCTGGAGCGGTACCTATTTATCTACTTGCACTTTGACGTGCTTTCGAACTGCTAGGTTGGCAGGAGCAGGGACCGAGCAACGGGAGCTCACCCCGTCGCAGGGATTCGAACCGCCGACCTTCCGATTGGAAAGTCTTAGGCTCAGTGGTTTAGACCACAGCGCCACCCGCGTCCCATGTTGGTCTGCCATAGTCGAAACAAATAAAACAATTCCTTCCAGTAGCACCTTAGAGACCAACTAAGTTTGTTATCGGTATGAGCTTTTGTGTGCATGTACACGTCTTCAGATACACACAGAAGTTCATACCAATAACAAACTTAGTCGGTCTCTAAGGTGCTACTGGAAGGATATTTTTTTTATTTTGTTAGCAAAAGGTAAAGGGACCCCTGACCATTAGGTCCAGTCGTGGCCGACTCTGGGGTTGCAGCGCTCATCTCGCTTTACTGGCCGAGGGAGCCGGCGTCCAGCTTCTGGGCCTTGTGGCCAGCAGGACTAAGCCGCTTCTGGCGAACCAGAGCAGCGCACGGAAACGCCGTTTACCTTCCCACTGGAGTGGTACCTATTTATCTACTTGCACTTTGACGTGCTTTCGAACTGCTAGGTGGGCAGGAGCAGGGACCGAGCAACGGGAGCTCACTCCGTCACGGGGATTCGAACCACCGACCTTCTGATTGGCAAGTCCTAGGCTCTGTGGTTTAACCCACAGCGCCACCCGCGTCCCTATAGCCAACTTGCTTAACTCTAATTAATGCGTGAAGGGGTTAATACCATAGAGTAGCAAGCTGTCCTGCCAGGCTTAGCTAGGTCACTCCCCCTCATCGTCAGAGGAAGCCCTGAGCCCGGCTTTGGCTGGGGAAGGCAGGATATAAATAAAAGTTCATTATTATTATTATTATTATTATTAGTTCTCCTATCCTTCAAATGATTTAGAAACTTTTGCCGCTTTGGAACTATCATTCATTCACTTTTAATTTGTATACCGTCTTTCTATTTTTCCCTCCCCGTTCCCCTCTTTCTTTTTCCTTTTTCCTTTCTCCTCCTGTGATGAGGCTGCATTTTAATATTTTAATATTTTAATGTTTCAATATTTTAATTGTTGTATTGTAATCTTGTTTTTAAGTTGTATTCATTCAACTTGTTTTTATTATTGCTTGTTAGCTGCCCTGAGCCCGGCCTTGGCTGCGGAGGGTGGGGATATTAATAATAATAATAATAATAATAATTATCATTATTGTTATCATTATCATTATCATTATTTTACAATACCCATGGCGGTTTGCACCCTAAGTTTTGCTGCCTGTGTTTTATTGCTCCCGTATGGGCAAGCACACAAACCCGACCTTTGAAAAGTTTGTAAGTAAACCATTTTAAACTTGGTCTTTTTCTGTGCAAAAGGAAGTGAGAAACTTTGGAAGCAACTTAGAAAGGGGTATTTTCAAGGTCTAACTTCCTATATTTCCACATTTGGTTGCATGTTTTGTGATTGCAAATCTCTTACATTGCTTAATTTATGAATATCTTTAGCTGCCCTGAGTTTATTGGTTAGGAAGTAGGGAAGAAACAGTCCAAACAACTAAATGAATTAATTTCTTCTACGACACAGGAAATGTACCCCCCTGAATAAGCCCAGAGGCCCCATAATTATTATTCTCTAAAGAACCCAGGAGTCCTGGCTCACCCTCCCAATACTGCCTCCTCCTTTTGAAGCTACGTGTTGGAAGATTCAGGACAGGCAGAATAAAGTCTTTCACGCAGCACAGAGATGACCTGCGGAACTCCCTGCCACATGAGGCAGTGAAGGCCACAAACCTAGATGGCTTAAAAAGAGGATTTGATATTGATGGCTACTAGCCAGGGTGGCAAAGTTCTGCCACCACGTTCAGAGGCAGCTTGTGGGGTTTGCTATGGGGCACCTGGCTGGCTAATTTGATCTCCCTTCTTTCCTGGGCAGCCCAGACCCTCTGGCTCCCCACCCCAAAGGCTGCTGCTGCTGCACAGTAACTGTTTAGCCCCTTCCGCCCCCCTGCAGTTAGGGGCCCCCGAAAGGTATTCACCTGCAGGCGGCACAGGGGGTTTCGCCGTGGTTGTTGTAGTAGTGGAGACCGAAGAGGTGGTTGTGGGGCTGGGCCCAGTGGTGGTTGTGGGGCTGGCCCCAGTGGTAGTTGTGGGGTTGGGTCCACTGGTGGTTGTGGGGCTGGGTCCACTGGTGGTGGTTATGGGGCTGGGTCCACTGGTGGTTGTGGGGCTGGTCCCGTTGGTGGTTGTGGGGCTGGGTCCACTGGTGGTGGTTGTGGGGCTGGCCCCAGTGGTGGTTGTGGGGCTGGGTCCACTGGTGGTTGTGGGGCTGGTCCCGTTGGTGGTTGTTGGGTTAGTCACAGTTGTGGTTGTGGGGCTAGGTCCAATGGTGGTTATGGGGCTGGTCCCGGTGGTGGTTGTGGGGCTGGGTCCACTGGTGGTTGTGGGGCTGGTCCCGTTGGTGGTTGTGGGGCTGGGTCCACTGGTGGTTGTGGGGCTGGGTCCGCTGGTGGTGGTTATGGGGCTGGCCCCGGTGGTGGTTGTGGGGCTGGGTCCACTGGTGGTTGTGGGGCTGGTCCCGTTGGTGGTTGTGGGGCTGGGACCAGTGGTCGTTGTGGGGCTGGGTCCACTGGTGGTTGTGGGGCTGGTCCCGTTGGTGGTTGTGGGGCTGGGTCCACTGGTGGTTGTGGGGCTGGTCCCGGTGGTGGTTGTGGGGCTGGGTCCACTGGTGGTTGTGGGGCTGGGTCCACTGGTGGTGGTTATGGGGCTGGCCCCGGTGGTGGTTGTGGGGCTGGGTCCACTGGTGGTTGTGGGGCTGGTCCCGTTGGTGGTTGTGGGGCTGGGACCAGTGGTCGTTGTGGGGCTGGGTCCACTGGTGGTTGTGGGGCTGGTCCCGTTGGTGGTTGTGGGGCTGGGTCCACTGGTGGTTGTGGGGCTGGGTCTGCTGGTGGTTGTGGGGCTGGGCCCAGTGGTGGTTGTGGGGCTAGGTCCACTGGTGGTTGTGGGGCTGGTCCCGTTGGTGGTTGTGGGGCTGGGTCCACTGGTGGTGGTTATGGGGCTGGCCCCGGTGGTGGTTGTGGGGCTGGGTCCACTGGTGGTGGTTATGGGGCTGGCCCCGGTGGTGGTTGTGGGGCTGGGTCCACTGGTGGTTGTGGGGCTGGTCCCGTTGGTGGTTGTGGGGCTGGTCCCGTTGGTGGTTGTGGGGTTAGTCACAGTTGTGGTTGTGGGGCTAGGTCCAATGGTGGTTATGGGGCTGGTCCCAGTTGTTGTTGTGGGGCTGGTCCCGGTGGTGGTTGTGGGGCTGGGTCCAATGGTGGTTGTGGGGCTGGTCCCGTTGGTGGTTGTGGGGCTGGGTCCACTGGTGGTTGTGGGGCTGGTCCCGTTGGTGGTTGTGGGACTGGGTCCACTGGTGGTTGTGGGGCTGGGTCCGCTGGTGGTTGTGGGGCTGGGCCCAGTGGTGGTTGTGGGGCTAGGTCCACTGGTGGTTGTGGGGCTGGTCCCGTTGGTGGTTGTGGGGCTGGGTCCACCGGTGGTGGTTATGGGGCTGGCCCCGGTGGTGGTTGTGGGGCTGGGTCCAATGGTGGTTGTGGGGCTGGTCCCGTTGGTGGTTGTGGGGCTGGGTCCACTGGTGGTTGTGGGGCTGGTCCCGTTGGTGGTTGTGGGGCTGGGTCCACTGGTGGTTGTGGGGCTGGGTCCGCTGGTGGTTGTGGGGCTGGGCCCAGTGGTGGTTGTGGGGCTAGGTCCACTGGTGGTTGTGGGGCTGGTCCCGTTGGTGGTTGTGGGGCTGGGTCCACTGGTGGTGGTTGTGGGGCTGGGTCCGCTGGTGGTTGTGGGGCTGGGTCCAATGGTGGTTGTGGGGCTGGTCCCGTTGGTGGTTGTGGGGCTGGGTCCGCTGGTGGTTGTGGGGCTGGGCCCAGTGGTGGTTGTGGGGCTAGGTCCACTGGTGGTTGTGGGGCTGGTCCCGTTGGTGGTTGTGGGGCTGGGTCCACTGGTGGTGGTTATGGGGCTGGCCCCGGTGGTGGTTGTGGGGCTGGTCCCGTTGGTGGTTGTGGGGCTGGGTCCAATGGTGGTTGTGGGGCTGGTCCCGTTGGTGGTTGTGGGGCTGGGTCCGCTGGTGGTTGTGGGGCTGGGCCCAGTGGTGGTTGTGGGGCTGGGTCCACTGGTGGTTGTGGGGCTGGTCCCGTTGGTGGTTGTGGGGCTGGGTCCACTGGTGGTGGTTATGGGGCTGGCCCCAGTGGTGGTTGTGGGGCTGGGTCCACTGGTGGTGGTTATGGGGCTGGCCCCGGTGGTGGTGGTGGGGCTGGGTCCACTGGTGGTTGTGGGGCTGGTCCCGTTGGTGGTTGTGGGGCTGGGTCCACTGGTGGTTGTGGGGCTGGTCCCGTTGGTGGTTGTGGGGCTGGGTCCACTGGTGGTTGTGGGGCTGGGTCCGCTGGTGGTTGTGGGGCTGGGCCCAGTGGTGGTTGTGGGGCTGGGTCCACTGGTAGTTGTGGGGCCGGTCCCACTGGTGGTGGTTGTGGGTCTGGCCCCGGAGGTTGTTATGGGTCCGGGTCTGCCTGTGGTGGTTGATATGGCAGCTGTGGAAGTCGGTGGGGGAATTGTGGTCCCAGAGTCTGCAAGGAGGAGAAAAAACAGAGTCCCTAGTGAGTGGGGTATTTATGGGATTTTGGGGATACCTGAAGCTTCTCCCCCCATATCAAATTTACAGTCTCCATTCCCACCTTCCTTTCAAGCGCAATGACCCCCCTTCAGCCCCGCCTTCCCCCAGGGAACCCTGGGAATTGTAGTGCGCTAAGGATGCTGAGAGTTCCCCTCCCGGCGCTACAATTCCCAAAGCGCTTTAGCAATCCCTCCCTCTTCCTGGGGAATTCTGGCAAATACGGCTCTGCGGAAAGAGGGGCAAGGGGGTTCTTGGGGGCGGCCGCTTGCCCACCCCATCACCCCGCCCCGCCTCACCTGCGCATGCCCCCTTGCGTATGGAAATGTTGTCCAGCGCCACGTCCATATAGGGGTTGCTGCCCCGGACCACCTCGAAAACGACCTGCGCCAAAGCAAAGGGGTCAGTCGAGGGCCAGGAAGCGGCTTTGCCTGCACCCGACTCCCGCTCTTCCTGTCTAACGCAGCCACCACCATGAGGACTAGCGCCCTGCTTTGCTTCAAGGAGAGGACCGTAGTTCGGCGGCAGAGCTTTGCGTAAAGAAGGGTCCCAGGTGGGCACCTCCTGGCCGGGATGGGAGATGCCCATCTCTGAAACCCTGGAGATCTACTACTTATGGTCAGTGGAGACCGTCCTGAGCTTGTCAGTGGCCAATCGGCTGGACGGGAGTAAGGTGAGATCACTTTACCCCACCTGTGCCCTCTCCACAGCCTGGATCTGCGGAACTGGCACTGCTACAGGTGCCAAGCAACAGCTAGTCTGCGTCCAGAAGAAATCAGTCTGCCCTTTGGAACTCCCTGCCTGTGGATATCATGCAGGCGCCTTCGCGAGACTTTTTTCAGCGCCTGCTGAAAACGTTTTTGTTTAGACAAACCTGCCCAGCTATCCAAGAATGCTGATGTGTTTTTTAGTTGTAATAATAATAATAATAATAATAATTTATTATCTGTACCCCGCCCATCTGGCTGGGTCTCCCCAGCCACTCTGGGCGGCTTCCAACAAAGATGAAAAATACATTAAAATGTCACACGTTAAAAAATTCCCTGAACAGGGCTGCCTTCAGATTATTATTATTATTATTAGTATATACCACCCTATACCCGGAGGTCTCAGGGTGGTTCACAGAACAAAAGTTTATTGTTGGTTTAATGCTTTTTAATCTTTCAGTCGCTCATACTAATAATTCCATGGCACCATTATTAATATTATGATTATGATTATGATTATTATTATTATTATTATTACTATTATTATCATTATCATCATCATATCATTATCATCTGTGCTTTTTCTGGGGGTACGCATATCCCTAAACATTTTGTGAATCTAAGTTTGGCCTCATTGAGGGGCAGTATTTCAGTATGAGTAGGAAAATTACAGTACCCTTAACATTTTTTTAAGAAGAAAAAGCACTATCATTATCATCATCGTCGTTATTTTCTGGTATTACGTTCTATGATCTATTCATTGTGCAAACATACATCATAAAACATTAACACATGAAGCATGACATGACTGACAAAAAACGGGCCATGGCGGTAAATGCAAAACAGATTACTGTACGGTACGTAATAGTGAGGTGATTACAGTGAACCAGTTCAAAGGATTCTGCAGTAAGTCAGCTTGGAAAACGCAAAGCAAGCCAAATACTGTACTACTGCCTGCTTATCTGTGCCACATCGCAACATATGCTGTAGATATTTTTTATCCATGTGTCCTTTAATTTGTATATTTAATAAAATCACACTATACAGTGTAAAAATTGTCTTGTTCTTTCCCTTTCCCTTCCAACCTTCAATTTTTGTGATAACTTTTCCATTACGGCTGTTTGCCAGATTATATCATACCGGTGATCGCTATTCATTAATTGCAAAGTTATCCAAGATCCGGCTATACCCGTTATCAGCTGCTGTTATTAATTCCTTATTTCTTACGTTGTCCATATCTGCAATATACATCAATTAAGTCGGGTTAAAGCTGGGTTTATATTCCTTTGGTTAAACCGCTTTGAGGTTTTGTTGTTTCACAATCAAGCGGTATATAAATCTTGCGTAATGAACTTTCTGAGTCCAGGTCCCTCTGCCTTTCCTCCCCTCCCACTCACCTTGCTGGGTTGGGGTCCCCCGTAAGGCACCGTCACAGACCCCAAGAGCCAGGCGGGGCTTTGGATCCCGGTCCGGCTCCAGAGGAGGGTGCTGGGTCCCCACGGCCCGTGCGCCAGAACCCGAAGCTGGGTGTCGACTTCCACGATGCCGTACATGTAGTAGTAGAATTCCACGCAGGCGTCGGTGTCTGTGCAGAAGCCCCGGCTGGACAGACGCGTGGCCTGGCCTGGCTTCGTGCAACCAGCTTCCACGTAGATGTAGTGGCCCTCTGGGAAAAGAGAAGGCGGGCAAGGGGGCAGCCCCATGCCCCAATCACTCTCTTGACCATCGAGCCTGTTGCAGGAATTTATGTACAGGTTGGGGGGTGTTGCCCCTCCAGCTGATATCCTGCACATGCAGCCCACTACCAAAACCAGCACAATCTCTTTTGTGACTTTGGTGATTTGTCCCCACAAAACACTTCGTCACAGCTTCTTCCTATCTATTCAAAGGGCCTTTGCTGCACAATACCAAATGTAAGAATTCACTGATCAATGGATCTCTGTACTGGCTCACTGGGAAAACTTCAAAAATTCCTACAGAGATGTGAGCTCAGAGACTCAGCAGCCCCTCTGCCTGAGTGATAATTCCTGGCCTCCTGATACCTGAGTGCCAGACAGGTAGCCATTCCAGAAGTAACAAACCCAGATGAAGACAAAAGGGTGGGATGAACTTGGCTGGGAAACAGGGAAATGTAAATATCTCTTTTGTTCTACTTGATCGGTGTTTGGTGGAGGGCAAGGGGAACCATGGGGCAGGGTCCAGGATGCTCAGATTACGGCCACCAGACCTTCCCTTTAGTGATGTAACTGTGATGTATGAGTGATGTAGTTTGGGGGGGGGGACATGGGGATTGTTGTTGTTGTTGTTGTTTAGTCGTGTCCGACTCTTCGTGACCCCATGGACCAGAGCACGCCAGGCACTTCTGTCTTCAAACATGGGGATTAGCAACTAATAAAAGTTTGGGGTCTTCTTTTATTCTGGGCTTCCATCTTGTTCCACCTGGTGGCAGGTGGGAATCCAGTCACGACAGTCTTCAATCAAGACCAAGCCGACTGGCTGCTGTTTGGCTCTGGTATTCCTGGGTGGGGTCCTTGTTTTTTGTCCAAGGGAGCCCTCAGATTTCTCCATTAACAAGCCCAGGGGCAAAACCCACATCCAACAAGTCGTATAGGGGAGCTGGGCTTGTTCAGCCTTGAGAAGAGGAGACCGAGAGGGGACAGAGCAGCCGCCTTTAAATATCTGAAAGGGGCATCACATAGAAGACGGAGAGAGCTTGTTCCCCGGCTAAACTTTCTGACAGTAAGAGCTGTTTGGCAGTGGAATTTAAGCAGAGGTTGATGGCCACTTGTCAGGAATTCTTTAGTTGCGATTCCTGCATTGCAGTGCGTTGGACTAGATGACTCTCGTGGGTATGATTCTATGTGCCAACTGGGACAAGCTGGTGGGGAGAGAAGCCTGAAGTCGCTTGAACCCTGACGTGTGTGATGGCCTGAGACTCGGGCTCGGAGCCAGCGGAGTCTCAGTCTGCTCCGGATCCTTTGCCCCAGGCGGCATCTGGACCAAGTCTGGAGCCTGATCCTGAAGAGCCCCAGTCTGCACAGGTTCCCCTGCAACAAGCACCAGCTGGGCCAAGTCAGGGGCCTGAGCCTGCCCTGGCCCCAGATGTGGGGATGACCTCGTTGCCTCCAACTGGGCCATCACGTACAGCTGTTCCACTACTGGTTGGGTCAGGGGAGCCTAAGGCGGCCTCTGGGTCTAGTAACCCAACAACGTCTCCCGAGCTGCAGAGACTAAGGTCTGAAAGAAGGAGAGACCTGAGTACTCGCAGGAGGAGTGCTCACCTTTGGGCGAGACAGGGAGGTGATTCACTGGGGGATCAGGACCGCCCCCGACAGAGATAAAAGGCCGCTGGATCCCGCCCCAGGTTGCGGGAGCAACGTTGCTGTTTGCCAGAACATGCCTGTGATCCTGTGCCTGACCTTGCCTGGTTTCCTGCCTTGGCCCTGTCGGACTGACTCCTCGTGGAACCCTTGGATTTGGGACCGGACCTGGACCGCGTTGCTCGGGTCACCCCCGGGCCCAGCACAATGTGGCTTCTATGTGGGGCATGTGATGAGGTCTTCCTGGGCCCAGCCCACCCCTCGCCCTCCTTGGCTCCTTACTGCCGTCAGGATAGTCGCCTGGAGGTCCCGTCTCTTCTGTCGGTGTGTACCCCTTTGCCCACGTCCAGTTCGCCGCGTTGTCGCTGGGCTGCAGCCAGCCGCAGAACGGGTCCGCTGCGTCGTTGAAGTTGCACTCGGCGAAAGTCTCTGAGGGCGAGGAGCACGTGGGGTGAGCGACCCCCAGCTTGCTTCCTCCGCCTGCCCGCCCAACTCTCTCACCCTCCCCACATCCGCCTCCCCTCCTTGCCTAGAGATGACCGGGGCAGATTTTACCTTCGCAGGGCGAGATCCTCACGCTGTCCACTGCGACGCCAGGCTTCCCTGCGTAGATGCCTTCGATGATGAACTAGGAGAGGGAGGACCAAGGGTGACCACCAGAGAAGCCCACGGCCAGCCCCTCCATGCCACATTCAAGTTTTCCTGGTTTGACCCACAGAACGTTTAAAGCAGTGTTTTGCCAGGATCAGTCTAGATGATGCCCTGAGTTCCTCTCAGTTCTCAGGGTCCTGTGCCCAGGGAGAGTTAGAATCTTGTGGAGGTTGCTGAGCTAGTCAGACAAGTTTATTTGTTCCCTTGGGAGGTGATAGACACTCCTCCACTGGAGGTTGTTAAGCAGAGGTAATCATCATCATCATCATCATCATCATTTATTATTTATACCCCGCCCATCTGGCTGGGCTTCCCCAACCACTCTGGGCGGCTTACAATAGAACACTAAAATACAATAACCTATTAAACATTAAAAGCTTCCCTAAACAGGGCTGCCTTCTGATGTCTTCTTAAAGTCTGGTGGTGGTTTTTCTCTTTGACATCTGGTGGGAGGGCGTTCCACAGGGCAGGTGCCACTACCGAAAAGGCCCTCTGCCTGGTTCCCTGTAACTTGGCTTCTCGCAGTGAGGGAACCGTCAGAAGGCCCTCAGAGCTGGACCTCTGTGTCCGGGCAGAACGATGGGGGTGGAGACGCTCCTTCAGATATATAGGACTGAGGCCGTTTAGGGTTTTCAAGGTGAGCACCAACACTTTGAATTGTGCTCAGAAACATACTGGGAGCCAGTGTAGGTCTTTCAAGACCAGTGTTATATGGTCTCGGCAGCCGCTCCCGGTCACCAGTCTAGCTTGGATGGCCATATGCATTGGATGCTTCAGCTGAGATTCCTGCATTGCAGGGGGGTTCAGCTGGATGACCCTTGGGGTACCCCTTCCAACTCCACAATTCTAGAATTCTATGATGACCTTAGCTGGCCATTCACATGTCCTCCAGAGCACCCCCGGAGAATGAGTTGCCAGAGCTGCAACTAAGAGCCTGACCACACTGCTCTCTGCCCCTCTGCTTTCCCCTAGGGAAACTTGCTCTCTACTGCTGAATCGGAACAAATGCCAGCTGGGTTTTCCACGGATTGTTGTTTGTTCCTATTCAGCACTAAAGAGCAGTTTTTCCCGGGGGAAACCTGAAAATCTCTCAGACCTGTGCTTTCCAGACAAGGGATGACCGCCAAGGTTGCAGGTTTGATCCTCGTATGGGACAGCTGCATATTCCTTGCATTGCAGGGGGTTGGACTGAATTATCCTTGGGGGTCCCTTACAATTCTAGGATTCTGTGATCTATGATGGGGACCTAAGGGTGGGTCTTATCTCCACCCTGGGTGAGCTGAGCTGGAAGCAGGCTGGAAGCTGGAGACTCAGAGCCCTGTCCGCTCCGTGCTGGGTTGTGATGGCCTGGGACTCGAACTCGGAACCAGAAGAGTCTCAGTCCGCACCGGATCCTTTGCCTCAGGCGGAATCTGAACCAGGTCTGGGGCCTGATCCTGAAGAGCCCCAGTCTGCACAGGTTCCCCTGCAACAAGCACCAGCTGGGCCGAGTCAGGGGCCTGAGCCTGCCCTGGCTCCAGATGCGGAGATGACCTCGTTGCCTCCAGGTGGGCCATCGCTTACAGCTGCTCCACTACCGGCTGGGTCAGGAGAGGCTGAGGTGGCCCCTGGGTCTAGTAACCCACTGACATCTCCTGAGCTGCAGAGACTGCGGTCTGAGAGCAGGAGAGACCTGAATGCTCGCCTTCGGGCGAAACAGGGAGGTGAGTCACTGGGGGATCAGGACCGGCCGTTACCCCGACAGATAAAAGGCCGCTGGACCCCGCCCCAGGGGTCCTGCCTGTGATCCTGTGCCTGACCTTGCCTCGTGTCCTGCCTTGGCCCTGCCGGACTGACTCCTCGTGGAACCCTTGGATTCGGGACCGGACCTGGACCGCGTTGCTCGGGTCACCCCCGGGCCCAGCACAGGGTCCAGATCTACGACTGATGGGAAAGCAAGGTCTGTTGGGGCTTTAATGCCATGAGCTTCTCCGTCTTATGCTCAGGTTGTAAATACGTGCCGAGAAAACCACCCTCCTCACCTGGATGTTCTCAGATGTCCCTGAGTAGACGGCTCTTCCCGGTTTCCAGTCGGGTCCATGTTCCCCCGCGAGACTCAGCAAGGCGGGCCCCAGCTCACCCCCTGTACCGCACGGAAATGGGAAGAAAAACAGGCGCCTCCGTTAGCCAGCCCTCGCTCTCCTCCAGGGCTGCTCTGGGAAGCAGGGGAAGGAATGTGGCAGGATCCCACTCCTGCCACCAACGGCACCCTTTCCCCGGGCCCGACAGGTCTCCGGACACTTGCCTGGTTGTGCTGCGTACACCCTCAGCCCTGTGTTGTTGGAGACGCCGTGCAAGGTATAGTAGAAGCTGAGAGAGAGGCAAGATCCCAGGGACTGGTAGATGGGGCTCTTCAGGAGGGCCGTGCCGCTGCCGCCCAGAGAATCGAGCAACATGTAGAGGCCAACTGCAAGAGCGATATTTGGAGAAAGTCAGGGTCTGCTCTAACGGGAAGAAACACGCCAGAGGGGTTTGGAAGAAGCAGGCCGTCATCCTCTGGGGAGGCTCATCCGAATCTGGGACTGCATCGGTTCCTGCCTGCAATTATTTGTCAATTTATATATCTACTTATGGGGGACACGGGTGGCGCTGTGGGTTAAACCACAGAGCCTAGGACTTGCCGATCGGAAGGTCGGCGGTTCGAATCCCGTGAGCTCCTGTTGCTCAGTCCCTGCTCCTGCCAACCTAGCAGTTCGAAAGCACACCAGTGCAAGTAGATAAATAGGTACCGCTCCGGCGGGAAGGTAAACGGCGTTTCCGTGCGCTGCTCTGGTTCGCCAGAAGCGGCTTCTTAGTCATGCTGGCCACATGACCCGGAAGCTGGACGCCGGCTCCCTCGGCCAGTAAAGCGAGATGAGCGCCGCAACCCCAGAGTCGTCCGCGACTGGACCTAATGGTCAGGGGTCCCTTTACCTTGACCTATATCTTTTTATTCGCCACATTTATTTAGCTGTGACTCCTGCATTGCAGGGGGTTGGACTAGATGACCGTGGGTGGTCCCTACGATCCCATAATTTACGTCCCGCCTTTTCCTCCCAGGAGCTCAAGGTGGCGCACGCGGCTCTCCCCACCTCCTCGTTTTGATCCTCACAACAACCTCAACTGCGAGGTAGTTGAGGTTAAGAGGCAGTGGTGGCGATGATAAATTATGATTGATAATAATGATGATTTGGCCTGATCCTGCTAAAGGCTCTTTGGACACTCTGACATGTTCAGGACTCACAGCCGGGTTTCGAGAAGTCGTCCTCTGGCCCCACTCCGGGCAGGTCCCCGGCCCCAACCCATTGCTCCCACTGGACGTCTCCGTCAGCTGGATTCTCCCATTGGCAGAGGTCGCCGTCGTCGTCAAAATCACACCCAGTCACGCAGGCTGCAGCAGAGGAAGAAGACGAAAAGTCTCTCTCGCACCACTTGTTTTTAACATTCGAATAGGAGCTGCCCAGAGTGGCTGGGGAAACTCAGCCAGATGGGCAGGGCATAAATAATAAATTATTATTATTATTATTATTATTATTATTATTATTATTATTATTTATACCCCGTACATCTGGCTGGGTTTCCCCTGCTGCTTTGGACAGCTCCCAACAGAATATTAAAAACACAATAAAATGTCAAACATTAAAAGCTTCCCTAAACAGGGCTGCCTTCAGGTGTCTTCTAAAAGTCAGATAGTTGTTTATTTCCTTGACATCTGATGGGAGGGCGTTCCACAGGGTGGGCGCCACCACCGAGAAGGCTCTCTGCCTGGTTCCCTGCAACCTCATTTCTTGCAGGGAGGGAACCGCCAGAAGGCTCTCAGAGCTGGACCTTAGTGTCTGGGCTGAACAATGGGGGTGGAGACGCTCCTTCAGGTCTACTGGGCCTTTGAGGCCGTTTAGGGCTTTCAAGGTCAGCACCAACACTTTGAATTGTACTTGGAAACGTACTGGGAGCCAATGTAGTTCTTTCAGGACTGGTGTTATATGGTCTCAGGGGCCGCTCCCAGTCCCCAGTCTGGCTGCCACATTCTGGATTAGTTGTAGTTTCCAAATCACCTTCAAAGGTAACCCCACGTAGAGCGCATTGCAGTAGTCCAAGCGGGAGATAACCAGAGCATGCACCACTCTGGCGAGACAGCCAGGGGCAAGGATGGTCCGGCAACCTCAGGAACCAGCACCCGCTTGCCGCAATAATAACAGCAAAAAGCCCATATTCTTCCCGAGGGGAGGAGACCTAGAACAGGGGCGCTTACGTGCACAAGGCCCAATCCTGACGGAGATGCTGTCCAGAGCGATGGTGATTTCTTCGGTCTTGACCTGGGTGGCAGCAAAAACAACCTGTATGGGCAGAGAGAGAGAATGAAAAGTGGAACGGGATTCCCCTGGAAGGTGGAGGACTGCCGTTCCCTGGGGGCTTTTAAGCAGAGGTGGGATGGTCAAGGATTTTGTAGGTGTGAGCCCTGCACTGAAGGGGGTTGGATTTGATGACCTTTGGGGGTCCCTTTCCAAGTTCATTATTCTATGGTTCCTGTGCATTTTCTCAAAGCGGTAGTTTGCACGACAAAGCGAGGCTCCGTGAGGGCCCTCAGGAACCGGCGTGGGGATCGGCGGAGCTCCCTGGGGGCAAAAGGAGCAATTCACCCTTCTGCTGGACCTCTCAGCGGCGTTTGATACCATCGACCATGACATCCTTCTGGACCGTCTTGAGGGGCTGGGAGCTGGGGCACTGTCATACAGTGGTTCCGCTCCTTCTTTGTGGGCCGTGTCCAGAAAGTGGTGGTGGGGGATGAGTGTTCAGACCCCTGGGCTCTCACTTGTGGGGTGCCTCACGGTTCCGTCCTCTCCCCCATGCTTTTCAACATCTACATGCAGCCACTGGGAGAGATCATCAGGGGGTTTGGGCTGGGTGTCCATCAATATGCGGATGATACCCAGCTCTACCTCTCTTTCAAATCAGAACCAGTGAAGGCGGTGAAGGTCCTGTGTGAGTGCCTGGAGGTGGTTGGAGCATGGATGGTGGCTAACAGATTGAGGTCGAATCCTGACAAGACAGAAGGACTGTTTTTTGGGGACAGGAGACGGGCAGGTGTGGAGGACTCCCTGGTCCTGAATGGGGCAACTGTGCCCCTGAAGGACCAGGTGCGCAGCCTGGGAGTCGTTCTGGACTCACAGCTGTCCATGGAGGCACAGGTCAAATCAGTGTCCAGGGCAGCTGTTTATCAGCTCCATCTGGTACGCAGGCTGAGACCCTCTCTGCCCGCGGACTGCCCACTGAGGTCCAGCTCCAAGGGCCTTCTGGCGGTTCCCTCGCTGCGAGAAGTGAGGTTACAGGGAACCAGGCAGAGGGCCTTCTCAGTGGTGTCCACCCGCCCTGTGGAACTTCCTCCCACCAGATTAAAGAGAAAAATAACTACCAAACTTTTAGAAGACATCTAAAGGCAGCCCTGTTTAGGGAAGCTTTTAATGTTTAATAGGTTATGGTGTTTTAGTGTTTTGTTGGAAGCCGCCCAGAGTGGCTGGGGAAACCCAGCCAGATGGGCGGGGTATAAATAAATTATTATTATTACTACTACTACTACTATTATTATTATTATTATTATTCCAGTTAGCAGAAGCTTTGCAAGAGCTGAGCTGCAACCACAAATCCGAGCTCACGGCACCTGCTCAGTCTCTCCGCTTGTGCCTGAACTGAGCTGCAAGAAAACTGGCCATAGATTGCACGTTTAAAAATAAATAAAACAAGGTTTGTAAGAAACCGATGAGGTTCCTACAGCGGACGTTTACACCGAGCTCAGCTCTTCCGCATCTTAAGGTAAACTTGGCAAGGTCTGCTCCGCTACATCGGATCAGTGCTCTTTTATTGCTAACGGGAATTTATTATTTTATTATGTTTATTTTACATCATAAAACGTACACAACATTTGCTCGTGGGAAACAAACAAAGCGGTTTACAGAAAGCCATAAAATTATCAGGAAGAACAGTTAAAAAATCAACCATTCAAGGTATTCCAAACATTATTTTAAAAACCGGTCATGGTTAAATGGAATAGAGTTTTTACCTATCTTTTTAAGGCTTGCCTAAATAAGAAAAAAAACTGTTTTTAGCAGGTGCTGAAAAGGTTTTGCAAGGAACTGGAATGGGAGATCGGGGGTGAAAATGAGAGGAAAAAACCCACCTTCCATTTTTAGAATTGCAAATATGGGAGAACCCTGCGAGGAGCCTGAATCGTTTATTTCTTCATGAAATTGTCCTTTTCCATTTCAAGTGAGCTTAATGGCTGTGTGGGAGGATTCGAACCCTGGTCTCCCAGGTCTCGGACCAGGGCTCTACACCACCCACACTGAAACGTCTCCTCGAAAGCAGCGACACTGCTTACCTTGAAAGGGCGTTGTGATGGATTCTGGATAGTCACAGCTCCCAGCAGCCAAGACGAACTCTCCATCCCTCTCCGTGTCCAGAGGGTGGAGGAGTTCCCCGAAGGATATTGAACTTTCACCGCCAGCTGGCCCTTGCTGTCTAGGCTGTACAGGTAGTAGAGGAACTCGACGCAGGTCTCTGGCGCGGCCGGGTCCAGATCCGGGCTCTCCAACAGCACGGATGCTCCTTCCTCCGGGTAGACGTAATGGCCTCCTGGAATGGGGTGAGAAGTCGCTCGTTTCATGCGGGGAGAGCATGGTGTGCATTTACCTGCTCTGGAGGGCAGGATCCGAACCGACGGATTCAAATGAGTAGGAAACAGATCCAACAGGCCTTCTCGGTGGTGGCGCCCGCCCTGTGGAACTCCCTCCCACCAGATGTCAAAGAGAAAAACAACTACCAGACTTTTAGAAGACATCTGAAGGCAGCCCTGTTTAGGGAAGCTTTTAATGTTTAATAGACTATTCTATTTTAATATTCTGTTGGACGCCGCCCAGAGTGGCTGGGGAAACCCAGCCAGATGGGTGGAGTATAAATAATAAATTATTATTCCACAGGGCGGGCGTTCCATAGGGTGGGCGCCACCACCGAGAAGGCCCTCTGCCTGGTTCCCTGTAACTTGGCTTCTCGCAGGGAGGGAACTGCCAGAAGGCCCTCGGAGCTGGACCTCAATGTCCGGGCAGAAGGATGGGGGTGGAGACGCTGTTCAGAGCAATAAAAACATAAAACTGGACAATAAAAACCATACAGATGTTATAAACAGGCCTCCATTAACCATTAACTGTTCAATACAGATAGAATAAAGTACGGTGCAAAGTTAAACTATGGAAATTGCCCGGCAGGAGGCAGGGGTGGCCACCAATCTTGATTAAAAGAGGATTAGACAAATTGGTGGTGGAGGAGAAGGCTCTCAATGTCTATAAGCCACGATGCTCTGTATCAGAGGCTGTATATCTCTGAGGACCAACTTCCAGGACTCATAGAGTGCCGCGTTACCCTCAGGTCCTGTTTGCGAGTGTAATAAACAGAAATCTGCCCTTATTCCCTTATGGGGGACACAAAAGCCCTTATAGAGTCCTTTGCAGGTTCTCCATTGGTCAAAGAACATAACAGAGGCCAGCCAGAGAATATTGAGAAGCAAAGCAGCTCGTAAGCCTGATCTTTATTGATCTGCTGCAACAGGGGGCTCCCCTCACACGCAGGAGGACGGAGGAGGACCCAGAACCCAGGTGTGCCTGCCCTTATATAGACATTTTAAATTGCCCACCCTGGAGTCCAAGACCACCTCCAGAAACATAATACCTATATCACAGAAAGGGGTGGTCTACAACAGAAATCTGAGTGCATTGTTTACCTCCTGTCTGGCAGGTTACCTGTTAATGCTTACTTGACTGGATTGCCTGGGGAGCCTGGCCAGTCTTTTGTAATGATAAATACTTAGTTCCTCAGCCAGGTCACAGGCTCACACCCTATTCATATCTTAAATGTGCCCTTAAGACAGGATTTGTGAAGGAAAAGACAATGGGGAGGTTCCCAGTTTGACCTTGAAGAGAAATATTTGAGGTCAATTTGTTCAGGACTTTTTTTCTGTGGGGTTTTCAGACATGAGGTGTATATATTTATGTCCGTGTTTGCTTGGTACATTTATGAACATTTATGACATATATAAGACCTTAAAATTCTCACAACATGAGGGCAGAATGCTGGACTTGACGGACTTTGGTCCCGATCCAGTAGCACCCTTCTTAGTTCCTTAAGATCTTAATCATACATTGCTGGAAGGAAGATTTCGTCATCTCTGCCCTGAACCTTCCATTTTATTGATCCTGAGTTCCGGGGTTATGAAAGGAGGAAAACCTCTGTCCACTCTGTCCTGTTCTCACAGTGGCCGACCAGATGCCTCAATAGGGAAACCCACAGGCAGGATTCGAACGCAAGAGCCTCTCTCCTCTCCTGTGGTTTGAAGCAAGTGGGATTCAGATTTTATCCTTCTCCTGGGGACGGTTCTGCAGCCTCAAAGCAGGCCAGGCCTTCCTCTGGAGCAGGGGGCTTTGGAAAGATATCCTCCACCAGGGCAGGGCCTTTTCAGTGATGGCTCCGACCTGGTGGAATGCTCTGTCCCAGGAGACCAGGGCCCTGCAGGATTTAACTTCCTTCCACAGGGCCTGTAAGACAGAGCTATTCCGCCTGGCTTTCAATTTGAACCTGGCCTGATCTTTTATTCCCCTTCCTTCCCTCCCCCTCCCCTTTTTGTGAAGATTGCCTGCTCTGGGGTCCCACAGCTAATTCTCCCCTGGTCTCCTCACTGGCCCAAATAGGACTAATTTAGCCAGCTAGCCCTGGTGATCATCTAATGTTTATTGGATGGATTTCCCCCCTAAATTGATTCTTGATTTTATTGTTTTTTACGCTTCATATCGTATTTTATGCTTTTTTTATAGCATCAATTAAGTGTTTTAAATTTGTTGTTAGCCACCCTGAGCCTGGTTTCCTGAACCGGGAAGGGCGGGGTATAAATACAAAAATATTATTATTATTACTCTGTTATAAGAAAAAAAACTGCTCCTTTGTCCCTTATGGGGTACCCAAGCGCCCGTATAGAGTCCTTATATAGGTTCCCTGTTGGTAGGAGAAAAAAACAGAGGCCAACCAGAGAATATTGAGAAGCAAAGTGGCTAGTAAGCCTGATCTTTATTAAATTGTTGCAACAGGGTCCCCCACTCACCCCACACAGGGAGTGGGGAGAGGAACCCAGAAAATTGGTGTGCAAGCTCTTATATAGACTTTTGAAACTGTCTCCCCTGTAGCTCAAGACCACCCCCAGAAACATCATACGTACATCGCAGAAAGCGGTGGTCCCTGGCAGAAATGTGGGTGTGTTGCTTCTCTCCTGTCTGCCAGGATACCTGATAATGCCTTATCAATTGCCTTTTCTGGGTAGCCTGGCCATTCCTGGGAGATGGTGAATACTTAGTTCCTGATATTCATAGCGTGCTCCACTTAACAGATACTTGCCAGACTGTATTTGAAAAGGGAGGTGTTAAGCCCCAAAGCCCATTGGAAAGCTTTCCCCATTTCCTTCCTCCTTGCAGAGAAGTATTTGAGGTCAATTTGGGAGAGTCAAAATGGCTTCGGGATTGTTCTCCTGTACTAGGACTCATGTACCTACGGGACCGCCTCTCCTGGTATGCCCCGCGGAGGACCTTGAGGTCCAGAAATGACAACACCTTGGAGGTCCCAAGTCGCAAGGTTAGATTGGTCTCAACTAGGGCCAGGGCCTTTTCAGTACTGGCCCTGACGTGGTGGAACTCTCTGTCACAAGAGACAAGGGCCCTGCGGGACTTGACATCTTTCCGCAGGACCTGCAAGACAGAGCTGTTCCGCCTGGCCTTTGGTTTGGACTCAGTCTGACCCTTATGTTTCCCTCCTCTTTTATGGTCTGGATTTATCAGCTACCGGTACTTTAAAATGAGGCTGCATTTTAAATTACATTTTAACCTGTATTTTAAATTGGTTCCCCACCCCTTATGTTTTTATTGTGATTTTATTGGTGTTAGCTGCCCTGAGCCCGGCTCTGGCCGGGGAGGGTGGGGTATAAATAAAAAATTATTTATTATTATTATTATTATTAAATTCTTATAACGTACTCCGTTCGGGGACCCCTCCTGGCGGTCCAGGGCTTTCCCCGGGCTTCTTCCCCTCTCCTCGGATCCAGTCCCCGCTGTCATCCTTAGGCTGGGTCCAGTCACAGAACGGGCTGCCGGCGTCATCGAAGTCGCAGCTGGCGAGGGTGGCTGAGTGGAAAGAGAGGAGGCAAGCATAAGGGGCGGCAGCAGCTGCAGGATCCGCACAGACACCAAGACCAGACTTCTGCACGATTCCTGCGCTGCAGGGGGCTGGACTAGATGGCCTTTGGGGGGTCCCTTCCAACTCCGCGGTTGCGAAGGTTCAACACCTTCTGCAGGCTGTCTGTCCCGGAAGTCCGGGGTGGGGAATGGCGTCGGCAGGGGCATGCAAGCGATGGGGACGCTCTGCACGTGCTCTAGATCAGTTTGGCGGAGTGTGGGCCACGTGCATTGCCTGCGTGGGGATTCCCAGCCTTACCGGATCCCATCCCAAAGGATAAATCAACATGGTGCTCATTAGCCAAGAGATTCCCGAAATGCTAACGCCGTTGATAGCTTCACCCAGAAAAGTCCTCCTTTGCAGATAGTGGGGTCCAAACTTTTTTCAAAGAGGGCCAGATTTGATGAAGTGAAGGGCTGTGGGTTGTTGACCTTTTTTTTAGGATTGAAGTTTGTTGTGTACTGAGTTGAATCGGCTTCAGAATGCAGCAGTCTGATTGGTCCTAGAACAATAGGATCCAGAATGCAGCAGTCTGATTGGTCCGCAGGAGCCACCCAATCCAACTCTAGGTGGAAGTGGATCCGCAACCTGATTGGCCTACAGGATAATCCCGGAACTAACCAATCACATGGGGCCCGTTGTCTAAATAATGTATATAAAGCAGACATTTTGGGGGAACTTCCATTCCTCACTACTATGAGCTGAATAAAGAGCATGAAATCCACACTCGACTCCAAGTATACAGTGGTACCTCGGGTTAGATACGCTTCAGGTTACATATGCTTCAAGTTACAGACTCTGCTAACCCAGAAATAGTGCTTCAGGATAAGAACAGAAATCATGCTCTGGTGGTGCGGCGGCAGCACGAGGCCGCATTAGCTAAAGTGGTGCTTCAGGTTAAGAACAGTTTCAGGTTAAGTACAGACCTCCGGAACGAATTACCGTAAGCACTTAACCCGAGGTACCACTATATTTCAAAGTTGTTGACCTTTTTTTAGGGTTGAAGTTGCTGAGGTTTTTTCTTAGTATTTTACCCCAGGAAATAAACTGCCACAGGGGCCAGATTAAGCCCCCGAAACGGACTTTGGACATGCCTGAGCTTTATAAGAGAGTTATATGAGAGAGGGCAGGGCAGGAGAGCCTTCTAGCCTCGTCCGGGAAGCAGTTGTCGTCACTTACATTTTGCTGCGAAAGGCTTTGGTGGTAGCTCAGCCCCAAGGAACTGATTTGCCCTGAAACAGAGGAATGAAGAGTTAAAAGGGTAATAACCCCATAACCCTTAAATGCTTCTCAGGTCCCTTCCACAAAAGCAGCCTGAAGATGTCGACCCAGCGGGCTGCAGCTGCAGAAAAGGAGAATTACACACCAGGGATAATTAGGGGAGGAACTGAAAATAAAATTGCTGATATCCTAATGCTTTTAAAACACACTTGGAATACTGCGTGCCGTTCTTTTAAGGTAAAGGTAAAGGGACCCCTGACCATTAGGTCCAGTCGCGGCCGACTCTGGGGTTGCAGTGCTCATCTCGCTTTACTGGCCGAGGGAGCCGGCGTACAGCTTCCGGGTCATGTGGCCAGCAGGACTAAGCCGCTTCTGGCGAACCAGAGCAGCGCACGGAAACGCCGTTTACCTTCCCACCGGAGCGGTACCTACTTATCTACTTGCACTTTGACGTGCTTTTGAACTGCTAGGTTGGCAGGAGCAGGGACCGAGCAACGGGAGCTCACCCTGGGATGCATCAATAGGAGTATAGCATCTAGATCAAGGGAAGTAATAGTGCCACTGTATTCTGCTCTGGTCAGACCTCACCTGGAGTACTGTGTCCAGTTCTGGGCACCACAGTTCAAGAAGGACACTGCCAAACTGGAACGTGTCCAGAGGAGGGCAACCAAAACGGTCAAAGGCCTGGAAACGATGCCTTATGAGGAACGGCTAAGGGAGCTGGGCATGTTTAGCCTGGAGAAGAGGAGGTTAAGGGGTGATATGATAGCCATGTTCAAATATATAAAAGGATGTCACATAGAGGAGGGAGAAAGGTTGTTTTCTGCTGCTCCAGAGAAGCGGACACGGAGCAATGGATCCAAACTACAAGAAAGAAGATTCCACCTAAACATTAGGAAGAACTTCCTGACAGTAAGAGCTGTTTGACAGTGGAATTTGCTGCCAAGGAGTGTGGTGGAGTCTCCTTCTTTGGAGGTCTTTAAGCAGAGGCTTGACAACCATATGTCAGGAGTGCTCTGATGGTGTTTCCTGCTTGGCAGGGGGTTGGACTCGATGGCCCTTGTGGTCTCTTCCAACTCTATGATTCTATGATTCTATGATTCTATGATTCCATCACGGGGATTCGAACCGCCGACCTTCCGATCGGCAAGTCCTAGGCTCTGTGGTTTTACCCACAGCGCCTCTCACAGGGATAGCCAGCAACTTAGATGGCCTTCAAAGAGGACTAGACAAATTCATGGGGGACCAAGTCTATGGATGGCTACCGCTAGCCACAATGGCTATGCCCTGACTCCACGGCCAGAGGCTTCTGAACGCCCCTTGCTGGAAGACACGGGACAGGAGAGTGTTGCTCTTGTGCTTGCTGGTTCCCCATTGAGGCAACTGGTTGGACCCTGCAAGGACAAGTTGATTTACTAGACGGTCCTAATGCAATGTACCGTATTAGCCCGAATATAAACCACACTTCTTCCCCCCAAATTCCGATCGTGCAAAGTTAAAGTGCAGCTTATATTTGTGACCTTACGCCACCGGCAAAGTGGCGCGGCTCCCTTCGTCGCAGGAAACAGGCCAGGAGCACAGGGCAACGGTACCCGTCCCGTCCCCAGCTCTCAAGCCTCCCCCAAGCCGCCGAATTTTAAAAGTGCAGCTTGTTTTTGGGTGCGGCTTATATTCAGGCCAATACGGTATGTCCTTTTCCCCCAATTTTTAAAATTGATTTTCACAACCTTATAAACAAACAAACACATAAAACAAAGATGAATCATAACCTTATTAAAAATTACACTTATTAACCTTATTAAGTGACTTCCTCGCTTTCCCTTGGTTGAATTTCATTGCATGTCCTTTTAACGGTTTTCCAAATCGTAGTTCTTAAAATAATTTAACTTAAACATTACCATCCTTAGATCTTCACATTATGAAATTAAACCTGTTAATTCATCCCTTAAATAAAATCCTAAGCCAATTAAGTATCTGCAAGCTGTTTTCAGTTAGAATACGGTATGTTCTCACGTTGCATTATAGTGCAAAGTTCCCCTCCGTATGGCAGTAAAGATTTGCACTGGGGAAGCATCACAGAACGATGACCGAAGAGGAATGGTGCGTGGATGGCCCAGGATAACTCTGCCGCTAAAGCACCATGATTGCATCGAGGGGATGTTGCAGAAAACGCATATACACACAGAAGCCCTCCATCGTTTCATGGATCTCAGTGCCTTGGGGACATGGCTGCTGTTCCTCCCCATCGTTACTCAGCACACTTCTCACCTGGTGACCCTGACTCTCCACCTGGGTCTTGCCTTGCTCAAAGTTCAAGGTGGGAGCAAACCAAAGGTCACTGTGAGGATAATACTCTACAGGCTCAGAGCAGCCCAGTTGGACTAAGACATAGCAATAAAGTTCAAGGGCTTTCTTGGTAGTGGCACCCGCCCTGTGGAACGCCCTTCCACCAGATGTCAAAGAGAACAACAACTACCAGACTTTTAGAAGACATCTGTAGGAAGCCCTGTTTAGGGAAGCTTTTAATGTTTGATGTATTGCGGTATTTTAATATTTTGTTGGAAGCCGCCCAGAGTGGCTGGGGAAGCCCAGCCAGATGGGTGGGGTATACATATTAAATAATAATAATAATAATAATAATAATAATAATAATAATTAAACGGCAAAGCGATAAATACCAGAAAGTAATGGGCTAAGGTACAGTAAGTGCGGCGGGTGAGGAGGACTCGGTTAAGCGAAGAAGGTTTGCAGGAGCAGAGAGACTGGGGGCCAGGGCTTTGGGCTTCTCCAGGAATAAAAGAAAGAAGTCTGCTTGGTGCCATAGACTTGTGACAGGGCCTTTTCGGTTTGGTTCCCCATTTGTGGAATGCCCTCCCAGTTGAAGAGTATCTTGTCTCTCTCATTGCTCACTTTCAGGAGGAATTTTGAAACTTTCCTGTTTACCCAGATCTTTGAATGGCTGGAAGATTCTGAATTCAATGGGTTCTGGGTACCCCATTTAAAGAGGGATATTGACAAGGTGGAAATTGTGAAGAGAAGGGCAGACAAGCAGATGAAGGGTCTGGGAACCCAGCCTTGTGAGGAAAGGTTGAGGGAGATGGGTATATTTAGCCTGGAGAAGAGAGGACTGAGAGGGTAGCCCCCTTCAAAAATCTAAAGGGCTGTCCCATGGAAGATGGAGCAAGCTTGTTCTCTGCTGCTCCAGGGGAGAAACCTTGAACTAATGGATTCAAACCGAAAGAAAGGAGATTCCGACTAGACTTTCTGAGGGTTAAGAGCAGTTTGACAGTGGAATGGACTCCTTCAGGAGGCTGTCAACTTTCTTTCATTGGAAGTTTTCCAACAGAGGTTGGAAGTCCACCTGTCAGCTTGGATTCTTGGAGTATTGGCTGGGGGCTAATGGGACTCTGGAGAGTCCCATGGACTGCAAGAAGATCCAACCTCTCCATTCTGAAGGAAATCAGCCCTGAGTGCTCACTGGAAGGACAGATCCTGAAGCTGAGGCTCCAAGACTTTGGCCCCCTCATGAGAAGAGAAGACTCCCTGGAAAAGACCCTGATGTTGGGAAAGATGGAGGGCCCAAGGAGAAGGGGACGACAGAGGACGAGATGGTGGGACAGTGTTCTCGAAGCTACAAACATGAGGCTGACCAAACTGCGGGAGGCAGTGGAAGACAGGAGTGCCTGGCGTGCTCTGGTCCAGGGGGTCACGAAGAGGCGGACACGACAAAACGACTAAACAACAACAACAACAATGGGAGTTGTAGTCCAAATCGTCTGCGGTTCACCAGATCGGGGGGGAGGCTGCATTATAGGAGAGGTTAAGGAGAAACTTCCAGAGAGCTACGCGAGTTCTGGACCATCATATTATTTGGCATGTCCGCAGGGTTGCCACGAAAATGCAGAGTGTGGTATCCTCTGACCATCCGCTTTCTGTTCGATCAACAAAGGGTCTCCCTTGTTGTGGGGAAAACCAACGCAATATGTTGACTTGTTCTTTACCCTTTTCTCCCTTTCCTGTCCCCGCACCCCAAAAATAGGGGGCTGGAAATCCTTTATGTGTCAAAAGAGCCTGCTGGTTCAGGCCAAAGGGAGCACATCTAGTCTAGCATCCTGTTCTCACAGTGGCCAACCAGGTAACCCAATGAGAACCCCGCAAACAGGATTCGAACACAAGAGCCCTCTCCCCTTCCTGAGGTTTCCAGCAACTAGTATTCAGAAGCAGTTGATGCCTCTGACTGTGGAGGTAGAGCTCACAGCTAGTAATAATAATAATAATAATAATAATTTTTTTTTTATATCCCGCCCTCCCCAGACAAAGCCGGGCTCAGAGCGGCTCACAGCAATAAAGTAACGCAGCATTCTAAAATCAATTCATTTTAAAATCAATTCAAAATCAAATTAATGGCAACCATTGGGCTAGAGTTCTATGAGGATTACCAAAGGAAGGGGTCAGACTGTGCCTTGGCCAAAGGCCTGGTGGAACAGCTCTGTCTTGCAGGCCCTGCAGAAAGATGTCAAGTCCCGCAGGGCCCTGGTCTCTTGTGACAGAGCGTTCCACCAGATCGGGGCCACAGCTGAAAAAGCTCTAGCTCTGGTTGAGGCCAGCCGAACCTCTCTGTGGCCTGGGACCTTCAAGATGTTTTTGTTTGAAGACCGTAAGGTCCTCCGTGGGACATACCAGGAGAGGCGGTCCCGTAGGTACGTGGGTCCTAGGCCCTATAGGGCTTTAAAGGTCAAAACCAGCACCTTGAACCCGACCCTGTACTCCACCGGGAGCCAGTGCAGCTGGTAAAGCACCGGGTGAATGTGATCCCGCAGTGAGAACCCCATAAGGAGTCTCGCCGAGGCATTCTGCACCCGCTGGAGTTTCTGGGTCAGTCTCAAGGGAAGCCCCACGTAGAGCGAGTTATAATAATCAAGTCTGGAGGTGACCGTCGCGTGGATCACTGTGGCGAGGTCAGGGCGAGAGAGGTAGTAGCCATGGATAGTCCTCTCCTCCTCTGTCAATTTGTCCCATCCTCTTTTAAAGCCATCTAGACTGGTGACCTTCTATTACTGTGTTCTATTATTTTTCAGTGAAATATAAAGAAGGCTGATCGCCAAAGAATTGATGCTTTTGAATTCTGGTGCTGGAGGAGACTCTTGAGAGTCCCATGGACTGCAAGAAGATCAAACCTCTCCATTCTGAAGGAAATCAGCCCTGGGTTCTCACTGGAAGGACAGATGCTGAAGCTGAGGCTCCAAGACTTTGGCCCCCTCATGAGAAGAGAAGACTCCCTGGATAAGACCCTGATGTTGGGAAAGATGGAGGGCCCAAGGAGAAGGGGACGACAGAGGACGAGATGGTGGGACAGTGTTCTCGAAGCTACCAGCATGAGTTTGACCAAACTGCGGGAGGCAGTGGAAGACAGGAGGGCCTGGCGTGCTCTGGTCCAGGGGGTCACGAAGAGGCGGACACGACTAAACGACTAAACAACAACAATTATTTTCCAGTAACCAAAAGCCGATCCCAGCAGCTCTATCCTCGCATTCCTGCTCCCTTCCACACCGCCTCTCACCTGAACGATTCGCCTCTTGTTTGGCATCCTACAGCAATGCCCTCGAGTACCAGGAGCAACGTCAGGAGGTGCCCGGCTGTCTCCGTGCCCATCCTGTGGGATGCTGGAGCAATCAGGCCGGTGGAAGTGCAACAACCCGTTGATATATCATCTCAGCTCCCCTCCCCACGGGGCAGAGAGCAACAGGAATCACATCCCACAGAGTACCTTTGCCCCGACCATGATGATTAAACGTGTACCTCCGTTAGCCAGCCCCACCCTGCCCCACCTCCGAAGAGAGCTGTCCATCCACACTTTAAGTCCCGAGTTTCCGTGTGGGGTGGCAACGATCTGGAGGAGAGTGGGCAGGCAGAGATTTTGTGGCACGGGGAAATCTAAGGCAGTAAAACTCTATAATTCAATGGTTCTATCTGCTCCGTATCCTAAACTGCTCACATTTGCAGATCTCGCCACCAGGATTCTATGCCAGATTGTGCCTCACACACGATTGATGGGATGAAGCAAATGAAAGCTCAACATCTTAATCTCAGGATCGTGTTCGGTTCGAGCCCCACGCAGGAGAAAAGAATCCTCAATTGCAGGGGGTTGGACTCAATGACCCTCGTGGTCCGTTCCAGTGCTACAATTCTAGGGGGTGGGAGATGAGCTAACAAAAATCTAATGTCACCCCCTAGAAAGAATTTAATGCACAGAATAGGGGGCCTTCATTTGCAGAGTTTTGCTGACGTGCGAACACTTGAGAGCAGCAACACAGCCTATGTTTAAAGCACCCCTCCAATAATCCTGGGATCTCAGTTTGGTTAAGGGTGCTGGGAACGGTAGCTCTGTGAGGATTAAGCTACAGTTCCCAGGATTCTGTGTGTGTGTGCTTTAAACAGAGTGTATAAGGGACGCGGGTGGCGCTAGGACTTGCCGATCAGAAGGTCGGCGACAGGGTGAGCTCCCATTGCTCGGTCCCTGCTCCTGCCAACCTAGCAGTTCGAAAGCACGTCAAAGTGCAAGTAGATAAATAGGTACCACTCCAGTGGGAAGGTAAACGGCGTTTCTGTGCGCTGCTCTGGTTCGCCAGAAGTGGCTTAGTCCTGCTGGCCACATGACCCGGAAGCTGTACGCCGGCTCCCTCGGCCAGTAAAGCGAGATGAGCGCCGCAACCCCAGAGTTGGTCACGACTGGACCTAATTGTCAGGGGTCCTCTTTACCCCTTTACGCAGGCATATATTGAAAAGCAGAGGAACATTGCAAGGCACTGCAAAACCTCCCAGCCTTTCATCGAGGGCTAATGTGTTTAGACTCAGAGCTGGGCAGAGCATGGTGGCAGCGATACCTTCCAAGTTTCTTGCGTGCCAAGGATGTGTCACGGTGACTGAACCTTGGGATGGATCCAGGGGAACCCTTTGCCATCGTCACCAACAGATAAGAGATAGAGAACATCATCTTGGGGCAACCACCCATAATAAATTAGGTTGGGCCGATAAACAAATTGCAACACATTGCTGTTTCCATGACTGCCTGGATTCCTTCTTGGGACATCTAGCTAGGGCAGCGGACAGCCTTGCCTCCCTGCAGTGCAAGAGTCATCCCTGAAAAGCAGCAACTCCCTGCACCGTCGGCTGGTTTTGGTTCTGCCACTCCTTGGATCAAGGGTGGGCATCCAGATCTTGCTAGACTACAACTCCCATCAAAAATACTGGCTGGGTATGTTAGTTGTGGCCCAAAACAGCCAGGGAGACCATTGCACTGGACTAAAATACACTTTTTTTGGTCTTGCACTCTGTGTGAATCAGCTGGCTCACCCCAGAATGTCAAATGGCAATCGTTTTTTGGTCTCGTGTTCTTGCCTGAGTCAGCTGCTTCCCACGAGAGCTCAGGACCAAAAAAAATGAGCGTACCTATTTTGATCAGTGGGATGTTGGCAGGTATAGTCCTTTGACTGTCCGCCAAGCCCACTTCCCTTCATTTCTTTCTGGTTCAGGTCCTGCTTGTGGGTTTCTCACAGGGTCATCTGGCTGGCCACTGTGAGAACAGGATGCTGAGATAATTGGGCCGCCCTTTTGCCCGATTCAGCTGCTGCTGCTGCTGCTGCTGGGGTTCTTCTTGTGTTCATACCTTGCTTTCTCCTCTGTCTTTCCAAGAGATTTGTCGCAGAGAGCTGGACCATAAAGAAGGCTGATCGCCGAAGAATGGATGCTTTTGAATTCTGGTGCTGGAGGAGACTCTTGAGAGTCCCATGGACTGCAAGAAGATCAAACCTCTCCATTCTGAAGGAAATCAGCCCTGAGTGCTGACTGGAAGGACAGATCCTGAAGCTGAGGCTCCAAGACTTTGGCCACCTCACGAGCAGAGAAGACTCTCTGGAAAAGACCCCGATGTTGGGAAAGATGGAGGGCACAAGGAGAAGGGGCGAAGGAGAACAAGATGGTTGGATAGTGTTCTCGAAGCTACCAGCATGAGTTTGACCAAACTGCGGGAGTCAGTAGAAGACAGGAGTGCCTGGCGTGCTCTGGTCCAGGGGGTCACGAAGAGGCGGACACGACTAAACAACAACAACAACAACTGACTGGAACAAACATCAGAACGTCTCTTTTCAAACACTTGTATGCTGCCTTTTTCCAGCACGTTCAAAAGCGGGTTTACGGCAACAGAATGGAAAGCTGAATCAAAATAAAACCACAGCTCATGCGTCCATCAAATGTTTATTACGGTCAACCGGCCATTGAAGGAGTACAAAATATTTTTTTTTAAATACAAAATTGAAAGAACAAAAGGTGAAAAGCTGGGAACGGACAAAGTTAAAAACCCTGTAGTCATGGACTTTATTTATTTAATCTGTAATCCCCATGCTCTTTATGATGGCGATCTCATTTCCTTTCGGTGGCGGACACGGCTCAGTCCCTGCTAGCCTCATTTTCCAGGCTCAGCCATGAACTGCTATATAGCAGGCCAGCTTCTTCCACCAGTCTGAGTGTGTGCCACATTCAAAAGAGTGCCTAGTCGCCATAAATATATACAGAACAAGGGAAATTCGTCGCAGAGGTGAAAAATGGCTTGGTCAAGCTTCTGTAGAAACATCTTCTTCTCTTCCTCGTCGCAGCCTGAAGGGGCAGCAGCATTTTCCTCCTCTGTCCCTATTTCCAGAAGCTGTTCCAAAGCTCTACACAGAAAGAAAATATTTTCATATCGTGTGTCGCGCCCAGCTTGAATCTCATCGGCGTGCTGCAACTCATCAGCAAATCGGCTGACTTCTCTGAAGAGCAGGAATATTGTGTGCCTCCTCAATCTTTTGCATTGTCCGATCGAAACAAGGGCATGGGATATAGACTCCTGAACCTGAAATCTGTTGAGGTGGCTACTGTTCAATACAACGTCTATGAGTCCTTCCACAGAGTCTTCCAGCTTCTTAAGACACTTCCCCAAAATCTGTCGAGATACATCAGCATCGCTTAATAACTCGGTTATGACGGCACAAACTGCCCGAGTCATAAAATCTGAGAAGGGCACTTCGGGGAAACTATAGGCGGCGACCAGGCCATCGAGCAACCGAGAGAAAGAATCAGATATTGCGGAAGAATCCCTTCCGAGTTTTCCCAAGTCTGTTTTTAGACCTCCATGCACCGCCAGTTGCTTGAGCTCAAGGAAACGTCGTAGGAACTGTATGTGAGGAACCAAAGACTTGCTTGGGCCGGCATGGGAGGAAGCCAACATGGACAATACGGATGAAGTGTCGGACGCAGGACCGCACTTGCTGTGGCTGAAGGAAACTGAGGCATCTTGTGTGTCCGCCAGGTCGTCGTTTGAGACGCTGCACCCGGAATCTTCCAAATGGCTGGATCGATCGTCCGCACGGACAAGGGCCAGAGCTTCATTGCTGGCGACGGCTGGATCCTCGTTCTCCAAACCAAACCCCGGGTGAACTTTGCTCAGGAGGAGCTGCTGCCTCAGGCGAACCACTTCCGCTTCCAAAGCTTCCACTCGCGATTTCTCCCGGGGATCCTTTCCGGACACTATCCTGGCTAGGTGCTCCGCGTGCTCCTTGCCGCTTACGCCGGGCGGCTTCGAACGCAAGACCGCCAGGGCCAGGGCCAGGCGGGAGGCTTCCAGGAACCACGCTGCGCCTCCGCCATCTTCCGTCCCCAAAAGCGGAGGCCCCGGGGTCCGGGCTGAAGTGGGGGTCAGTCGCCATAATCCAGCCCCCAGGCGATCCTGGCCTCGTCGGTCAGAAGGCCCAAGGCCGCCGCCGGAGAGCGCCAGGGTCGCCCGAGGCAGAGACGGCCCCAAAAGAAAAAGGCCCTTTTTAGAGAATTGTTTTCTAATTTTTCCCCTTGGTTATATGTATTTTCTTTTTCCTTTGTATTTTCTTTTGTTGTCAATATGTATGTTTTGTACTTAATAAAAATTATTTGTTAATTTTTTTTTTTTAAAGGCCCTTTTTCTGCACAATCGCATATAAACAAGGACTTCTTGCTTCTTAAACTGCGTGGCTTTAACGGCCGGAATTAATTGTACTTTTTAGGGCGCGTGTGCATCTATGTGCAAAAAAATATTTATACAGCATATATATATTTATCTTTACATGTTACATATTGATATATATGATATATAAATCTATATAAGGTATATATGGACGTATTTAGATCTCCATATAAATACCTATGGGAACATACACAGGTTTTTTATTACTCTTATTTTTTTCCAGATTGGGGCCATTACCCGCGGCCTTTGGAGCCTCACTTTTCTTTGGCTCCCCCGGGGCTATTTATACCGCGCCCTTGAGAGGCGCCTCAGGGTGGGGCCTACAAGGCCCCGGAGCGGGAAGCGCCTCAGGGACACGTGACTTCGGAAAAAAAGGAACAGGCCCCGCCTCCCGTTGGGGGAGTTTTTTAAAACTCTTTTCTCTTCGCGGGCGTCATTTTTTCGGCGTGACGGCGTCAGAGCGAAGCGCATGACGTCATCGCCGCAGCCAGGTTCGCCGAGGGGGCGGGAAAAAAAAAAGGTGCTTCGGGCGCGTGTGTGTCACGTGATACGTCTCGACGTAGGAGCGTTTTCCTCGGAGGGGGGGCTGCTCCGGCTTCGGCCTTGGTCACGTGACGCTGAGGCGCGGCGCCGGCCTCTCTCTCCTGCAACGCTCGAGGGGAGTCGGGTAAGCGCGCGCGTGCGCACAAGGGACGGACTCCGCACACGTGCCAGGCGTGAAAGGGGGAAACGGGACGCCGGGCGCTCACGTACGGAGGCGCGACTGCGCCTGCGCGACGCCTCGGTTTTTTTTGTTTTTTCTTAACCTTCTCTACCCGCCTTTCCCCCGCCACGTGACCTCCCCTCCTCCCCGACCTGCCTTTGGGCGCCCGCGTCACGTGACCGGGAGGAGGGCGGCCATCTTGGTTACAAACACAAACAAGCGGCGAGAGGAGGAAGGAGAGCGAGAGAAGCGGAGCCGTAGACGCCGCTGCGGCCTCCTCCTCTTTCCCCTCTCCCGTCCCCCCCTCTCCTCCTCCTCCACCCCGCGCGCGCGGAGCAGTTGCGGGTAAGAGACGCCGAGGGGCCGCCCCCCTCCTCCCCCCGTCGCCATGGGAACCGGGGAGCCCCCACCCCACTCTTCCCTCGGGGCCCCGCCCTCCCCCGTCGCCATGGAGAGGGGCTCCCCCCTTCGCAACACCCCCCCAACACACACACACACGCGCCGCCGAGGGAGAGCGAGGGCCCCGCCCCCTCCGGTGCCCGGGCCGCCCCTCCCCCCTCTCCTGCGGAGGCGCCTCATGGAGACGCAGGGGACCCCCCCCCCCAATAAAAAAGTGCCGGGCGTCAGCGCTTTGCTCCGTCCTGGGAGCCTTTGCATTGCGCCTCCCGTTCCCTTGCACGCCCTTCCTTTTTTAAAAAAAACGGGGGGCCCCCTCTGCTGCACCCCCGGACCCCCCTCGCTCTCGTGCATGGCGGCGGAGGTCGTCCTCTTGCGTGTGCATTCAAAGCCCCGATGCCTCTTGCTCTCGCTGCTGCTGCAAAAAAAGCCCAACCCATTATTCGCCTTGCATCCCTGATTGCATTGTGCCCTTGCCGCGCTCGCCCTGCGGAGGCCCGTGGCACGTTTTTGCAAGCAGGGGGGAAGCCTCTGGGGCAGGACGGACTTGAGACTCCCCCCACCTACCCCGGCTACCCCTAGGGCTCTCCCGCGCGGCTCGCCCTGTGGTTCCCCGGTGCCCGTGCAAAGGAAGGGTGCGGGGTGGCTCCGGCGCCCCTGAAGGCTTTGCCGCTTCGCCACTCCCCTCCTGTCATGCTTGCGGAGACCTCGAAATGACGCGGGCTGCGAGAGGATTGCCGTGGTTCCCTGCAACGCTCCCTGTTCCTTAGCAAGAGATTTGGGGGGCGCGTGTGCGCGCGCAGATCCGAGAGATCCGCAGTTCGGTGGAGTTCCAAGTTCAGTGTTGGGACAGGATCCTGTAAGGTCACCAGCCTGCAGAAAGCTATTGCATGACAGACAAACGCTTCTTGGGCAAGGCAGAGTGAAGATAGATTACTGTGGCATTCTCTTGCTAAATGACCCGTAATAATTTGCATCCACAAACTCCAGTGCCAAAATGCCTTTGAGAAGCCGAGTGTGATATGTGGGGTTTGGGGAGTCCTGGTTTCCTTTCCTTTCTTTTAGTCTCCTCCTCAAATATTATTCCCTTCCCGCCTGTTGAGTTAGTTTTGAAGCCACCTCCTTGTAAAGTTTGGGTGTCTAACTCGCACGTGGACATCTGTATATGGAAGTTGTCTGTAGCAGGGCACAATGTTTTGACCTGTGCGGCAACAGCTTCTGTTGCCTGGGCCGTGTGGCTGGTTTGCTGAAGAGAACCTCTGGCGGGAAAAGGTGATTATCTGCAACCCTGTAATGTGGTAGCAAAAAACTCCTTTAAGAGATTTTAAAAGGCAGTTTGGCAGTGAGGAGTTTCATCCCTACTGCCCAGTCTTTGATTACTTATTTGTGCAAACAGTCAATATAGGAATACTTCGCTCCCAGTATTACAGCCTTGGGACATACCCTGAATGCCAGTGTACTTGGCAGTGGGTGGCTCGAGTTGAAGTCTGGCTTTCTGGCCAACAAGCTCTTGTTCTGCTATAAAGCCAGGGGCATCTGAAACAGATATGGCAGGACTGGAGTGTGTATGGCAGGGGTAGGCAACCTAAGGCCTGTGGGCTGGATGCGACCCAATCGCCTTCTCAGTTCGGCCCACGGACGGTCCGGGAATCAGCGTGTTTTTACATGAGTAGAATGTGTGCTTTTATTTAAAATGCATCTCTGGATTATTTGTGGGGCATAGGAATTCGTTCATTTCCCCCCCAAAAATATAGTCCAGCCCACCACATGGTCTGAAGGACCACAGCTGAAAAAGATTGCTGACTCCTTGTGTATGGTGTAGGCGACGCTTAGTTAGGCAGAGGAATGGTCTGACTCTGTATAAGGTGGCTTTCTATGCAAACCATCAGAGAGCAGATATATTTTGGAGATTTCTTACCTCTTGTGGGGAAATAAACAGAGAATAGATTTAGAAAGCTGTACAAAGTGCTGGAAGTGTTGAATAGATTCACCCATTGTTGGACCACAATGCAGCGGATGCAAAGATATTGGCTGGCCTGACTACAGCAACTCACTTTCAACCTTCTGTGGTCTAAAGGGGAAAGGGAAAAGACGCTTGCTTTCTTTTTAAAGAAAAGCCTCTTCCTGCCTGGAGGTGGTGACTTGTTGACATGTCTGTTATTAGGTCGTGGTGGACACGTTTTGTGCAGTGTGCTATTAACCTGTGGAATTCATTGCTGCAGGGTATAGTAATTGCCGCCATGCTAGGTGGACTTGCGTACGGTCATCAGCGGCAGTCACCACCCATTCCTCTATTGAGAAGCCGTTTTCCCCATTAGTAAATTTTGGTTTAGTTATTTTCATAATATTGTTGTTGGGATCTTGGCAGTTGTGTGATGTTCAAATAGTCTTCTGAAATGCGCAGTTGCGCCTGGCGGAGGACGACAGCTTGTGTTCCCTGGTGTTGTGTGGTGGCTCTCCGTTGCTTCTTCTGGAGTTGGTGCTTCGTTGGCCAACCTGGTCTGGTGGGGCTCTTCCATTCTTTGAATGGTGGGCAGCGTGAGGGTAGCAGGCAGACAGTTCTGAAGCCACATCTGCACAGAGGAAGGAGAGGAAAGTAAAACAGTTCTTTGAGTTGAGTTTTAGGCACTCGGGAGACGAGCACACCAAGATACATCCTGGATTTCTAGTGTCTGTGATCGGAAGAAAAATATTTCCCCTGATGAAACCACACTTCGTTAGGGGTCATGATTCATCAGATTGCCTTAGACACCACCACTTAATCCATTCTTGTTCTGCAGCCACTAGTGGCCAGATCACACCTAGGGGGTGTGGTCTTGCATTGAGTTCACACAATTAACTGTGCTAACCCCTGGTTGTCTGAATTTGCAAAAGGGTGGCCAAAATGGCAAAAGGAACCAGAGTTTGGCAGCGCTGAAACAGCAAAGGCGCATGGAGTGCCTTTCACTCGGCTTATGCCCCCTCCTGTGTGGAGAGAGCTTGTTGCAGCTCTGGCGGCGGCCTTTGGGTCAGGCGCCTGCAATGCACTGTGCATAGTGTGGCCTAGGACCCACGTACCTACGGGACAGCCTCTCCTGGTACGCCCCGCGGAGGACCTTAAGGTCCACAAATGACAACATTTTGGAGGTCCTAAGTTACAAGGTGGTTAGATTGGTCTCAACAAGGGCCAGGGCCTTTTCAGTACTGGCCCCGACTTGGTGGAACGCTCTGTCCCAAGAGACTAGGGCCCTGCGGGACTTGACATCTTTCCGCAGGGCCTGCAAGGCAGAGCTGTTCCGCCTGGCCTTTGGTTTGGACTCAGTCTGACCCTTATGTTTCCCCCCCCTTACGGTCTTCATTTATCGGCTATTTTAAAATGAGGCTGCATTTTAAATTGCATTTTAACCTGTATTTTAAATTGCCCCCCCAATTATGTTTTTACTGAAATTTTATTGGTGTTAGCCGCCCTGAGCCCGGCTCTGGCCGGGGAGGGCAGGGTATAAAGAACATTTATTATTATTATTATTATTTTGAAGACTTCCCAGAAACAGCACCGAGTTCAAAACGCAGCCACTTAAGGCTGCTAATTGGGACCTGGCACTGGCAACTTTTCTCAATGAGGCTTCAGAAGCCCCACTGGCTTCTGGTCTGTTTCAGAGCAATAGTGCCTCCCTTAAAGCCCTCCGTAGTTTGGGAATTGTAATACTGGAGGGTACGTCTGCTCCCACTTCAAATCTGGCCATGCACAGATCACCCTTCTCCAGACACCCCATGAGCTAAAGCAGCCTTCCCCAACCAGGTGCCGTCAGGATGTTTTTGGCCTACAACTCCCTACAGCCTGAGCTAGCGAGGCCTGAGGATGCTGGCACTGCTGGCGGTTGTGGTCCAGAACAGCTGAAGGCGTCCAGTCGGTGAAAGTAGGCATAGGCGAACTCGGCCCTCCAGATGTTTTGGGACTACAACTCCCATCATCCCTAGCTAGCAGGACCAGTGGTCAGGGATGATGGGAGTTGTAGTCTCAAAACATCTGGGGGGCAGGAGTTTGCCTATGCCTGATCTAAAGCAAGGCCTCCTTGTGGAGCTCTCTCGCCATGGAGACTTGCTTCATGCTTCGGCTAATTAATACCCCTGCTATTTTGAACTGAAGGGTGGTGTGGCAAAGTTTTAAATAAAGTAAAACAACAACAACACATTTAGACTGTGGACAATCCTCTGGGGTTTTTTAGCTTTGTGTTGTGTCCTGGGCCCAAACTCTCTTCCTGCACATAGGAAGGTCTTGTCCCAGCCGAAGCTCGTATGTAAATTGCCTTGAGACGGTGGTTTAGAAGGTGATTAATAAATCATTGAGAATAACAGTAGTACAGGGACGTGGGTGGCGCTGTGGGTTAAACCACAGAGTCTAGGACTTGCCGATCAGAAGGTCGGTGGTTCGAATCCCCACAACGGGGTGAGCTCCCGTTGCTCTGTCCCAGCTCCTGCCAACATAGCAGTTCAAAAGCACAAAGTGCAAGTAGATAAATAGGTACTGCTCTGGCGGGAAGGTAAACGACGTTTCCGTGCGCTGCTCTGGTTCGCCAGAAGCAGCTTAGTCATGCTGGCCACATGACCCGGAAGCTGTACGCCGGCTCCCTCGGCCAATAAAGCGAGATGAGCGCCGCAACCCCAGAGTCGGTCATGGCTGGACCTAATGGTCAGGGGTCCCTTTACCTTTACCTTTAACAGTAGTACAGTGGTACCTCAGGTTAAGTACTTAATTCGTTCTGGAGGTCTGTTCTTAACCTGAAACTGTTCTTAACCTGAAGCACCACTTTAGCTAATAGGGCCTCCCGCTGCCGCTGCACAATTTCTGTTCTCATCCTGAAGCAAAGTTCTTAACCTGAGGTCCTATTTCTGGGATAGCGGAGTCTGTAACCTGAAGCGTATGTAACCTGAGGTACCACTGTAGTAAGCTTGGAAATGCTGGCCCAGGTCCCAGCATTAAAACCAGCCTTTGACGAACCTGGTGCCTTGCATGTTTTGGACTACATCTCCCATCATGCCCGGCCAGCAGAGTTGTGTAGTGCTGGGGCTGATGGGATTTGCAGCCCCAAATGCCTGGAGAGCACCAGTCTGGGAAATGTATTCAAGAAAGGTATTGTGGATGAGGGGACACTGAGGAGCCACATTCACCGTTGGCAAGCAAAGTCAGCCAGAGTGCATATAGGTTCATTGCAGCGCCAGGGTCCTTGTCGGTCTGAAGTTCTAAATGGCATGTGACAAGCCAAATATTACATATTAGAAGCCATTAAAAAGTTGAGATGCATAATACATGGACCGTGGTTCTTCGGTGCCTGTTAGGAATTCCTTGATTTTCCGTAAATGACTTTCTTAGAAGTTTCCCTTGTTCCAAGTCGTTGGAGTTCTCTTCGCCTCACCTCTGGAAAGGGCAGGCAACATCACCAAGGGGCTGGAGCGATGTTTGGACGTTGGGAAAGGTTTCGATGTTTGGGGCTTTCCGTTTAGGGAAATGGCTAGTAAGGCTGGGGGAACGACATGATAGAGGCGTGTTAAGATTACGCACAATGTGAGGAAAGCAGGTAGGAAGAAGCTTTTTCCTTCGCATAATGCTTGAACGCAGCAGGGTCATCATATGATTGACGAATGTTGGAAGTTTCAGGAGAGGGAGGAGAAAGTCCTTTGCAGCAGCGCATGGTTAAGCTTTGTCATTTGGTCTTGCTAGGTCAGTGGTTTCCATACTTTTTTCAAAGAGGGCCAGATTTGATGAAGTGAAGGGCCGTGAGGGCCAACCAGCTGTTGACCTTTTTTTTTAGGATTGAAGTTGTTGAGCTTTTTTTAGGATTTTACCCCAGGAAATAAACTGACACAGGGGCCGGGTTAAACCAACTGGCGGACCAGATTAGGTCCCGAAACAGACATGCTTGTGCCAGGTGTACTGGAGGCTACCATCTTGCTTTTTAAGGAGAATTAGGTAAAGTCATGGAAAAGAAGGCTCTGATTACCTCTGCTGCTGAAGGCAGTATATCACTGAACAGTAAAGGAACGTAGGTGGCGCTGTGGTCTAAACCACTGAGCCTCTTGGGCTTGCCGATCAGAAGGTCGGCGGTTCGAATCCCTGCAACGGAGTGAGCTCCTGTTGCTCTGTCCCAGCTCCTGCCAACCTAGCAGTTCCAAAGCACACCTGCGCAAGTAGATAAATAGGTACCACTGTGGCGGGGAGGTAAACGGCATTTCCGTGCACTCTGGTTTCCGTCACGGTATCCCGTTGCACCAGTAGCGGTTTAGTCCTGCTGCTCACATGAGCCGGAAAGCTGTCGGTGGACAAACGCCACAACCCCATAGTCGCCTTTGATTGGACTTAACCGTCCAAGAGTCCTTTTACCTTGTCTCTGAACACCAGATCCTGGGAATCCCAAGTGGGGAGGGGGATTCTGTTGTTGCGCTCAGGTCCTGCTTGCAGATTTCCCTTTGGAACATCTGGTTGACCAGAGTGAGAACAGGATTCTGGGCTAGATTGGGAGCTTGGTGGGCCTTTGGCCTGATCCAGCTGCTCTGCTTTAGGCCTCATCTTATGGACTCTGGATAAATAGTTCAATTCTAAAGAATTGATCGGTAAACTTTAGGAAGAATCCCGGATAGTATTTCAAGACGATTGAAGGGAATGAATGGTCCAAATAAATAGCAACACACTTCAAAAATATTGTGCGTGTAAAAATAATAGAGTTGGTTGTTCCTTCTGTTTCGTCAACCGGCATCTTCCGTTCAGGCTGCTCTGTCCAGTCTAGACATGAAACCTCTGGCTGTGTCTGAGAGGGAAGAGGTGGTTGGGAAGCTGGATCTGCAAGAGGGACCAAGGAGAAAGACTTTCTTTCGGTGGTGGGGATGATGATGATGATAATGATGATAACAATAATAAAATTTTATTTATACCATGCCCTCCCCAGCCAGAGCCGGGCTCAGGGCAGCTGACACCAGTAAAATTACAATAATTTTTTAAAAAAAAAATACAGGTTAAAATATAATTTAAAATGCAGCCTCATTTTAATAGTAGCCCATAGATCAAAACCATAAGGGGAGGGAAACATAAGGGTCGGACCGAGTCCAAACCAAAGGACAGGCGGAACAGCTCTGTCTTGCAGGCCCTGCGGAAAGATATCAAGTCCCACAGGGCCCTAGTCTCTTGGGACAGAGCGTTCCACCAAGTCGAGGCCAGTACTGAAAAGGCCCTGGCCCTAGTTGAGACCAATCTAACCACCTTGCGACCTGGGACCTCCAAGGTGTTTTTGTTTGAAGATCGTAAGGTCCTCCGTGGGACATACCAGGAGAGGCTGTCCCGTAGGTACGTGGGTCCTAGGCCACATAGGGCTTTAAAGGTCAAAGTCAGCACCTTCAACCTGACCCTGTACTTCACCGGGAACCAGTGCAGTTGGTAAAGTACTGGATGAATGTGATCCCACGGCAAGGACCCTGTAAGGAGCCTCGCTGCTGGAGTTTCTGGGTCAGCTTCAAGGACACCCCCACGTAGAGCGAGTTACAGTAATCAAGCCTGGAGGTGACCATCGCATGGGTCACTGTGGCCAGATCAGGGCGAGAAAGGTGCACTTTATTTATTGCACTTCTTATGTGCATTTCATCCCTGGGTACCTGTGGTGGGTTTACAACAATATAAAATAATAATAATAATAATAATAATAATAATAATAATAATAATAATATAATTTATACCCTGCCCATCTGTCTGAGTCTCCCCAGCCACTCTGGGCAGCTCCCAATCAAGTATTAAAAACAATACAGCGTTAAATATTAAAAACTTCCCTGAACATGCCTTCAGATGTCTTTTAAAGATAGGATAGCTACTTATTTCCTTCACATCTGAAGGGAGGGTGTTTCACAGGGCGGGCGCCACCACCGAGAAGGCCCTCTGCCTGGTTCCCTGTAACCTTACTTCTCTCAATGAGGGAACCGCCAGAAGGCCCTTGGAGCTGGACCTCAGCGTCCGGGCAGAACGATGGGGGTGGAGACGCTCCTTCAGGTATACAGGACTGAGGCCGTTTGGGGCTTTAAAGGTCAGCACCAACGCTTTGATTTGTGCTCGGAAACGTACTGGGAGCCAATGCAGATCTCTCAGAACCGGTGTTATGTGGTCCCGGCGGCCACTCCCAGTCACCACTCTAGCTGCCGCATTCTGGATTAATTGCAGTTTCCGGGTCACCTTCAAAGGGAGCCCCACGTAGAGCGCGTTGCAGTAGTTAAACCAACATTTAAGTTGGTTCAAAAACCTTTACAACCAGAAGAACAGTAAGGTGCAGTAATACAAAATATTGGGAGCGCTGACCATGTTTCTCTTTCCTACTGTATTTTGGATCTCCTGCCTCAAGCCTTGTTCTCCTTCAACCCCTCTCGGCTTTTAGCTGCCCCCTTAAGTGCATTTCAGGTGTTGTATGTGGCGCACAAGAGACAGGTGGAGTTGGGAGCCTGCCAGGTTGGACTTGGTCAGGCTCTCTTTGCTGCAGGCAAAGTCTGGTTTCCTCCATTGTCTGCTTCACTCATCCGCTGTCAGCGGAAAGGTTCATGCAGCAGCGCTTTATTCTGAGCTACTGCAAAGCACCCTGCCCGTCGTCTCAGCTGCGTGGCTGTCCTTGCGGATTTATTTGGTAGCCTTCGCTTTGTCACTTGCGTGGGGTTTTTGTCCGCTCTGAAGCTCTGGCCGTGGAACCAATATCACAACATGGACTTCAGACCAGTCTGGGACGATACATTGATATATTGGCCAGCCCTAGTTTGCCAACCAGGCGCCCGTTTTTGGAAGCCAGTAAGCAGGACCTGAGTGCGAGAGTGCTCTGATCTCCTGTGGTTTCCAGCAACTGGTAATCAGAAGCAGTGGGAGTGGAGCAAAGAAGCTGTGAGGGTTAGTAGACATTGATGGCAAAGTTCTCCCTACATGACCAGAGTCTCTTCTTGATTTATATTCCACCATCCAGGATTTGGGGCTGGCAATAATAATAATAATAATAATTACAGCACACAGACAGTTTGACCCCCCCCCTCCAGTCCCTAGGTTCCTCTGTTCCTTTGGCCTTGCAGGACAGGAGAGAGGGAGGAAGGCTTCCTAAAGAATTGGCTCCATGCGGTCAGAGGACGTGGGACACTTCTTGGAAGTTAGAACTGAAGAGGCACCATACAACTGTACTGTTATAGGAATAAAAGGTTCTCTCCCTTGAGAGTGAGCGAGCAAAAGAATACCTTGTTGTTGATGATGATGATGATTCCTTTTTTAAAAATACATTTTTATTGGTTTTTTTAACATATTATTTCCAACAATCATTTAACATAATTTCTTACCTTATACAATATTTTAGACCGTCAACCACCTCTGAAGATTTACCGTTCTTTATCACTTGTTCTGCATTTCTTAATTTCAACTACTACTTTTAATTATCATTGATTAATAATTCACATAATGGTCTTTCTCGCAGTATTTCAAATAATCCTCCTTACAGAACTTCTTGCAGTCCTACTAGTGTAATCTATTCATTACAATTGCTTTTCAAATAGTTCAAATATTTGCTCCAGTCTTCTAAGGATCTCTGGTCCCGCAGGTTTCGAATCCTTCCTGTTAATTTATCTAATTCTGCATAGTCCATTAATTTTATCTGCCATTCTTGTTGATGATGATTCCATTTCACTGTAATGTCCTATGGTCCGAGGCTGAACTTTTGATGTTGCCATGGTGGTGGTGGTGATTGAGGGGTGGGGGCTCTTGTCTCAAGCGGCACCTTTAGTTCTCCTGCTTGTTGGGTATTTGTGAGCCGCCGATGAAAAGAACAAGCCATTCTGAGATACCCAGCCTAGCATTTTGTTCCAAAGAGTTTCTATTTTCTGTGGGTGAAGAGCTCTGGGCGCTGCCAAGCAGGTACTTCCAAGAAGCCCACAAGCTGCCCACGGAGGTGACTGAATGCTCCCAAACTTTGAAAAGGTGCAGGAAGGAGCAACCTAAATGAGGCCAGAGGAAGCTGTAGGCTCAGTGGGATTTTCCATTGAAACTGAATGATGGAGGATTCAGGATGTACTAAGGAAGATATTCTCACACGGCACATGTTAAAAATGTGGAATTCGCCACCACCATCAAATCATAGAATTGTAGGGACCCTGAGAGTTATCAGGTCCAACTAGATCATAAACGGCACGTGGCCATCCAGCCTCTGCTTAAAAACACTGCCACCTCTCGTGGAATCTGTCCCACTGTCAAACAGAGCTTACAGTCAGAAAGGTATTCAGGGTATTTAGTCGGAATCGCCTTCCTTGTCATTTGAATCCGTTTGGATCCTGCCCTCTGGAGCAGCAGAAAACAAGCTTGCTCCATCTTCCATGTGATGACAGCCCTTTAGATGCTTGAAGATGGCTGTCCTATCTCAGTCTCCTCTTTTCCAGGCTGAACATACCCAACTCCCTCAAACATTCCTCATCAGGCTTGGTTTCCAGACCCTTTCATCATCCTGGTCTCCCTCCTCTGCACACCTTCCTGCTTGTCAATGTCCTTCTTAAACTGGGGTGCCCAGAACTGGACACAGGACTCCAGTTGGGGTCTGGCCAAGGCAGAATAGAGTGGGACTATTACTTCCCTTGATCTGGACACTAGACTTCCATTGATGCAGCCTAGAATAGCATTGTCTTTGTCCATGGAGTGGACAGCATCTTAAAAAGCAGAGACATCACCTTGCCAACAAAGGTCCGTATAGTTAAAGCTCTGGTTTTCCCAGTAGTGATGTATGGAAGTGAGAGCTGGACCATAAAGAAGGCTGATTGCTGAAGAATGGATGCTTTTGAATTTTGGTGCTGGAGGAGACTCTTGAGAGTCCCACGGACTGCAAGAAGATCAAACCTCTCCATTCTGAAGGAAATCAGCCCTGAGTGCTCACTGGAAGGACAGATCCTGAAGCTGAGGCTCCAATACTTTGGCCTCCTCATGAGAAGAGAAGACTCCCTGGAAAAGACCCTGATGTTGGGAAAGATGGAGGGCACAAGGAGAAGGGGACGACGGAGGACGAGATGGTGGGACAGTGTTCTCGAAGCTACCAGCATGAGTGACCAAACTGCGGGAGGCAGTGGAAGACAGGAGTGCCTGGCGTGCTCTGGTCCAGGGGGTCACGAAGAGGTGGACACGACTAAACGACTAAACAACAAGAATAGCATTAGCTTTTTTTTGCTGCTGCATCACACTATTGACCCGTGTTAAGCTTACAGTCTACTAAGACCCCTTGATCCTTTTCACATGTACTTCTTGCAATCCAGGTATCCCACATCTTAACATTTGTGCAGCTGGCTATTCCTGCCGAAGTGCAGAACCTGACATTTCTCCCTATTGCAATTCATTTTGTTAGATTTGGCTCAGGTCTCCAATCTTGTTAAATTCATTGTGAATCCCAAATCTATCTTCAGTGGCATTGGCTACCCCTCCCCATTTATCGTCATCTGCAAATTTGATTAGCATCCCCTAAATTCCTTCGTCCAAGTTGTTTATATAAAGATGTTGAACCACAACAGGACCCCGCATCACCCCACCTGCCACTGTTTTCTGTGATGACAAGTAACTTTTATCAGAAAAAGAAACGAGATTTGTCTGGCATGACTTGTTTTTGCTGGGTCTTAGTAATCACAGCATCCTTTTCTAAGGGCTCACAGACCGACTGTCGAATTATCTGTTCTGGCCCCGTTAGTAGGTTAACGCAGGTTTATGTAAAAAAATTACCTGTGTAAAGAAGGCAGACTATTGCAGCTAATGGCATATGTCCCAAAAGTCCATAGAGGAGAGACGTGGACTTAAAGCCCAAATTCACATGAAGTCGTTCCCCCTCCTACCACTAGGTGGCGCTGCTTTTGTGTTCTCAGTGGTTTTCAGTTTAAAAATTCGCTGGCAATTTTTCGCTTTCCAGATGTTCTTCTGGATCCATAAACTCAGGATTTCCAAGTAGAGTGGGACTCCCTTAAATTGCGCTCCTTTCTTCTTGGGAATATTCTGACTCACCTTCTCTGCTCCTCCTCTTTCGTTTTCTCTCTATCTACCTTTTCGGTTTCAAACAATAGCCCCCAGCATCAAATCAAATAAAAACGACCGAAGGTTCAGCAGTGCATTTTCTTTTCTCCCCCCCCCCCCAAATGCTTATTAATTTTCATACAAAAGCATAACTTTAACATAACAGAAAAAGAAAAGACAATAATAAAAGAAAAAAAGAATAAAAGAGATAAAGTAATTCAAACCTCACATATACCATCACATACAATAAGACTTACTTAGTTAATTAAAATCCAACTTAATAAACATATTACTTGACTTCCTCCAATCTCTTCCAACTGAATTTCCTTGTAATTAAATGTAGCGATTTCCAATATCATTATTTCATATAACAATATTCCAGTCATAATCAAACTTCCTAACTTTTCTTATCGTGCTTTTTCTTATTTATTTATTTATTTATTTAATCCTGATTTAGTTCTAGGCCTAATTAGTCAACAGTGCATTCAACCAGTTCTTCTGCCATAGAATTATAGAATCACGAGTTGGAAGGGGCATCTGACCCAACCTCTAGTCCATGGGTAGGCAAACGAAGGCCCGGGGGCCGGATCCGGCCCGCCGACAGTTCAGGAATCAGCGTGTTTTTACATGAGTAGAATGTGTCCTTTTATTTAAAACGCATCTCTCGGTTATTTGTGAGGCATAGGAATTTGTTCATTTCCCCCCTTCAAAATATAGTCTGGCCCCCGCAAGGTCCAAGGGACAGTGCTGAAAAAGCTTCCTGACCCCTGCTCTAGTCTCAACACGTCCCCCATCCAGTTTGAAACCATACCAGGCCCTGCTTAGCTTTGCAAATGTGCTACTAGTAGCTGAATAGTTGGCCTTGGTGAAGATTTGACGTTTTCATCCCCAAAAAGTTTTTGATTTGAGTTTCTATTGAAATGAGGCTGCATTTTAATGTATTTTAATCTTGTTTTTAAGTTGTATCTTAATCAATTGTTTTATATCTGGTGTTAGCTGCCCTGAGCCCGGTCTTGGCTGGGGAGGGCGGGGTATAAATAAAAATTATTATCATTATTATTATTATTATTATTATTAAGAAAGTGAGAACCACTCAAGAGAGCCTAGGATGATTGAGGAGGGCAGGCTTGCTCCAGCAGCCAAGCCCAGCGCCAGAGGGGAGTGTGGGGATGCCTGGATAGCTCTAAAAAGGAATTAAGGGGAAACGATGGAAATGGTTGTCAATAACGACTAGTGAAGGCTGATGGCCGAAGAATGGATGCTTTTGAATTATGGTGCTGGAGGAGACTCTTGAGAGTCCCATGGACTGCAAGAAGATCCAACCTCTCCATTCTGAAGGAAATCAGCCCTGAGTGCTCACTGGAAGGACAGATCCTGAAGCTGAGGCTCCAAGACCTTGGCCACCTCATGAGAAGAGAAGACTCCCTGGAAAAGACCCTGATGCTGGGAAAGATGGAGGGCAGAAGGAGAAGGGGACGACAGAGGACGAGATGGTGGGACAGTGTTCTCGAAGTGACCAGCATGAGTTTGACCAAACTGCGGGAGGCAGTGGAAGACAGGAGTGCCTGGCGTGCTCTGGTCCAGGGGGTCACAAAGAGGCGGACACGACTAAACAACAACAACTAGTGTTGGGGGCAGTCTGCCTTGGAATAATACCTGGAAATCCCAGGTGGGGAGAGAGGGTCTCATGCATGTTGGCTTCCCATAATGGGAATCTGGTTGTCCACTCTGAGAACAGGATGCTGGGCTGAAATGGGCTCCCTCTGGCCCCTGGTCCCACTGACGGGTTCTTAGATTGATAGCCCTTTCCTACTTCTTCTCCCCAGCAGCTGCTGGCTCGGGTGCATGCGCCGCCTCTGAAGATGGAGGGATTCTGTTCTCAGGAGCATCCGGCTTGAAACGGAGAGCCAGGGTCAGACCTCGCTTGACCACGAAGCTTGCTGGTGGTCTTGGGTCATTCGTTCGTAATAGCAATAAATGTGCCCTCACTGGGCGTGTCGCTTTACAGAGTACAGTGGTACCTCTGGATGCGAACGGGATCCGTTCCGGAGCCCCGTTCGCATCCTGAAGCGAATGCACCCCGCGTCTGCGTGTGCACGGGTTGCGATTCGCCGCTTCTGCGCATGCGCGTGATGTCATTTAGAGTGTCTGCACATGCGCAAGCGGCGAAACCCAAAAGTATTGCATTCCGTTACTTCTGGGTTGCCGCGGAGCACAACCCGAAAACGCCTAACCTGAAGCTACTTCAACCCGATGTATGACTGTGCAAGAGGGCAGGATTCTGACCTGGAGGGGTCGGGTGTGCGTGTGTGTGCGTGTTCACATTCCTGAAATTAACAGAGGGGGAGGCATTGCTTGATCCCAGGGGCCTGAACTAACTTTTGCAGAAAAGAAGTCTGAGAAACCGAGGTAGATAGTGGTGACGAGAGTTCTAGAGGCAAAATTAATAGGCGATAGACTAATAAAGGTAAAGGGACCCCTGACCATTAGGTCCAGTCGTGGCCGACTCTGGGGTTGCAGCGCTCATCTCGCTTTACTGGCCAAGGGAGCCGGCGTCCAGCTTCCGGGTCATGTGGCCAGCATGACTAAGCCGCTTCTGGCGAACCAGAGCAGCGCACGGAAACGCCGTTTCCCTTCCCGCTGGAGCGGTACCTATTTATCTACTTGCACTTCGACATGCTTTCGAACTGCTAGGTGGGCAGGAAGACAGACTAATAGACAACATTAAAACTGGCAAATTGCTGGGTCCAGATGAGAGTTCTTAAAAGAACTCAAAGGTGAAATTGCTAATCTTCTAACAAAAATACTTGCCCCTATGATCAGCCTCTACTGGAAAGTAGCCACCATAACTCCAGTTTTTAGAAGGGGGTCCAGGGGGATCGTGGAAATTACAGGCCGGTAGCTTAGTTAGTGTCTGACCCAGGAAAACTGGCGGTAATTAATGTTAAAGATTTAAAAAGCATATAGAAGAAAAATCTTGCTGAAGCAGAACCAGCGTAGCTTCTGCAAGAGCAAGTCCCGTCTCACGTGTTCCTTACAGTTCTTTGAGAGTGTCAACAACCATATAGTTATAGAGGCATAGTCCTCTCCTCCATGAATTTGTCTAATCCTCTTTTAAAATCTGGGTTGGTCACCATCCCTGCCTCTTGTGGCAGCGAGTTCCATAGGTTAACTATGCGCTGGATGAAGAAGAAGTCCATTCTTTTCTTCCTTTTTTTGCCTGTCCTGAATCTCCCCTACATTCACCTTTTTCAGGTGCCCATGAGTTCTAGTGTTACGCGAGCGGGAAGGGAAAATCTCTCCTCTCCTCTCCTTTCTCCATGTCATGCGGAACTTTAAACTTCTATCTTGCCATAGAATGGTAGACCTGGAAAGGACCCCAGGGATCATCTAGTCCAACCCTGTAGCGTTCCCAAAGCAAAGGAAGGATTGGACTCTGATTAATAAAATACACACGAGGCTTGACCAGCAAGACTCCGGGAGGAGTTCGTATAACAATTCCTGCCCACCCCTCGGCCCAGGTCGTTTTATTCACAAAATAACTTTTTACAGTGTTCATAAGAACCAATCAGATTTCCTTTGAGCATTTCAAAAAAACCCACGTGGGATAAAGTTAAAGTTAAAACTACAAATAAACTATTTCCTACTTGAGCATGCATATGTAGTTCAGAGTAAATAAAAGAGGAAGCAAGGAGGAATGCTTTTAGGAAACCCCAGAGGTCATAAACAAGCGGTGAACAGGAGAGGCAGGGTGGCAGTATTTACCATCTCCTTCCTGGACCTTAAGATCTATCTAAAGATTAAACTACATCAAATAACCTACTATCTTTATGTACTGAGGATGCCTGATGAAGCAACTGGCCTGTGTTTCAGAATGCTTATACGTGCCTGTCAGGCGTAGAGAAAGCAAATGGCAGAGGTGGAGAGGCTTGTGGGATTCGATCCGAAATTATTGTCAATGAATCAAACCCAGTCAACGCAATGCTTTCATCGCCGACACAATGGCTTGCTTCGTATTTCATAATTCCTCATAGCAATCCCACCTGACCACTACACAACCCCCTGCAATGCAGGAATCTCAACCAAAGCATCCGAGGCAGGTGGCCACCCAGCCTCTTCAAGGAAGGAGAGGGTTTTGTCTAAACTTAAAAAGTCCCAAGTGCAGCAACCTTCTACAAGGAAGGAGCCGGCTTGTGCGGTTCCTGATCTCCCAGGCTTATGCTGTCGTCCTACGGCCAGGTGAACTAAATAATAATAATTTATTATTTATACCTCGCCCGTCTGGCTGGGCTTCCCTAGCCACTCTGGGTGGCTTCCAACAAAATATTAAAATACCACAATACATCAAATATTAAAAGCTTCCCTGAACAGGGCTGCCTTCAGATGTCGCCTTAAAGTCTGGTAGTTGTTTTTCTCTTTGACATCTGGTGGGAGGGCATTCCACAGGGAAGGCGCCACCACCGAGAAGGCCCTCTGCCTGGTTCCCTGTAACTTGGCTTCTCGCAGGGAGGGAACCGCCAGAAGGCCCTCAGCGCTGGACCTCAGTGTCCGGGCAGAACGATGGGGGTGGAGACGCTCCTTCAGATATACTGGACCGAGGCCGTTTAGGGCTTTCAAGGTCAGCACCTAAAGCCACATGTCTGAACAGGCTCCCCACTGGAGCGCATCGTCGCCAACCCCCGCTCTGTCTCTTCTTCCAGAGAGTTTCTTCGATGTGAATTGAGCTGCGGAGGTCGTGTCGCGGGGGCCCCAAGGCCAAGCAGCCTTCTGGGGAAATCGCCCGTGGCTTCTGGCCGCACGGGGCTCCGGGAGCAGCGCCGCCGGGAGGACCGCTCGCGTCAGACAAGGAGGCCGACTCTCCCTCACCTCCCGCCGCGCTCTTGGCTTTGCCAGTGACCCCCATCCCCGTGGCTGCTGGCAAGGGGGCGACGTGCTCTGGGGCTGCTGCTGGGGTGAGCATCTGCCCTGAGATCTACAGGTATAGGGCGGTTATATTATTATTATTATTATTATTGTTATTATTATTATTATTTGTTGTTGTTGTTCCCTCTCTCCGCCTAGGAGTCCCCAATAGAACGCCAGATCAGCCCGAAGGGGAAGCCTCAACTAGAGCCAGGGCTTTTTCGGCCGTGGCCCCGATCTGGTGGAACGCTCTGCCACAAGAGTCTAGGGCCCTGTGGGACTTGACATCTTTCCTCAGGGCCCGCAAGACGGAGCTGTTCTGCCAGGCCTTTGGTCTGGGTTCAGTCCGACTCCCTCTCCCCTTTCATAAGAACTTGCATGAAAGTGGCCTCCCAGTTTTTCTCACAGGCCCATATAAGTTCAGCACAAACAGTTGGGCCTGGTGAGCATTTAAGGTTCCCAACCCTAATCTGCGGGTTGCCATCTGATTGGATTTTATTCTGATCCTGATCTGATTTGAGGATGTATTTTAATTGATTGTCTGATTTTATGTTAATGTGTTATACATTTGATGTTAGCCGCTCTGAGCCCGGCTTCGGCTGGGCAGGGCGGGATATAAATAAAATTTATTATTATTATTATTATTGTTATTACAAGCCACCCATGCTGCGTGGCTGCAGAGTGGGCAGACTTGTAGTCTTGGGACAGAGAAGAAACACAAGCATCTTCTTTGCTGGACTGCATGTCATTTGCTCTGGCGAGTCAGTGGCACGCTGGACCCAGACCATGCAAAGAGGGGCAGCAGAGGCAGTTTGCCCGCCTCACCCGCCTGGGATTCCGGGGCCACCAGCCCCAGGCTTCTGGGCAATGCATCCCCAAAATCACCAGCCCTTCTGTTTGAATAAGCGTCAAGTCGTAATATGCCTTTGATCTGCTCTCTGCAGGTTCCCTGCTGTTGAGATTGGACTTCCCAACCTGAGGGGGTGATCCAGGGCGGATCCTTGTTAAGCTATAACGCAGGTGGGCAGCATGTTTGAAAGATCCCCTTTCTCCCCCTCCTCCTCCTCCTGTCAGCCACCCCCAGCCCAGAAGCCCAGGACCCTGAACCTCTAGTTCTCTAGAGACCCCTTTCTTCCTTCTTTCCACCTCTTGGCTTAACTCTGTAGGGATGTGAGTGCACTTTGTCTCAAACTGAGAAACCCTTTTGCTGTGGTTGCCTTAATAATAATAATAATAATTTTTTATTTATACCCTGCCCTTCCTGGTTCAAAAACCGGGCTCAGGGCGGCTAACAACAAATTCAAAACACCGCATTTTTTGCTCCATAAGACGCACCTAGTTTTTAGAGGAGGAAAACAAGAAAGCAACGCAAAGCCTCTTGAGCGAAAAGGCAGGAGCGCTCCGGCTGCGCTCAAGAGGCTTTGCATGTCTATCCCTGAAGCCAGAAGAGCAAGAGGGATTGGTACACACCGATCCCTCTTGCTCTTCTGGCTTCAGCGAAAGCTGCACAGCCTGTATTCGCTCCCTAAGATGCACACACATTTCCCTTACTTTTAGGAGGGGGGAAATGCGTCTTATAGAGCGAAAAATATGGTAATTGTAAAAGCAGCATAAAATGCAGTATAAAAACATGAATAACAATAAAATTCAGAAGTCAGTTAGATAATCCCTAGGGCTAGCTGGCCGAATTGGTCCTACTTGGGCCAGCGAAGAGGCCAGGGGAGAATTAGCTGTGGGGTCTCAGAGCGGGTGATCTTCATAAAAGGGGAGGGAAGGGAAATAAAAGATCAGGCTGAATTCAGATTAAAGGCCAGGTGGAATAGCTTTGTCTTACAGACCCTGCGGAAGGAGGTTAAATCCTGAAGGGCCCTTTGACACCCCTCTCCATCTACCACTGAGCCACTGGTTAAGAGTGTCAGACTAGGACGCGGGAGAGACCAGGGTTCAAATCCCTACTCGACCTGGAAGCTCACTGGGTGTGATGTCGGGGGGGGGGGGGGACGGACAGTCACTGCCTGTCGGCCTAAACTACCTGGTAGGGTTGTTGCGGGGGTTAAGTGAGGAAAAGGAGAACAACCACATCAGCCACTTTGAGCTCCTTGGAGGGAGAACGTGGGCTATGGATGCAATAGATAACTGAATACAATGAATACCAGGTTTTTGGGGAAAAGAAGAAAGAAGACGAGCACCAGAGGAAAGCCAGCCCAGGAGCGGCAGAGATGGCAGCCGAGACACTGAACTTTGGGCCAGAGTGGTGAGTGAGTGTGTGTGTGTGTTTTTATATACATTTTTATTGGTTTTTTAACATATCATTTCCAACAATCATATAACATAACTTCTCTTATACAATGATGGTTTCCCGTTCTTTATCACTTACTCTGCATTTCTTAATTTCTCTGTTACTCTTAATTATCATTAACTAATAATTCTCCTCATAGTCTTTCTTGCAATATTTCAGATAACCCTCCTTACAAAACTTCTTGCAGTCTTACTGGCGTAATCTGTTCATCACAATTGCTTTTCAAATAGTCCATAAATTTACTCCAGTCTTCTAAGAATCTCTGGCCCGCAGGTTTCGAATCCTTCCTGTTAATTTATCCAGTTCTGCATAGTCCATCAATTTCACCCGCCATTCTGAGCGTGTGTCTTTTGAGGCTGTGCTGCGCCCAGAAAGGCCCTCTGGGGCAGAAGGAAGCTGGGGCAAGCAGCCGACCTCCAGTGGGAAAGGAGGACTTGCTGGACCTGAGGGGTTCAGTGGGAAGAGACGTCTCCCTCCTCCCTGCTGTTTGCCTGACGCACCTCCTCCCTCCTCCTCCCTCTTTCCTCAGGCTCCGCGCTCTCTCCAGTGGCGGGAGCGTCGCTTCCCCCCCACCCTCCCCTGCCATGCCAAAGTACAAGCTAGCCGAATACCGATACGGGCGGGAAGAGATGTTAGCACTTTATGTGAAAGACAACAAGGTGAGTGCCGCACGGTTGTGGGTTGGGGAAGTTGTGCCCCCAGCGTGTAGGGCTGCTTGACCACGGGGCGGATGGTGGGGTGGACTGGGCAAATTCCGCCCCGGGTTCGAATTCCTTTCTTCTCTGTTTACAATTTTTGAATTGCTGTATTTTTCGCTCCATAAGACGCACCTAGTTTTTAGAGGAGGAAAACACAAACAAAAATATTCCGAATCAAATGTTGTACTAAACTGTTTAAAGCAGCAAAGCAGGCGGTCCTTGTCTGCTTTTCTGCTTTAAATTTGCTGCTTTAAAGCGAGCCGCGGAGGGGGGACGGACGGGGGCCATGGCTCCCCTTCCTTCCCTCCTCTGTGGCTCGCTTTAAAGCAGCAGAGTGGACAGGAGCCGCCTACACGTCCCTCCTCCACGCAGCATTCGCTTCACGAGACACACAGACATTCCCCCTTACTTTGTAAGAGGGAAAAAGTGCGTCTTATGGAGCGAAAAATACGGTACCTTCCCTTTTGCTAAGCTGAAAGGGAACAGCAATTGCTGAGATTCCAGCTTGCTTCCTTTGCCCCCTTCCTGTATCTTCTTTGCTTTCCCCACCCGTCTCCAAGGTTGACCCCTGCCAAAGCATTGGGCTGGGTCGGGAAGACGCTGGGTGGGCTCCTGATGGCTTCCTTTCCGCGCTCCTCCCTCCACAGGTCCCGGAGGAGATCCAGGATAAAGAGTTCTCTGCCATTCTCCAGGACGATCCTCTGCAGCCTCTGGCGTTGGTTCCCTTAACGGAAGAGGAGCAGGTAAAAGCGGTGGCGGTGGCGGCGGCTGGATCCTAGCCGCAGCGGCTAGGCTGTGCCCTCCACAGTCGGAGGAGCTGTGCTTCTGAATCTCAGTTGCTGGAAACTGTTGGAGCAGAGAGTTTTGCTCCTGCGCTTGGATCCTGGTTCCCCATTGGGGCACCTGGTTGGCCACTGGATGCTGGACCTGATGGGGCCCCTTTGGCCACACCCAGCAGCCAGTCAGTTTTATTGCACATAGCCAAAGGCTGCCGCAATGTACACAGAATCATTCAACAATTCAAAGACTGGACTGATACATAAAACTTAAAACATTTATATTATTCAAGACGTTTCCTACTCCAAAGAGAGCGAGAAAAGTATCTTAATGTACCAATTTAGACATTCAACAATAAAATTTATAAGCTAAAATTGTCACATGGCCACAAATGTATTAAAAATTAATGTTAATTAATACAGTGTGCAATTATATTCGGAGTTTGGTGATAAAGGTAGAATATAGCTTGATGTAGATGGGGTCAAATAAATTCATCTCCTTTACAGTTGGTGGCTACCTTGGCTATATAATTTGCTCTAATTTTCCTAGCAGCGGTTGCAAAGAATGCTACACGCCAGGTCACATACTTGTCTGCGAGGAGAGATAAAATCATGTCAGAGGGGTTCTGGCCAGGGGACCTTGTCATTATAGGTGCTAAAAATCTTCCTCTTGCTTCATTATATAAGGGGCAGCGCAAGATATAATGCATAAGGTCCTCTACTTCAGAACATCCCCTAATGCAAACATGTTCATTTTTTGGTATGCCTCTGTGTCTCCCATCTCTATAAGCAGAGTTTATTGTATTTAATCGTAGCTCTGTAAAAGCTATCCCAAGTTGTACAAAAGTCAGTTCATTGAAATAAGGTGTATGTTCATTGGCCTCTCTTGAGTTTAAAATATAATGGGGCACGTGTAGATGTGTACATAGAGTTTAGGTCATTTTTAGTTGCCACTGCCGTTGCGGTTCGTTTAAAGATATTTTTCTGGGAATATAAAGGAAGCAGTCTCTTTTGACAAACAGTGGATCCAGAGGTCGCCTCTTCTCAAATTCTGCTTTCTCTTCCCCCCCCCAAACATCTGTTTCAGAGGAACTTCTCCATGTCTGTGAACAGTGTTGCGGTGCTAAGGCTGATGGGAAAGGGGGCTGGGGCTGCCCCGGCCGGAGTCTCCCGGGGGAGAGGCAGCACCCGGAGCCGAGGTACAGAGGCATCCTGGGGGCGGTGGGGGTGTAGGCCCCCTTTCCCTTCTTGCCACCTTCCCCTGATCTCCCTTGAGGAGGCGGCGAGTGGGTTCCTGTTTCCAAAAGCCAGTGCAGTGGTTCGAGTGCCGGACTAGGACCTGGGAGAGATCAGGGTTCAAATCTCCCTACTTGGCTACGAAGCTCCCTGGATGAGTGAGCTTGGAGGCCAGTCAGTGTCTCTCTCAGCCTCACCTACCTTGTTGAGGGAAATAGGGGAGGAGGGGAGAGAACCATCTACACTGCCACTTTTGAGCTCCTTGGAGGGACAAGGATGCGATATAGGTAAAGGGACCCCTGACCATTAGGTCCAGTCGCGGCCGACTCTGGGATTGCGGCGCTCATCTCGCTTTACTGGCCGAGGGAGCCGGCGTACAGCTTCCGGGTCATGTGGCCAGCAGGACTAAGTCGCTTCTGGAGAACCAGAGCAGCGCACGGAAACGCTGTTTACCTTCCCGCCAGAGTGGTACCTACTTATCTACTTGCACTTTGAGGTGCTTTCAAACTGCTAGCTTAGCAGGAGCAGGGACTGAACAACGGGAGCTCACCCCGTTGCGGGGATTCGAATCGCCGACCTTCTGATTGGCAAGTCCTAGGCTCTGTGGTTTAACCCACAGCGCCACCTGCGTCCCAGGATGTGATATGCATGCAGTCAATCAATCGATGTTATTTTGACACCTTACCTCTCTCCACCCCGCAATTAAATAGGCCGTGGCCGTGGCGAGAGTGGCTTTTACCAAAGAAGCATTGAGGAGGCAGAAGGGGCGTTTGGCCGCGGTGGGGTCCGCGAGATACACCGCAGCCAGAGTTGGGATGACCGGTGAGTAGGGGTCCTGGCGAGGTGGGGAGAGCTGTGTCTGTGGGTCGCTGTGGGAACCTGCTGCCCTCTTCCGTTGCTCTGACACCCTCTTCTTCTCCTGCAGAGGAGAACGACGGTTTGAGAAGCCCATCCGACGGGAAGGAGGTACAGTGATTTCCCGCCTAGATCGCAGGGTGGTCAGCGGGTTGGCAAGATCCGTCCTACGTGCAGTTTGCGCCCGCCAGCTTTCTTCCTACCTTGTGCAGGAAGGGAACAGGTCCTGCTATCCGCCTTTGAAATGAGGAGCCGTTGTTAGCCTGCGGGCATTACTGGTAGCAGAGGAGAGCTATGCCCCTTCTGAAGCGGCCTGCTGCTTTCGTTGCTGGGGGCTTCACTCGCCTGTTCTGGTTCTGGAGTGTGGGGCACTCCGTAGCTCTCTCACCATTCTGCTAGCTCACCTGTACGCAGTTCCTTTTGGCATATGTCTTGCCGGGGAAGCGCTTAATTGCAAGGGGTGTGGGTGTGTGCGTGCTCCATCTTTCCCAGCTACTCTTTCGCACCTTGCCTAGGCCAGTAAGATCTTGGCTGGGGTGGGAGGGCTCAGAGGACCACACTGGACCCTTCGCACCTAACGTCTGGCTTAGAGACCCCTACGCTCGCTCTCGGGCGCTCTTTTAGAGCTTACCGGGGAGCGGGGAGTCGCTCAGGGGTACCCGCAGGAATACCAGGTCCTCAGAATGCTCAATCTGAGTTTTTTTCGGGGTTCCGCGACGCTCTGGCGGTCACCCCAGTCTTCAAAGCGCCGGGGCTCTTTCAGCGGAAAGAGCTCCCGTCCGCCATTAATCAGGCGATCAACCGGAAGTCTGTATGCCATACTGTTTTGCTTCATGAGTAACGTATCTCTGCCAAATAAGCTTGCAAAGATTTGACACAAATTAATTCATCAGCCTCAACTTGATGGGTTTTGAAATAATTGGTCATAGAGCCTGTATAATAAAAAATAAATGAATGGACTTCCGTTACAAACCTTTCAACAGTGGAATGGATGACCTCGGAAGGTGGTGGTTTCAGAACCGCATTGGAGGTTCTGAAACTAAAACTGGGTGGCCACTTGCCACAGCTTCTGCAGCTGAGATTCCTGCATTGCAGGGGGTTGGACTAGATTACCCTCGGGGTCCCCTCTGACTACAATTCTATGATTCCATGAAAGGCACACACATAAAGCCATGGAAGCCCCATCAATTTCCCTGCTTAAAAGCTGCCTTCATGGTGGGTGTGGCAGGTCCTATCCCACTGATTGGTGTCCCTGAGGTGGAACAGCCCTAATAGAGTTAGAAGGGACTCCAAGGGCCATGTAGCCCAACCCCCTGCAACGCAGGAAGCTTTTGGCCCAACGTGGGGCTCAAACCCGCGACCCACAGATTAAGCGTATCGCGCTCTACCAGCTTACCCGCCGCCGTCTCCTCCTTATTTGAAGCCCGGGCTCCATTTGAGGAGGTGGTTCCCCCGGGGCGCAAGGAGTTTGCCCGCTCGGACAGCGACAACTGGCGCACCCTCCGAGAGGAGCACGAGGAGGAGGAAGAGGGCAGCAGCGGTGCCGTGGCCGTGGCCAGCTGGCGGCAGAGCGGAGGCCCCCGGCGGGAGAGCGAGCGCTGGCGGTCTGCTAGCCCAGGTGAGAGCCCACGGCGGAAGCAAGCTTGGGGGAGCCAGGAGGAAGAGGGCGTCCGGTTCCGGCCGCCCCCGCAGAGGCCGCAGGAAGGAGAAACGGGTTTGCCCTCAAACCTCCCTCTCTCCCCACAGACGGAGGAGGCCCTCGCTCCGCGGGCTGGCGGGAGCACGGCGGAGAGGGGCGCCGGCGGAAGTTCGATTTTGACTTCCGGGAGCGGGAGGACGAGCCGCGGAGCGGGCGCCGGCACCGGCACAACAGCGGCAGCTTTGAGGATGACAAGGACGGCCTCCCAGAGTGGTGCCTGGAGGACGAGGAAGAGGAGATGGGGACCTTCGACTCCTCCGGGGCCTTCATGTCCCTCAAGGTGTGCAGAAGGTTCCTAGGTTCCAGCAGCGTTCCCCCAGAAATCGCTAGGGGAAAGGTCTTCTCTGCTCGGGGTTTTTTCCCCATTTGTCTGTCTTTCCGTCTATCTCGCCCACACAGACACAGATCTAGGGTTTATCCATTGGGGGGGGCTGCTCTCATCTAGGGGGAGAGAGGAGAAGATGATGATGGTTATTATTGGCTTACTAATTGCCTTCTAAGCCACCCTTTTCCCGCCTGCGGTTGAAGACTTTTATTCCGACAGGCCTTTGGGGGCTGATTGTTCCTTAAGGAAATGGTTTTTAAATCGTGCTGTTTTTATTAATTGTCTTGTAATTGATCTGCGTTTTAAAAATACAGTGATACCTCGGGTTAAAGATGCTTCGGGTTAAATCTTTTCAGGTTGCGTCCTGCGGCAACCCAGAAGTGCCAGAAAGGGTTACTTCCGGGTTTCGCCGCTCACGCATGCGCAGACGCCCAAAGTGATGTCATGCGCAGAGGCAGCGAATCGCGACCCACAGATGCGGGTTGCGTTCTGCTCCTGTTGCAAATGGGGCTCCGGAACGGATCCCGTTGGCAACCAGAGGTACCCCTGTATTGTTTTAACTCTTGCTAAGTTAAGTTATTTTTTAATTAATATATTAATGTGCTGTTTAGCTTTTTGTATTTTTTAAAATTTGTGTAAGCTGTCTTGTGGCCCAGTCTGGGGAAAAGGCAGCGGAATGATTAATAATAATAATAATAATAATAAATTTACTCTTTGGGGTGAAGGGAGGTCATATAGCCCCGGCCAAGTATCTCTCTCTCTCTCTCTCTCTCCTTGGAGGTTTGGTCGTTCCTTCCCTTACAGCCTGGTTCTTGTTCCTTCCCTTCCCATAGGCCATCCTTCCTTTCCCAACTGGATCCCTTCCGGCTGATTAAGGACTGTGTATGGTGATGAGGGGCATCCCCGACCGCCCCCCACATGACTATTCTGTTAGGATATAGTTCCATTCCACTTTTAGAACAGGCATGTGGAGTTGTTGCATGTTACATATCTGTTTACTTCCAACACATTCTGCTGGGAACTTCCGTCGTATATAGCTTTTGCTTATGTTTTTTGCTTGGACACGAAGGGAAGCAGACATGTTTTCCTTTGTTCTAATGCCGAATAAACGCTTGTATATACGCCTTGCATATGCCTCTGTCCGCCACTTCCATTGTGGAGAGTTATTCACTCTGCTGATTAGAGCGTGCTCAAGTTTCTGAAGCTATGAGTCGCTGATTGATGCTGTTCCAAGGGAGACCGGAGTTTGCCTGGATGCCGGCCGGTGGCTGAAGGCAGCTGGGGGGGGGCCTGTGAATTGCCCCCGCCTCCCAGGACGCATCCCAACAATAGGGTTATGGGCCCAGATCCACGGCACTTAAACGAGAGTAGGGCTGCTGATGGCTGCTGCGAGACCCGGCAGAGACAGAGGTATATGAAGCAAGACTTCTCAAAGCTGACAGCGGCCTCTTCTCTTCTCCTTTTGCAGAAGAGCCCCAAAGAGCCGATCCTTGAGGAGCAGGAGTTAAGCTTCCAGCCCCTGCAAGAAGAGGAAGAGGAGGAGGAGCTGCCGGAGGCCAAGGACGGCGACAGGAGAGAGGGCGGGGAGGTCCCTGCCAGCCCCACGGCCAAGGAGGGGCCGGAGAGAGGTGAGAGGTTGGGGGAGGTGGACGTGCTCCTTGGACAGAGGGCAGGAAGGCTGTAGGCTTGAGCCCCCACCCCCCCAAATAACCTCTTTCTGCACCCCTTCCCCTCCTTTTCTCTCAGAACGGAAGGAGCCCCGGCAAGTGCCGGAGGAGAAACTACCTGCTCCTCCCGGTGCCCCATGGCGAACAGGCCCCTCTTTCCCCACTGCTACTGCCCCCGTGGGTGAATGCGAGAGTGTCACGCCGGGGGTCTCATCGAAGGTGGAGGTCTCGGGGCTGGCGCCTGGTGGCAACAAGGAGAAGGAAGCTCTCGATGGTATGTGGATGAGGGAGGAAGGGACTGGCCTGCGATTCTTCCCTTCTCCTCCTACTTCAAGGGTTGGCAAGGCTTACCAGGCCTGAGCCGGATCAGACCCGTGGAGCTCCTCCGTGGGCCAGACCGGCACAGCGCAACGGCAGAAATCGCTTCTGCGCATGTCCGTGACACCGGAAATCGCATCTGCGCATGTCCGTGGCGCGGAAATCGCTTCTGCGCGTGCCCAGATGCTGAAAATCGCATCCGCACAGAAGCAATTTCTGGAGCTGCGGAAGAGAGTCCCTGCACTGCGCCGTGCCGGTTTAGCGCAGCGAGCGGGGACTTCCCAAGCGGGCGGCTGGGTTCGGGGGTGGCTCGTGGGCCGGTTAAATGGCCTCCATGGGCCTTAGGTTGCCGACCCCTGTCCTAGCGCTTCCAGGGCGTCACAACGGGCGGCTGCTTGACCGTCTGCTGCAGACTGGTGGAGAAGGCGGGCAGCAACACCGTTAAATCACGAGGAAACCTGGCAGCAAGGGAAAGGGTTGGCAGGGGCAGAAGTGGGCCAGGCTGGCTTCGTAACCCTCACGGGAGCCTCCTCTTTTGCTCATGTTGTCTTGCTTGGGGGGCTCTTGGAGACGGGGTCGTTCTGTGCGAGGGGATGAACCCTCCTCCCTCTCCCACCTCCAGGGGATCCGTGCCTCCTCAGCCACCCGGCTCAGCTCAACCCGGCTGCTGTGGCTGCCCTTCCCACGCCGGCGTCCTCGTCCGCAACTGCTGCTGCTGCTACTACTGAATTCACAGTTGGGGACAACGAGGATGAGGACGGGATGAAGCACCTGCAGCAGGTGAGCGGGGGCTGCAGGGCCAAGGGAATCTGTGTTAGGGAATTGCTGTGTTACTTTTATTGTTGTTAGCTACCCTGAGCCCGGCTTCAGCTGGGGAGGGCGGGATATTATTATTATTATTACTATTATTATTGAGAGCCAGTGTGGTGTAGTGGTTAAGAGCGGTAGTCTCGTAATCTGGGGAACCGGGTTCGCATCTCCACTCCTCCACCTGCAGCTGCTGGGTGACCTAGGGCCAGTCACACTTCTCTGAAGTCTCTCAGCCCCACTCACCTCACAGAGTGTTTGTTGTGGGGGAGGAAGGGAAAGGAGAATGTTAGCCGCTTTGAGATTCCTTAAAGGGAGTGAAAGGCGGGATATCAAATCCAAGCTCCTTCTTCTCTTTCTTCTTCTTTCTTCTTCTTATTATTGAGAATCACTCTGCATGGGATCGCTCCTGGACTCTGGCTTGTGTGGGTTGGTTGGCTGGTTGGTTGCAGTAAACGTGTTTTCGTGGCTGGCTCCCACATTCACTGCAGAAGCTCTGAATCTTCTTGCTGAGGCGGGGCTGCCCCCAAATTACTAGGTCAAGATCCCAGCCTTTTGGGCTTTGGTTTGATTCATAACAGACTTTTACGAGACATCTGAAGGCAGCCCTGTGTAGAAAAGCTTTTAATGTTTGACGGACTATTGTAGTTTAATATTTTGTTCAAAGCTGCCCTTAGTGGCTGGGAAAACCCAGCCAGATGGACGGGGAATTAATAATAATAATAATAATAATAATAATAATAATTTAACACTTTTAGCTGCCCCCAGGTGTAGCTGTGGGTTAAACCACAGAGCCTAGGACTTGCCGATCAGAAGGTTGGCGGTTCGAATTCCCGCGACGGGGTGAGCTCCCGTTGCTCGGTCCCTGCTGCTGCCCACCTAGCAGTTCAAAAGCACGTCAAAGTGCAAGTAGATAAATAGGTACTGCTCCGGCGGGAAGGTAAATGGTGTTTCCGTGCGCTGCTCTGGTTTGCCAGAAGCGGCTTAGTCATGCTGGCCACATGACCCGGAAGCTGTACGCCAGCTCCCTCGGCCAATAAAGCGAGATGAGCACCGCAACCCCAGAGTCGGCCACGACTGGACCTAATGGTCAGGGGTTCCTTTACCTTTACCTTTATCTCAACCAGGTAAGTGGCTCACAGCAATGACCATGGAAAAGCAGTCGGATTAACACAGGCTTCCTCAACCTCGTCCCTCCAGATGTTTTTGGCCTACAACTCCCATGCTCCCTAGCTAGCAGGCCCAGTGGTCAGGGATGCTGGGAAGTGTAGTCTCAAAAAACATCTGGAGGGCCAAGTTTGAGGAAGCCTGGATTAATGCATACCAGGTTTGTAAAGAAGCGAAAATATTTCAGTGACGGTGGGATAGCTAGGAGCCGGTGTTGCAGGTGTCCGACTCTTAAGGGTCATCCAGCCCAACCCGCCGCAGTGCAAAATATTTCGAAGTAGTGTGTGTGTGGGGGTGTCGTGTGCGTTTCTCGGTGTGCGTTTTCGCAAGCTTGCGACAGACGCGCATCATCTCCCTGCGCATTTCTCCCCCAACCCTCTCTGCCCCCTTTTCCCTGCCTGCCCCCAGGAAGCAGAGAAGATGGTGGCTTCCTTGCAGGACAGCTCTCTGGAGGAGGAGCACTTCACCCAGACCATCGTGGACCACCGCAACACGGCCGCCGCCTTGCCGCTCTCCCACGAGGCAGCCATGAAGTGGTTCTACAAGGATCCCCAGGGGGAGATCCAAGGTGAGCTGTGCAATAGGATTGAAATTGCCAAAAAAAGATGTTAGATTGTTTTTGTATGCCACTACAGCGGCAAGGCGTGGGACGCGGGTGGCGCTGTGGGTTAAACCACAGAGCCTAGGGCTTGCCAATCAGAAGGTCGGCGGTTCAAATCCCCACGACGGGGTGAGCTCCCGTGGCTCCTGCCAACCTAGCAGTTCGAAAGCACGTCAAAGTGCAAGTAGATCTATAGGTACCACTCCGACGGGAAGGTAAGCGGCGTTTCCGTGCGCTGCTTTGGTTCGCTGTGCGCCGTCTCCCTTGGCCAGTAAAGCAAGATGAGCGCCGCAACCCCAGAGTCGGTCACGACTGGACCTAATGGTCAGGGGTCCCTTTACCTTTTTACAGCAGCAAGGTGGTGATGTAGTGATGTATGGAAGTGAGAGCTGGACCATAAAGAAGGCTGATGGCTGAAGAATTGATGCTTTTGAATTCTGGTGCTGGAGGAGACTCTTGAGAGTCCCATGGACTGCAAGAAGATCCAACCTCTCCATTCTGAAGGAAATCAGCCCTGAGTGCTCACTGGAAGGACAGATCCTGAAGCTGAGGCTCCAAGACCTTGGCCACCTCATGAGAAGAGAAGACTCCCTGGAAAAGACCCTGATGTTGGGAAAGATGGAGGGCACAAGGAGAAGGGGACAACAGAGGACGAGATGATGGGACGGTGTTCTCGAAGCTACCAGCATGAGTTTGACCAAACTGCGGGAGGCAGTGGAAGACAGGAGGGCCTGGCGTGCTCTGGTCCATGGGGTCACGAAGAGGCGGACACGACTAAATGACTAAACAACAACAGCAACAAGACTGCTTTTAGCTAAAAATTGGAAATCTCAAGAAATACAAACAACAGAAAGATGGCAGATGAAGATTGTGGACTTTTTGGAACTGGCCGACCTGACTGGAAGAATCCGCGACCAGAAAGAAGAGGGGCATCAAGAAGATTGGAAGAACTTCAAAGAATACTTAGCCAAATATTGTAACATAAGATAATTAGAAGATACTTGGAAGTATCAAATAGGCTTAGGATTAGAACAAGAATTAACTGTAAAGCATTAAGGATTAGAAGACCAATAAAAGAGAAGTGGATAGTAAATTGAAGGAGATAATTTTTATTAGAAATATGATTTTGGAGAACTGTTACAAGGTGATACAATGAAATTCCGTTAGGGGGGATTTGAGGAAGCCATTTAACAATGTAAGTTAAATTAGGTCTTAAAAGTGTCGTCCCCCCTTCTTTAGTATTGTAATGTGTTTTCGTTTGCGTGTTTTGTATGTTATTTCTGTTATAAATGTGAAAATTAATTAAAAAAAATTGGGGGGGGGAAAGGTGAGCTTTGCAGCCAGGAAGGGTGTGTGTGTGTGTGTGTGTGTGTGTGTGTGGAGCACAGCGGCTGCTCTGCATCCGCAGCCCCGATTCTCCCCCCTCGGATCACTGACCTGCCCCTTCCTGTCTCTCCAGGCCCCTTCACGACTCAAGAGATGGCTGAGTGGTTCCAGGCCGGCTACTTCACCATGTCCCTGCTGGTGAAGCGAGGCTGCGACGAGGGCTTCCAACCACTGGGTGAAGTCATTAAGATGTGGGGAAGAGTGCCTTTCGCTCCGGGTCCATCGCCACCCCCCTTGCTGGTGAGAGGACCAGGGAGGGGATGGTGGGGTGGGGGAGAAGGCGAGGTTTTTGTGTTTTTAACCGAGATCGATGGATGGAGGGCAGTACAGCGGTACCTTGGTTCTCAAACTTACTCCTTTCTGGAAGTCCGTTCCAGAACCAAAGCGTTCCAAAACCAAGGCACGCTTTCCCATAGAAAGTAATGCAAAACGGATTAATCCGTTCCAGACTTTTAAAAACAACCCCTAAGACAGCAGTTTAACATGAATTTTGCAATCTAACGAGACCATGGATCCATAAAATTCATGGCCTAGGACCCTCGTACTTAGGGGACCGCCTCTCCCAATATGCCCCGCGGAGGACCTTAAGGTCCACAAATAGCAACACCCTGGAGGTCCCGGGCCCTAAGGAAGTCAGATCAGCCTCAACGAGAGCCAGGGCCTTTTCAGCACTGGCCCCGGCCTGGTGGAACGCTCTGTCTCATGAGACCAGGGCCCTGCGGGATCTGATTTCTTTCTGTAAGACAGAGTTCCGCCTGGACTTTGGCTGGAATCAACTTGATCCCCTTCCCCTCTTTTCTTTTTCCTTTCTCATTCTGTGAAGGAACTCCTATCTGGGGACTTCCCTGGCTTTTTTCTGGCCCACGTAGGACCAGTCTGGATAGTTGGCCTTGGTGAAGATTTGACGTTTTCATCCCCCAGAAGTTTTTGATTAGAGTTTCTACTGAAATGAGGCTGCATTTTAATGTTGTACTTAATCTTGTTTTTAAGTTGTGTTTCAATCAATTGTTTTTATACCTGGTGTTAGCTGCCCTGAGCCTGGTTTTGGCTGGGGAGGGCGGGGTACAAATAAAATTGATTATTTTTTGTTATTATTATAAAATGAAAGCAATCAACAACTTACTGCAGTCACACAATCAATCAGTAGCTGAACTGGGTTCCACACAGTCACAAAAACAGAAGAAAGAGCCACAAAAACACAAAATAAATAGCCCAAACAGACAGACCTCAGCACAACACTCAAAACGGAAGTGTGGCACTTAAATCGGAAGCGTAACGCTGAAAACGGAGTAAGTTCGGCTTCCGGAAAAAGTTCACAAACCGGAACGCTTCCTTCCGGGTTTGCAGTGTTTGGCTTCCAAGTTGTTTGAGTACCAAGGCGTTTGAGAACCAAGGCACCACTGTATACACATTTAAATGGTGATGGATTGTGACGCCCATCGCCTGTTGAGCCACGCTCCCTCCCTCAACTCCCTCGGCCGCTTCCCTGCTTGTGACCTGGGCTGGTTTTGTGTCTTCTCCTGTCTGCCCAGGGAAACATGGACCAGGAGCGCCTGAAGAAGCAGCAGGAGCTGGCCACCGCTGCCCTCTACCAGCAGCTCCAGCACCAACAGCTGCTTCAGCTCGTCAACAGGTAGCCTACCTCGCAGGGCGCTCGCCGTGGTTCCCTTGAAGATTGATTGCGTTGCACAAGAGGGGGAGGTGATGGGGGGTGCAGGCCGATCTCAGGAGGTCAGAGCTGCTACTTCGCAAGCAGCAGATGGGTTCCTGACACCCCTTCTCCCCCTTTCCTTTCCCCCCACAGCAGGCAGTATGCCCAGTGCTCCCTCCAGCAGAAGGTGGCGGCGGGGGACCTGACGCAGCAACAGCTCACCACCTTCCTGCAGCAGCTGCAAGCTCTCAAGCCAAGGTGAGGCCTGTGGCCCCGGAGTCCCAGGGAAGGAGGCTTCCCAGCAGCCCTTCTCCCAAGCTCCTCACTGTCAGCCCAGTAATAATAATAATAATAATAAGGTAAAGGGACCCCTGACCGCTAGCTCCAGTTGTGACCGAGTCTGGGGTTGCGGCGCTCATCTCGCTTTATTGGCCGAGGGAGCCGGCGTACAGCTTCTGGGTCATGTGGCCAGCATGACTAAGCCGCTTCTGGCGAACCAGAGCAGCGCACGGAAACGCCGTTTACCTTCCCGCCAGAGCGGTACCTATTTATCTACTTGCACTTTGACGTGCTTTCGAACTGCTAGGTTGGCAGGAGCAGGGACCGAGCAACGGGAGCTCACCCCGTCGTGGGGATTCAAACCGCTGGCCTTCTGATCGGCAAGTCCTCGGCTCTGTGGTTTAACCCACAGCGCCACCCGCGTCCCAATAATAATAATAATACTAATTTATTATTTATACCCCGCCCCTCTGGCTGGGTTTCCCCAGCCACTCTGGGCGGCCTCCAACAAAGCACTAAAATACAATAACCTATTAAACATTAAAAGCTTCCCTAAACAGGGCTGCCTTTAGATGTCTTCTAAAAGTCTGGTAGTCGTTGTTCCCTTTGACATCTGGTGGGAGGGCGTTCTGCAGGGCGGGTGCCACCACTGAGAAGGCCCTCTGCCCGGTTCCCTGTAACTTGGCTTCTCGCAGGGAGGGAACTGCCAGAAGGCCCTCGGAGCTGGACCTCAGTGTCCGGGCTGAACGATGGGGGTGGTGATGCTCCTTCAGGTATACAGTCTTCTCTCGCTGCACCCAGGGGTGTTTATGATCGTTCATTCCATCTGCTAGTCGCTTTGTTTTGCCCAAGGCAGCCAGAAGTGACTCACAACCACTCAATAATAATAATAATAATTTATTACTTATACCCCAGGGACTCAGGTGGCGCTGTGGTGTAAACCACCGAGCCTCTTGGGCTTGCCAATTGGAAGGTCGGTGGTTCAACTCCCCGCAACAGGGTGAGCTCCCGTTGCTCAGTCCCTGCTCCTGCCAGCCTAGCAGTTCGAAAGCACGTCAAAGTGCAAGTAGATAAAATAAAATTAAAAAATTCCTTCCAGTAGCACCTTAGAGACCAACTAAGTTAGTTATTGGTATGAGCTTTCGTGTGCATGAACACTTCTTCAGATACACTGATAGCTTTATCATGTATAATGAGATAAGAATCCAATTCTTATCTCATTATACATGATAAAGCTATTTTTAGCCATCTCACCCTTTGCTTTTTCCTGTAAGACCAATTGCAGTCGTTAACAGTCATCAACAGGTTTACCTCACCTGTCAGCCAATCGCCCATTCCTACCACCCTTCTGAGTAATACCCCTCCCCACCCTCTCACTATATATAAGGGTCTGGTGACTTCTATTTCAGTGTATCTGAAGAAGTGTGCATGCACACGAAAACTCATACCAATAACTAACTTAGTTGGTCTCTAAGGTGCTACTGGAAGGAATTATTTTATTTTATTTTGTTTTGACTACGGCAGACCAACACGGCTACCTGTCTGTAACTGCAAGTAGATAAATAGGTACCACTCAGGCGGGAAGGTAAACGGCGTTTCTGCGCGCTGCTCTGGTTTCGCCAGAAGCGGCTTAGTCCTGCTGGCCACATGGCTCCCTCGGCCAATAAAGTGAGATGAGTGCTGCAACCCCAGAGTCGTCCGTGACTGGACTTAACTGTCAGGGGTCCTTTGCCTTTTTTTACTTATACCCTGCCCATCTGGTTGGGTTTCAAAAGACTCCACGTAGCTACATTAAAACCAAAACAGGTGGAGGAGAAGGAGTAATGCACTGAAAACATCCCCCCTGCTCTTTACTGATTATAATTTTCGATGCTTTTAGCTGTTATTATTTTTATCTGTGCAGGTGAAACTCAAAAATTTAGAATATCGTGGAAAAGTTCATTTATTTCAGTAATTCAACTTAAAAGGTGAAACTAATATATGAGATAGACTCATGACATGCAGAGCGAGATACGTCAAGCCTTTATTTGTTATAATTGCGATGATCATGGCGTACTGCTGATGAAAACCCCAAATTAACAATCTCAGAACATTAGAATATTGTGAAAAGGTGCAGTAGCTATTCAATCCATAGCACCTGCAATGGGTTCCTGAGCCTTTAAATGGTCTCTCAGTCTGGTTCAGTAGGAAGCACAATCACGGGAAGGCTGCTGACCTGACAGTTGTGCACAAAGCCATCCTTGAGACCCTCCATAAGGAGGGGAAGCCTCAAAAGGTAATTGCAGAAGAAGTTGGATGTTCCCAATGATTTCATTTAATATTCTGATTTTCCGAGACTGTTAAGTTGGGGTTTTCACCAGCTGTACGCCATGATCACCACAATTATAACAAATAAAGGCTTGACATACCTGGCTTTGCATGTCTTGTGTCTATCTCATATACAGTGGTACCTCAGGCTAAGTACTTAATTCATTCCGGAGGTCCGTTCTTAACCTGAAACTGTTCTTAACCTGAAGCACCACTTTAGCTAATGGGGCCTCCTGCTGCCGCCGCGCCGTCGGAGCCCGATTTCTGTTCTCATCCTGAAGCAAAGTTCTTAACCTGAAGCACTATTTCTGGGTTAGCGGAGTCTGTAACCTGAAGCGTATGTAACCTGAAGTGTATGTAACCCGAGGTACCACTGTATTAGTTTCACCTTTTAAGTTGAATTACTGAAATAAATGAACTTTTCCACAATATTCTAATTTTTCAAGTTTCACCTGTATGCTTTTAGCTGTTACTATTTTTATCCGTAAGCTGCCTTGAGTCCCTGTTAGGGAAAAAGGTGTTGTATGAGAAAATCTATGTGATGGTGATGATAATTATAACCAGATGTCTCAGCGGGAAACACACAAGCGGCCCCTGAACATTATCTCTTGTGGTTTCCAGCAACTGGGATTTGTTCAAAAGCATTGCTGTCTCCCAGCCGCGGAGGCGCAGCATAGCCAACCATGGTTTAGCAGCCGTGGCTGGTCTTCCCAGCTTCCACGGGTTTGTCCGATCCTCCTTTGAAGCCCTGAGACGGTTGAGTTTCTCCCCTGCCCCCTAACTTTGCCACTTTGCTTGTTTCCAGAGCCGGGGAGCAGGGAATGATTCCTTCTATGAACCGATCAATATCTGTGCCAGATACCGGGTCCCTGTGGGACACACATACCTCAGCCTCACCGCAAGCAGGTGACAACTCGGGCCTCTGTGCATAAAAAGAGTGAAAGAGAAGGAGGAGGTGGTTTGGCGCAGTTCCAAGAGCAGGGCCTTGGCGTTCAGCCAGTCACAGTTCTTGGAATGCAGTTTAGTACTCGTGGGCTGGGTTCAAATCCTTACTCACCCCTAACCCCCCGAATGGGATTGTTCCTCAGCTGGCTTGCAAGGTGATTGTATGACCTAAGAATTGCCTGACCCCGCAAGCGCCCGCTCAGCCACTTGGGTCAGTGGAATTGGCACTGCTTCAGATGTTTAGAAAATGGGTAATGGTTTTAATCTGTCGTTGCTTTAATTTTTTTAAAAAATTTTTTGTTAGAGCGTTTATTAATTTTCCAATAAAAGACATCCAATTAACATATCAAATCATAATCCAATAAAAAAAACAAAAAAATCCAATTGTCTTCCGAATTTACCGTATTTTTCGCTCTATAAGACGCACCAGACCACAAGACACACCTAGTTTTCGGAGGAGGAAAACAAGAAAAAAAATATTCTGAATCTCAGAAGCCAGAACAGCAAGAGGGATCGCTGCACAGTGAAAGCAGCAATCCCTCTTGCTGTTCTGGCTTCTGTGATAGCTGCGCAGCCTGCATTCGCTCCATAAGACGCACACACATTTCCCCTTACTTTTTAGGAGGGAAAAAGTGAGTCTTGTAGAGCAAAAAATACGGTAATTCTAATTTTACGACTTGCCACAATCTGAATGTCAAAGCAACTCCAAATTTCAGTCCTGCCTCTCACGATAGTTCCATATTTCCATATCCGATTTTATCTCTTCAAGCTTCTTGTTGCTTTAAATTTTTAAAAGTCCCAGATTGCTATTATTTTTTCTTCCCCTTTGTTTTATTGGAAACCTCTCCGGAGTTTTTCCCCCCTCCTTAAAAAAAGAAAGAAAGCAGTGTATAAATTTTGTGAAAGTAAAAAAAGAGAATAAAACAGGATAACTTCCTTATCTTCCAAGCCGGCTCGCCGCTAGCATTCGAAAACCGAGGCGCAGGCGTCTGGATCTCACAGGGCTCTTCCTTGGGAATTAAGGTTGGGGAGTTTTAATGTTGGTCTCTCGCACACAAGCAAAACAGCAGCTACACGTGCCTCAGTCAAGGGCGTGTGTGTGTGTGGTTTTGAGCAACATTCGTTCAATCATCACCTTTCTTTTCCCGTTCGTAGAACTAGAATCACCCTTGGCGTGGGTGGGTCTTCCATTTCCCCGTAGCTCACAGATTAAAGTTCAGCGGTTGCGAAACCTTTATCAAAATACATTCAAAGTCCACTGGGAGAAAAACGTGAGTGCAGGTAGAAGTGTAAGCAGAGCGGCAGGCCTAAGCTTGACTTTACACCCCTGGCTCCCCGAGTTGGCAGTGGGGTAACCTGGGATTGGGGTGTGTGTGCTAAGAGCCAGGTTGGGGGGGGGCCTGGAGGTTTAAATGACCACCAGACGCCAAAAAAGCTGGTATCAGGCTCGTCAAATAACAGACCAGAGGATTTCATTAAACGAAGCGGCTTCAATTGGATTTGAATAAAGGTGCAATTAATCGCCACTGTTTTGAGTTTTACCTTCCGGGGTCGGGCAAACCACTGTTCCGAACAATGCTTTTTATAGGGTTGGGGGGCACTGGACACGAGGGATCAAACTCGTGATTTTCATATGGCTAACGCCTCTTCTCTTCTCCCACCCACGGCCTCAAATTCCCTCTTTTCTCTTTCCAGGCGGTGAGGCCAGCTTATGGGATATTCCAATTAATTCTTCAACTCAGGGTCCAATCTTAGAACAACTTCAACTGCAACATAAAGTGAGTTGCGCGTTGCGTGGCAGGGCTGGGGTGTGCGTGTGTGGTTGAATTGGGGCCTACCTGCAACTTAGGCTCCGTGGCGGGGAATCTGCCTTGCCCTCGGAAGGTGCCCGGACTGATCCCCAATGGCATAATAATAATAATAATAATTATTATTATTATTATTATTTATACCCCGCCCTCCCCAGCCAAGGCTGGGCTCAGGGCAGCTAACAAGCAATAATAAAAACAAGTTGAATGAATACAACTTAAAAATAAGATTAAAATACAACATTAAAATGTTGAAACATTAAAATATTAAAATGCAGCCTCATCACAGGAGGAGAAAGGAAAAAGAAAAAAAGAAAGAGGGGGAGGGAATCAAATTGGCTCCAAGCCAAAGGCCAGGCGGAACAACTCTGTCTTCCAGGCCCTGCGGAAAGAAATCAGATCCTGCAGGGCCCTGGTCTCATGAGGCAGAGCGTTACACCAGGCCGGGGCCAGTGCTGAAAAGGCCCTGGCTCTGGTTGAGGCTAATCTGACTTCCTTAGGGCCCGGGACCACTAGGGTGTTGCTATTTATGGACCTTGAGGCTCTCCGTCAGGCATACTGGGAGAGGCAATCCCATAGGTACAAGGGTCCTAGGCCGTGAAGGGCTTTAAAGGTCAAAACCAGCACCTTGAACCTGACCCTGTACTCCACTGGGAGCCAGTGCGGCTGGAAAAGCACTGGGTGAATATGCTCCCATGGCAGAGACCCCGTGAGGAGCCTCGCTGCAGCATCCTGCACCCGCTGGAGTTTCTGGGTCAGCTTCAAGGCCAGCCCCGCGTAGAGCGAATTACAGTAGTCAAGCCTGGAGGTGGCCGTCGCATGGATCACTGGCCAGGTCACCTTCAGACAGACTTCCCCGCCTAAAACCCTGGGGCCACTCTGGGCAGGCGGTGCTGCGCTCGATGGGACCCCCGGCCGCCTGGTTCTGTTTAAGGCGGCCCCTCGCCCCCTAACCGGCTTGTCCAACCCCTTCCCACCCCACAGCTACAAGAGCGGAGAGGCGCCGAACTCAGGGCTAAGAGGGACGAGGACGAGCGGAAACGGCGCCAGGAGGAGCAGAAGCGCCGCGAGGAGGAGGAGGTGTTCCGGCGCAAGCAGGCAAGGGCAGCCAGCGCCAGCACGGCCTCCCATGCGCAGGTGGGGCCCCAGCCCGATAGCTCTCCTTCTTCCCCGGCCCAGGCAGCCCTCCCTCTTCCTCCAGCTCAGACCCCTTGCGAGCGTGTGGGCCCACGGGAACTCTTGTCCTGTGGGTGTTCAGCGGCTTCCTTCCTCTCCCCCCCCCCTTTCTGAAGGCTCTGGGACTTGACCTGGGTGGGGGTGCTGTTTGGAAGAAAGTGGGGGCCTTCTTTGGGTGGCTTTTGGGGAAAAATTCATTTTTTTTTTGGAATTTGCATTTTATGTGTTAACATTCTTATATTACATCGGTAAACGTTGTCATATTACATTACAGGACTTACTATAATTTCCAATACGTATACAAAAAAAAATTTATGGTAAACGTCACATTACAGGGCTTACTATAATATAATTTCCAACATGTATAGAAAAAAAAATTATGGGATGCGGGTGGCGCTGTGGGTTAAACCACAGAGCCTAGGGCTTGCCGATCAGAAGGTCAGCGATTCAAATCCCCGCAACGGGATGAGCTCCTGTTGCTCGGTCCCTGCTCCTGCTAACCTAGCAGTTCGAAAGCACGTCAAAGAGCAAGTAGATAAATAGGTACCGCTCCGGTGGAAAGGTAAACGGCGTTCCGTGCGCTGCTCTGGTTCGCCAGAAGCGGCTCAGTCCTGCTGGCCACATGACCCGGAAGCTGTACGCCGGCTCCCTCGGCCAATAAAGCGAGATGAGCGCCGCAACCCCAGAGTACGGCGGCTTCCTCGGCCGATAAAGCCTGACGTATTAGCGTTGGGCTATTGTGTCTACTATTTGGCCTTCATAGCATAGGCTGTCGACGGCGGTATATAGGCTGATATTTTGCTAGTTGGGGTTGGGTGGAACAGGGGGTATCGATTGTAGGACAGGCTCCTCTAGGTTGATATGGGACACCGTCAAGTCCTTTGAGTTTCAAGTTTTTCACTTGTAGTTCTCTGGCGGAAAGTACTGTATAGGTAACTATCAATGTTCAGGGCTTAGCATAGTAGGGTATCTAATCCTAGTTTGTTTCTAAGCTTTTGTGTGGAGTTAATTCCCTCTCTCCTCTGCCTCCAGCTACCCTCTTCCTCGTCGTGGGGCCAGCAGTCCGTGAACAGCTCTTCCTCCACCCAGAATAGCTTCAGCATCTCGGATATCCAGAAACTGGGGGACGTGCGGGCCTTGCGGGAAGAGGTGAGTCGTGCTCTGGTGCGGGTTTTTGGGTGGGGTGGCCCTCCTGGATTGCCGGGCGCCCGGCTCACTTCTCGCCCTCCCTTCTTGATGCCTCTCCCCCCAGTGCCGCCACCAGGAGCTCCTGAAGCTGATCCAGCAGCAGCAGAACTCTCACCCGCTGTGGACCAAGCAGAACGTCTCCATGAAAGCCCTTCTGGAATTGCAGCAAGAGACTGAGAGGCACATGCAGAAACAGCAGCAGAGGGCGCAGCAGAGAGCCGTGAGTCAGCCCCCCCCCGCTCCCCCCCGGGGGGCAGCTTGAGAGGACCCAGCCAGGCGAAGGAAAGAATAATAATAATAATTTATTCTTTGTACCCCGCCTATCTGGCTGGGTTTCCCCAGCCACTCTGGGGCGGCTTCCAACAATGATTAAAAACACATCAAAATGTCACACATCAAAAACTTCCCTGAACAGGGCTGCCAGTTTACCTGTGTAAAGGGCCTTCGATGACGACGTACTGAGTTTCCCCAGCCACTCTGGGCTGCTTCTAACAAAGTATAAAAACGCCGTAAGACATCCAGCATCAAAAGCTTCCCTAAACAGGGCTGCCTTCAGGTGTCTTCTAAAAGTCAGATAGTTGTTTATTTCCTTGACATCTGGTGGGAGGGCGTTCCACGGGGCGGGTGCCACCACCAAGAAGGCCCTCTGCCTGGTTCCCTGTAAGCTCGCTTCTCACAGTGAGGGAACCGCCAGAAGGCCCTCGGTGTTGGACCTCAGTGTCCAGGCAGAACAATGGAGGTGGAGACGCTCCTTCAGGTATACTGGGCCTTGAGGCCGTTTAGGGCTTTCAAGGTCAGCACCAACACTTTGAATTGTGCTCAGAAACGTACTGGGAGCCAATGTAGGTCTTTCAGGACCGGTGTTATATGGTCTCTCAGTCCCCAGTCTAGCTGCCACATTCTGGATTAGTTGCAGTTTCCGGGTCACCTTCAAAGTAGCCCCACGTAGAGCGCATTGCAGTAGTCCAAGCGGGAGATACCGTTTTTTCACTCTATAAGGTGCACCAGAGCATAAGACGCACCTAAGTTTTTGGAGGAGGAAAATAAGGGAAAAAGTATTCTGAATCCCAGAAGCCAGAGCAGCAAGAGTATAAATAATAAATTCTATTCTATTCTATAAGTAATTATTATTATTATTATTATTATTATTATTATTATTATTATTATTATTGGTGTTGGTGGCGTTGTTATTTCAGCAGCAGCTGTCTTGGGGTTGGGCTTCTGCAAGCAGGTTCCAGCTTCTCCCTTTCTCCCCGTAGCACGGCGGCCACAGTCTGACCAGCCTCCCGTCTCAGTGGGGGGCCGACTCGAGCCCGCTGTGGGGAGCCCATGAGAAGAACAGCTCCATCAGCCTCTGGGAGGAGAGCATGAAGAACGCCGGCCCGCTCGCCCGGAGCCTGGGCTTGAAGAACAGCCGCAGCAGCCCGTCCCTGGGGTGAGCAGCGGGGCGGGCGGGCGGTGGGGCTTGGCCAGGGGAGAGGGGCAGGATCCGACCTCTCACACACACGCACATCCTGGTCTCCTTCCCTTCCAGGGACACGTACACCGCCTCCTGTCGTCAGAGCCGGAAGAAGACGGACGAGGAGGAGAAGCTGCTGAAGCTGCTTCAGGGAATCCACAAGCCGCAGGACGGTTTCACGCAGTGGTGTGAGCAAATGCTCCATGCCCTCAATACCTCCAGCAACCTTGATGGTATGGGGGGAGGCGGGAGGGGGAGGGGGGAGAAGTGGAAGAGGAGGGACAGCAGGACAGGGGGACCCCCTCCCCCCCCAGGCTGCCCCGGGGTGGATCAGAAGGAGGGTAGCGCAGGCCCAGAGGCGGTCAGTCGAGAAAACCCCGGACCTCAGCGGGGGTTGGGATAGATGACCCCCCGGGGTCCCCTCCAGCTCCACGAAAAAGCTGTTTTTTGGTGCCAGATTTTAGCAGCGCGGGAGGGGGCGGTTTTAACGGCACCTGCGTGGATCCTTGCTTCGCGCATGGAAGAGGGTGTAGGCAGGTTGTGAATACGTGCACCCCCCCAAAAAAGATTTTAGCTGGAAATTTGGAGGGAGACCCCCGAGCAGCCTCAGCAAAGCCCTGTTACATCTCTGCCTCGTGAGGAGACCCTCCCTGGAGCCCAAAGGGGGCGTCCTCTTCAGGGTCCAGGGAAGGCCTCCTCGTGAGTTGGAAGCACTGTGAGGCGGGCTCCCCCCCCAACTTAACGCCCATTTTGCGTAAACGGGAAGTCATCTGTAATAAATGGGAACAAATAAAGCATGTTTTTAAAAGCAGTTGTCCCACAAAGACTGCATATATACAGTCCTCGGGTTACAGCCGCTTCAGGTTGCGGTTTTTTTGGGTTGTGGACCGCCGAAACCCGGAAGTACGGGTTACTTCCAGGTTTCGGCGGTCGTGCATGCGCAGAAGCGCTAAGTCGCACTTTGCACATGTGCAGAAGTGCCAAATCCAGTATAACTGAAGGAGTGTCTCCACCCCTCACTGTGAGAAGCAAAGCTACAGGGAACCAGGCAGAGGGCCTTCTTTGGTGGTGACGCCCGCCCTGTGGAACGCCCTCCCACCAGATGCCAAAGAGAACAATAACTACCAGACTTTTAGAAGACATCTGAAGGCAGCCCTGTTTAGGGAAGCTTTTAATGTATTACAATATTTTAATATTTTTTTGGAAGCCGCCCAGAGTGGCTGGGGAAGCCTAGCCAGGTGGGCGGGGTATAAATAATAAATTATTACTATCATTATTCTAAATCACAACCCGGTGTGCGCAGACGCGGGTTGCGAACGTGCATCCCACACGGATCACGTTTGCAACCCGAGCGTCCACTGTACATAGAAAAACGCAAAGAAATAAAAGCCAAGACTCTTCCCCTTGTTCCGCCCATCCCAACCCAGACAGAGGCCTTGCTGTGTTCTATTGGTTATCATTTGCAGCCGGGAGGGAGGGTTGATGTTTTCTCCCCCTCTTTCCACGCATCCATGTAGGGAAGGATGGGAATCCCCCCCCCTTTCCCCTGCGATAGGATGTGGCAATATCCTGTTTCTCCTCTTCTCTCTTCCGCCATCCTCTCCCCCACCCCCCAAAACACCACCCCAACCCAGTCCCCACTGCGGTGGCCTTCCTGAAGGAGGTGGAGTCTCCCTACGACGTCCACGACTGCATCCGCTCCTACCTGGGAGACACGGTGGAAGCCAAAGAGTTCGCGAAGCAGTTCCTGGAGCGCCGTGCCAAGCAGAGAGCCAGCCAGCAGCGCCAGCAGCAGCAGGTGAGCGGCGCTCGGTTGCGGGAACCGGCCATCGATCTCCCACCCCCAGGTGTCAACATATGCAGAAGAGGGCAAGGGTCACGTTTGACTTGAGAACAGGCAGCTTCCCAAAAAACAGCAAGGTTTGGTAGGGTGGCCGTATTTTGAAGAGCAAAAAACTGGACGCATTTGCCGACTTCTGCTTACCTACAGATCACTGACGACACTCGTTTTAAATACCGTATTTTTCGCTCCATAAGGCGCACTTCTTTTTTCTTCCTAAAAAGCAAGGGGAAATGTCTGTGCGTCTTACGGAGCGGATGCATGGTCCCTGGAGCCGAATTGCCCAGGGGCAAAAAGCAGATCATGCTTCTTTTTTTGAAAGAGGGAAGGGGGTGTTGAAATAAAGTCGCTGATTGTTTGCCAATTGGGGAGAAAGATAAGGGACGCCAGAGATAAAGGAGGCTGCCTGGGAGGGGGGAGGTAAAGACAGCAAACTTGCAAAGGGGGGAAACAGGAAGACTAAAGCAATAAGGAGAGAAATGAGAAGAAAAGGAGGAGCAAAAAACTCTCCAGCAAAGGAAAATACACTAAGGGAAACAAGAGGGAAGGGAGTATTGAAAGGAAGGGATCGGAAGAGAGATAAGGGACGCTAGAGATAAAGGAGGCTGCCTGGGAGGGGGAGGTAAAAGCCCATGGATCCTCAGGATTTTTACATTGGGTCACCCCAAATTCACCATCAGATCACATAGCATGTCCATGGCTACAGCCTGCACCAAAAAAATCACGCATCCACTGTTTCCTGGGGCCGCAAGTGGCGCAAAACCGTGGTTACAAAGCACGGATCCACATGGATCCTCAGGATTTTTGCAGTGAGTCACCCCAAATTCATCATCAGATCACATGTCTGTGGCCACAGCATGAAGCACAAAAATCATACATCTACCGTTTTGTTCAGAATATTTTTTTTCTTGTTTTCCTCCTCTAAAAACTAGGTGCGTCTTATGGAGTGAAAAATACGGTATATAGGATATAGAATCTCTGATACATTGCTAGTAGCAACGTTTGTACTGTCAAAAACATAATAATAATAATAATAATGAAACATATTGCTCCCTCACTTCCCACATGAAAGTATTTGGGCTCACGTCTTAGTGGACACCAGCGCGCACAGAACAATTTATTAAACTGGTTAACGTACGTCTGTGCTCTCCTTAAGGGCGGGGGCATGTTAACTCTTGCCCTCCCAGGCTCCTCCTCCTCCAAGATCTTGTAAGCTGAGCCAGAGTCCTTTTAGTTCAGCCGCAAGAAAAGGGATTTATACAGTAGGTAGGGAGTTTTAAGATGCTGCTTTGTTGTGATTCTCTGCTGCAGACTAGCTTAGCCGGGCGCCTTAAATCTGAGTCACTAGCAAAATTTTCTTGGGTTACTGGAGACAAAAAAACCAAGCAGAAAAACCCGGACATTTTGCCAAATTTGTAAAATCCGCCCGGACAGAAATTTTAATCCTGAAAAAGAGGTTGTGTCCAGTCGCCCTTGTGAGGAGCAAAAGGAAGTGAGCCTCATCAAGTACTCAATTTTATATAGTAAAGGTAAAGGGACCCCTGACCATTAGCTCCAGTCGTGGCCGACTCTGGGGTTGCGGTGCTCATCTTGCTTTACTGGCCAAGGGAGCCGGCATACAGCTTCCGGGTCATGTGGCCAGCAGGACTAAGCCGCTTCTGGCGAACCAGAGCAGCTCACAGAAACGCCGTTTACCTTCCCGCCGGAGCGGTACCTATTTATCTACTTGCACTTTGACGTGCTTTCGAACTGCTAGGTTAGCAGGAGCAGGGACTGAGCAACGGGAGCTCACCCTGTCATTGCAGGGATTCGAACTACCGACCTTCTGATCAGCAAGTCCTAGGCTCAGTGGTTTAACCCACAGCGCCACCCACGTCCTTCAATTTATTTATTTATATATATACACCGTATTTTTCGCTCTATAAGACGCACCAGACCACAAGACGCACCTAGTTTTTGGAGGAGGAAAACAAGAAAAGAAATATTCTGAATCTCAGAAGCCAGAATAGCAAGAGGGATTGCTGCGCAGTGAAAGCAGCGATCCTTCTTGCTGTTCTGGCTTCTGGGATAGCTGTGCAGCCTGCATTCGCTCCATAAGACGCACACACATTTCCCCTTACTTTTTAGGAGGGGAAAAATGAGTCTTATAGAGCAAAAAATACGGTGTATATATATATGTGTGTGTGTGTTTGTCTTTGGCTGCCAGCTCGGCTGATAGGGTGCCCCAGTGATCTGGCTCTCACCTGCCTGCACTGAAGGCTGTCAGTTACTCCTCACTCCTTCACCCGAAGATCGCCGGGTGGTTCACAACGTAAGAACACAAAATGCACAATAAAAACAAGCGAAAACAAAGGCCCCTCCTACAAACGCCGTTAAAAGGACATGGAGTGTTAAATCAGCTGAGCGCCTGGCTTTGCGCCCTGGGCGTTTTTGTCCGGTCTCCCTTCAAGCCATGCCCTTTTGTGTTCCTCGCAGGAAGCCTGGCTGTCCTCCAGCAGCCTGCAGTCCCTCTTCCAGTCCAACCACAGCCCCAAGGCCCCGTCCTTCGAGAACAGCCAAGCCGCCAAGATCAAGAGGCGCCCGATGATGCTTCATGCGGACCCCAGCATCCTGGGTGAGAGGCCTGGCGGGGGGCGAGCCCTGGGCCTCCGGGGGTGGAGGGATAGGGGGCTGGGACTGGGGCTCCTGTGGGGTACGGGAACGGGAGCCGGGTAGTGGGAACCATGGCTGTCAACTTTCAGATTTGAAAATAAGGGATCAGCAGCCTCACCTGTCCCGGGGACAGTCTATGGGATATCTAACAATCCGGGATAGCAGCGGGAAACGGCGCTGGAATAAGAGAATTTCCCGCAAAAAGAGGGAAGGTGGGAACCCCCTTCCCCCTCCAAACCCCCACCCCAAGGGAGGGTCCCTAAAACTCCCACCCCAGGGTCCTTAACCCATTTTTGTCTGGAGTCCCTTGCCTGCTCCAGTTCTGTTGCCTTAATTCCTGTAGGGCTGCAGTTTCCAGCATGGGGCAAACGCCCCATAGGGGGGCAATTTGATTTTTAAGGGGGGGCAATTTGGAAGCTTGTTTAGATTATGGTTACCAGATTTTTTTCAGTGAATCCGGGGACACTTTTTTTTTTTTAAGTTGAGTAGCAACAGGGAGTCAGTACAGTGGTACCTCGGGTTAAGTACTTAATTCGTTCCAGAGGTCCGTACTTAACCTGAAACTGTGAAGCACCACTAATGGGGCCTCCCGCTGCCGCTGCAGAATTTCTGTTCCTATCCTGAAGCAAAGTTCTTAACCCGAGGTACTATTTCTGGGTTAGCGGAGTCTGTAACCTGAAGCATCTGTAACCCGAGGTACCACTGTAGTGGGGGTGATGAGGCAAAAGACCCTTGGGCCAAGCACACATGCATATTGTATAAAGGCGCAATGCCCTTCTTTGACACCCTGTGAAACATAAATCTGCAGGTTTTTTTAAAAACCGGGCAATGGCACGCCGCACGCCCGTGACTCCCAAGCCTTCCCCGATCTCCTACCCCCTTTGTTTTGACAGATCAGGAAAGGCTCTGGAGTCACGGGCAGGCAGCCGTTGTCCAGGAGGGGCCAGCCTGGTAGCGCAGTTGGCTCTGGCTCGCTTCAGGAGCTGCTCGCTGCTGTGGCGCAGGAAAAATGGCGGGCGCCACGACAGCGAGCAGCTCCTGAAGCCAGCCAGAGCCAGCTCCGGGCTGCTGAGGCTGCCGCTGCCACGTTTCCCGGGGACAGATTTGCAAATCCGGGAACTGTCCCCGGGAACCGGGGATGTCTGGTAACCCTAGTTTAGACCAAGTTGATTGCCTTTTAGGCTTCCTCCACGTGAATAGGAGTTCACTTTCTGAATAACAAGAATCACTGTAATTTCCCATGCATAAGACTATATAGTCATACCTCAGGTTACAGCTGCTTCAGGTTGTGTTTTTTCAGTTTGCGGACTGCCGAAAACCAGAAGTACCGGAATGGGTTACTTCCGCGTTTCGGCAGTTGCGCATGCGCAGGAGTGCCAAATCGCAAACCGTGCATGCGTAGACGCAGGTTGCGAACATGCACCCTGCACAGATCACATTCGCAACATGAGCGTCCGCTGTATTTCCCCCCCCCCCCCAAAAATTTCTTAAGTTTAAAATTGGGGCTCGTCTTACACACGGAACGTTGCAATTATTTATTTCTTAATTCTGGGCTCAAAAAATAGGGGTCGTCTTACATATGGGGGCATCTTACACATGGAAAAATACGGTACAGTGGTACCTCGGGTTACATACGCTTCAGGTTACAGACTCTGCTAACCCAGAAATAGTGCTTCAGGTTAAGAACTTTGCTTCAGGATGAGAACAGAAATCATGCTCCAGCGGTGCGGCGGCAGCAGGAGGCCCCATTAGCTAAAGTGGTGCTTCAGGTTAAGAACACTTTCAGGTTAAGAACGGACCTCCGGAACGAATTAAGTACTTAACCCGAGGTACCACTGTATATGTCACAGGGGGCATCAGGATTTTTAGAGATGTTTCGGTGGGGCATGCCCCCAGAAAGGTGGGGAACCACTGCTATGGGCTTCCAGGATGGGAAGGAGAGGGAATGGTTGGGGGGCGGAAGGATGGGTCAGATAGATTTTTTGGGGGGGGTCGCTGTCCTCCTGCCTGACGGGCCGTGTCTTCCCCTTCCAGGTTACGCTCTTCACGGCTCCTCGAGCGAGCTGGAAACGGTGGAGGACTACTGACTCACAGCAATAGGAATATCTCTTCGTTTTCATCTCTCTGTGTCTATATCTCTTCTCTTCTCTCTCTCTCTCTCTCTATCTCTGCCGCTGCTGCCTTGATCTAACCAATTTCAGTCTCGGCTGAATGTGCACTGCAAGAGAGGCGGCCAGGTGCCCCCATCCCAATCATCACCCCCCCTTCCCCTCCTGGACCGGAGGGCGGAAGTCGTGGGGAGGGAGCGGTCAGTGGCGGCAACGGTCAGTTGGACACCGGCCAGGAGGAGGCTGTTAAGCACTTCTTTCCTTACGAGAAAAAAACAAAAAACAAAAATAAGCACCTTAACGAACAAAAAACTTTTTTTTTTAATGCCGATGCACTTTATCTAAGAAAAGAAAAAAGAACTTTTTTTTACAGCGACTTGTTAATAAGGAAAAAGGAAAAAAAAAAGAGGAAAAAAAAGAATTTTTTTTTTTTGCAATCGAATCGCAGATTTTTTTTTCTATATACATATATATAAAGAAAATCGTTAAAAAACCTACAAAAATTTTTATCTTTGAGAAGAAAACACTTATTTTTCACACGGGGATAAGTTTTCAGAAAACAAAAAAACGTGAATGGCAATTTCACAAAAGGCTTGATATAAAAAAGATTTATAAGACAAAAAAAAGAAAAACTTGAAGAAATGCACTTAGAAAAAAAAGGAACTGTGTTTTTTTTTTTTACCATTGTTTGGATAACTATATATATATATATATATAAATATATACATTTGTGTAAATACTGTTCAGACTTGCCCCGCACAGTATATATATTTTCTCTTACGAAGAGGCCATTTTTTATAAGACTTTTTTCTTCTGTTGTTGTTGTCGTCATTTTTTTTAAAAAAGAAAATTGCACAAATGCCTACCCTTCCCCCCCCCCCTCTGGACATTACAATTCTGTGTTTTTTTTGTGGATTGTTTTTTTTTATAATCAAAGGGAAAAAAGGAGGAGGGGGGAAAAAAAGAGAACTTTGCAAAAAGAGTAATTTTACACTAACGTCGAAGCGGGTTTGCTCGTACCAGAAGCTGCTTTTGCTCTGCAAACCCGGCCCCAAGAATTCCTGTCGGCTCCGGATGAAACCTTCTGGCTCCATCCAAGGAATCCCGCAAAGCGAAGAGCCTTCCTTTTTCTCAAAAGCCGCCTTTTTCGAAATCTCCCCACCTGCGAATTACCGTACAAACCTTTTCTTACCTGTGTGCTACAGAAGGCGACGTGTTTTTCCCCCCGGCGACTGTTTTGCATGTCTGCATGAGACGCACTTTTTTTTTTCCATTCTGAGATATAAGGAGAGGAAGGGAAAAACTCCGAAGGGAGAATGGGGAGTTGTGAGTCTTCTGGGGTTTTTGTGCGTTTGCGTGTTTTTGTTGTTTTTTTTAAACCTTCCCTACCCTCCTTTCCCACCCCAATTTCTTCCCTTTTTTTTTAAACGTGTACACAGTTGAGAATCAAATCGTTATTGAAAGTGTTGTCCCCCACCCCCCTTTCGTTGTTTTGAGGAGAAAAAGACCTGAGTTAATTTACCGACGTCAGGAACTATCTCCCTGGTGCACTCAGAGCAGAATTGAATGTACTGCATCCTCGGGCGACAATTTCGAAGCTGCAGAACCACGTTTATTTCCCCCCCCCCAAACCCCAAAAGCTGCCTGTTACAAAATGGTGTTTCAAGAGCAACAAAGAGCTGTTTGTAAAGGGGGGGGGGCGGATGTGCTTCCTTCTTAAAATCTCACTTTAAAACCAGGAAGCCACCGCCAATGTCTTACTCGCGGTCTCCCACTCTCGGGAGAAGCTGCGTTTTTAAGAGTAAACTCTTCCCCCCTTCCACACACAATTGCACCCCGATTTAGGGAGCTGACAGTTCGGGGTGTGCTTTTCCTGTGCATATGTAGCTGTGGTTGTGCTTGTGTGTGTGTATATATATATATATAGTATATTTACAGATGATAACCTTTTATATCTATATATATATATAATGCTTGAACAGAGATTTTCTTTTGCGTGCGCGTGAGCTCGCAAGGAACTTAATTTTTTGTTCTGTTTACAACCCTTCCCACGCGGGTGGGAGGTGTCGCTGGGTGCACACAAGGTACTACTTGGAAGTCAGAACCCCGAGAAGTGGCGGGGGGCCACCGGGGGTCATAGGAAACCAATTTCCTTCTCCCCCCCCCCTTCTTAAGCCCCCCACCCAACCTCTCTTTATAACCTCCCTCTCACGGAGACTCACAGGTTGAGGCTGCAGGGAGACCCTCATCGTCTTCCGCACCTCGCTGGTAAACGTGTGTGTCGTTGCAAAAGCCCACCTGCTCTTGTTATTTGGGGGGGGGGGCTTATTGTTGCGAACCCCCCTGGCCCACGGGTGCCTCTCGCTCGGTCGCGCCAAGGTCTCGGAGGAGCTCTTGCCTGGTCCCATTGGCTCCTCCTCTCTGTGGCATTGTGCGATTTTTTTAAGGCAGGGTGTGTGTGTAGAAAGGGGGGGGGAGAGAAATCCTTTAAACGAACGCAGCTTTCGAGCCGCGACGCAAGCGACAAAAAATACACCCCCCCTCGGGAAACAATCCCTCGCTCATGACCAAAATGCTGGAATGCCCATCGTCGTTTTTTTTGTTTTCAATCTTCTGATGTTCCGTATTTTATGTTTGCGCAAGACCACAAACTCGGAAGGATCGATTGTGTGTGTGTGTGTTGTTCTGATTAACCCCCCCCCACTTAAAATACTGTGATGTTTTTTAATGGTTCCTGTGTTATAAGGCAGGAGGACGAGGCGATGGCCTGGAGAGGTCCAGTCCTCCCTCTCCGCCTCTTTCTCTCAAAGTAGGATGGAAGAAGGCTGCTCATTTTTTCAGGATGGAGGGGGGATCGGACACCCCCCCGGGGTGTCTGCCCCACTCGCTTTTACCTTCTGGTCAGTATTCATCTGTGGAGGAGGGGAGACCCCACCCCAGGCACCCCGAATCGAGGGCCTCTTCCTTCTCCTCTTCCTCCTCTTCTGTGACTCCAAAAGCTGCTTCCCCCTTTGGCGGCAGTGGGGCGGGGGGGGGTCCCCATAGCGGGTCAGGCTTCCTCCTGAGTAGACGTCCTCTTTGGAGTGTTTGTGTGTGGGGGGGTGGGTTCCCAAGGTGGCCAACTTTGGCATTATTCCTCCACCTCTCCAACGAGAGTGGCACCCGTCCGTCTCTCCTGCCGAACGGGCGATGAGCTACGGAGACGGCATCTCTCGCGTCCGAAGACTTGGTACCAGTTCACCCTCTCCTCATTTTATTTTATTTTTGCCCTGGGGGGGGGGGGGAGAAGGATATCGCCTCAAGAATGTATTTTAGGGAAGCTGCTTCCTTTGCCAATCAAGGGCTGTTATCGTCGTCAGACCCTCGTATCAATCGCTCGCTTGCAAAACGGGGGGCTTTGTTGCGTGGGTGTTGGGGGGGGGTCTTTTCCCTTCCCGCACCGTCCTGCCATATAATTTTTTGTGTGTCCTGTTGGGATATTCCTCCCCCCCCCTTCTTTGTTCCTTTTGCACCGAAACCTCGGGACGGGGTTGCGAACTGAAATAATCCTAAGACTTCTCTGTTCCTTCGTGCATTTCTTTTTATCAAGGTACGGGCAAAGTTTACAAAAAAAAAAAGAGCTGGCTTTGTGGCAGCGGGAGACTCGCCAACCCTGACCTGTAATCCAGGGGAGTCCTTTGTTGTTGTTGGAGGGGGGGGTCTCAAGAGTAGAATGACAGAGACGCAGCCCCTTCCTCTCTTGACTGGAGGAAACGCCCGCCCAGCTCTTTAGAATAATATTATTATTTTCCCCCAGTCTGTGAGAAGAGTGCGAGGGACTGTGAGTGAAACGGGATGCGTTCCCCGTCCGCGAAAGCGATTGGCGGATTTGCCGCCCCCACCTCGCCCACCCACCTCTTAAGCATCTTCAATTGCATAAATGCTTGATTTTTCCTACATGTTTTGCGCACGCGCATTTGTGCGCAAACTTTTGCCTTATCAGTTTATAGGGGGGCGCACGCGAAAATGACCTTCAACCACCTATTGGTCTTGGGGTGTGTGTGTGTGTGTGTGTGTTTGTGTTTGTGTGTGTTGTTCTCCCAGTATTATCAATGGGTGTTTTTTCTTTAAAAAAAAATATTAAAAACCCCGAGCAATAAGGAGATTAAAAAAAAAGAATTGTAGCACATGAAGAAGCTGGGAAAAGGCTTTAATTCCAGCTGTTAATTGGGACGGTGGGGGGGGGGCTATTCGTGCTTAGGAGGGGGCCCCCAAACCCCTTCTTCCCCCCACCCCAAATTTACGTGGGGTTTTTGTTGCTGTGTTTTGAGAGGAAATCCACCAAATGTGAAGATGGTAGAAAGGGGTTGTGCGTTGGGGCCGGGAGGGGGGCGCAACCCCACAGCCGCCACTGCAGTGGGACTCCTCTTCCTCCGCCTTTGCCCCCCTCCCCGGAGGAAAGAGTCCGATTTCTGATGCCAGTTTCTCTCTACATAAGACAATGTTTTGGGGTTTTTTGCGTGTTTGTGAGACACAAGTACTTCCCTCCTTCCTTAGTCGTTGTAGCAGCAGCATCAATGCCTTTCTTTAACTGATATATATATATATTTGTGTGTATTTTGGTCTGGGGGGGGCAACCATTTGGAATGTGACTATGAATGTAAAAAGTGCTGGGTTCAAGCTCTCCTGGCTGCCAGTGTGGGAGGGTTACGTGTTGGGGTTTTTTTTCCTTTTATTGGTATGTGTGTTTGCTTTGGGGGAACTTGGTTTTAATTTTTTCCGCTTTACCGGGTGCCAGAAGGGACGGCAGAGTCCCGCGCGTTGGGGGAAAAAGGGAATGGATCGCTTTGCGACGGCCGCTGGGACGGGGGAGACAGAAAGAGACCGAGGGATGCTCTGCATCTCGGTTTGCCGATTTGGCCATTTTTGGGGAAGATCTCAGAAAAGGGCGTCTCTCCCCATTCCCTCTCCCGCGGCATCCCAAAATCCCGCCGTTTCCCAAAATTAGCGAAAAGCTTTGCGGGGTGGTTGTTTTCCGTTGTTGCGTTTTCCCCGATGCCTTAAATTGTACAAATTGACTTGCTTCTGGGGAGGGGCGAGATTTCTGGCGGCGACCTCTTTTTGTCCTGGTGGGTGGGTGTGCTTGGATCGGGGAGTGTGTGTGTGTGTGTGTATGTGTGCGGGCATTGTTAATTTTTGTCTCAAAGCCTCTTGAGCCAACCAAAGGGGTGTTAGAACTTGTGCCAGCTCTGAGCGGCGCGAGGGTTTGGGGAGGGGGTGCTGCGAAGCCGGAAAAGAGCCGTCGCCCGGACGCCTGGGTCCCCCGCACGCGGTTTCCGCTCGGCACAGGGGCCGGCGGGAGACGAGCGAGGGGCTCGCCTGCTTCTACGTTGGCAGAAGGCGGACGGTCGGGGTGGCAGTGGATCTGTGCAACCTTCCCACCCTCCTCTGGACTCTTGGGTGCGGATCCTGCTCGACTCCTTTTGTTTTTCATGCTTCTAGCCCTCATCAGCCAACGGTTGGCTAGAGGCCCATCTACCTCCCCCCTGCTGCTGCTGCTGCTGCTGCTGCTGCCGTCGGCGCGGAGAAGAGACCCCCCTTCTCCCCTCAAGTATTACACGAAACTGTGATGGGGCGTACTTGGCCTCCCAGCTCCTACTGAGAGTGGAAACATGTTTACAGAGCTTTTTTCCGATTTGTTTTGTTGTGTGTGTGCGTGTATTTCCCCCCCGCCTCCGGTGCGAAATCGGCACGGACTTAAACTCCGAGAGATGGGGGGGAACCCCCCGAACTTTGTGGTTCGCTGAATGTTAAGGGCGGTCGCCGCCCGAGGACTTAACTTCTTCACTGGAGGGGCAAGCTTCTCTCTCGGCCAGCTGCCCGCAGGACTCCTGGGTTCCTCTGCCGCCTCTGCAAAGAGAGCGTCGTCCCCCCCCCGTGGGGCGTCGGATGGAGCCACGGCAGCCGAGGAAGACGATTACTAAAGGAGTTAAAAGACTCTTCCCCCCCCCCCACAACAAAAACGGACTTCTTTTTGTAGCTTCTGACCCCCCAGGTGCAAAACGTGGCAGGGGGGTGAACGCTTCCACCCCTCTTGTTTCGGGTGGGGGGGGTGGAGGCAGGACTGTTAAGCTTCTATTCCTGCGCCTTAAGTTTGGGGGGTTCTCTTTGCTGTACATAATTGCCAGGCCCCCCCCCCCCAATTTTTGTTATGCTCCTCTCTCCTCTGGAAAAAGACGTAGGAACTGTCTGGCTTTTCAATTAGGGGTTATATGTATAAATATTCATGGGTGTTAAAAGATGCCAAATCCCCTTCGCCCCGCCCCTTTCTGTACAATATTCCCCCCCCCCAAAAAAATGCATCTTTTGTAAATAACAAAGTTTTTCTCTTTCACCCTGCAAAGTTTGCAAGGAAATAAAAGCTTAGATGGTTGTGGAACCGGCTGCTGACTTCCTAGATTCGGACGGCGCTCCTCTCAGGTTGGCCAAGTGATCCGAAGCCCTCGCCCCTTTCGTTTCGTCATTTTTACCCATCTCACACCGTTCGATTGTTAAAAAGCCTCGGGAGGTGTTTGCAAGAAACAAAACCGTCCCTGAAAAGATTACCAACCACGGTTCAAAACGTGCAATTCGTTGAAATGCTTAAAGCAGGTAAAAATCAACATCAGCCCTCCTGAGCAGGCTTCTCTAAATCTTTTGTGTTTTTAGCAGGCATCCAAAAAGCTTACAGCGAAGGCGCCTGCTTGATATCAAGAGGCAGGGAGTTCCAAAGTGCGCAGGCCACACAAAACCATAATGGAGTTTCTGTATATGTTGCCCCATCTCCCATCACCCCAGTGTCTTGTAAGCCAGGGCTGATGGGATTTGTAGTCCGAAGCACACCCTGAGGGCACCGGGCTGGCGAGGGCTTTTGGGCCCTGCAATGAGGCAGGATGAGGCGAGTGCTGAAGGGCAGGGCAGGTGGTGGGCAGCTTGTTAGGGGTAATAATAAGAATTATTATTATTTATACCCCGCCCATCTGGCTGGGTTTCCCCAGCCACTCTAGGCAGCTTCCAACAGAATATTAAAATACAATAATCTGTTAAACATTAAAAGCTTCCCTAAACAGGGCTGCCTTCAGATGTCTTCTAAAAGTCTGGTAGTTCTTGTTCTCTTTGACATCTGGTGGGAGGGTGTTCCACAGGGCGGGCGCCACCACCGAGAAGTCCCTGTGCCTGGTTCCCTGCAACCTCACTTCTCGCAGGGAGGGACCTGCCAGAAGGCCCTCGGATCTGGACCTCGGTGTCCGGGCTGAACGAGGGGGATGGAGATGCTCCTTCAGGGACCGAGGCCATTTAGGGCTTTCAAGATCAGCACCAACACTTTGAATTGTGCTCGGAAACTTACTGGGAGCCAACGTAGGTCTTTCAAGACCGGTGTTATGTGGTCTTGGCGGCCGCTCCCAGTCCCCAGTCTGGCTGCCGCATTCTGGATTAATTGCAGTTTCTGGGTCGCCTTCAAAGGTAGCCGCACATGGAGCGCATTGCAGTAGTCCAAGCGGGAGATAACTGGAGCATGCACCACTCTGGCCAGACAGTCTGCGGGCAGACGGTTAGGGAAGCATGTGGTACCCCACCAAGCAGACCCTTGGCCTCGGGCGCAGTGGAGCCCCTGCCCCATGGCAAAGAGCGAGCCAACTGCCAGCCTGGTTGCTTTGCACGTGAAATGGTGGAAGGCTCATAGAATTGCAGAGTTGGAAGTGACCTTGAGAGTCAATCTAGTCCAGCCCCAACTGTGCAGGAACCCTGCCCACAGCCCTGCCCCCTTCTGCTTAACAGCCAGATACACACAGTGTGTCTGTTGTGTTTTTTAAAGATAGTGCAAATTACCAGCTTTGGCAAGCGAACGTGAACTGGAAATGTGCTGCCAGTAATTTCACTCACAGGCCTTCTTATAAGGAAGAAACCTGTTTTATTTTGGGGTGAACATTAGGAACAAAACAAGGCTGTTCTTACTACGGTGCCCTTTATCAGCTCTGCTAAATCGGCTGCGCTGGAACTGGGAAATGCGTTGGCACTGGCAAACCTGGTGCTTTGGGGGTCTTCTCAGGCTAAGAATCTCATCTTTTCCTTTTCTTCAGGCAGCAAAATGTCTTGGGCTCGGCCCTTCTCTTTCCACCAAATGAACGTGAGGTGGGTGGACTCTAGTCACGCCGCACGTATACATTGCCAGAATTTGCTCATCACCCCTCCCCCTCTTAAATTTTCTATTTATTTTTACAAATTTTTGATATTCTGGTTCAAGGGAGTCCTGCGACCACATCCATTCCAAGTGCAATTGCAATAATAGATTTGCTCAAAAGTGTTGTAGCCTTCAAATTTTCCTTTCCCCTTTTCCTAACGATCCCTAACCTGGAATTTGCTGTTTGCACATTGTTGTCAGTCACTGCCAGCTGCGCATCTTCTCAAACAAAGCACATCACTTTATCCAACGGCTTCCTTGCTTTAATTCCCATCCATCTTTTTTGGGGGGGTGTTGAATGTTCCTAACCCATTTTATAATGTATATAAAACAGAACATCTGTAACAGATCAAAAGCAGCTGTTCTTGCTAATCGGTTGAGTATCCTTCCATCATTGGCCCGTCAAGATTTAAGTGGAGTTGGTAGACAAATATCACATCCATTTTGCAGGGGATTGGTGCTGAGGGTTAAAGCACAGAGCCTAGGACTTGCCGATCAGAAGGTCGGCGGTTCGAATCCCGCGACGGGGTGAGCTCCCGTTGCTCAGTCCCTGCTCCTGCCAACCTAGCAGTTCGAAAGCACGTCAAAGTGCAAGTAGATAAATAGGTACCACTCCGGCGGGAAGGTAAACGGCGTTTCCGTGTGCTGCTCTGGTTTGCCAGAAGCGGCTTCTTAGTCCTGCTGGCCACATGACCCGGAAGCTGTACGCCGGCTCCCTCAGCCAGTAAAGCGAGATGAGCGCCGCAACCCCAGAGTTGTCCACGACTGGACCTAACGGTCAGGGGTCTCTTTACTTAAATACTATACAGGATAGCTAGCAGCTTGGCAAACCTTTTAAATTAGATGTGTTGAAAGCTTTTGATACTCCAAACTGGTCTTTCTTTAAACTGTAGTACCAGAATGGTTTCTCTTTAGACGTAGGATGTTCTTAAAAACTATTTGCCAGCTGTATCGGGAAAGAAAAAGCCAGCATTGGACTAAAATGCCTTTGAAAACGGCACTCTTAAAATTACGTTGCAAGGCTGCCCTGTCATTGCTGCCTTTTGCTCTTGCGATGGAGGATTCAGACATTAAGGGTTATGATATTGCTGGTGCACAACATAAAATCGGTTTGCTTGCAGATGTTTGCTCCCTTGATTTCAGAACCAATTTCATCCGCTGCCGAGATGAAACATATAATAATAATTTATCATTTATACCCTGGTGTTTTATTAATTCAGACATCTATCGGGATTCTCAAATGACTACTCTAAACCCATTTATAAATTTAGCACCTAAAACCTGCTTGCAAAAACTCTGCTCTTCTTTTTCCACCTTTGAAAGAAAATTGAGAGGTGTCAGCAAACTTTGCCACCTCAATAATAATAATAATAATAATAATAATAATAATAATTTATTATTTGTACCCCGCCCATCTGGCTGGGTTTCCCCAGCCACTCTGGGTGGCTTCCACAGAAACAAAAAATACACTAAAATATCACACATTAAAAACTTCCCTGAACAGGGCTGCCTCCTGAATGTCAAGTAGTTGTTAATCGCTTTGGCCTCTGATGGGAGGGCGTTCCACAGGGCAGGCGCCACCACTAAGAAGGCCCTCTGCCTGGTTCCCTGTAGCTTTGCTTCTCACAATGAGGGAACCGCCAGAAGGCCCTCGGCGCTGGACCTCAGCGTCCGGGCAGAACAGTGGGGGTGGAAACGCTCCTTCAGGTATACTGGGCCGAGGCTGTTTGGGGCTTTAAAGGTCAACACCAACACTTTGAATTGTGCTCGGAAACATCATGGGAGCCAGTGTAGGTCTTTCAAGACCGGTGTTATGTGGTCTCGGCGGCCGCTCCCAGTCACTAGTCTAGCTGCCGCATTCTGGATTAGTTGTAGTTTCCGGGTCACCTTCAAAGATAGCCCCACATAGAGCGCATTGCAGTAGTCCAAGCAGGAGATAACCAGAGCATGCACCACTCTGGTGAGACAGTCCGCGGGCAGGTGGGGTCTCATCCTGTGCACCAGATGGAGTTGGTAGACAGCTGCCCTGGATACAGAATTGACCTGTGCCTCCATGGACAGCTGTGAATCCAAAATGACTCCCAGGCTGCGCACCTGGTCCTTCAGGGGTACAATTACCCCATTCAGGACCAGGGAGTCCACCACACCTGCCCACCCCGTCCCCCAAAACAGTACTTATGTCTTGTCAGGATTCAACCTCAATCCATCACCCGCCATCCATCCTCTAGATTATTAACTAGTCCCAAAAGCAACTCTTAGTCTGGTGGGGACGCACCCCCCCTTAATATCCCTCTGTTGTGAGATCTATCCATTTATTCCTCCTCTCTGTTCCTTAACCAGTTATTTAAGGGGCCCTCTCTTATCCGGGAGAGGTAGTGTGGTGCAGTGGTTGCTGTCAGGCTGAGACCAGGGAGAGTCGCTGTCTCCTCTTAGCCTAGCCCTCCTCTCAGGGCTGTTGTGTAGATTAAACGAGACCCCCCTGGAGGTCCTCTTATGGGACACAAGTACAATAAATAAATAACCTTACCCTGCGAGCCATTAATTTGCTCCAGAGTCTCTGGCCAGGAACATTTATCAAAAGCCTTTTTTGGGCCACTGTTCAGCAAGTCACTTACTTTTGAATAGAACTCTCTTTTAACAATTAATTGGACGTGGTTTGCACCTGCCATCAAAGTCATCTTCAGCAAGGCTTGCTCTGTATCCTTGAACGTTGTTTAATTTACCTAGAAGAGGCAAGCAGTCCAGCCTTGTAGTTCTCAACACTTATTTATTAAACACAAGCGTTAGCATTGGTAATTTCTCAGTCGTAGAGTCATGGTGCTAGATGGGACCCCCCCCCCAAAAAAAGGTCTAGTGCAACCACGTGCAATGCCAGAATCACACCCAAAGCACCTTTGACAGATGGCCATCCAATGTCTACTTAAAAGCCTCCAAAGAAGTAGAGTCCATCACCTCTTGATGTTTCCGAGCACAATTCAAAGTGTTGGTGCTGACCTTTAAAGTCCTAAACGGCCTCGGTCCTGTAGACCTGAAGGAGCGTCTCCACCCCCATCATTCTGCCCGGACACGGAGGTCCAGATCTGAGGGCCTTCTGGCGGTTCCCTCCCTGCGAGAAGTGAGGTTGCAGGGAACCAGGCAGAGGGCCTTCTTGGTGGTGGCGCCCGCCCTGTGGAACGCCCTCCCACCAGATGTCAAAGAGAAGAACAACCACCAGACTTTTAGAAGACATCTAAAGGCAGCCCTGTTTAGGGAAGCTTTCACTGTTTAATAGGTTATTGTATTTTAGTGTTCTGTTGGAAGCCGCCCAGAGTGGCTGGGGAGACCCAGCCAGATGGGTGGGGTATAAATAATAAATTATTATTATTGTTGTTGTTTATTATTATTATTATTATTATTATTATTATTATAACAGCGGTGCCTCTGGATGCGAATGGGATCCGTTCTGGAGCCCCGTTTGCCTCCTGAAGCGAACGCAACCGGCGTCTGCATGGGTCGCAGTTTGCCGCTTCTGCGCATGACGTCATTTTGAGTGTCTGCACATGCGGTGAAACCCAGAAGTAACGCATTCCGTTACTTCCGGGTCACAGCGGAGCGCAACCCGAAAATACTCAACCTGAAGCATATTTAACAAGAGGTATGACTGTATTGTGGGAGTCTCTTCCACTGTCAAATAGCTCTTACCGCCGAGAAGTTCTTCCTGTTCAATCGGAACCTCTTGTCACCGGAAGCCATGGGTTCGAGTCCTACCCTCCGGATCAGGAGAAAACAAGCTTGCTCCATCTTCCTTTTAGATAGTTGAAGGTGTCTCTCGTGTATCTCCTCTGCTCCGGGCTAAACACTCCCGTGATGGGCAGGCAGAGTCCAGGCAGAGTTTAAGAGCAGCAATCTCCCCTCCTGCAGTTTCCGGCAAGCAAAATTCAGAAGCATCGCTGCCTCCCCAGCTGCGGAAGCGGAGCTTAATCATCATGGCCAATAGCCATCGATAAGACAGATTTATGGAGGAAAGCCTCTCTTCAAGCCATTCAAGTGGGAGGGAGTTCCATGGCTTAAGCTGTGCAAAGGAATTTTTATTTGTCCTGAACCTCCCAACGTCCAGCTTCATTCCATGTCTGGTGCTATGAAGGGTGAAAACCTTTTCCTCTTATAGAATCTTACAAGTTGGGAGGACCCCATGGTTCATCTAGTCCAACCCCCCTTCAATGCAGGAATCTCAGCTAAAGCGTCCATGACTGATGGCCATCCAACCTCTGTTTAAAAACCTCCAAGGAAGGAGAGTCCACCACCTCTCGTGGGAGTCTGTTCCACTGCTGAACAGTTCTTACTGTCAGAAAGATTTTCTGAATGTTCAATCCAGGTATAGGCAAACAGCCCTCCAGATGTTTTGGGACTACAATTCCCATCATCCCTAGCTAGCAGGGCCAGTGGTCAGGGATGATGGGAGTTCTAGTCCCAAAACATCTGGAAGGCCGACTTTGCCTATGCCTGGTTTAGTTAGAATCTCCTTTCTTGCAACTGGAAGCCATGGGTTCGAGTCCTACCCTCCAGAGCAGGAGAAAACAAGCCAGCACCCTGTTCCATGTGGCAGCCCTTAAGATATCTGAATATGGCTTTTCATATCTCCTCTTTCCAGGCTAAACATCCCCAGTTCCCTCAACCGTTCCTCACAAGGCTTGGTTTTCAGACCCTTGGTTTCCAGATCTCTGCACACCTTCCAGCTTGTCAACATCCTTCTTAAACTGGGGTGCCCAGAACCGGACACAGGACTTCAAGTGACGCTCGAATAAGGCAAAATAGAATAGTACTACGACTTCCCTTGATCTGGACCCTAGACTTCTGTTGATGCAGCCTAGAATAGGTAAAGGGACCCCTGACCATTAGGTCCAGTCGTGGCCGACTCTGGGGTTGCAGCGCTCATCTCGCTTTACTGGCCGAGGGAGCTGGCGTCCAGCTTCCGGGTCATGTGGCCAGCAGGACTAAGCCGCTTCTGGCGAACCAGAGCAGCGCACGGAAACGCCGTTTACCTTCCCGCCAGAGCGGTACCTATTTATCTACTTGCACTTTGACGTGCTTTCAAACTGCTAGGTTGGCAGGAGCAGGGACCGAGCAACGGGACCTCACCCCGTCGCGGGGATTCAAACCGCCGACCTTCTGATCGGCAAGTCCTAGGCTCTGTGGTTTAACCCACAGCGCCACCCGCGTCCCGCAGCCTAGAATAGCATTAGCTTTTTTTGCTGCTGCATCACACTATTGACCTGCGTTAAGCTTCCAGTTTACTTAGACCCCTGGATCCTTTCCCCATTTACAGTTAGCAAGCCGAATGTCCCACATCTTATATTTGTGCAGCTGGCTATTCCTGCCAAAGTGCAGAACCTGACATTTCTCCCTATTGCAATTCATTTTGTTAGATTTGGCTCAGGTCTCCAATCTTGTTAAATTCATTGTGAATCCCAAATCTATCTTCAGTGGCATTGGCTACCCCTCCCCATTTATCGTCATCTGCAAATTTGATTAGCATCCCCTCAATTCCTTCATCCAAATCATTTATAAAGACGTTAAACGACAACATGCCCAGAACAGAACCCTACTTGCCACTTTTTTCCAGGATGTTGAGGAAACATTCATGAGTCTTCTTTGGGTTTGGTCAGTCAACCAGCTACAAACCCCCCTAACAGTTATCTCGTTGCAACCACATTTTACCAGCTTCCTCGCGAGGATATTATGGGGGACTTTGTCGAAAGCCTTACTGAAATCAAGATAAACTACCGTATTTTTCACTCCATAAGACACACCTGACCACAAGATGCACCCAGTTTTTAGAGGAGGAAAACAAGAAAAACCTATTGTGAATGAAACAGTAGGTGTAAGATTTTTGTGGCTCGTGCTGTGGCCACAGACATATGATCGGATGGTGAATTTGGGGTGACCCAATGCAAAAATCCTGAGGATCCATGGGCTTTTACCTCCCCTCTCCCAGGCAGCCTCCTTTATCTCTAGCGTCCCTTATCTCTCTTCCGATCCCACCGATCAGCTGCTTCCTTTCAACACTCCCCTCTTGTTTGCCTTAGTGTCTTTTCCTTTTTTGCTCCTCCTTTTCTTCTAATTTCTCTCCTCATTGCTTTGGTCTTCCTGTTTCCCCCCTTTGCAAGTTTGCTGTCTTTACCTCCCCCTCCCAGGCAGCCTCCTTTATCTCTAGCGTCCCTTATCTCTCTCCCCGATCGGCAAATGACCAGCGGCTTTATTTCAACACCTACTTCCCTCTTTCAAAAAAAGAAGCATGATCTGCTTTTTGCCCTTGGGCAATTTGGCTCCAGGGACCACGCATTCGCTCCATAAGACGCACCGACATTTCCCCTTACTTTTTAGGAAGAAAAAGGTGCATCTTATGGAGCGAAAAATACAGTACGTCCGCAGCATCCCCCTGATCCACCAAGCTTGTAATTCCAGCAAATTATTTCTCCTTGCCGTGCAGAATTCTGCAAGCGTCTTATCAGAGCGCCTCTTGTCGTTCCATCCCTTGACCTTTCCAGTTTCCCATCCCCAAAATCTCCAATATTACTTTTTACGGCCAGTCAACCAGTGCACTGTGCACAGTTACCCTATAGATGTGAGTTTCGCCCCTGCTAAAATTCCACAAAGGTCTTTTCTGTGGCATGCCTGCACAACCCGTCTTGGAAGAAAGGGCAAGTGTGAAATCAAAGCACCTCCCCTCCACCCCCCCCAAAAAAACCTTCCAAGCTGGCCGACTTGCTCAACTCCCCCCCCCCGCCCCGACTCCAAATACCACCCCCCCAAAAATTAATAAACAAATGACAAAACGCCAGACACGTCATGGTTGGTTTTCTGTTGTTTACAGGTTTACACACGGACCCCCCACCACCACGGCCGGGGCAGGGCGGGGGTCCCCCAGCGCCGCCACGCTCCTCTTTTTTGTTTTTTTACAAAAACCAGCCACGGATCGGGAGGAAACAAGGCCACGACTGCGGCTGCCACGAATTCCTCGAAAGCACCACCGGGAAGGAGGAGGTTGAAAGGCGGGGGGGTGGGGGGTGGAAGTGAGGGAAACAGAGGACACGAAAGGTTGCCACACTGCAGATTTGGGCCTGCCTCGGATCGGGGCCTCCCCTGCTTGCGAATAAAGGGGAGTAAGCATCTCTTGGGCATGAGAGAGAGAAAGAGGAAGAATTAGGAGTCTCTCTGCCTCCCTCCCCAAAAAAATTTCCTTCCCCTGCAAAAAAGGCAAGCTCAGCCCCTGGTCCCTGGATGAAGGATGCTGCTGCCATGTTTGGAAACCGTTATGGGATGGCCTTGGCTCTCTTTCTCCCTCCCCCCCCACAAATTTTGCTTCTTGAGAGGAGGAGGGAATGCCTGGACCGCTTCAACCCTAAGGATAAGCCCCCAACCCTTTCTTTAAACCGAACCGAAGTTCCCTATACTCTATAGGGGAGACAAACGCAGCCAAGACAGGGCCCCCCCCCCCCCAAAAAGTGTGTTACCGCTAGAGAAATCAGCCTCTTCCTCCTCCTCCGTGCCGGAAATCTGGCTCGGTCGGGACATGATTTTAAAAACGAGAGCAGGGAAAAATAAAAAGGACGACAAAAAGTTGGGGGGAGGGAAGTGTTTGTGGGGTTCAAGGCCACAGGGCCCCCTTCAAGGCGGCAGGAGAGGAGGGGGAAGAGGCTGGATTATTGGGGGGGGAAAGGGGGGACGTCAAGGGCTTTCCCTCCTGCTTTTCTCCCACCCCACACCGTACCCCCAAGCCAGAGCAAGGAGGCTCAGTTCCACACTTTCAAGAAGCTGTCCCACGAGCCGGTGGCGATGGCCATCCCGTCGTCCGTCACGCCCAGGCAGCTGACGCGGTTGTCGTGGCCGGCAAGGACCCCTGAGGAAGGAAAGGGAGGAAGGAGGAATTGGTCGGGGCACCCAAAGGTCATCCAGCCCAGCCCCCCTGCAGGAACCGGCAGCTGAAGAATCTGTGGTGAGGGGCCACCTATGTTTAAAAATGTTCCAATGGAGGAGAATGTCTGCACCGTGCAAGGGGGCGGAATAGCAGAGTTGGAAGGGACCTCGGAGGGTCATCTATCCCAACCCCCCGAGCAATGCAGGGTTCACGGCTGAAGCCTCAAGAGAAGAGGGAGGTGCGCACGCATGTTTCCTAGCATATGCACCTTCGGGTGAGAAACTCGCGGGAACAGCCATTACGGCTCAAATTCCACATGCGGGAAACTCTGAAAATATTTTTCGTTGGTGCTGTGATGGAAGGTTGCTTGGCAAAATAATAATAATAATAATTATTTATTATTTATACCCTGCCCATCTGGCAGGGCTTCCCCAGCCACTCTGGGCGGCTTCCAACAAAATATTATAATACAGTAATGCATCAAACATTAAAAGCTTTCCTAAACAGGGCTGCCTTCAGATGTCTTCCAAAAGTCTGGTAGTTGTTGTTCTCTTTGACATCTGGTGGGAGGGCGTTCCACAGGGAGGGCGCCACCACCGAGAAGGCCCTCTGCCTGGTTCCCTGTAACCTGGCTTCTTGCAGGGAGGGAACTGCCAGAAGGCCCTCGGAGCTGGATCTCAGTGTCTGGGCTAAATGATGGGGGTGGAGACGCTCCTTCAGGTCTACTGGGCATTTGAGGCCGTTTAGGGCTTTCAAGATCAGCACCAACACTTTTGAATTGTGCTCCGAAACGTCCTGGGAGCCAATGTAGGTCTCTCAGGACTGGTGTTATATGGTCTCCCAGTCCCCAGTCTAGCTCCCGCATTCTGGATTAGTTGCAGTTTCTGGGTCACCTTCAAAGGTAGCCCCACGTAGAGCACATTGCAGTAGTCCAAGCGGGAGATACCCAGAGCATGCACCACTCTGGCAAGTCAGTCCGCGGGCAGGGAGGGTCTCATCCTGCGTACCAGATGGAGCTGGTAAACAGCTGCCCTGGACACAGAACTGACCTGCGCCTCCATGGACAGCGGTGAGTCCAGAATGACTCCCAGGCTGCGCACCTGGTCCTTCGGGGGCACAGTTGCCCCATTCAGGACCAGGGAGTCCTCCACACCCGCCCGCCTCCTGTCCCTAAGAAACAGTACTTCTGTCTTGTCAGGATTCAACCTCAATCGCCTCCCCTGCTTTCCAGGGATGAAGAGTCGGGGTACAGCAGCCTCTGGCCATCTGCCCACCCCACATTTCAGTGGCTTGGACTACCACCAGCCCCTTCTGGACCTCCAAAAAGGTGGGCCAGTCTAAGTGAGGCTCACTGAGCCCAGAAAACCGCAAGCAGGATTCGAATGCAAGACCAGCATTCTCCCCTCTTGCCGTTTCCAGCAACTGTGGTCCAGAAACATCGCTGCCTCTGACCGTGGAGGCAGATCGCAGCTGTTCTGGCCAGTTACCCATCGATCGCTCTCGCTTCCTCCATGAATTTGCCCCGTCCTCTTTTAAAGCCATCCGATTTGGTGGCCATCGCTGTGGCAGGGAGTTCCACAGCTCAACTGCGCAACGCATGAAGAAGTCCCTTCCGTTGCACGTCCCGAATTTTTACAACGCAGGTACTTCAAAGCAGCCAGTAGGGGGCAGTAGTAAAAAGAATAAGAATGATTTTATTATTTATATCCTGCCCATCTAACTAGGTTGCCCCAGCCACTCTGGGTAAAGCTGGAACGAGACTCTCTTTAAAAACTGCCAGGATCAGGCCAGCGGCCCGCCTGGTCCCGCATCCTGTTCTCAGATGCCCGTTACGGGAAATCCGTGAGCAGAATCCGAGCGCAAGATCAGCTCTCCTCTCTTGTGGTTTCCAGAAACGGAGATTTGGGAGCGTTTACCAGCTCTGAACGTTCCAGCTTGTCGATATCCGTCTTAAATTGGGGTGCCCAGAACCGGACACAGTATTCCAGGCGTGGAAACTACTGTTGACTTGCCTAGAATAGCATGAGCCTTTTTTCCTGCTGCTGCATCACGCTTGCGACTTTGGGGGAGGGAAAGGAGTTTTCCCCACCAGCGATGGCAGCCAGCTTCTTCTCGAAAGGGACTTTGCGGCGCTACTCACCTGCCCGGTCGCCCTTCATGGAGTCCCAGATGTTGCAGTTGAAGTCGTCGTAGCCGGCCAGGAGGAGGCGCCCGCTCCGGGAAAAGGCCACGGAGGTGATGCCGCAGATGATGTTGTCGTGAGAGTACATCATGAGCTCCTGGTCGGCCCGCAGGTCAAAGAGGCGGCAGGTGGCGTCGTCCGAGCCGGTGGTGAAGGCGTTCCCGTTGGGGAAGAACTGCAAGGGGGGGAGAGAGAGAGGAAGGGGGCATCAGGAGGGGGGCAGGGATGGGAGAGGACCCCAGAGCCTCGCTTCCCGTGGCCCCCACTGCCCGCTTCCCATGGCCCCTATAGCTCGCCTCCCATGGCCCCCGGAGCCTCGCCTCCCATGGCCCCCATAGCCTGATTCCCATGGCCCCCATAGCTCGCTTCCCCTGGGACCCGGAGCCTCGCTTCCCATGGCCCCCAGAACCTCGCCTCCCATGGCCCCCAGAGCCCGCTTCCCGTGGCCCCCGCAGCCCCGCTTCCCATGGCCCCCATAGCTCGCTTTCCATGGCCCCTGGAGCCTCGCTTCCCATGGCCCCCATATCCCGCTTCCCATGGCCCCCATAGCCTGATTCCCATGGCCCCCATAGCTCGCTTCCCCTAGGACCCAGAGCCTCGCTTCCCATGGCCTCCATAGCTCGCTTCCCATGGCCCCCGGATCCTCGCTTCCCCTGGGACCCAGAGCCTCGCTTCCCATGGCCTCCATAGCTCGCTTCCCATGGCCCCCGGATCCTCGCTTCCCCTGGGACCCAGAGCCTCGCTTCCCACGGCCCCCAGAGCCCCACTTCCCACGGCCCCCATAGCCTGATTCCCATGGCCCCCATAGCTCGCTTCCCCTGGGACCCAGAGCCTCGCTTCCCATGGCCCCCGGATCCTCGCTTCCCCTGGGACCCAGAGCCTCGCTTCCCATGGCCTCCATAGCTCGCTTCCCATGGCCCCCGGATCCTCGCTTCCCCTGGGACCCAGAGCCTCGCTTCCCATGGCCTCCATAGCTCGCTTCCCATGGCCCCCGGATCCTCGCTTCCCCTGGGACCCAGAGCCTCGCTTCCCACGGCCCCCATAGCCTGATTCCCATGGCCCCCATAGCTCGCTTCCCCTGGGACCCAGAGCCTCGCTTCCCATGGCCCCCGGATCCTCGCTTCCCCTGGGACCCAGAGCCTCGCTTCCCATGGCCTCCATAGCTCGCTTCCCATGGCCCCCGGATCCTCGCTTCCCCTGGGACCCAGAGCCTCGCTTCCCACGGCCCCCAGAGCCCCGCTTCCCACGGCCCCCATAGCCTGATTCCCATGGCCCCCATAGCTCGCTTCCCTTGGGACCCAGAGCCTCGCTTCCCATGGCCCTCGGAGCCTCGCTTCCTGTGGCCCCCAGAGCCCGCTTCCCATGGCTCCCGAACCTTGCTTCCCACGGCCCCCGGAGCCTCACTCCCCACGGCCCCCATAGCCTGCTTCTCATGGCCCCCGGAGCCCGCTTCCCACGGCCCCCGGAGCCTCGCTTCCCACAGCCCCCGCAGCCCCGCTTCCCATGGCCTCAGGTCCCTTGGGCACCTCCTGCCATGGACTGCACCAACATTTGGTCATTAGAGGAACATTTTTAGAAACTAATGCCCCATATTTATTTCCTCATCCCTCCCTGTTCCCTTTTCCTTGTGTGTCCTGTCATTATTACTATCATTATTTTCTAGCCTTCAGGGGGCAAGAACCACCTTCTTTTCTGGGAGCCTTTTCGGCTGGAGGGTGGGGCACAAACAACCACATTAACAGCCTTTCCCCACGTTTCTAAAGAACCTGACCATGTAGCATAGCGGCACCTACACCTGTGGAACTCCCTGCCTATTGAGATCAGGCAGGCGCCTTCATTATGCGTGCGTAACATAATAATTAAAAATAAAATTAAATGCCCCCTTGTCCACAGACACTCATTTAAAAGGCCACAGGTTGTTTAAACAGGCTGGTTTAAGGGGAATGTTTTCGCCTGGCAACTACAGATATGTAAGGGAGTTGCCAGAGCAGCCCACGAATGGGGAGCCACCACCGAAAAGGCCCCGTCCTCATTCTGCCCCCCTCCGCAGCCGCCCCGGCACTCACGCAGACGGCGTTGATGTCGGACTCGTGCCCCGTGAAGGTCTGCCGGCACATGCTGTCCCGGATGTCCCACAGCTTGATGGAGGCATCGCAGGCGCCCGAGACGAAGGTCCGCATGTCGGGGGCCAGAGACAGCGACATGACGTCCCCGCTGTGGCCCGTGAAGGCGGTGGTCTGCTGGCCTGTCTCAATGTCCCACAGGGCGCTTTTTGGGGGGGAAGAGGAGGAGACGCAGAAATCAGAGGGCTGCGGGGATTCGCAAGGGACCCCGAAAGGTCACCCATCCCAACCCCCCGGGGCGCCAGTCAGGTGGGGCACCCTGGCACTCTACTCACCACGTTGTGTCTCCGGAGCTGGTGATGATCTGGTTGTCGTTAAGAAACCGGCAGCAGGAGAGGTAGCCTTGGGAAGGAAAGAACGCAGCAGTTGCGGAGAGGGAAGCCTCGAGGGCCGCACCCCTCTCTGGGCAACATTTGGAGGGCCGCACCCCAGGGCTGGGCAGAGCCAGAGGCGAATACGGGCCGAGCAATACCTGCTGTTTTCCTTCTCTAACCCCCTCAGCCCAACGCAATATTATTATTATTATTATTATTATTATTATTATTACCGTATTTTCCAGAGTATAAGACGACTGGGCATATAATAATAAATAATAATAATAATAATAATAATAATAATAATAATTTATTATTTATACCCCGCCCATCTGGCTGAGTTTCCCCAGCCACTCTGGGCGGCTCCCAATCAAGTGTTAAAAACAGTACAGCATTAAACATTAAAAGCTTCCCTAAACAGGGCTGCCTTCAGATGTCTTTTAAAGAGAAGATAGCTGCTTACGTCCTTCACATCTGAAGGGAGTGCGTTCCACAGGGCGGGCGCCACCACCAAGAAGGCCCTCTGCCTGGTTCCCTGTAACTTGGCTTCTCGCAGGGAGGGAAGCGCCAGAAGGCCCTCGGAGCTGGACCTCAGTGTCCGGGCAGAACGATGGGGGTGGAGACACTCCTCCAGGTCTACTGGGCCTTTGAGGCCATTTAGGGCTTTCAAGGTCAGAACCAACACTTTGAATTGTGCTCGGAAATGTACTGGGAGCCAACATAGGTCTTTCAAGACTGGTGTTATGTGGTCTTGGCAGCCGCTCCCAGTCAACAGTCTGGCTGCCGCATTCTGGATTAGTTGCGGTTTCCGGGTCACCTTCAAAGGTAGCCCCACGTAGAGCGCATAGCAGTAGTCCAAGCGGGAGATAACCGGAGCATGCACCACTCTGGCAAGACAGTCTGTGGGCAGGGAGGGTCTCACCCTGCGTACCAGATGGAGCTGGTAAACAGCTGCCCTGGACACAGAATTAACCTGCGCCTCCATGGACAGCAATTGGTCCAAAATGACTCCCAGGCTGGGCACCTGGTCCTTCAGGGGCACAGTTGCCCCATTCAGGACCAGGGAGTCCTCCACACCTGCCCGCCTCCTGTCCCCAAAAACAGTACTTCTGTCTTGTCAGGATTCAACTTCAATCCGTTAGCCGCCATCCATCCTCCAACCGCCTCCAGACACTCACACAGGGCCTTCACCGCCTTCACTGGTTCCGATTTGAAAGAGAGATAGACGACCCCCCCCCCCAACTTTTCCAGTTAAAATACAGAGTTTGGGATATGCTCGCCGTATAAGACTACCCCTCTTCCAACACAAAACCAAATAAAAATTAAAAAAACAAGTCTCCAGTCCGGCTCAGAAATCCGCTCCACTTCCCAGTGGCCGGGGGCTTCTGGGGCCAATTTTCAAGCGTATTTCTGCTTCATCTAGAGAGCTTGGTGTCCTCCGATTTAATTTGCTGTCGTTTTATCCTTTGGTGGGGAGTTGCTGCAGGAGCTGCCGCTGTAGCTGGCGTATAAGACGACCCCCAACTTTTGAGAAGATTTTCCTGGGTTAAAAAGTAGTCTTATACGCCAGAAAATACAGTTTTTATTTACTTAACTATTATTTATTTTTATTATTATTATATTTACTTGTTGCATCTTTATATATCCTGCAGGTTTTTTTTCTCCCAACGCAGACACAGTTCTCTCCCACTTGCTTATTTCGGGCAGGAGATATAGACGTCTAATCAGTCTAAAAAACAGTTTCTATCCATGGGCTGTTAGGCTGCTGAACGGAAAATAATATAGCGCAACTGACTATATTGGGGTTGGTGTGGTTGTGCGACAAGCACACAAGAGTGCAATGAGATTGAGGGTTTGTGTGGCAGGGCGGAGAGGCCCAGTTAATTTCATTGCACGCAGGTTGTCCATGTAGAAAGACTGGGCCGTTATAAAGAGATTTAGTGGTTCTTAATTGATCGGCGATGTGGTAGTGTATTGTATTATTTCTGCAAATTGATTTCCTCTGGAGTGAAAGATCGGACTGGGACAAACCTTATTATGCCGAGCTCGTATTTTGCACAATTTGTATGCGGTGTCTGTTTGATCATGTGTGGTTTGCTATGCCTAATAAAGGATTGATTGATTGGCAATAAAGATACTATTATTATTATTATTATTTGCCTTTTTTTGCTGCTGCATCACACTGCGGACTCACATTAAGCTTCTGGTCTACTAAGACTTCCAGATCCTTTTAACTTGGAGCATAGGAAGGTGCCTTATACCGACTCAGACCAGGGGCCATAATTATTATTAATTATTATTATTAATCCAAATAACGTCCTTGCGAGGTAGGCTAGGCTGCGGCAGCGACCGGGCCCCTCAAGGTCGTACGCCCAGCGAGCTTTGCTCATGGCCAAGCGTGGGGCATTTGAACCCTTGGAAACCAGAGGCCGAGGGAACCCTCTGCAACAAGGAAGCGAGTTCGAAATGCCGTGAGGGGTGACTTAGCTGGGCTCCTGAGCCCCACAGGGAAAGAATGCAGCTGGTCAAGGGAGCCATGGACTCAAAATAATAATAAATTTTCATTTCTAAACCGCCCTTCCCGGTTCAGTAAACCGGGCTCAGGGCAACTAACGACAAATTTAAAACACTTAATTTGATGCAACAAAAACCCCCAGCATAAAATGCAGTATAAAAACGTGAATAACAATAAATTCAGAATTTAGATGGGAAATCCATCCAATAAACATTAGATGATCACCAGGGCTAGCTGGCTAAATCAGTCCTATTGGAAAACCTTTGCTTTAAGGGCACTTTCAATCCCAATCCTGCCTTCTGAGGTGTTAGATACTCCTCCAAAATTGGGGTTGAAAGGTAGGGAGGAGGTACAGGGAAAGCAAAATTAAGTACAGTGGTACCTTGGTTCTCCAACTCAGAAAACCCAGAAATAAGTGTTCCGGTTTTCGAATGTTTTTCGGAAGCCGAACGTCCAGTGTGGCTGCCAGCTATTTTTTCCGGGGCGCCTGCACCAATCAGAAGCTGCGCCTTCGTTTTCGAACGTTTCAGAAGTCAAACGGACTTCCAGAACGGATTAAGTTTGGCGCTTTTGTTTTTGCTATTTATTACGCGTTTTTGAGGCTTTTTTGGTTCATTTGTTTTTTTGACTGTGAGGAACCCAGTTCAGCTACTGATCGATTGTGTGACTGCGGAAACGGATAAAAGCCCCCCATCCAAACATTGGCTATCATCAGTGCAAGGAAGAAAAATAACAATTTTAGTTTTTAGCCTCTACAACACTGCCTTATTTATTTTATAGTACCGTACCTTGATTATCGTTTCATTTTATGGCTCAACGGTCTCGTTAGATGGCAAAATTCATGATAAATTGCTGCGGTAGTGGCCCCCGCCCTGTGGAACGCCCTCCCACCAGATGTCAAAGAGGAAAAACAACTACCAGACTTTTAGAAGACATCTGAAGGCAGCCCTGTTTAGGGAAGCTTTTAATGTTTAATAGACTATTGTATTTTAATATTCCGTTGGAAGCCGCCCAGAGTGGCTGGGGAAACCCAGCCAGATGGGCGGGGTATAAATAAATTATTATTATTTAAAAATGCCCCCAGCTGCAATATCCGTGTATAAGACGAGCCCAGATAATGAACATTATTCTACAGTGAAAGAAACCATAGTCTTATACACAGAAAAGTACGGTAATCATTATTACCAGCAATTATCATTGTGAAATAATATATTCTCTTGGCTGGGCGGGGGTCAATGTTGTTTATTTACTTCACAAAATTTATGACGCTTTATATTTATTATTATTATTATTATTATTATTACTTTAGGGGTTGTTTTTAAAAGTCTGGAACGGATTAATCCGTTTTGCATTACTTTCTATGGGAAAGTGCGCCCTGGTTTTGGAACGCTTTGGTTTTGGAACAGACTTCCGGAACGGATCAAGTTTCAGAGCCAAGGTACCGGTGTAACCAGTTTGGTTTCGCGAAGGAGGCGAGAGGGGGGCAAGGGCGTGGGGTTTGGGAGAGCCCCTCACCTGTGTGCCCGGGGAGTTCCCGGCTGACCCGGACATTCCCTTCCCGGGTCTTGAGGCTGTAGATGGAGCAGATGTTGTCCAGGCCGCCACAGGCCACGTAGTTCCCGGATGGGGCGTAGGCACAAGTCATCACCCACGACGACCGCAGAGGGATGGCGTGGACCTGCAGGAAGCAGGAAAACGGGGTGCGTGAGATACAAAAAACCAGGGACCCCAACAGATCAGCAGCACCTCTTCCTCCCTACAGTGGTACCTCGGGTTAAGGGACGTGGGTGGCGCTGTGGGTTAAACCACAGAGCCTAGGGCTTGCCGATCAGAAGGTCGGTGGTTCGAATCCCCGCGATGACGGGGTGAGCTCCCGTTGCTCGGTCCCTGCTCCTGCCAACCTAGCAGTTCGAAAGCACATCAAAGTGCAAGTAGATAAATAGGTACCACACCGGCGGGAAGGTAAATGGCGTTTCTGTGCGCTGCTCTGGTTCGCCAGAAGCGGCTTAGTCCTGCTGGCCACATGACCCGGAAGCTGTACGCCGGCTCCCTCAGTCAATAAAGCGAAATGAGCGCCACAATCCCAGAGTCATCCGCGACTGGACCTAATGGTCAGGGGTCCCTTTACCTTTACCTCGGGTTAAGAACTTAATTCGTTCTGGATGTCTGTTCTTAATCCGAAACTGTTCTTAACCTGAAGCACCACTTTAGCTAATGGGGCCTCCTGCTGCTGCCGTGCCGCCGCCGCGCAATTTCTGTTCTCATCCTGAAGCAAAGTTCTTAACCCGAGGTACTATTTCTGCGTTAGTGGAGTCTGCAACCTGAAGCGTCTGTAACCTGAGGTACCACTGTACCATATTTTTCCATGTATAAGACGCCCCCTATTTTTGGGGACTCCAATTAAAGACCTACACTGGCTCCCAGGACGCTTCCGATCCCAATTCAGCGAATAATTGGGTGCCCTCTTCCCACCTTGGATCAAATCAATGCTTCCAGGTGCCATAACAAAGCTGCAGAGATAGCGCAGGATAGTGCGCACCCTGGAAATGATCTCTTTCAGTTTATGAAACAGTTTCTACCCAAATGAGATTCTTTATTTCTTCTTTATTCTTTATAAATTATTGTATTTTTATATTCTGTTGAAAGCCACCCAGAGTGGCTGGGGAAACCCAGCCAGATGGGCGGGGTATAAATAATAAATTATTATAAAGAAACCCCTCCAGCTGCACTATCCATGTATAAGACGAGCCCAGATTTCGACCATTATTCTACAGTGAAAGAAACCATAGTCTTATACGTGGAAAAGTACGGTGATCGTTATTATCAGCAATTATCATTGTGAAATAATATATTCTCTTGGCTGGGGGGGGGTGTCAATGTTGTTTATTTACTTCACAAAATTTATGAAGCTTTTTTAAAAAAAACGTGCTTCAAAGCAGTACGAAAAAGGATACAGCAAATAAAGTGATTGCTAAGGAAAAACAGCAGCGGCAACTTTAAAAGTCTGCAAAAAAATTAAACCAGCCACATAGCGGCTCAAAGTCGTGTTGGTTTTTCTAAATGTCTGGGGACAGGCCTGCCTAAACTCAAAATGCTTTTTCGTGACACTGGAATTTGCGGACATCCCAGGAAGTCAATTGTTGGAAGATTCGGGGAAGATAAAAGGACGTCCGCCTTAAGACTGTTAAACTGTGGAACTCCCTGCCACAGGAGGGACCACTAACCTGGATTCGACCAATTCAGAGGGCTGCAGCTATGATGACCAGTTTCTGGGAGCCACATGATCCCGCTTGACAGTTTCCCATAATGGTTGTCCACTGGGAGAACAGGATGCTGGACTGGATTGGACCCACCCTCCACCCCGCTTTGGCTTGATCCGGCAGACTCTTCTCATGGTCTTATTTACGAAACGTTTCGGTTGCTTTTTTTAACTTTTACAAAGGCAACTCAAACGACTTACGCTATACGGTGGTACCTCTGGTTGCGGATGCGATCCGTTCCAGGGTGCCATTCGCACCCCGAAAAGTCCCTAACCAGAGCGGCACTTCTGCGCACTTGCGAAGCGCGACAGAGCTCTTCTGCACATGCGCGAACTGCGCAGAACACTCCTGTGCGTGCGGCAAAACCCAGAAGTAAACACTTCTGGCTCTGCCGCGTTCCTAACCCAAAAACATGCAACATGAAGCGTTCGCAAGAAGAGGTGCGACTGTATTAACAAATAAACCGATGCGTTTTTAAAAAAGGGGCCCTGGATAAGTAGAGTCCTGGTGGGAAAAAAGCACCTAGAGATATGCAAAGCGAAGGTGCAAGGAGAGCCCTCCCTGGGGAGAGCTTGCTGCAAGCAGGGAGCCACCACCAAAAAGGCCCTGCTCTCATACGGCCACCCTCCAGGCACTGATAAGGGCCCCGGGTGACGCTCGAAGGGTCCCCCGGGGCCAAATAACAGGGCCCACTGACAGCCACACAGGCCTTACCTTGTTTGTGGTGTAGCTGTCCCAAATGATCAGTTTGCCGTCTTGGGAAGCACTAACCAGCAACCTGTAGAGGTGGAGAGAGGAAGAACGGAGGCGGCGTGAGATTGGGTGGAACTCAGAGTGAGATAGAGGGTTTCCGAGTCGCTCGGGGACAAGAGGAGACCCAAAGCCCTTTTTCCTCTTCTGCACGCCCAACACAGGGAGATGGGACCAAGCCCATTGGCGTCCATTGAGCTTAGTATTGTCCACACGGGCCGGCAGCTGCAGCTGCCCAGGCGAGTGGGGTCTCACCCAGCCCTGCCAATAGATGCTACAGGAGATCAAACCGGGCTCCTTTTGCATTGCAGGGGGTGGGACTCAGGGCGGATTTCATTTAAATCAAACTGATTTAAATCCCGATAAAAATCGCTAGTCAGTAAGACTTTTTTTTTTTTTACAGAAAGACTCATTCCGGCTGGTATAATCTTAATATTTACAACCAGATGGAGGTTTCATTTCTGGAACAAAGAATTTTCAGAGTGGTTTTTACAGTTACATCAAAAATCGCTGATTTGGTTATACCATTAGAAATACACAGACAGATAATGATGGAATGATCGTGAGGTTTAATAAGTTAACTGTTTATAGTTGGGCAACCTTTCTGCTTTACTTCATTGGAAGGAGAAAAAATAATCATTTCCTTAGTAATCATTTAAACGATCTGTTTAACTAAAACAACAACACTATGGCATATGTATCCATGTTCGTTAACTGATGTTGTTAAACGATTAAAAAACCCCACTTAAGACTGATTTTAGCACACGTGAAAAACTTAAAACAAATCCTTATTTCCTGATGAACAGCCTTTGGACTATAATGCAAATGAAATAGAAAACTACATTTAGAAAGACTTTTCCTCCAAAGGCATTTTATTTTAAAAATCCAATTTAAATAAAAATAAATAAATCCGATTTAAATTTTAAAAATTCAATTTAAATTTTAAAAATCCAATTTAAATGTTAAAAATCCAATTTAAATGTTAAAAATCCAATTTAAATTTTAAAAATTCAATTTAAATTTTAAAAAACCATTGTTTTTTTGTCCACCCTGGTTGGACTAGATGGCCTTTGGGGGTCCCGTCCAATCCCACAATTCCAAGGGGCAGCCGCCACCGCCGCCCTTTGCTCTCACCTGGAGTCTGTCCCCCAGTGCATGGCGTAGATCTTCGCCAGGTGACCCCGTAATGTGCGCCTCGTCCGCATCTGGATCCGGCCCACCGGATCGAGGCCAGCTGTGATCTGGGGGTGGGGAGAAAAAGAGAAGGGGGGTGTCAAAAGACGAAAGGCCCCCCCAGAGAGGAGGAACACCTCTGCGAAACACACACAACCTCCAGAGACCCTCGCCTGCTTCTTCCAACAACATCTCAAAGTGGGGGAGGAATTAATAATAATAATAAATGTTTATTTATTTATTTAATAAATTTGTATTATTTATTTATACCCCGCCCTTCCCGGTTCAGGGTGGCTAACAACAAATTTAAAACGCTTAATCGATGCAGCAAAAAACAGCATAAAATACAGTATTAAAACGGGAATAACAACAAATTCAGAATTCAAAAATCAATTTAGGGGGGAAATCCATCCAATAAACATTAGATGATCCCCAGGGTTAGCTGGCTGAATTGGTCCTATTTGGGCCAGCGGGGAGACCAGGGGAGAATTAGCTGGAGGATCGCATAAAAATCTTCATAAAAAGGGAAGGAGGAAAAATAAAAGGTCGGAGCCACCACTGAGAAGGCCCTGGCTCTGGTGGAGGATAGTCTGACTTCCTTAGGGACCTCTAAACTATGATTATTCATGGACCTGAAGGTCCTCTGCGGGGCAGACCAGGAGAGGTGGTCCCATAGATACGAGGGTCCCCTAAGCCACAAAGGGCTTTAAAGGTCAAAACCAGCACCTTAAACCTGACCCTGTACTCCACCGGGAGCCAGTGCAGCTGGAAAAGCACTGGGTGAATATGCTCCCATGGCAGGGACCCCGTGAGGAGCCTCGCTGCAGCCTTCTGCACCCGCTGGAGTTTGTGGGTCAGCTTCAAGGGCAGCCCCGCGTAGAGCGAATTACGGTAGTCAAGCCTGGAGGGGAAAATATATTCGAGGGGTTTCTTTCGCCTCACCTGGGTCAGCGTGGAGTCCCCACATGCTTTCCTAGCGTCCTGCGGGAAGGGAAAAGGAGAAGAGAGCAGGGGTGAGTGCAAATAATAATAATAATAATAATAATAATTTATTATTTATACCCCACCCATCTGGCTGAGTTTCCCCAGCCACTCTGGGCGGCTCCCAATCAAGTATTAAAAACAATAAAGCGTTAAATGTTAAAAACTTCCCTGAACAGGGCTGCCTTCAGATGCCTTTTAAAGATAGGGTAGCTACTTATTTCCTTCACATCTGAAGGGAGGGCGTTCCACAGGGCGGGCGCCACCACCGAGAAGGCCCTCTGCCTGGTTCCCTGTAACCTTACTTCTCGCAATGAGGGAACCGCCAGAAGGCCCTCGCCACTGGATCTCAGCGTCTCAACCCCGCAAAGTCTCCATCCCCGGAAAAAAAGAGAAATGTTGAGCCCGGCACCTCAATGAGGGCTAGAAACTTGGCTGGCGCTGCCAACTGCAGCCACTCACCCTGATCTGGTTGCGCAGCTGTTCCGCCTCCTGCCTCAACTGCTCCAGTTCGCTCATGGTGGAGTTGGGCGCGGGGGGCGTGGCCAGCAGCCCCTCTCAGCCGGCCGCAATCCTGTTTAATGGGGGGCAAAGAAGTGGTTGCATTAATTTGTTGCGAAGCAAGCGCAGGGGGGTTGAGATAGATGAGCTCTGGGGTTCCCCTCCCGACTCTAATTCTTAAGTCCTGGGTCGCCTTCTCCGCCCAGGAGGCCGAAGCAAAGGGTCAAACCAGGTGTCTCGGCTCACCGGGGCAAAATTAAGAACAACCCCGTCCCCCGTCCCCGGGGGTAACTGCGACCCCCCCCCCAAGGTGACCATTGGGGTTAGCAAAGCCCGACAGAGAACGCTTTCTGCTTGCAAAACTGCCTCGTACGGTCTTCCCTGCGCGAGCAATAGCTGCGCCCATTTTACAGATGGAGGCAGGGGAAAGTAGAGGGTCAAAATCGTCAACACTTTGAAAATGAAAGAGTTTTGGGAACTGATCTATAATGAATTAAAAAAGATGTTTAAATATACTTTTCCAAAAAAGCCTGAAGAATTATTGCTAGGTTTGATGGGAGAGGATATTAAGAAGACAGACCAAAGATTATATTTGTATGCGACGACAGCAGCTAAGAGTTTTGATAGCCCAAAAGTGGAAAACACAGGAGATACCGACTGTAAAGGAGTAGGAGACAAAAGTTGGTCGAGTACGCAGAAATGGCAAAACCGACACACAGAATTCGCAGTCAGGAGGAGACGAAGTACCAAAAAGAATGGAGTAAATTTATGGTTTATCTAAGTGAGAACTGTAGAAATTTGAAGACGTTAGCAGGACAGAAATAAATCTTATGTCATGGTGTAATATTTACTTTTTCAGCAGGGGGCCAGTCCACTGTCCCTCAGCCCTTGTGGGGGGCCGGACTATATTTTGGGGGGAAATGAATGAATTCCTATGCCCCACAAGTAACCCAGAGATGCATTTTGAATAAAAGCACACATTCTACTCATGTAAAAACACGCTGATTCCTGGACCGTCCGCAGGCCGGATTTAGAAGGCGATTGGGCCGGATCCGGCCCCCGGGCCTTAGGTTGCCTACCCGTGCCCTATACAGCTTCAGGGGGTCAGCAAAGGTCTTCGAAAATATCGCCGTGATGCACCCAAGCGATCCTGCGCTTAGCGAGAGAGGGCCTGTCAGGAGCAGGTCCGTTCTGTACAATTTTTAGGAGCCCGGAAGGACTTAGCCTTTGGAACTGCCTGCCACTGCAGGGCTAGTAGCCAAGAGGTCTGGGGCTCTGCCTCTGTGGCTGGAGGCAGTAAAATGTTCCTGGGTACCAGTTGGGGTTGGGCTAGATGACCATGAGGACCCTAATAATAATAATAATAATAATTTATTATTTATACCCCGCCCATCTGGCTGGGTTTCCCCAGCTATTGCAGGACTATGCAGAATTAGACAAACTGACAGGAAGGATTCGAAACCTGCGGGACCAGAGATTCTTAAGAGGACTGGAGTAAACATCTGAATTACCTGAAAAGCAATTGTAAAAAAAAAACAGATTGCGCTAGCAGGACTGCAAGAAGTTCTGGAAGGAGGATTACGCGAAATATCGCAAGGAAGATCACGAAGAGAATATTAGTTAAGGATAATTAAAAGTAATAAGAGAAATGAAGAAATGCGGATTGAGTGATGAAAGAATGGAAAGTCTTCAGAGGTAGTTGAATATTGTATAAGATAAAAATGTACGTTAAATGACTTCTGGAAATGATATGTTCAAAAAATGAATAAAAATGTATATTAAAAAGAAGAAGAAGAAGCCATTGCAAGGGGGCCTGCTAACTCCCCACCACCATTGCCCTCCGCCCAATATTTGCTTTGGAGGATAGAGAGGCGCCCCCCCCAAAAATAATGCAAGGTGGGGGGCAAAACAGAGGTGGCTTTGCTCCTCCCGGAAAGCAGAAAACGCCCCCTCCTGAAAAAAACAAACCAAAAATGGTGCGCAGGGAGGGGGTCTCTCTCCCCCCCCCTCGGGAAAGCCAAATAAAAGAGAGAGGGTCCCGTGTCGTCACCATGGCAACCGGACCCCCACCGCCACCTCTCCCGGCACAATACACAAGAACAGCATCTTTAAACTCCAGCTGGCGGTTGCCGTGGCGATGGGATGTGGGGGGGAAAAAAGCCCAGAGACGAAGATGGATTTGCAGCAGCTGAGGTCCCCAATTCCCAATAAATAAATGGGGGGCCGGGAAAACGGGTGCGCTGGCTCAGAGGTGCCCCCACGGCGTGGTACAGAGAGATGTGGGGCGATGATGGTTTTCCACACCAGGCCAGAGATCCGAGGCTTATACGCCTTAATCTCCAATCTCATTTGCTTCGTTAGAGAAAGTGCATTAGGCAAAATAAACAAACAGGCGAGCCGAGCCAAATCTCCTGGCAAGTGTAAACGAGATTACAGAGGGATTACAGAGGAGGATGAGTTCAATGCAGCCTGGAAAACTACGTTTCCCCCTGCACAGGGTGGTACGTTAGTGGGCAGCGAGGCGGGGAAGCAAGGCGTTTCGTGGGTTAAAGGCAGAGGGGAAGCCGGACTCCTGGGTTCCTCGGATCAGGAGAAAGGGACTTGGGAACATCCCGGGCGCTGAGCCAAGCCACGGCACCCGGGAGGGCGCGATCAAAAGCCCTCTCTCGGCGCTTTGCAGCACAAAGCCAGGCGCCCGGTCGGGGTCCGGCGAGGACGCCTGATTTTCGGACCCCCTGTTGAGGGTGGATCAGGAGAAGGCGGATGCGCAGAGCTCTGATCTCCCCGGCAAAAGCTTGTAAGGAGCGTTGCTCAGCAAGAACAACACATCGCTTCCAACCTGTTTGATTTTTCTATTAAAAAAACCGGGCGCCGCTCCAGACTACAACTCCCACCAGCCCTGACTGCATGAGGCCAACGGCGGCTGACCAGATACTCGCAATGGGAAATCCCACCCCCCAGAAGGATCCGAGTGCGAGAGCATCACTCTCCCCTCTCGCTGGGGAGTCGCAGGTAGACTGCGCCTGGGCATGGAGGTTTTGCTGTTGTAACAGACTCTCCAAAGGCCCACCTAGTCTGCCCGCATCCTGTTATCGGAGCGGCTAGGCAAACGCCCCAAAGGGAGGCCCGTAAACAGGACTCGAACACAAGACCGCAGTTTTCAGAAGCCTTACTGCCCCCAATCGCGAAGGCAGAGAACAGCCGTTCTGGCTAGCAGCTGCCAACAGCCCTCTCCTCAAATGTGAATTTGTCCAATCCTGCAGCAGGGAGTTCCACAGATTCGCCAGGTGATGACGACAACAACTTCTTGGCTTGCGAACCAAAACAACGCCTTATCCATGAGTTAAAGGTAAAGGGACCCCTGACCATTAGGTCCAGTCGTGGCCGACTCTGGGGTTGCGGCGCTCATCTCGCTTTACTGGCCGAGGGAGCCGGCGTACAGCTTCCGGGTCATGTGGCCAGCATGACTAAGCCACTTCTGGCGAACCAGAGCAGCGCACGGAAACGCCGTTTACCTTCCCGCCGGAATGGTACCTATTGATCTACTTGCACTTTGACGTTCCTTCGAACTGCTAGGTTGGCAGGAGCAGGGACTGAGCAACGGGAGCTCACCCCGTCGCGGGGATTCGAACTGCTGACCTTCTGATCGGCAAGTCCTAGGCTCTGTGGTTTAACCCGCAGCGCCACCCGCATCCCCTTTATCCGTGAGTTAGGCATTCCCAATTGTGAGGCGGCGTTGCCCTTCCTTATCGTCCATTATGATTTATTTAATTCCCGCCCTCTTAAGGTCCCCAGGTCGGGTTACGGCGTTAAAGCGCAACATTGGAAACAGTTTGCCGGAAGTTGTGCAATGAGGCTCTCTGGGGAGGGAGTATCACAGCTCAGGGGCCACCACTGAGAAGGCCCTGTCCTCTCCCCCTAATTTCTGAAGGGGGGAAAAGGAACTACAAAGAGGACTCCCTCCGCTGATCTCAGCAGCCAAGAGGGTGTGTAGGGAAGGAGGTGGCCTCCGATAGGGCTTTGGTCGAACCCCCTGGATCAGGCCCAGAAAGAAACTGGCAGCTGTTTTAGAACAGGGGGCGTTATATGAGATCTTAAAAGGGAATCCCGGCCAGGAATCCGGCTGCCGCATTTTGGATGTTTCCGAGTCGTCTTCAAGGGTGGCCCCAGGCGGAGTGCTTTGCAGTAGTCCAGCCTGGAAGTTACCAGCGCACGCAATACACCGGCCAGCCAAAAGAGCATCGCCAAAGGGCATTGAATTCACATTCAGCGACCTTGAAAAGGTGTGTTTGCTTCACGCCGCACACACAATCAAGCCGATCCGGGATATACAGACACAGGGTTGGACTAGATGACCCCCGCGGGTCCCTTTACAGCTCTACGGTTCTACGAGTCTCAGCTTCGCTCACAAGCGTGCAACGGAAGAGGGCGAGCCGGCCAATTAAGTGGTCTCCACTAAGTGCCCTTTGTTATTTGAGATCGGCACTTAATTTGCACAAATTCTAGATGCCAGAAAAAGCAACAAGGACAGAGGAATGCCGGGAGCATCCTGCTGAAATATTTCAAGATCCGCAGAGGGGCGTAAACCTGGAAATCTGCCCTCCTGGACCCCCTGCCGCCTTTAAAGGCTTTCCTCCGGGCCTTGAGGACTAGGAACCTGCTAAGTCTTGCAGCGGAAAATAAAAGGGGGTCTCTTCTTGATCTTCCAAGAACTGCAACTTTCAGGACCAGTTTACATGGACCTTGCAGCCCCAAGCGCATCTCTTGGGGACATCAATATCGATATTGGTTATATATAGTTTTTCCGGCGCCCTTGGGTATCCCACTCTGATACACCCACGTGAAGGGTGTCCGAGGGGAAAGGCGCCTGGAAAAAGCACCCCACTGTTTCCTCGCCCCAAAAGGCACGTCAAAATCATCAGCTGAGCAAGCTAACTATTCCTGGGCGCATCATTAAAAGGCAGGACTCCCGGGTTCCATCCTCAACTTGGAGAGCGAGGGGTATTGGGAGACGTGAG